GGAGCGGATCTTGGGTAGCGGACTAAAGCTAACAAGGCTGGATACCAGGCTATTACATCTTTGCCTTGTCGCTTTACCCAGGACCAAGAATGAGTACACGGAAGCCGTCAAGAGGATGGGAATCCTTCAAGTTGAGCGCAACTTGTAAGTGGAGTGTTCGCTTGCACATACAATCAAGTTCCCATACATGTAGAGCGTATACATTAGTACTGGATCCATTTCATTGTTCACAACGCTAGTCGTACCAGTAGACAACAACTGAATGTTTTTTTTGTATGAAAGAAATACAAATGTCTTTAGATGCGTAAGGTTCCTCACATGGATCACAAGCATTCCTAACGAAGGACATGTACAACGTATGTACAACGTATGCACATGTACAACGTATGTCTGACCAAGTATGATGTCCTAACGAAAGAATTACGTATACACCTAAGTGTGCCCATGTATGATGTCCTTTTATTACGACCTTTTAATATGAGTTATTCATATCTTTCCCCTACACTGTATGTGTAGTAACCCGCTGTACATACTGTCCACCCCTCTCTACCACCTGTCTCCGGGCGGACGGGAGTTCCTCCGCCTGTGCGACTTCGTTCACCAGACCGCGGGCTCTATCATCAAGAGAAGGAGGCAAGCACTGGTACGTTCAAGGGGAAAATCAGCAGATAAGGAAGTATACGTAAATAGACACATCTATTTCAGTATGGAAAGCTCAGACTGTCGAAGGCTTCAAGTTCTCCCTTGCTTGTACGAAACACGCGGTCACGTCCTACGAGCTCTGAATCTGTAGAACGCAACCCAGGGCCTACTTGTTCCATCCTTGTTGATATACTCAAAATTGTGTGCTTGAATCTGTACAGGAAAGCGATCCTGGGATTTTAGCGGAGAAGAAAAGGCTGGATTTTATCGACATTTTGCTGACGGCTCGAGATGAAGAAGGGAGAGGGCTGACGGATCCGGAGATCAGAGAAGAGGTGGACACTTTCCTGTTCGCCGGTAATAAGTGTGACATCTCGCAAAATGTCATTTCATACTACACTGCACACAGAAAAGAAATCAATCCCAACAATAACTTTATAAAAAGTAGCATTAGCATTACTTATTACCATTTTTACTGTTTATTATTTAATCACGTTCTTGCCCTCGGGCATGGATGTGCAATAAACTTTCATTATAATGAAAAAATATACGCATTTGTCCCATTGTGCTCAGTACACGTCCTCCCTTTTTCATGGACGGGAGGGCAAAATCTCCCTCCAAAGATCAGCTTGGAGATAACTCTTCTTTTTCTTTTAAAATCGTCCCGTTCCGTCGCCAGGACATGACACGACTGCCAGCACCCTGTCCTGGGCCCTGTACTCCCTGGCCCAACACCCGCACCATCAGGACAAGGTACGGCAGGAAGTGGACCAGCTTCTGGCCGGCAGAGACCAGGACTCTATTGAGTGGTACGCCGCCTGTAGTTTACATCATGATAAAGTACTCCTACAGATTATTTGTGTTAGTTCCTTTACAGTTTCTGATATATTCCATGCTTGTGATCATTGGATAAGGCAGCTAATGTCTACATACATTTCATTTGTAGATTCTATCAAAGCTTGCCTGATATTGACGCTCCGAGTCAGTCATATCCTCGTACGTCGACGTAATACGGTTTTGAGCAAGGGTAATATGGCAAAACTGACCGTCGACAAGGATCGACAAACTTTTCCTTCACAGCTGAATCTCATACGACACATCCAAGACTGCTCATGTCCTAAGAATGTTCCCATTTCGTAAACCTGTCGTACGATGTACATGACAGGGATCATACCTTATCTTATCCCAGGGAGGACCTGCACAAACTGCCTTACCTGACCATGTGTCTGAAGGAAGACGCCCGTTCCTCTGATCTCTCGTACCGTCATGGCGGACACCATGATAGACGGGAACCCCGTCCCCCAGGGCCAGTACGTCGGCATCCACCTGTACGCACTGCACCACAACCCGCATGTCTGGGGGAACCAGCATATGGTACATTTGTTCTCTCCGCTACGTTTTACTTCTTTAAATTTTTTAACCCCTAGTGGCTTCCTTCCGAACTGCCAGTCAGAATCTTTTTCTGTGTGAATGGTACATTGTCAGTTCTGTATATATCGGTATAGCCGGTTTAACCGCCCCTCGGCGTAACACACCAGCTTCGCAGGCACGCGGCGGGGCGGCAGCTGACTACATGAAAAACCCAGTTCCTTGCTAGTGGTGCAAGTTCTAGAAAATTTTAACCCCTTGTGCCTTTCCTAGTGGTGCAAGTTCTCCTTTGGTTGTCTCTAGATAACCCTCGATCTCCGTGATTGAACTGTGGGTCGGATAGAATTTTACACTAACAGGTGTCAGCGTTTTGTTTCAGGAGTTCGACCCAAGCCGTTTCCATCCGGACCGTATGAAGGACATGGACTCTCACGCCTTCATGCCGTTCTCTGCTGGACAGAGGTATTCAATAATAGATACACGGACTGTTATATAGTGACGACTCTCTCTCTCTCTCTCTCTCGTTTTGCTGTGGGTTTCAAGACACGAATTTTGCTGTGACCTTTAGTTAAAGGTTAAAGTGATGGTGTGAAAATTTGATGCGTCTCTATGCACACTCAGATGTTACACACTTTTTGGACAAGCCATTCGATTATATACGATTCATTCTGTTTACGTCCCTGACAAGTATTTTGTGCTCATACAGGAACTGTATCGGACAGAACTTTGCCCTGAACGAAGAAAAGGTGTTACTGGCTCGTCTCCTCCACAGGTGAGTGTATTCAGCATCGTTTGTAAACGGTGTCATCAGTCTACCAGTTTATAAAATATAAACCATATTGTTCTATATCCTACAATAGAAATACGTGTCTCCATCGGTCTGGTGAACCCCGTATGTGAAAGAGTCAGGTGTTTGACAAATATCTTTAAACCATGCACACAACAAAAAGAGTTTGCTACTCTGGTGAGCAAGGAGCACTCAGTCTCTTAATTATACTGGTAAAGCCAGATCTAGTCTTGGGGTTCTACAATGTTTATAAGGCAGTAAGATGTGTGAAAATTGACTTCTCACAGCCAAGAACAGTTATTTATTATTATTAAGTCTCATTCATGTCCGTATTCCAGGTTTTCCTTTGACCTTGACCCCGGCCGCCCCGTGGAGAAGGACATGATATTTGTGATGAAGACCAAGGACGGACTGTGGATGAAGGTCAAATCTACGGGCCAGAAAACTAACTAGTTTCCTCGGAGAATGACACTGCCTATCATATACTAAGGGATAACAGTACCTACTGGGAGAACTGAAGTGATGGGTTTCTTTAGAAATCAGAGGTTAGTCAAAAGACTCAAAACTGTATTTATTCAAGATTGTTATTTTTCATCAAGAGGAAGAATTGTTAGGTCTGATTGTATGTCTTTGTCATATCATTTTGTGGTGTGAAATTCAGATCATGGAGGTAGAAGTGGAACATTTTACCTCCATATTCATCAATTTCGTGTACATGTACATGGTAACCTCATCATGCATTGATCAAAATTGATCCCTATTCACCAAGGTTATTGCACTGCAGTACTGCAGTTGATCAATAGAGGCCGCTATTTTCAGCCATCCTTTACAAGACTTGACCAAAAAATCAGATCCAGATTGTATGGTAGCATTCATTTTATTTCTGACATATCATGGGAAATTACATAAACATTATTTACATAAAATTGCACATACATGTAAGATACATATAATCTTACACAAATTAAGATTGATAATGTACAACAATGAATTAATGCATACAAAGCGACCAACATGTTGCAATGTAAAATTGGCATAAAAACTAGCATAATGGAAGTTAAGCATGGTTGCAGAGGCATCTTTGGCACAAGTTAAACACCACTATAATTATGTACACACAGAAGCATATGGAAAACACTACACAAAAACAACACCTGAATCACCATAGCCAGCACACAAGATAGAATCCCTTGATTCTTCGAACTGAAACCCTTCTATTGAGGGTTGACAAACGTGTTAAAGCTAATTGAGATTTTCCTGCCTCATCCACAGTAATTACTGTGTTTCACATTCTTAATTTTGTAGAGTTTGGAGAGTCAAGTATTTATGTGTCTTCAAGAAACAAACTTCACAACTTTTGGCATACCAAACTTGATTCTTGTCCCTAATTTTCTTGACAACTCTAAAAGCCATTTACAACTTGTTTTTTCATCATCTCAAACCAGAATGTCACAAGAAAAGACTTTCCAGTGTCGAATTCGAACTTGTTTTAAAAGTTATTTCAGAACAAGACCATAGTTTGTATCCACTCACTACTAGAAACAGGTATAACAGGTTTTTTGCTATCAACACTTTTTATGTACAATACAGCCATATTGTATGAAATATTTCACTGCATACTGTTTGCATGAAAGCTGCTACATTATACACCGGCTAAGCCTTATGTCTTAATTTGCTAAAATGGTATTTGCTACCAACTTCTTATGAAATACAACAGTTTGACAACAGATCTCTACTTTACCCTAGAGTTTTCAAGTTGTGTAGACTTGTCCAAGAATTGTCCAAAAGTTATACGCAAGTACCAGACAGCAGAAGACCAATACACATACATCGTAATACCAGGTGTTGGAGCAAGAAGGTTAAAAAAGGCCTTAACCACCTTGGTTACATTAGGCAAGAACACCTTTACATGCAACATTTTAGGTCCAGAGTTTGCAATCATAATGCATGTAACGGTTGCAGTTACTTCTTTACACACATGTAACACTTGCAGTTACTTTTTACATACTGTGGTAACACAATGATAGAATTTGAAGAGTTTGAGATATCACACATTATCAGTAAAGCTGTTCTAACTGTGTTCGTGACTCCTATACTACATCTCAGTTTCTGGAGGTTCTACTCGATCTGAAATCACCTTCAGAACCTTCTCAAACTTCATGTAACGGTCCTTCTGATTAGCCAGTGCTCCCTTGCTGCCCCACAGCAGCTTCATGTGGAGTTCCGTTCTAAACACGTCGAGCAGCGTGTCGTCCACCTTCAGCCCCTGGAGTCGTGACTCTGCCGTGATGCGGTATAAACCCGGCTGCTGCGCCACGCTCCGCATCCCGTCCACGTGCGCCAGGACCGTGTCCAGCCCGTAGTCGTCGGAGCTGTCCCAGGCGTACGCGCGCTCGAAGCCGGTGACGTCGTGCCCCATGAGCTGTAGGAACGGCAGGACGTGGGGGAAGCAGGTGTTGCTGAGCGGGATGGTGCTGGTGCCGGTGTTCAGCGCCTTCAGGGCCGGCCGCAGCTTGGAGTCGAACTTCACGGCGCTGGTGGTGAAGTGTTGTCTCAGGGCCGACCACGTGCCGTACAGGCGAGAGATCTGCATGGGAGGAAACAAACAGTCAGAATTTGTGTAAGCACAACTCCTCAGTCAGCATACTGACCAACAAGGTCTGTTTTCAGGCAAAATACATTTAGTACTGCACTCTTTTTATCTTTTTCAGAACCCGGAAAAAAGTCCAAAACACAGTTGAGTATCCATGACTCTCTTTTATGATAGTGTCATTTACTTTATGTTCAAGTTAGCAAAAGTTCATGGTCTGATATAAATGGACATGTTCACAGAATTACATGTTCACGGTGGTGGCAGGTGCAGAAAAAAAAGGGTCAGCAAATTATTTGTTAACAGCAATGATAAGTTTGCGGTACAGAAGTGACTTCAAAAGCCGTGAATATAAACGTACAGTGAAAAAAATCAGGATTCACAGTAACCAATCATGAAATACTGTACAGTAATCTCAGTTGCTCTTAGCAGATAGTGGAAAGTTTCCTAGAAAGTTTACAATGCGTAATATACAGTTTAAAAACTTGGGCCTTACATGTGGGGACTCCAGAGCCTTCATGATGGCAGAGAAGCCAAACAGATTTCCCATGGTTCCCTTCAGCTCGGCGGCGACCTCGATGAACTTGTGCAGAATCCCGGCGCGCTCCTTATCCCCGCCAGTACACGTCAGGACCGTCACCGACACCCACATGTAGATACACGTGTGTCTGCAGGGAGAGAACATTAACACTCAGTACCGACACCCACATGTAGATACACGTGTGTCTGCAGGGAGAGGATAACATCAGTACACTCAGTCAATGGTCATGTTTCATACTAATTTTCACCATTCTATTCTTTATCGTCATCAACTAACAAAAGGCTGGAGAGACACTCAAGGTTCTTTGTTAGATGTAGTATTTTACAATTACTAACAGATTCTGTGGAAATGTAGGCATATAACCTATTTAAACCATGTTACTTTATTTAAATGACAATAGTGACATAGTAACATGTAACAATAAAAAAAACTACAGTATATCATCAATTGGCTGAAGGATAACTTTGTTAATACAATCATAAAATCTCTTCATACCAATTCAACTTTGTTTATTTTGAATTACCAGACAGAGTGTATGTTGAGATATTCTATGAGTAATTACAAGATCTGGCAAAATGTCATACAGCTCTTTCATGAAAACTCCAGAAACAAGCTTAAAAGATGGTCTCACCTCTCTATGAGGTCCGTCCTGAGTACCTCCCCGTGCGGGAGGGTGATCAGCTCCAGGCCTGACGACACGCCCATCTGTCCTGCCTGCTCATCAGACACATCCACTATTCTGGCAACCTGTGTGGACAGGGCAGAATTTACATGTTAGAGGGACAACCAAACAGTGAATCAAAACTGGAAGAATGTAAACAGAATGACTGAAGACCAAACTTGTGCCTCGATATAATCAGACATCTGTTACCCTGTCTGGCAGATTCCTCATTAAACCGAAAGTGCTACTGCACTACCAAGGCAATCCACCAGGACGCCCATATTTGACCTTGACCTTCGTCCCCCTAACACCTACCAGCATACCAAATATCACCACAATCCATGAAGGCGTTATGAACTTATGAAGGTACAAAAATGCGGAAACACAAACACACACACACACACACACACACACGCACACAGACGCGCCAAAAACAATACCTTCCATTTCATGGAGGTAACAACAAAAAGTAAAGTGGTGTATTACTCACTTCACAGTCAACTCTGGTCATGTGCTGTGCAATTGTCTTAGCGCTGCCATCTAGCAGCATGGACCTGATCTGCACCACTGCAGAGTTGTCCAATGGCTTGTTCTCAGACGGTAACAAACACGTCGTGAATTCTGTAGGGTTGAAGGAAGACTCAGTCTCGATAACTATAGAAGGAACAACTTCCTCAAAGGAATCTTCGTCAGGATCCAGCTCGTCTCCAAGACTGTCCAAAGACGCTGTAGACAGGACCGAGAATCTTGTGTCAGACATTATCCGTCTCTTTCGTGCCTCCATGCTGTCTTTGCTCCTTTTTGGAGTGTTCAACCTGGCATAGTCAGGAATATCGTTCAACTTGACCAGACGAACTTCACCTTTGGCCAACGGTTGCCATGACACTGGAGGAGCGGGGTCAAGTTCAGAGTAGTCGTGCTGGGCTACGTAAATTTCCTCCTCCGGTGACAGTTCCTTCTCTTTATTCCTCACTTCCACTTTTGGTCTCTGCTGTTTTCTAACTGATGGTGTCCTGCTGGGTTTGGGGGGTGGTTTTGATCCGACCGCTTCGTTTGACCCGTGGAAGAACTTTCTCCGCTCCACGCCGGGGCTGAGAAGCGTTGGATCGCTGCCACACCTCTGAAGGTTGCGCTTCTCGATGCGAATGTCCTGAGCACTTCCTGAATGAGCGTTTTGCTTCTGCTTGATCAACGATATAGCCTCCACGTCCCTTGCTGAAGGAAGGTTGCTCTCCGAGGGATTTTTTGTCATCCTCCCGCTGACAGATAGCAGTTGTTCGGGAGACAGAGTCACTGGTTGGCTGCCTGATCTGCCGTGGATGATTTTACGACTAGCGTGAGGACTCCCTGTAGGTGTAGAGTGCGAGCTTCCCTTTGGACTTGGTGTGGAGGCAGAACGCAGTATAGCTGGGGCCGGGGACTGCCGTTCTGGTTGTGTTGTCGAGCCATACTTTGCGTCTGTGTAGCTCAATGGCAAGGTCCTGTTGATGGGGTGGTAGATGATTGCCCCCGTGCCTTCTGAGATCGGCTTCCTGTTGCCAACATAGAACCTGACTAGGGAGGGAATGGAGTCAAAGCTCTCCTTCTCAAACTGGTACTGAATCCTCGAGTACGTGGTGTTCGGGTGCAGCACCACCTTGTTGATGATGAAGTGAAGAGCCTGTCCCTTGGAGCGGCACGTCAGAACGAAGTCGCCCGGCTGTGAGATGCAGTCGCGGATCAGGAAGTCCCCGCTCTGCGTGACGAAGTTCTCGGCGACGGTGCGCGGTATCATCCCGTGGAACCAGGCGTGGCTGCGGATGTCGTTACTGTCCAGCTTCAGCTCCTCCTCCAGGTCTTTCCGCAGTTTCTCCGGGCTGGCGTCCATGGTTCTTCTCAGGCTGGACCAGCCACCAACTCCCTGTACAGGAAATAAAAACAAGAAATTATTCAGATCTCAATATTCTCTACTGTCCTGACAGCACATTGACAGACATCAACAAGACATCAACATTGAAGGATCACCGGCAGTATGAACCTTTGTATAACAGAATAACTGAATCTGTCAGAATTTTGATATACACACGTATTGCAATTTTGTCACTACGGAACATTGTGTTTTAAGCAAAACCTATAACATAAAGTAGTGCTCTCTGACAGGTCAGGTACCTCTACTAGTGGTGGTACAGAAAGGAACCTTCAGTCTTTTCGCCCACATAAAATCTACAGTCATCACGACTTCCAAGAATGAAAGCCAAATGCCTCGCCACCAAATGGACACAACTGTTTAAAATCCGGAAACAACTGTCAACATTTTCTGTTGTCCCCTGGTACCCATGGTATTGGTGAGTATTATCACAGGGTTGGGCACTGACAACCACAAAAGGAAAAGTGTTACAGTGTCGACCAATGACCAACTTGTTCTGACAACTGCTGCATTTATACAGACTTGACCCTGAACTCTAAAGTTTGCCGTGATTTAGTATCCTTGAAGCAGTTTGATATTTCAAACAGCTAAGAATAATAAACCGTCCAGTAAGTGGTTCCATATATTTTATCAGCCGGTTGCTAGCCAGGATCTGTAAGATCATGAAAATATACAATTGATCTTGACAGGAGTTCAGATGCTTCTATGCGGCTGACAGTTGTTGGGCATAATTTCCGGCTAAATTGACGGCAATGGACATTTGTCAGCTGTCTCTACTAGCTGTCCTTTGATAACCTATTGATTTTCACTCGCACTATATGGGTGGAGTCATTTGATTTTTATTCAAGAATTTCCAAAAGGGTTCTGAACTATTGTAAAATGGCATCAATACCTCTAGCAGCTGCCTTTATAACTTAAGATTATACCCAGTGGAAATTCTATCAAGGAAATTGTGCTTTTTGGGCAGCAGAGGTTGTATGTACTAAAGTAGTAAATAGATGTACAATGTCTGTCATTTCTTTCCATGTATTATTTACTTATATGTTGAAGGCATGCAAGGTGCTTAACATTTTTGAATTGCATTTACATGTCTTGCTTTTTCTGATAATAAAAGCATGATTTTGATGAACAGAAAAAGCGAAAATCATGTTCAGATACGCATCATATAATATTTCTGTTGAATCATTCACAAACAATATCTTTCTTGGTGATGTGACTGGAATATGTCTGACTGCTTTTAATCAAATCTGTCTTGTATCATTCAGTCATCCATAAATCTTACAAACGTAGTCCTCAGCCAATTATGTGATGTCTTCCTATAATGTCATTAACTTCAGCCATGCATGAAGGACAGAGACACTGATGAGAAAATCAAGTCAGGATGAAATATAGACAGACTCCTGCCACCTGACATGTAATGGCCTAATGCCCTTCTCCCACAGCAAAATATAATTTTGACCATTTTTTGTAACCTTCATGTACATGAATGGATATTTCATACCATCCTGCTTAGGTGTTTTGACAGAATTTGACTGGTTGACGTGATGGATCATGTTCGTTAATTTGGAAGGAGCTAAAATTGCAGACGTTCTTCCTGGTTGGAGCCAGGTGGTCGCTGAAAATTTGATGAGCACCACATATCACACATGTGGACGTCTTGTTTAGAGTGTCTCCGTCTCTGATTTATGGTCCTTTGGAGGATGATCCTTCAGGCAGACAAAAAGGATGCTTCACTGCATACTGGTACTGATTATGCTATGATATTCACGTCTGTTTGATTCAAATTTCTTCAGACCTGTTTCATCCTGCAACTTGTAGAGAGCTAATAATGTAATATTCAAACTGACAGCATTTTACAAATTGATTATTTCATTTCTATAATTCACCCATGACATTACAGGGAATTGAGCTGTGCAAGAAAACAAGTGGCTTGATGATAATCAGATGTGAATGAAACTGGAACACTGCCTAGAAATGGGACAGACTATTCTTACGTTGCCACACCATCTGTTGTGCAGTTTTCATGACTTGTCTACATCTAAGATAAGATTAAGTTCACATCAAGGGGCTGAAGGTTTGGGAATATTCTCTTCGACTACAAAAATTCAAATGTATTGAGCACATATGATTATAATGTAAAATTCTTCCACTATCAAAAACTTATGTACAGTAATGTACATTTTGGCTCAACCCTCCTGGTAAAATTCTAAAGATGAACAGAAGTTGGGATTTGGTGGGATGAAACAGAAGCCTGTAAATGGAGGAGGAAAAATGTCACAACACCTCCTCTGGGGCCCAGACAAATGGACCATAAGTGAATTTGTGGGACCCCCCTCTAGGGAATAATCCTATTAGCAATGACACTTGTCTCTGTCTGGAGCATGCACCTGTTCTAGTTCAAGTATAATGTTAATGTCAAAAGTATAGTTTTACCTTTCTTTCTTACATACTGAACCTTAACATTTACACGAAATATCTTCAGAAAAAAAGTCTGGTTAACAGTTCAAATCTAAAGCAAGGGAGTTGAAAAAAAAGAAAGACGACAGCTGACAATTTCTACAACTCCAAATTGATCAATGCCAACATAATGGCGTGATGTCACAAGATAAGCAACTTTTAAGGAGAAAATAATAAAAAATTGAATGATTTTGAAAATCATCCATTGTATATGCAGTAGGATTAGTATGTAAAAGTTTGCTTGCGATAGTCTTTTCTGTAGCACATCACACACACATGAATCCTAGGTAATCAAGTTTCAGGTTATGCATAATTCAGACCATTACGGGGTTGGTGGGGAGGAGATTATGGTGTTTGCCACTCACAATTACACGCTTACTTTGTCTCACTAAAAGAACAGATAACCTGCAGTGTGAATACTCATGACATCATGCTCTCCAGAGAGATTGGGTGGATCTAAACATGCTTTGGCCTGGAAGAGGTTTCCGTCATTAAGGTTTTCTGTGTTAACATGTTGGGAGAGGTCTAACATGTCTGTGAAAAAGACAATGTCTTACATGATTTCCCTACAGAATAAAGACATCATTTTCTTAAAAGCATGTTGGAAGTAAAAGGGTTTAAGGAGACCAGATGACAAAAGCAGATAGTGGAATTGCATGTTCTTTCTAATTGAAACTTTCCTTCCTTCGAAATAGGTCTTTCCCAAGTCTTAAAAGTGGCAAACAATTCTATAGAAGATAATAAAAAACATACAGAAGTCTTTGCCAGTCTAATTTGTGGTCTAAGCAATTAAAGTTCAATTTGTCAGGAGGTATTTAGATGCCACAATCTGAATAATGCAATTTATTTTGGACCATTGAATGGTGGACTGACCATAATTTGATCAAATTTCAATTCAGGACAAAACTTTGTATTCCTTACAAATGAAAATGTACATCACTCCTGCAGTTAACATTATTAATTCATACACCGTTTTGTTGGGCATAATCATACCATTAATCTATATGATACCCAGAACCAAACAATTGTTCACAATGTCTGCTTTTATTATTCGATAGTAAGGCCACACCAATTTGATTTCTTGGTTGACGAATTTTTCTAGAAAAATAATGGAGCGGGCGGGCGAAAAAAAAAAAAAACACCCCTAGGCATCCTATTATGGCCCAAAATGGTACGATAGGAGCCCTGAAGTCAACACACCAGGCTGGTTCAAAATTTAAACATTGAATTTTGAACTTTTAATGATACCACTGCATTGAAAGATGGAATAACTGTAACAACTAGGAAGAAAAGGACTGTTTTCAACTGTTCAGGGCAAAATATGAGCATTTTGCAGTTGATTCTGAATCTTTATTTTCATTTGCAAATCAGAAAAAAAAAATGAAGCGGGCGAATCCGTTAACCAAGAAATTGAATTGGTGTGGTCTAATATCTTTTAGCATGAGGCATTGTGTAGGTGGTAACCTAACCTGGCTTGAACTAGGAATGATGACCCTGGCAGTACATTGTGACTATGGTTGGTATGTCAGTCATGTCAAAGGCCAACTTCAGTATCTGCCAAAATATCACACAACCTTCTGATAACTACTCTTCCCTTTCATCCAAGTGTGATCGTTCCTGCTTAGTTGTATCATCTAGTAGTGGGGTGACACTTATGATTTTGTATTTATGACTTTTATAGTGGAGATAGGTGCAGATGGTTGGAGGGTTCAGGAATGTCAGACATCCAGGGTCAAGATAAGAGCAGCACCCTGACACTTCTCACCAGACAGGTCTATGCAGGGCGAACCAACATGTTACCAGTCTGACCAAAATATTTTGTAATATAGAATCTGGCATGTAACTCTGAGTTACAACCAAAAGGACTGATTTTGAAGATTATGTTGTGGATTGACAGCGTTTGTGAATGCAATGAAGGGAACATTTTAATGTACATAATTGTCATTCCTCTTCCAAACATTGTTGGCACAAAATTTGCACTGAGTTTTAGTGTGAGTGATTAGACGAGATGACACATTTCAAAGGTATGCACCAGTTTTACGACTGTACTCATGGACTGGTTGCCTGACTAGAGTTGAAGGTTGAAAGGCGGTGCCGGATTTGGTTGTGTGGTTGTCGTGCTGCCAAAAGCAAATTTCTGTGGTTGAAAGTTATAACAATTTCCTTGGAGCTGCTATCAGATTTATCCAACATCAAAATTCTTCTTGGAAAGACGTGACGAAAGACACTTCACTTGAACGGGACAAAGCAAGTTTCTGCTATTTCAGAAAGGCTCAGGAAAGCACTACAAGCATCAAGTACAAAAGACCACTACTCCATTCAGTGCAAACAAACAGGTACACACTCCTGCTCTAATCCCTATCTTCCACACAAATGTGTACCGGTATATCCTCTGGGCAAATTTACAAAACACGCCCAGTACAAACATCTGTAATTATAACAATGGAAGTTCCAAGAATCAAACTTGTTCTTACCTGAGAGCTGTAATTTGATGGTTTCAAACTGCAAAGAAAAGAAGAGACAAGAGTTAGAAACATGATCTTCAGACGACGGCACAAAATAATCCATCCTTGAACTAAAAAGAGTTACCAAGGTTTGGGGAAAATGAATGTAAAGGCTGCTGACCGCAACATGGCAGATAGTCTTCTTAATCGTCTAAGCTTGCTTGTTGGCACGCACCCCGGCGTACACATTGAAATCCTGTGATTATTGCACGTTTTCCCACAGAACTCCTGAATACGCTAATATTGTGTGGCCCAGACCACAGCCTTCTGACCCTTGGACTTCATATAGAAGCAGATTGTTACCTAGAACAGCCACCGGAGGTAAATATAGCCATACATTCATCTTCAAGTCATGAACTCAGCCTACATGACACCAGCTGCACGTTAGCGTTCATGTCAACCGCTGCGATTTACAGTGACAGTGCCCCGCCCTGACGTCATGTTTTCTGGGGGGTACGTCCCGCCCTCCCAGTTGTGTTGTCAACATCCTGGGCAATACTAAGGTCAAGTATGGAACCTGTTCTTAAGCTCAACATTCTTGTTTGTAAACTGACTCTCCAACCTGGATCAAATAACCATGATATGACGTGTACTAGACACTTAAAAAAATGAAATTCAATGTACATATTTCCTTCCTACAACATTTGTAAGTATAACAGAACAGTAATTCATCTGATTGATGTGAGGTCAGCTCATAAATGTCAGATCAGACATATCCATGACATTTTGACAAATTTACAACAGGCAGCATAGAAAATCTACAGGCAAAAACTGCATGCAACTGTAATAAACTAGTTTATATGCAGATCCATTATTCCAGATTCAAATAGTCATCATCATCTCAAAAGAAATCTGAGATGGCTTCAAAAGACAACAAAAATATCATATGTTTTGTTGCAAATAGCTGTATAATGTACAAAATCCATCACAAACCTTAGGGTACCATACGTCCACTAGTTAAAAACAGCCTCCTAATGACATAAAACCCCTATCATGATGGGGTAATTACCCGAAGTCATCTCCTAACAACAGGTAAAGGCCTGCCTCATTACTCCTGCCATTTCCTCTTACCCCAGCCCGAGTTTCCCAACTGGTCATCTCCATACCTGATGAGCAAATCCTATGTTCCATTGGTCTCAATTACACGGAGCTCTCACAGGCTGGCTAAATTGTCCATCGGGAGGTTTTAGCCACAGGTAGTGACCATTTACAGTGGGGTAATATTGGGACGAGTAAACCACTGTTGCTGGGGTTTTTAGAACTAATAGAAGGCTACATCAATTTCTTTTCTGCTGTTCCCATACTTGATATGTTTAGTATCAAGCCCTACAACTGTACATTGTAGAATCATTGATTTTAAACCTCCTTGGTAGAATCAAATCCTAATTGTGATTCGTAGCATTTTTTCAAATCTTTCCTCAATTAATTCACATACTAGTAAAATCCAAAATACCATCAACTATATTTTATGAATTGGTATGATAAAAAAAAACCTCCTTACTATCCAATATGGCATTATATGAAAGTCTTACAATGCAGATGATGCATGCTCATGAGTGAACACAGGCTACAGAACCACCTCTTTTGCAATTCTATTTCAGTTCAATGCTGGAATTCAATGTCTCAAGAGAAAGCTTATCAAATAACATGACAATCATTGCGATGGTCCCAAAGTGCTCCCTCACATGGTTTTCTTACTTACGATAACAATACAGCCTAATTGGAAGGGCCTTTTGTTTTTAATACATCTTCTCTCAAGGGACAATCTCTTCCATTTATGACAAAACGTAACTTTTACTTTTCTTTTGATACTGGTATGGCTATGCCAGATTTATATTCTAAAACAAATTTATTGGCAATTTCTTCTGCAGCAACCTTTCTGAATGAAGAAATGTTGGGTTCAGGTCATACAATTTTCTCTCCCCCTCACAGACATCACCAACTGATTCAGATGAATATTCCCGTAGATTAGATGCCCACTCAGGTGGCCCCTCGGGGATGCTTAACTGGTAATTCAAATTTCCATTTGTTGATGAACTGATAGTGATATTCCAAAAAACAGTTACTCAAGCAACTGGATATGATTTCTAAAATCATATCCAGTTGCTTCAGAAACTCTTTTTTTGGCATATCTTATTACCTGGATGTCTAACATTCACCAATGTGATAGTGATATTCCCTGCTGCTAAAATTTGCTCAAGGGTCCAAGACATTTTTCTACAGTTTTGGTATGAAAAGGTTTTCCAACGCTACCCAGAAAATCGTCTATCGGACGGTGTCAGTAAATTTTCTAGCATCCTCCCAGAAATCATCCGCTCCTAGTAGCAAACTTACCCATAGAGATAAAGGATATAACTTCCTCTTTCCTGTGGTGTATTTATGTAGCTTGTAAAATGTTGAAAACTCTAGAAATTTGCCAATGAAATTCAAATTTTCATCATTTTTGTACTAAGCAATTTCAACCAAGTTAAAAAGCAATCATAAACACATTAACCAACATGTTCCACCTTCATTGCACAAATGAGATTATTTAGAACTTACCAAGTCATCTTGAAACTATGAAACATTTTACTTAGAAGAAGATGGAGGAAATGACACTAGGACTTTTTTTTCTGAATCCTGTCACAGAAAAATCCTATTGGCAGCCTGACACATCTCTCAACAGTAAATCACTATAAACACCTTTAACCAAAATGTTCCACCTTCATTGCACAAATGAGATTATTTAGAACTTACCAAGTCATGTTGACGGCACTCCTATGAAACATCTTACTCAGAGAAAGATAAAGGAAATAACACTACCAGTAGGACCTTTTTCTGAATCCTCTCACAGAAAAATCCTACTGGCATCCTGACACATCTCTCAATAGCAAATTACTATAAACACCTTTAACCAATACCGGTATGTTCCACCTTCATTGCACGAAGGAGATTACATGTACTAGGATTTCGAACTTACCAAGTCATCCTGACGGCACTCCTACAAAACATCTTAATTGGACTTGGAAGAAGATGGAGGAAAGAACACTAGGACTTTTTTTTCTGAATCCTGTCACAGAAAAATCCTATTTTCAGACTGACACATCTCCCAACAACGACAGGCTTCACCTTTATCTACTGATGGAACTTGCCGTCCCGCCGGAATCTTCTCCACTGAAGCTTCCCACGTTAGACCACGGCACTCACGGCGAATCACATGCATTATGATAATGTCTGTTGCTAGGTGACCAAGCATTATGTGCCTTACTGTATAACAGTGGGCATGGTCCTTCATTAGGCATGGTGCTTGGCTTGAATACACTTCTCCAGATGGTTTGCTTTATGGTACTTTAGGGAACCACTGTACAGAATGTAAGGCTTACGTATATGATATAGAGGCAGCGTTTGATGTCGTGAAGACAAGAAAAAACATCCCTCCTACTATGCGTGTGAAATTATGTACATGAATGGACAACTACTTCAAAGAGATATGCTTTTTTTCTTTTGATTTGTAAGCCTCATATACATGCCATAGAAAACACATACAGAGCAAGGAGCTTAAAATATTTAGAGTCTGTAGAGTCTAAGGAAACCCTCAGGTTTTTGAAGGAGCCATGAAAAAAAATCAGCTTCTCACCTGAAGTTATTTCAACCTTATGAATTTTTCTGGGTGGATGATCCTATTTGAATACTGGGGCTCCTTAAAATATATTTTGGCGTGGGAGCTCAATTGTATACCATTAGTACTAGTATACAAATCAGCTGGCACTAAGGCTACTTTAATCTTTTCCATGTGTTTTTTTTTTTTACAGGTTAACATTCCACAACTATAGAGGATTTGGCTTGAACTTCATTAGATCTAGCATCCATTAACCACTTCTACCTGTTTCTAATATCAGTTGAACTTTGATTGACATCAGCTTCAGGGTTCCTTTTACAGTTAATGAAGTTCACCTGGTCTTTGGCTATTAAAGGCATCCAGTGCAGTTTTTAGGGCTTGGAAACCCGATTTTTCAAAGCCAATATATAGTCTAGCCACTTATCTACATGTACATACTGAGTTGAAACCACACTATCTCAATGTATATTGACCTTCATGGAGCAAATATTCCTAAAATTCTGATGGAAAATGGTTACTGGAAGGACCCTTGGCTGATTTTTAGGGTACCACCCATAAAGTAAAGGACTCATCTTGGGGCATGTTTCTGTGGTTTTAAAAGCCCAAAGTATGAAATACTGACTCAAATGTGCTAATGTGAAGCAGTATGTGTCAATATCACAAAGATTGCCGTGTTCAGAATTTTTCCAGTTTTGCTCCCTGAAATCACATTGGATGCCTTTAAAGGAACCATGCTAAATGTTAGCTGTCAACAGTTACCGAAATTCTAGTTGTGAGAGTACAGAGCAATCAGAGAATATTACCTAAAAATTTGGTACCTTGAACTTTTCTGTGAAAAAATACTTGACCAGCAGTCTTGAGACAGTATCATAGCCTATTGACTAACAATAGGGGGTTATAGCCATTGTCATGCACCTAACACTGAAGTACTAATACATTGGTGAGTATGTGCTAATACTGCAAAGAATGAAATAGGTGTGAGGGGGAGGGCAGTTTGATTTGCAAAGTAAATAGAGGATTACAGAGTCAGTTGGCAAACAAAGCACGCTGCTAAATGGAAATCTACACCTAGTTCACTTCCCAATTCAATACATGTACAATGTATTATGAAAGTTAAGGGCAATATACTTCATAGTATGCAGTTGTTACTGTGTCTAGTACAAGCTACAAAACTGACATTTACAAATCAGGTCTGACAGCGGGAAACCAAAACAAGATCACCCAACCATGACGTGGTACAAATATAATCCAGGACTTGATAACATCATTATCACAAATTCACAACAGCCTATGCCTCAAAATCAAATGAAATGACTTTGGAATACAAAGAACATACTACAACATGCCGACCATTGTCTTTGGTACAGGTATTTGATGTGACAGTGTCTTCTTTTCTTGCATGCTCCTTGATAGTTTTGCTTGACCCAAGCTACCTTCCTAATGTCAATGAATGATATAGATTACACAAGATAACAACAAACATACCTTCTACCCTTCTGGTTCCTGCTCCACTTCAGTTGTCAAACTATTTATAGTACATGTATTTTGAATTTCACACAGGCTAACGACATTTGGGAACACAGACTACTGATTATGCAACAACAACAACAGACAGTCATGCTTCAAAACCCCCCTAACTTTCCCTTACCTTCAGCTGTAGTCACTTGGCAAGTAGAGAACCGACACGGGCACGTTCTACTATCTCTTTACACACCTTCCAGTACAGTAAACACAGCTGTAAACCACCCATCTATTGATCCAGGCAGAGACAATTGAATGATGGCACCCAGCGTCTGACGCCGCCAAAACACTAGAGTAATCAGCTGCAAACGAACCCGCGGAACCTGTTTTATAACGACAAAGGGAAGGGCCCGTCTGAAGAGTCCAGGAAGGGCTATACCATTCCTACACACCTGCAGGGGGGGATTAAAAGGCTCTAGCCAAGTGAGTCTGGGTGGATTTTTTTTTCAAAACAGAAGTACTGACAGGAAGGAAGGTAGAGCAAGGAGCTTAAACATCCTTGGATAGAACAAGGACAAATGGGCTAGATTTGGATCTGGATATGTTTATTTTTAGCCAAAATAAAATTATCTCGCACAGAACATTATATTATTTTCCACGGAAAATTCAACTAAAATTTTGTTCGGATAGAAAAAAAAGGTGTAAAAATAAAAGTGTGAAACATTGAAAGGGGCATGTGTAATGATTTTAGAATTTGCTTGTAAATACTAGTAGCTTTCACACCTGTCACAATGGCTTATCTGGTTTATGCAAATGAGTTGTAGGGGGGAGGAGCAACACACATGAAGAAATACTAGTAGGTCACCTCCCAACCTGTGTGACATTACAAGGTCAGGAATCTTAAACCTTCTTAGGCTGTCAAGTCTCCCTTTTTCACTGGTAATCCCCTGAAGTTTTCTGGCTTTAGGTATTCCAGGTTGTTGGATAGATTCTCTACCACTTCCAGAATTTCCAACAGCAGTAACAATCAAATGAAAAATATACTAGTACTAGTACATGTATGTAGACCCCCTGGGATGATACTGGTGGACAGTGAATAAATCATATCAAATATCCACCATCCACCATAATTCAGTGTCCAATCAGGCAGCAATGGAAGGGGGGGGTTGTACACCACAAGCTTTGAGTAATGGATTACCGGGCTTAACTAGGTCAGAGGTTATAGGATGAGTTGTGACTAGAATACCTCTACCATAATAATGACAACAGACTTTTGTTTGGTTTGTATTCTTTGCATAGCTTAGAACCATTATAATATTACAAACTTACACAATTCCCTTTGACGCAATCTCTTTCAAACTACATAATGTATGTTGGGGATTCAAGGCAATTATAAATGCACACTTTTTTATATTCTTCACGGGTGCCTTGGAGTTTTGTCTTTTTTTATTATTTCAGGAACTGTGTACAAAACAATGGGCCTACATGCTGTGTGAAGAAGCACAAAGGAGTGTGCTGCTACCTGAGAGTCAGAATCTGGTGCAAAACAAACATGCGTCAGTCTATAGCTTTCTGTGTCAGAAGGTCAGGTGAACTTGAGTTGTAATTGATCCTTTCAAAATATTGAACGAAACAGGGACTGGTACAACTTTTGCTTGGAAAGTTATTGCCTGTGCAAATAAAGCAAAATTTGAGTGAAAAGAAGACGCTGACACATCCACGGAAGAACAGACATGAGTGTTGTCCCTTTCAGTTGTCAATCATTCATGCGGTGGTAACAAAAGGTGTGGTTGGATTTGATCACAATACACTTGGGTGTGGTGGGGGGTTAACCTGTTAGGTGTGGTAGGAACAACAAAAGGGCAATAGACAAAGGAAGCTATATGGCAGGGGGTCCTGTCAAATGTGAGTTATATGACAGGATGTTAAAAAGGGAATTACAGGTCATTAGACATTGGCATTGATACCAATATGACTTCAGAATCACCTTTTTTTCATGCAAGTTACAAAAATTAAATTTCTCATACTAAACAGATTACGAGAGGAAACCGATAAGGTATTTCTTTGGTGGACAAAAAATTGAAAGAAATATAAGAATGATAGACTGTCGACTAGTCCATTTACAGTTCTTGGAAAAAAGTCTTCACGGTCTGAAGGATGTTGTGAATTTTTGGAAGGATACACAAAGCTTTGCTTGGATACAAAATAGCACAGTTTGGTTGTCTGACAAAATGAAGGTATCATCTATCCTTCTTCCTTCCTCTGCAGTGAGGAACTGACTTCTATGTACAGAAAAATAACTTTCTGATGACAAAAAGGAATGCCTACACCTGTTTCTACTGAAGGCCCAAATTTACTTCTGCTGTATTTCTAAAGTCTAGTAAAGATAATTCAACTTCCATGTCCTAATCTGAACTTATCCCTCAATCTAAGGAATTTTCTGTATCTATAGTTAAAACAGACCTTGGACTTGATATTGACAAGTAGTGAAAGAAACTTTCACAAGAGGGGAAACAACTTCCCTTGAGGACAGGTTGAGGTTAACACAACTTCCCAAAATTTGTACTGATGTACAATAAAGAGTCTATTAGAAAGATTAGACAATTTCATGTTTCATTTGGAACAAATTCTTATTTTTAGAAGTGTGTACCTTGGGTTAATTACATGAACATGATATACAGGCTGTACCTGGATAGTGAGTGTGAATGAGTGACACTGATATGTCTCACAGAATATCAAATTTGTACAATAATGGATTGATGCTGAGATACACTTGAAATTTCAATTAGAAATTACAATTTGGAATTCAAGTTATCACGCTCTATCTCCAGTTTGGCGACACTGACACTCTCACCCACAAAAATTTGTGGTTTGGCCCTCTCCCCTTATCTGATAACCTTCAGGCCAGTGGCAAATATCGCACATACTTTCTCTCAAAACTGCGACCCAAATACTCCAGGACTAACAGGCAAGGAAACAGGAAGAAAGGCCAGGCCATATGGCTTACATCTCCATGTTTTGAAAAGCACCAGGGTTACCTCATGTAAACTATTAACCCTTATAAATTTCTAGCAGTCCTGTTAAACATCAGGATACAGGGGAAGAGTCCTTTTGTTCTTCTAGATTAATTATTCATTCTTCTAGATTAATTATTTGTTCGTCTTTTTTTTTAGATTGATTAGCAAGTCACAGTTTGTTACATCTAACAGTGAACACACATGCCATATGGCCTGTGACATGGTACAGAACAGTACCTAATGATATCTAGGCTAATGAGAGTAGCATTCTCTGGCAGAACATTTTTCTGGGAAGATTTGAAGATGCTAAGGATTTGTAGAATCTGTGGTCATTTGTATTATAGAACAAAATGGATCTTCACAAAGGTTATCTGTTATTTAATGTAATCAGCAGCCTTGAGGTTGAGGCAAATTTCCTTTTATGGTCATATATAGGTGAGATATTTCCTCTCTTGGGGCAGGTTTCCACATGATTAGTGATGTCATGGGGTCACTCAAGGTCACCATGCTTGTTTGAGGCTTACATGTTCAGGTTATGTCTAATGGGAGGAAATAATTAGGACCACGTCAAAATCACATCTGAACCAGACATGACAAATCACTCATACGTATGAACTCTTGAGCAACATTAAAAAAAAGTTACGGAAATTCAGTCTGTCATCTGAAAGCTTAACATCTGACCCAGGAATTTTTATTGCAGTAAATTATTAACTCTTTCTGAGGCATTGAATAGTCCTTCATAGTGATTAGTCTGTGTTCTACTTGTCAATCAGATGGACAACCAGAGAGAGAGACTTGTCAATCACTATTAGAACAACCTCTTGGAAGTTGGAAGGAATTTTGTTGACATAATAAAGACCACCATTTTATCCCTCCCCCTCCTTTACTAAAGTTGCATTGAGAAACTCACTTCAAGTTGGTACAACTATAGGTTACACCTGTTCCCTAATGCAAACACTTTACTTCTATCTTCTAAAGTAACACTACAATTTCAAACCTGAGATACCCTTTAGCCCTCCCATGGCCCACTACAAATTGCAGTGACCTCGCTTTAGTCACACTTGTGTAATAGCTCCATTCAGGGGGAATGTTTCCTTCCTACTGCTCTGCCCTTCCTGACTGACTGCAGGGTCTTAATGGAAACCCAAGACACAGGGTCATGTCTCCTTATGTATAATGGTCGAGACAGGCGTCTTGGAGAAAGACTGTTCTTTAGCAGACCACCCAAATTATGGGGACAACTTTTGTAACATTTTACCTTGTAGTCATGGAGTTGAAACTTACATCATTCAAATCTGTCAAGCCTAGGTTACATTGTAGCAGCAAACCAAAGGTTAATATGTAACAGTATGTAAAGTAATAATGATCACTTACCTTAACACAACAAACCTTGATCCATATGGTCCGAAAATTCAACTTTTCAAGGCTTGCAGTACTAAATCACGAATTTTGGAGGTACCCAGAAGTATCCTTTCCTTATTGACTGTTTAAAGAGGAGTGCACAACACCTGTTACAAGTCGTAAGATCATGGCAAACAGTCCAACTTACTTTTCTTTCAAACTCCCACCCTGCCTACGCTGTGTCAGCAGGGTGCCATTTGCCCTCCTTATCTTCAGGTCATGTGACGGCAGCAGGAAGTTCTGATTGGTCGGCAGGGCCCTAGGGAGGGTGCTTGAGTGCATCTTGTAAATATCTGGTGGGGCACAAAGAAAACAAGTCTTGGTTGAGTGCGCACAGGTACAGCTGACATGTGACACTGGCAGGGAAACTCCAATGGCTAGTACCAATACAACTGTTACTGAGGAAGTAAAAATATGTAAACAATTCAGATCATAAACAAATAGTAACCAATTTTGTATGCAAATATAAACTTCATGCTTGTTACACAAAGAAAAGCTATCAGATAGTATTACTGTTTCAAGGACAAAAAGTGACCAACAAGGTCACACATTCCAACTAAAAATACTAGAACAAACAAAAGAAAATTAAATAGGTCAGGGTCTTGTAAACATTAACCAGCTGGCGAACTGAAAAAGATGGGATGGGGTATTATTTCTGAATTACTGATCACTAGTACTTCACATAACTATTTCTATGGTAGTTGCTGTGGTGCCAATAAAAACATCAAGCAAATAGCACTATCTGCTCAAACTTCAACACAAAAAGTTGACAGTCTGACTGACAGGCTAAAACGTCTCAATTCGCTGTTCTATATTAAAGCTTGTACAAAATGTATGAACAAGTAACCAGAATACCAAATATAAGCTGCAATTTACCTCTAGGGCCACAATGACTTTTGGACAGATCCTTCTCTTCTTCCAAATCAGCAATGGTCATGGTAAAAAAAAAAGGATCCCACAAATAAAGTGGCTATCTCCTAAAGAGTTTGAAAAGTTCTGACGTTTCCTTGATAAAGCCAAAGTGCAAAGGAAGTAGTTGGGACAAACTGTTGTTACAAGGATGTGATTGGAACACCAGGAATGTGCTGACTTTTGCAGGAGGGAGGACCAGTGGGTCTAAAAGGGGTTCGTCAGATCACGAATTTTGTACAAATGTATCCAAATGTTTACAAAACAATTGGATAGGTTAAGAAAAAGTCTGCTGACACTTGAAAACCTATCAAAGTATGACCACACTTCCAGGTCAATAACACAACAAGCCTGGAATCAGACTAAAGGACCTAAGCAAAATCCAAAAGCCCCCCATCACATCCTCTGGAAGGGAGGATCTGAGTAACCTGTCATTTACTTCCTTTGGATCTGGAAATGATGATAACAGAGCCTCATGGGATACAACTACATGTTGTACCTGTGGACAGGGACAATCCATCCCTGCTGGCGTGTCATTGGTCACTTCCTTTGTGACATCATCAGGAAGTTTCAGGTAACTTGATACCGGATCATCGTTCTCATGTATCGAAGAACTAATTCAAAATCTTGGGAGGGACTACTAGTATATCTTTCACACAGATTAAGTGCATTCATGTTCTTTTTACGAGGTAGGTGCTTTCTTTTTTTTGAGTTGAAAACTTTTAACAAAATGTTTTGCAGTACATGAACACCATCTAGTGAAAAACTAAGGTACTGCAGGAAAATATCATCCATTGCCCAGCTACTGGTACTCAGTCTGACATTTGTACTTTTCCCCAAGAAAGTGTTGACAGAGAAAGTACATTCCTTCTACCACAAATAGTTCAGATTGTTTTAGAGTAGACTACCACATTTTTCATGCCAAGTTCAAGGCCAAACTTGTTTCCTCGTAGATGTAAAACAGATTTTACGAACATTTTGCCGAGGAAGCTAAAAGGGTTGGGCAGCACATTCCAACTGTACTGAAAGGAATGCTAAAGATTCAAAACATCCTAGAAATGAAGGTTAAACTGCAGATTACAGGGGAAGGTTGGAGACATGCAACAGAGATAAGTGTGACTTTGATGTCAATGATACAAAAATATGTAATTTTATGAGATTTTTCCATTTCAGTTGGTACCAAAAGATTATAGATTTTTGTGTTGAATTGATACAATAAGCAATGTTGTTCTGCTGGTGGTGTAATATAAAACTGGCAAACAATTATCACAAGAGGAAAGTGGACATTTCAAAATCATTTTCTGTCACTGTTTCCTGAGAAACATCCCAAGAATTAATTGAGTCAAGGACAACCAAGATAAAACATTTCCTCTGAGGGGAGGTCCCTCCAGGGTAGGTGATGACAAAACTATGACAACCCTTAGATCTCACTGTCACCACAGTCCTGGCTATCTCCTAGTCAGCGTTCCATGGGCTTTCCTCCAAATATTTCCCACACTTTCAAAAATTTACCACTGTCTGTCGGCTTCTCTGAATTCCCACTGAGGATTACTGCTAGCTAATGCTGCAAGTAATTTACAGTTTTCACGAGATACGTAATTTTACATCAAATTGGAAGTCAGGTACAACCTGCTACATCACATGTTTAGTAAGGAATATTTACTGTTGCCTTTAATGAAAAAGAAAAAAAAATACCCATGATTTCAACATCTAAAGAATTCTTGATCCTGGCACATAAATTTAGATTTCAATCTGGGATGGGTAATAAACATGCATATGCCATTGTAAAACATACATATGCCATTGTAAATCCGGTTCTTCCGCCCGGCGGACAAAAACCGGGCGCATGATAAAGAATGTCACAATTTTCCCCACCAACCTCTGCTTGGAGAGTATAAAATCTTACGTCAGTAACGTACAGGTTTGGTCATCCTGTGGAAAACTCGCTCAAAACAAGTTTAGGAAAGAAATCCCCAAGCCTGCCTAAATCGCGCTCCTGACAGTAGGCCTATGATGATTGGGGTGGGGTTATTAACCTCCTGCAGCAAATGCTAAGAAATCTACCAAGAAATCTAAGTTTGTTGCCTTACCTCTGGAGCGTCTCCTGTTCTGGTGTTTGATGAGGAAGAGGCTGGACACAATACTGGCCCGGTGGCCGCCGTTGTTCACTCCCAGGTTCTTAATGTCTGCTTCAGACAGGACCAGCAGGGACTGCAGGGGGTAAAACACAACAATGAAGACCTCACCTGTCTGAGGTACACACATATTGTGATGGATGGTTCCAGGATGTATATACAAGCCTCCCGGCTAATTTTTTTTCTCGGTTCTGCAGCTTAGACAAAGGCACAAAATCATTTGCTGAAACAACCTCAGAGTGTTACTTTGAAATCCAGTATTTGTACATTTTGTACATTTATGCAATGATTACCTGTATTGCTAACATCACATTTGTGGTAAGGCAAAGGTTGGAGCATCACTAAAGCTTAACACGGTTAGATCTCACGCTGAAACCAACTGAGTCAAACCATTTCACAGTGTTTGGTAAAAAAGGTTTATCAGCTGTTCTTTAAGTTGTTTTCTTATCCTGAAAACTCCCATTACATTGTTCAATTGTCTTTCCAGCTAACAAGTAAAACACACTTGATCAACATCATTACTAGAACATACAACATTGTATGTACAGTTGATTGGGGGATTAGAAAAAGACAGACCATCATTAAATCATTGATTCATTACAAAGTAGGGCTCTATGTTGGATTACATACCATAAAACTGTAGCCTGCACATCAGTATGGGGGATAAAATGGTAAAATTGCAAGGATTAATGTCTTTCTATTTGCCCAGAATCAGTTAGGGTAAAATCCAGCTTGGATCAAGTTTCATGTCCATGTCCCAGCCGTGTAATTCCTACATAATCCTGCCTTGTCTGAGCCTAATCCCCCAGAACCTGTGGATAGGGAACATCTGATGCTCCACTGCTCCTGTGTGTCTCCTCTGCACTCAGGGCCTTCAGTGGGCAAACAAGCACAGGTGGTCCGAAAGGTGAGAAGAGGAAGTTTCAATACTCAAACAGCTTCGACTGTCAAAATGCAGCTACCATAGTATCATATGATAGCCTGGGAGAAAAGCATTCAAGGCAGCTTTTCCTCGAATCAAGGAGGTTAGAGAGAGACCTCTTTGCTTGATTCAGGTATTTCTATTTGTTTGAATTTGGTATTTCCATCAGGTATGAGCTCAATGCCTGGGAGAAAGGCAATCAGCTTTGCCTCGAATCAAGGAGGTTAAAGAGAGACCTCTTTGCTTGATCCAGGTACATGTATTTCCATCTGTTGCAGTCAACGAAAAAAAGAGCGTCCTAAATGAAATAAAATATTCAAGTTAAAATTCTAAACTTGTGTAATCTAAGTCCAAAGGGAATTGTCAAGCTGTGTTATGGCAGTCTGAGTACTCAATTTTCTAACCCACAAATTTCTGATCAGCATATGAATAGCTAATGTCCATTACAGCCACCTTTCAATGAAGAGGGCATATGGAGCACTGCAAATGAGGTGTCATGTACATGCTGTATTTGAACTAAGTGGCTGGTGTGAACCAAAATGACTGAGTAGATAAAGGCTAATATTTGTACAAGGTGGTTAGGTATCATAACAGAAAGTAAAGGCTAACAGTATCTGTCTTCAATTATTCTAACATTGTAGTTTGTAGAAAAATCAAAATTGTATAATACTTTGACAATACAAGTGCACACAATTGTCCAAAGCTTCCTAACACATTGTGACAGCATCACCCCATCTAACACATCTGGTACCATCTGGCTAAGTGGTCTTTTGAACCTGAGAAAGCACTCAGTTTTACGATAAAACCATGACACAAGGCTTTTACCCAGACCCTGCAACAAAAAAGAAAATCTATTTGCAGATGTCTCCTGTTGACATAACATGTTTTATCCCTGGGAAAGCTGAATGAATGAGGCCATCCCTTTTGAGAGTGAAGAAAAACAGAAGTACCCAAAGGAGTTGACTTCATTCAGGCTAAAGCTGGGGAAACACATGTCCAAGTTTTCTGTTTGGACAAAAAACATGACTGATTGATTTCTTCTGAATATCTGAGTCCGTATAAGCAGTTTAGATAATCCACCAATGACAGAAGGGAAATCCCAAGTCGGCAGTAAATTCAACCAGTATTGTCGATGTTAGCTATCAAAGTCAGGGGAGAGGATGTAGAAAATCTGTACATGTCATCTTCAAGAAAGATGTTTTCTTGCAGAAAAAGAATTGCTCGCACCTTGCTTTGGATGAACATCTTCAGATCTTAAACATTATAGATGCATCATTTTATTGGACTTTCCAAGAACCGCTTTTGAGCTGTTGTCAGCAAAGTTCCTTGTTGGTTGTTTACACTTTCACTTGTTTACAGCAACCTTGTTTACAGCATGGAGTCTTGTTTACAGCTACTAAGTAAATTGCCTAAGTGGGCAGATCAGTGTATAATCAGGATGTGACATGCAGAGAATGTGGAAGCCACATGTTGTTAGCACTTTGCTGTCATTAAGTATTCAATAGACAAATGCTACTAGCCTCTACCGGCAAACTGTAAACTGGATGGCTAAACTCCCTCGGCGTGTTTATATCTCTCTACATGTATTTGGCCAATTTCTACTATTTCCAGCCGCGCCCTTAAGCCTGGAAGAGGCTAAAATGCTACTGAAAATGAGAGACTTTTCAAATCTGTCCAGCTGCTAATGCTTGCCTAAGCTCAAAGTCATGTGAAATATGGCTACTAGATCTAGCACTAATTTGACTAAAGGCATTCCTGTGTCCACTACCAGTTTTCATACTAATCATACCGGTAGTTATTTTGCTTGCCATTGGAATGAACTACACACTTCCATATAGCTAGATGTTACATCAACAGTTGGACTTGATACCCATCTGGAAAACTTTAATCTATCTCCTACAAAAGCTTAAAATTCCCTACATACTTGACGTGTTTCTACCTACTGCAAACCTGTAAACAAATTAACTCTGTACATCAACTACAAAGCCTGAACGGCTCGGTAACAAGTTGACTGGGACAACATGAAGTTTGTGGTTTACTTCCTTCGGCATTTCTAGAACTGCGCCAGTTCAGAAAAGCAGTAATTGGGTCTATTACTGAGAGGCAATTGGCCAACTCAAGCTTTCTGTAGTACTAGAAGGTCCTTGACCATGCAGCAACCACACTGCTTGAGAAGAAAGTTATTATTCCAGCTGGCAGAAAAATAAATAATTTACATTCTTGCACTAGTAATGTACAATATTACTTACTTATTAAAACTAACTTCTTGGCTTCAAAGAACAGAAACAGAAAGCCACGCTTATCTTTTTTTTTAAAACATTACTCTGCTGGTGTGTTACGCCAAAAGGCGGTTATACCGGCTATACAGATACAGATACTACTCCAAAAGTCAGTCAAGTGTACAATATGGTCTGTAAGAGGAGTCAATAAACTACCCAGGGTGTCTTTACAAAATGCCATCCCTCAATTCCCACCTATTTGCCACTTCCCACCTCACTGACAAAGCCATGTTTGAGGACTGTCCAGTGTTGGTTTTTCCTCTGTCCTGTGAAAAGCTACTCTCCAAGCAGAGGTTGTGGGGAAAGATCGTTACCTTTTTATATATGGCGTTTTTTTTTTGTCCTGATCCCCACCGTCGGTGGCCGCGGAGCTTCTCTGGCTAATGGATACTGCCTGGCCAATTTGATACTGTCTTTTTGCCACCGAGAGGGATCTGCTTGGAGATTAGTGAAAAGCAGCAAGTTTTCCATGTGGCTGGGATCAGGGTGAAGGATCAAGGCACAAGTATGTGAGGGTTTTATGGGTGGATTATACATGTCTGTGGGGACATGGCTAAATGCACTGTGAGGAGCTATTTACAGTAAGGAAAACACAGTATTTTAGGGAAAAAAACGATGATCAACATCTGATCCTTTCCTGATGACCTTCAGAACTGAAAGAGTGAAAAATGCTCTGCACTGAAGAGAAAGAAATCAAAGTTTGTAACGTAAGCATTTAATAAGTGCTTTTGGCCTTTTATTCCAGATAACATTTTATCCTTGCCAGGTGTGATGCTGGCAAGAATGAAGTTCAACTGGCTAGCTAGAGTGAAGTTCAAGCTCAGCTTGTAATCCTGGAGGCTTTGTCGTTTGAAGTGTTGAAGTGTGTTTTGTAAGCCTAGCTGCAGTAACAACCGTGTGAGAGATGACAGAAGTCTCGCCACTCTCACAATTCTCTCCCTTCGTCTTGACTTTCAGCTCACAACTGTCAGACAGTTGCATAACATCTTCAAACTTTCCTCACACCAAATTTAGAAAAGAAGTAGCTCCCGGGACATTCTATTTGCTTGACATCATCTTTCAAGGAAGAACTAGGAGCTCCCGCGTCTCAGTCTAAGGAAGTATGCCATTACGCATTCCACAGAACTTTTGCAAATGGACTGTTAAATTCCTTTTTCATATTTTTTACACATTTATTAGAATACACACTCTTTTTTTTAGGTCTGTTCCATAAATTCATGTTGCCACAAAATAAAAATACATTCAAATGATTCAACAGATTAGGTTATAGTGGACATTTGATTTAGTCATATCCAGCACAATGGAGATACATGTACCTAGTTGTGTACAAATATCAAAGCTACAGGGACCCTGTAACTTGTTTTCATTCCTGAATGCATGAAAATAATGAAAGGGCCTGGCAGACGTAAAATCTACCTTTCACCTTGAAAACTAAAGCCGCTGCCCTACAAAATGTATATCTCCCATGTGTGACAGACCTGCCTAACTGCCTTGAACCACCTCTGACCCTGGTAAAAATACCCAACCTGCTAACTACCACCTTCTGGCAGAGAGAACACATTTTAGAGACTCGTTAAAGTGTTGTCGTGATACACTCAAACTAGTAATGAGGCTGCCGCTGACTGTTTTCATCCTAAGACCACACAAACCCGATTTTACGGATGACATTTAACGTGACTTACACTACTACTGGCCTACTTCTTGTAAAGTCTGAGCAATTTTACTGCATTTGACTGTCAGCCAATGATATGTAGCAATGGACACATTCTGGCTAAGGTGTCACAACTTGAAAAGTCACAATGAACCTTTTGTAACCCTTTGTAACTAACTGCAAAACGAGAGCATTCAGGCCTGACTAAAATATGCACAAACTATAAACTATTTTTTACTCTTCACATCATTCGCATCATGTTTGAGGTTTTCATACACATAGGCAAACAATCTATGAGGGCCTGCAAGGGGGGGGTAGCGATTACGAATTACGCAAAATTTTCGCCGCCTATTACGAATTACGTTAAAGTCTCAGAGCTGATTACGACTTTACGATTTGCGGCTAATGCCCAATTACGAATTACGTTGATTTTTGGGGACGCTACCTACGAATTACGAAGTCTAAAACAGCCTGATTACGCCTTACGAAAAAGGGCTTGCAGGCCCTCATCTATGAAACTACGCAACTAGAAAATGAAGGTTGTCTGGCCAAAATCAGTTTGAATTTCCCCATTGTACAAAAAGGAGTTTCATGTCCATTTCTACTTGACTGAAAATAATTCTCCCTTAGTACTGAGTGCCATCTGCCATAAACTCTGTAATTTCTTCTTTTCACATACCTTACGGTAATCAGACCTCCTATTCCCACTATCAAGGGTGACCGCACAAGTTCACAGTCACAGTTGTTGACCGCAGCTCAACCATAAATCTGTGACATCTTCTTTGTATCCTCTGACCGCGACCGAAGAAAATCCACCACTTATCACGATGTTACCTCCTAACCGTGACCTCTGTCAGCAACCCAAAACACTTCCATTGACTCCCTGCCAGTGTTATTACCCTGATTTATCTGTTGTTCATCCTGGGGAGGTCTTTGAACTTCGTGGACCACAAAAGACTTTTGACACAATTCTATGGGGCGTCACATCCATGACATTGACCATGGCATTCTGTTTCAGCCTCACAATGTGCAAGAATTTTTGTTTTCATCAAGCTGAAAAGTGACAACCTGAGGAAGAATGTGGAAAACTTGGAGAGAAAGACAGTTGCCAGGATGATAAAATATCGCTAAAACTTGGCTGGTAGTGGTACATTATGGAAAGGAATGTAGGGATAAGTTTCAGACAAACACTTTCCTTGACTGATGTAACGTCTGTGGCCATAATATCACCAGGGTCCATAATATCGCCAGTTTCGCCACCTTGAGAAAAAGTATGCTTAAAGATATTTTTACTGCAACATACCCTAGGTATGTACATTTGAGGTGTAAAGGAGTGCATACCACAAGTATGTTGCAGTAAAGATATCTTAAAGCACACTATTTTTCAAGGTGGCAATATTATGGACCCTGGTGATATTATGGACACGGATGTTATATCACTAACTATAGAGTACATATTGCATATTTAGAGATGTCTACTCTGGAGGAAGATGGACTACAAAACCACAATTCACCAAAAACCACAAATCACTAGACTGTGTACACTGGCAATTAAAATTGTGGTTTGTTATTAGACAATCACAGGAGACACCAGCACCAACACACTTACCTCAAAGTTCAAGCTCCAGTCTCCTTTTGCCTGTCTATTAAGGCTGACTTCATTCTTTCAACATGCTTTACAAGACCATGGGAACAGGTACCTGGTCTGGAAATATTTGCCCCCTTTCTTGCTCCCTGCCCTTCTAGTGTTAGACCTAGCAGTTCTGGGTCCCTTCACTGGACTCAACTATACAGAGAGGGCAGCTTGACCAAAAAGGCATAATTGAAATTTCTCAAAATATTGCTTGGGCAGCCTCTAATACTTTTCTGCTCCACCCCCTACCAAGCCCACTGTGCAAACCATAATAGTCTAACTGTCAATCAAACTGGGTTGATCGATTGCGTTTGGCCCACTGTTGTCTTTCCAGTATTGTCAACACTGAACACTCCAGTGGTTTGGCATTGTTGGCCCCATATTGAGGAAGGAAGGAAAGGCTAGGATTCCCTTTTAATTAGAATAACAAGAAGTCTTCCAGAAGTCTTCCAGACATTTAGAGTCAGATACGGTCAACTAGCAGAAGATCTGTGTCCTAGGAAAATACATTGTAACAGTCTGGTGCCATCTCTGTGTAGGGCAAATGGGAATGACAATGCATCACAGTGTATGAATATTCATTTTAGCATCATGAAAGCTAATCATAACATGGACAGATGCTATATATATACAGTCAAGGATATTATAATATCACAATATTAAGGTTTGATGTGCTGGGAAATTCCCATGGCTTTTTTCAAGAGCTATTTCTTTGACATGCAATCCTCAGAACTACTGTTGCAATGTGTTAGGAGACAACCCCCCATGTCCCCCTGTCCCCTGTGACAGGAAGTTGTCATAGGCACACCACATCTGTATCTTATTAGTTGTGAATAAAGGACTCAGACCACAGCGTCTGGGAGACAGTTCTAGCAGGCAGCCACTGAGTACGGACATCCTTCATAGCCTCTGCTTCCGAACCCTACATTGGTGGCCAGCGGTGTGTTGCCGCTTACGAGCGGCCGAACCCGTCCCTAACGCCATCGTGCTAGGCCATGCCTCCTGAATCGCCAGGCGACGATTCCACCCGCCCGATTGCTGCTCGAGCTGCGCTACCATGCCTGCAACCGTCCGCTTAGCCAGCCTGCCGCCGTGCCATGCAGCCAAACGCCTGCCTAGCCAGCCTGCCGCCGTGCCATGCCGCTACCCGACCCCGCCCGACCGTCGACGTGCCACCGTCCCGTCCACTACACAGCCTGAGCTCGCTGACCGACCACTCGTGCCATGCATGTGTCCAGCCATCTCCAGCCGCCGTCGCCGAGCCCGACACCACGCCACGTGTACAGGACCGTGCGCCCGCTCCTGAGTAGCCCATGCTGCCGACGAGTGCCGCCGACCTGAAGCCTCCGTGTGCTCCAGCTTCCGACAATGACCATCCGCACTGTTGAACTTCTGCTGTGACCTGAATGAACTCTAAGTACTTGTGCCTGGAATTTCCACCACTGAACTCTGCCTGTGTATAACATCTGCGAACTTTAGCGAGTGAACTCTAGCCGTGTGTAACATCTGCGAACTTTTGTGGTTTTTGAAAGGTATTGTAGCACGCTGTCCTATCTGCTATGTTTTGTATTTTGTGTCTTGCGAATAGAAATGCTAGCCGAGGAACTGGTCGATGCCTGCGGGCCGACACTCCTGTGCATTTTCTAGATATGCTGCTTGCCTAAAATGAGCTGCGACTTACGAGTCAACTCTTTTAGGAAGCCTATTGCTCCCCGATCACATCGAAGGCCGGTGTGGCGTCGGATGACTGTTTTTAGATTATTTTCTGCTTGCCTAGATAGAGCTGCGGCCTGCGGGTCAAAACTTCTAGGAAGCCTTTATGTAACTTGTTTGTATGTTGTGCTCCAAGTACTGGCGCCTTTGAAATCACCAGCGCCCATTTTCACAGCAGTTAGTCCATATGTGCACCGGAAGAATCCATCTGTGTACCGGAAGAATTTAGTATTTTATGGTCCTCCTGAATGTTTACTTATCAGCTTTGTTTACATTATCTTCGGTCAATCACGCCATGACATGTCTTACCGATTTATACCTTTTCTTGTATCTTGTATTCAACTTTGTAAAACCTTGTACAGTATCTTTTCGTTCGGGGACGAACGACTTGTGAGAGGGGGCGAGTGTTGCAATGTGTTAGGAGACAACCCCCCATGTCCCCCTGTCCCCTGTGACAGGAAGTTGTCATAGGCACACCACATCTGTATCTTATTAGTTGTGAATAAAGGACTCAGACCACAGCGTCTGGGAGACAGTTCTAGCAGGCAGCCACTGAGTACGGACATCCTTCATAGCCTCTGCTTCCGAACCCTACACTACAACCCTTTCCAGAAGCATGTAAAATACACAACTGTCTGGATACAACTCTTGAATTTTGCTTCGTCCCTGATTCAGCTACTTTTTCTTGACAAGAAGCATGCCACAATGTGGTAATGGCCACGGACCTCAGCCCACCCATGTAGGAACTATACAGAACAGGAAGTTTTGGGTCCAACCAAAGAACCTGTTGGGTTTCAGTATTCAAGGAAACCCTCCAGTTCTTTCAGTAAGTGATGTAGGGGTGGGAACGGTGTGGTTTATACAACACAAGTTTTGTAAGTGATAGATGTGTGACTGGAGTTTGATAGCAGCTTAAGTACTTAATTAGTTTCGCTTGGTTGGTTGGGTTGGTTGCATCTGAGCTAACAAGGCCATGGGAACAATTAAGGTTCATTTGCGATGTGATAAAATATCGTGAAAATAGGTCATGTTTATTATCTTTCTTCCTTTTTTCTCTTGTGTAACAAACTGATAAGTTTGGCCCAAATCTGTTCATTTTTAGCCCTCCCTGATAGGTGTATCAAGGTGTATGACAGACTGGAAGGAAATATTTACATTTTGGGATTCATATAGCCAGGGTACCTGATCCCTCTTCCTATGAGAAAGATATTTGGTGAGATTTTCTTCCGTACAAAACTAGTTGATGGAGAAGGCGATTGACACATTTTGAAGATGGTTTCAATCTATTATAAGGTTTTTTCTAATGTAGAGAAACTTTTTTGGGGGAAAAGTACACCTTCACCAACTTGTCTCTCCCTGTTCTAATACACGCAGATCACAGAAGTGTGAAGAAAGAGCCGAATCTTACCTCCACTCCCTTGTAGTTCCTGAAGAGGTCTGAGTACTGCTTGAGGCCCAGCGAGTCCAGCCAGGACGGAATACTGGGGGAGGTCATGCTGGAGTCTGTGGTTAGCATGCTCCACCTGGGGAACACAACATCAATATTCCTTAATCATCACTGTTGCATTTGTTGAGTGTAACAAGTTATTCGGTGTGATAAAGCTAGCTGCCGCCGCGCCGTGTGCCTGCGAAGCTGAAGGGCGGTTATACCAATGCAGATACAGATTGTGCATCAAACTCAATCTGAGTAGATGAACGCTTTTTTATTACGCATACACATGCACTCTGAATATCTTTTATGAAGTCTACCTCCATGGTTTGAGATTACTCTTTCTGCTGCTCTCCAAGCAGAGGTTTGGCATACTTCGTTGGAGTTTTGTCAGACTTTAAATTTTGCTAGCTTCTTTGAGTACCAGTATATAGAAGCTGAAGAAAAGCTAACAAGAGAAAGCCCAACAAAACACCTAAAGGACACCTAAAAACCTCGAACACAAGCCTAACCTCTGCTTGGAGAGCAGGATCTGCTAGCCTGGTTAGTTTACATTCCCTCAATAGTTGTCAGCAGTGACTAGTGGAGTGGACATAAACTAACCAGCAGGTGCTTGTTGTCATTATCAGCCCTAAAGTTCCATACATGTCCAACAACAGATCATGTTCGCTGTAAGTCAGCTGTAGCCTATGTAGGACATGCCACAGGATAACCCAATATCATTGGAGACCAGCCAAGGTGTACTCTCATCCAAGCAGAGGTTTGGGCTTTGGCTTATTTAGCCTGGTATCCAGTCTTATCATGGTTGGGGCATAGTAGTTGGGGCAGGCTGTGTCTTCGGGCTGTAATAGTTTCCCCCCGCCAAATAGGCCACCTGGTAGGAGTGTTATGCTAATAGGCTAACTTTTGGCATGTTTTGGGGCTTTTTTATCAGACTTTCTTTTTTATATTGGTGTCTTTTTTTGTTAACGTTAAAAGAGATACCAGTGCAAAAAAAGAAGGCCTGATAGTATCACACAGTGATAGAAAAGCCTAAAAACACGCCAAAATAAGCCAAAACCCAAACCTCTGCTTGGAGAGTACAGCCAAGGTGCAGACAGGACCTGCCTCCCATAGAGGGACCCAGGGTCACCACATCAGTACTCATCTGTATCCTGGGGATAGTCCCACATTTTTCACATGCCAGAAGGCACTGAACTCCAGTTGTTTGGGGTATATGGATGAGTGTAGATAGCCTTGTAAACAATGTGTAAATGTGTGGCAAATGTGTCACGGAGATAAGAAAAACTGCATGCGTTTGTTACTGATATACTAGTAACTCAATGTAGACAGTTCCTATTCAATGTATGTACATGTAGTTCTGTCAAAACTATTTCATCATAAGTGAACTGTCTACAATAGTGTCTTACTTACTGCAAGGACATGTATAATGTCCTTGCTTACTGAAAGTTACTTTTGTCTCCAACAAGCTATTAAACAATGCTGGCTGTATTGTTTTAACTTTTAGCTTTTTAAAATACGTGATGAAAGTTGCCAGGGAAATTTTCCCCTTTCCTACTGTCAATTTTTCATCCTATACTTAGGAGTTATAGAGTTTACAATCCATAGTCCCTATAAAAGTAGGAGGGCCTGATGGGGGTTACTAAAAATTGCCAGACATTTTATTTGTTAATTGCCTCACAATCCTGTAGGTAAATGAGGTGTTCTGCACTGTACAAGCAACAGCTGCGAGTACACTACTGGTTTGGTCACCTGTAAGGCCACATAACTTTAACGACATAATTACTTGTTTGCCAGATTGTTTCTGGCACAATCAGGACATGGGAGAAAACAATAAAACCAGGCTTGCACCCCTGTTGAGATATTTGATGAGTTGGTTGGAGAAAAAAATTGTGATGGAGTTGTGAATAAGATCCTGTTCTTCATAGCATTGTATCCTAGAAACACATGTACAGCATCAAAATATACACAAAAATTATTGGCATCTCAAATTTAGGAATTAATCTAAAGAATTGTTCATAGATGTTCCAAGTTCTGGATAATGCATGTAAATGAGTATTAATTCATCTTTCTGTTTTGCTGGATAAAGAAAAGGATGGACCCACTAAACAAGTTTACTTACCAGTAGGTTTGTTCCACCTAAACAAGATAAGAGAAAAATGCCTTGAAGGAGAGGTATGGATGACATCCAACACTGTGAAACATTTGGGGCAAAATCTGCATGTAGGGTACCAGGCAGGAGGGTCTTGCCAATCAATGGTGTACTAGAAAAACTAAGTAGGCCACACTGAGCATAGGAAACTGGAGCAAGGCTTCACCCCTAACTAAGGACTTTGCACATTGCTGGCGGTTTTAGCAAACAAACAACGAAGAGATTTAAATCAATTGCATGGTTTCATGACTACTGTACATGTATGTTTAGCCACTTTACAAGGACTAAGTGATTATCATACCTCCTTGCTCATTATAATAATCATAATCAGACCTCAGAATTCTCCACTTTTCTGTCTCTCCCACAGAAAGACTTCTACAAAATGTATGACATGAAACAGGACCTGTGAAACTGCTGGACCCTGACAGAAGGATTAGTTCAGGAGAAGTAGTTGTGATTATGCGGCCAGTGACCCGCCCACTGGGAACCCTGCCTCAGAGGAATGCTGCACTCCAGGGGGAGCGGGCAGGCTAAACTGGAGCCTAATCACTGGAAATATCCTACACGGCCTCAAAAATCTGTAAAATCATATCCAGTAGAACCTGTAAAATTACATCCAGTTGCTTGAGTAACTATTTTTTGGCATATCTTTCTACCTGGATCAGTGGACGTCCAACCTTCACCAATGGCCTCAAAAATAGCTTTATAGTTTAAGGAAAAATGTTTTGTAGTTTAAGGAAAGATCAAAATGTTTGTAAAACATAAGATATCCATTAAATTTATCAATAAAAGATTGAAATTAGATCATTCCAAACAACGGCAACAAACACCCTCACAGTGACTTGGAATGGACTCTAGAATGAATTCTGCTTTTCCCCATATTTTCAGTCACAATTTTACTGTCAGTAATAAAAATTTGATTTTGGAAACTTTACTTTTCTCTTGCAATTTTTAGAAATAATGCTCAAAAGTCTTTTGCAAAACTCTTTTTAAGGGTTGTGCAAATCATTCTATGTATATACTTGGAAACATCAGGTAACATTCAGGTTGAAACTGAAAGAGTCTTGCAAAAAAGGCATATGTCAGAAAACACAGTTCTCAAGTTTGAGTTGAGCAAATTTTTAAGTGACCCAGTCACTCTTTGCTGAACTTTCTGCAAATTTCACAAAATAAGGAAGAACATTGATCCATGAGGTGGTGTTAGGATTTTGAAGTTGGACATCTGAAGCTGGTCCAAATCCTCAGGTTTCATCACCAGCCCCACGCTGGCACCTGGAGCTACACAAGTATTGGTTTTCAGCATCCCACTGTGATGGTGGACCAGACCTGAACACCACAGGGTCAGCAAAATGCTGGGTTTACAAATTATGTTCCACTTGAGCCAGACTGAGGAATTACTGTGGCACCAGCCTGGGGTGAATGGAGTTGTCAGGACACATCTCATGGTCCCATTGATTCGTTTAACCACCAGCTATCAGATGGGTGCTTAGTGATTGATGTGGATCCAATATTAGCTTGGTGGCAGTCCCCACCTAGTCCCCATCGCGAAGTTTTTCTTCTTTTTTTTTTTCAACAATTGCATGCAGTTTTCTGAGCTACCAGGTTTCAAGGCTTATGAGATCTGATTGCTGTCCTCAGAAACTATCTAGTAGCTATCAGAAAATTGCACTTTTTAGTTGTTGAGAAAACTGTAGGGATGTGGCTGCAATGGAGGATAGATTGAGGCAAGGCCTGAAGTTCAAGGTCCAAGCTCAGTTAGGTATGGAAAGAACTGTTTTTGTGCTGACAGTAGGGCTGGGATAAAGCGCAATAAATTTACCAATGAAAAGTACCAGTATTGGGTACTCAAAGGCCAACATACACACCTTAATATGGAAGATAAGGGAGAGAAAATAGCTTTCTCTGTCTATGAAAGTAAAAAAACAACACCAATTTGTTTTGCTAAATGTGTTCAAGCAGCTCTCTTTTGTAAAAGGACCAGTATCACTGCAAAAACAAGTGATGTGTGAAATTAGGAGAGATCACCTGATAGAAAGTCATGGAAGTAATCTAGATCAAACACCGAGGTTCAAACTTGCCTAAGCCAAGTTCAGGGTAGATGAAAACAAAACGAACTACAAAGGAGCCTGGATCAAAGATTTCTCTTGAACCCTGTACTTGTTTGGCTGCAACTTTCCGAGAAATTCTTCCAGTTTTCGAGTGCCATGTATTCCAGATGTTACCGATGTGAGATACCTTTCCAAGGCTCAAGGTCAAGAAAGAAAAACAAAACTGCTGCGGCACAACAAAAACACGAACAGCTGTGCAAAAACTTGGCTTTTCCAAGTCCGTACGATGAATATGGGGGCTCATACACAGATGGGCATGTTTCAAATTCAAAACGTGTACCCAGCAACGATTTATGTTCCCATCTACTGACCTTCCTGGTGGTAGGCATGAGCAGAACCACTCTCACTAACAAGAAAAGACAAAAAAGATCATAAATCTCATAAAATCAATACAGGAAAAAACATAACCAGCTGCCAGGGTCTTCCAATGAAAGATTCAACATAAGCATTAAAGGAAAAAGCAAAGTCCAGAGTTTAACTATGTAGGAATTAGAAGCAAGCATCTCGCGTCCTGTGAGGCTTTCCATGGCACAAAAGCCCTGATGTTTGAAAGACAGACCAGAACTGATGTTATTTGCCGCTGACTACTTATCCCATGTAGGCGCATGGCCCTGCATAAACAAGGACCAGTGGAGTGCCACTCTCAGGGCAAAACAAATCTGCTGGTAAAAAAAAAGGCTGCACTACAGATAAGCAGAATACCCAAGATAAACAGGTAGCCTTTAAATTGTTTACTGGTACTGTAGATATCAGTATTTCTCCACATTCCTGGCCAACACAACAGCTTTAATACCTGGCTGAACTTGGAAACAAGCCTAGACGGTACTGACACCAAAGAGTTTTTCTTTACAACTGCACTACCCATGGGATAGAGACCTTTCCACCATTTGAGAGTTCTTCTATCCAGTTCCCATGTCAACAAGGAAAATTCCTGAGGGAACACAGAATCATTGAACTGCAACACACACTTGTCAGGCCACTACTGCTAATTAAAAAGCATCGACTTCTGAACAAAACATGCAATGACAACACATTCTTCTAATACAATGTACTAACGTTATCTATTAAAAGTACAATAGATTATTGGACTGATCATAATACAACATGTATTTAGCCACGGCCACTTACCCAAAAGAAGGGAGACCCACAGAATTCCAGTTCAGACAGAGAATTCCCTGGATGACTTCAAAGAAGAAATGTTGCCAACCTCTGGATCTAAAAGTTGATTTTGGAAAGGCTTTGCCGTGAACTCAGCACGTGCACATGGAGAGGACTTGACAGCTAGCCTGAGGCTCCTGCCTGGTGTGTTGGCCTGCACTGTGCTGCCCACATGTGTTACAACAAGGTTTGTTGGTGGGAGATACCACTTGCCTAATGGGAAGGGGTGAGCAGCCTTGAGTAAAGAAAGCTCCTTTGGCAAAGCTTTTATCTTTCATCCTTTGATGCAGACATGACAGTAGGTAAAAGTGTAAGTGGCAAATGTGGCACATTTCTATGTAAAATTCTGCACATAAGAACAACATTACTACTTGGCTGTATCTTGTAGCATCTGAATAAAGCACATAATGACTACAAAAAATATGCTAATTGAATACAGTCATGATATGAGGGTGATAAGAAAGTGATAATGATCTTATTTTTACACATAATGTAGTTACGGTTCACCATAATCACCAATACTACAAATCTACCTTATTGCCTGTCTAGTTTTGCATATTTCTGGGCTTGCCTTGACCCCCCACTAGTATATAACAACATCGGCAACACTTCTCAAAAACCTGTGAAAACCGGCCAGCCAGCTGATTTCAATTGAGTGGTGACAAGATTTGATGGAAGAGGGGGGGTGGTCACATTGGGGATTATCATTAGACCAAATAAATAAGATAAATCATTAATGGAGGAAGAATTGTTTGGAAGATAAATAAATCCCATCTGGTCTTCTCTACAGGGGACCAACTCAGATTTTCCAAGTAAGGGAAAGACAACTTCTTATAAGGACATATACAATCCAGTTCCTTATAACATGTTAATCTTAATGGATGGACATGATAAGGAAAAGTCAATTTATCATTGAATCACTGTGTGTATTGATAAAATGTATGGTTATATTGGGACTGCAATATTTGCTGTAGGCCCACAAAATTGGGAATTAAAACATTTTGGCTTTGGCTAGCCTCCGAGACAAATTGAAATAACAAATTGCCTGATATATTTAAACTCATCACTATGAATTCTAGTAGTGCATTTACACAGATATTTCATTTGTGATGCTCTATGTCCAATTTATAAGACTGACTGCTCTTTGAATTGAAGAAGAAGAAAAAATTAAGTATAGTCTAGATGTCAGACTGTTTCCAGGTCCTACAAATGGCCTACAGGCTACATAGGCCAGCTCTTTACTCGAGCTGAGGAGCTGGCCTGTGTAGGTCCAGGAAAAACTGTCTGGTATCCAGGCTAATGCAGTGCTCTCTACCATCCCTTATCAAATAACAAGTGATTGACAAACCACAGGAAGACTAGTTGTGATAAACCAATGGAGAAAGGCGTTGATGACTTGGTGACAAATTCTTTAGCGACCCTGCGTTTACATGGCTCCTATGTCTTGTAAACTGTTCTGTTTAAAATAGGTGTCATCTGAAAGTAAGAGAATTTTAAGTACTTGAAAAGAACTTCAAGCTGTCTTGTACAAGTTGGCTTGCAGCATACTGAATTTCATTCACCTTATACCTTGTACTTGTTTGAAAACAATTTTCTAACCAAGGAAAATTTGACCATAATTAGAAAATCTGCTCTTGTAAAAAAAATCTGCCAGCAAAATTATCTTGAGCATAATTTGGCTGGAAAATGGTGAAAGACTTCTGAATTCCTAATTCAAAATGACTTCTTCACCTTCCAAACAAGAAAACTCTTTGATACAAGATTTTTCGCCTGTCATGCTGAACAAAACCTAGATAAAACCTCCTCTCACGAGGCTCCTTAGCGATTTATAAATGAGAACATCCTGAGACAGAAAATTGTGCCGTAAGACACGCCGATTCTCCACACTGTAAATGTCTTTAGGGGTGGGCGCTTCTTTTGCCAGGGTGACAAAAACCCTATGTAGTCTTCAAGGCATTTCCATTGTCTGACCCAGACATGACGAAATTCACCAAAAGAGCAGAGGGAAATCTTGGCAGGAATTCAATTTTCCAGTTCCCTCCATTCTTAGGACCCTGTCATCTGTGAAATCTGTCCCGCCTACAAATCTATCAGCTGTGACATCACCTCTTTCACCCAGTCTTGCTTCAGAACCACGGCCAGAAGTGGGGGCCTGCATGCCCTTTTTCATAAGGCATAATCACGCCTTTTTAGTCTTTGTAATCTGTAGGCAACCTAAAAAAAAATCATCGTAATTCGTAATAGTACATTAGCCACAAAGCGTAAAGATATAATCAACTCTGAGACTTTAACGTAATTCGTAATCGGCGGCAAAAATTTTGCATAATTTGTAATCGCTATAACCCCCATGCAGGCCCTCAGAAGTTTGCATGGGGAAGAGGCAATGGGAAATGTAATTTGTAGATGTTGATTGTTGAATTTTGCGCTGATAGAAATTCAAGAGTGTTGGTCTGGCCAGTATATCTTCTAGGCTCACAACCCAACTTTGGGTGGTCTCCGTTCCGGCTAATTTCTTGCTCTGTAAACTCCAAACTTTCAGATAACGTATCAATGAGTTGTTTTTACAGGAGCATATCTCTGGCATATTTCCTCAAGTGTGGACAACAACTCTATGAAAAATGCACAAGAAACGGACTACGTATGGGCTTGCCTTAAGCATCTTGTACAGTTGCATATGCACTTCACATGGTCAAGATTCATACTGAATCATAGTTTGGTCTACATGTATGTTTTTAGTCAGTTTCAACTCAGTAATGTTAATTGTTTCAGTAGATGTTTGGCTTTCACTTGTATTTTGTATCTGTATAGCCGGTATAACCACCCCTCTGCGCAATACACCATCTTCGCAGGCACGCTGTGCATTACGAAGACTAGCCTGGATGCCAGACCCAAAGCACACTGGACACAAAATATCTCAGTGTGCTAGGCTCACTGAGATATTTGTGTCCAGTGTGCTATGGGTCTGGAACCCAGGCTATACGAAGACTCTTTATGAAGAAGTGTGGCTGTTCAGGTACATGGTGTCCTCTTTGAGTAAAAGACAACACTGTCTGAAGTCTCTACCTGTCATGGTTTAGTTCCCAGTTTCCTATGCATTAACATTCCAGGCTGCACTTGGCCATATAATTTGTAACTTCCTATGTTAAAAGGACTGCGGACAGTCCCGACACCTGTGCAACAATCCCTGTACTGTCAGCCCTGGAAAACTGTCTTGTTTGCTCTTCACAGCGCAGCTCTTGTGGAACCTGGCGGAACTAAACGCCAGGCAGAGAGAGGGTATCAAGATGCTTTCAGAGTGAATCAGGGGGTACTTATCCAAATGTTGTGGAACCTAAATGGTACTTGATCCAACTAAATGCAGGGGGAAGATCACAACAAAGTAATGATGTAAGATATAGCAGAATACTGTATATTTCCTTATGGAGGTGGGTTCTTCCAGAAAGTTGGCATCTGACGTAAACCTATGAATCTAATACTAATAGATGCTCCCGATAACTGTGTACGGCAATGTAAGAGTAAGACGGTTTGGAGACGCCACTTCGTCCAAATTTGATTTACCTACTAACATGCTTTCAAGCACTGTCAAGCAATTGATTACAGATAAAGCGGCAATTCATGGTAAAGGAGCCATGGAGGGGGCAGAGTTCTTGAGTAACAGGGCACAGACATTATGTCACCCCTCTTGAAGGTATATTTGAACTGCTCCATTGTTTCATTGTTGGGTTGTGCTCTACACAAGGTCTTCACAGTGTGCTCTAGGCCTTCATGCTTGAAAACATGGCCTTGGGAAGTGTCACAGCTGACAAAAAATAGCCACATGAATTCCTGAATAACAAAACATGGCCTAATCCCTTCAAGCACAGAAAGGAAAGTGTCACACTTTTCTCACGCAAAAAAAAGGAATAAAAATAGTGATACTAGTAAAGCAGATCTAAAAAAAATTCATCAAAAGAAAAAAGTACATGTACATTTTTACATGACATGAAAAATCTAACTTTAACACAATGAATCAAAAACGGTAAAAAAAGTGATGTTCCAAAAATTAATGATCAATGACCTCTTCTGAAAGTTGAGACCAAAGACATTACAATTTAATGTTTTCTTCATTGCAAAATTGATTTTTAATTAGAAATGCTTTACTGTTTAACTTAAAGCTAATATAAGCAACAATGACAACTTTAAATGTTTGTCAACACAACCATAATTCTTATAATAGGTCAGGCCATGTGTCTGTTGAGCATTTAAGCCAATAGTTTTGAAAAGAAATGAATATGCATGGTATACTAAGCTAAAAACCTGTGTAACTACATCGTAATTTAGGCCCGATTTAGACTAGAAACGGTATACCGTTTCGAAACGGTACGAAACGTTTCGCCACAGAAAACGGTTCGTCTTTAGACACAGAGGCGGAAGCGTTTCGGGCCGCCCGTGGAGCAGGATGTTTCTGACCCACAGTGACCTATGATGACCTCCCCGAGAGGCTTCTACGGTTTGCCTCATTGGCCTTACGATACTTGTGTTTCAGGGCCTTGAACTTCGCCCGAACCTGCTTTGGGGTGCGTAAATAACCCTCAGCCGCCAGCCCGTCCACAAACATCTGTATGCCCTCCCTATTACGCGAGGTCTCCAAGCGGGATTGTATAGTTTGATCGGCCCACAAGCTGATCAAGCAGCGGGTCTCTTCTTGGGTCCAGACCCTCCCCTGGCCTTCTGCCATCCCTCCAGACGTAAAGGATGATGAAAATTCGAGAAATACACGATATAAAATGGCGAAAATGGACACAATCGAATATGGCGCGAATCTACCAGAAAATGGACGCGCGCGAGCCTATTAGCACGTGATTAGCATATGACACGTGACCTGGTTTACCGTTTCAAGAAACCCTTTGACTTTAGACCTAGCTAAAAGCGTTTCGGGCCCCCCGCTGAAGGGTTCTGAAACGGTCGAAAACCACGATGGAGGTGGTTTTCGGAAACGGTCCGCGAAAACCCATAACAAACCGTTTTTTCCTCTTTAGACCGGGAACGGTTAACCGTTCCGAAACGTTTCCCTGGCCAAAACCCCTTAAGCGTTTCTAGTCTAAATCGGGCCTTAACTGCCAAGCAGTCAGAAGCACATGCCAGTCTACCTACCAAATGAAGGCCCATTTAAATTCCCTTTGCGACATATTAAAACAACACTTTTCAACTAACTATAGTTCCCCGTCAGTAGAAGAATTTGTCTTACCCCAAATGTGCAGCCAACACTTAACCAGCCAGGGAAGTCTTAGCCAAAACAACAAAACGCAGGAGAGTCCCTCTGACTGTCAGAGCCGTGCGGAAGTGATGACCCAATGACAGTGTCCCTTCTTTTCCCTGGGGCAGTGGCGGTGGCCTGATTACATGCTACCCAACAATGTACTTCCAAATATGGTCATCCCCCATGGGTCTTCTGTCTCTGCTGACACCTGACTGGGTTTACGTGGGGAAAGTTGCTGATTCAAACTTCCAGAAAAATGCAGGAAACATGTTTTACACACAATTTGACAAAAAAAAGTTTATGATATTCTAGCAGGTAGTCCATGTGGCTATATTTTTCTTAGGTAGAAGACATTTTTTGCATGCCGTGTCTTTGTTTGCTTTCTATTCTATGCCATAGAAAAGAAGTGAATGCACACATCTCAATGAGCCAGGAGTAAATCACTATCATGAAAATCAATTACCAAAAGTAACTTTCTCCCCCTCTAACCTCTAATCTGGGTTGGTCTGACCATCTCTTTTTTACCTCCATGGTCTGACAAGCTATATAGAGATTTTAGGAAGACTACAAACAAAATGTTTTGTAATAAGTACCCATAAAAAGAAAAATTGAAAATGATGAAGGACATCAAACAGTGACAAGGCCATACAAATATCATACCAGAAGACACATGAAATTAAAGTAACACATTTCTATATCTGTCACAAATTGTAATATATGCTGTAAGATAACATAGTACACACACATAATTGTAGTTTCCCCTGTAATTTTTAGCCATTGACTAGAAAATTAGATTATAAAAAAACAGTAAGTTGATGTCGGTGAACAAAAATATTATGTTATACATGTACATTAGATAGAACAAAAATATCTTAACATTACTGATGTTGATTATGCAAGGAGTCTAGTCTCTACCATGCTTTGGGAGGCGGCTGGAAAGAGTAGAAATTGACCAAATAGAGAGATAATATGCCAGGGGAGTTGGTCTGCTAGAGAGTACATTTTGCTATTAAACTCTCTCTATCTGGCCAATTTCTACTCTTTCCAGCCACCTCCCGAAGCCTGGTAGAGGCTACAAGGATTCACAAAGTCAAAGAGGGAAAAGATGACGGCAAACTCACCAGTCTTGTAAACCAGCGTGAACAGTGAGCCAACGTGAGAACAATGGAGTCCAGGTCGGCCGGAGTCAGGCTTGTCCAGCCCAGCACAAACGCAGCGTGTACTCAATAGCTGACCCTTCAAACAGTGGTCAGTCTGGGCAGCCCTAACAAAAGCCCGCGGTGCCCTAATGGACACAGGAAATATAATAGAATTATGCAAATGTAATCATGTCGGATGGTCACGCTTTTGACTGGTGGTCAGACAGAGGTAGGAGAGTGATTATGGAGATTACAGTACTTCTCAAGTGGACTTACAGACAAGTGTTTTGTCAACAGTCAAGGGATCTAAAGTTAAAGAACCTCCTATTCCCTGTAGTATTGTCCTAGGACAAAAGGGGTGAGATATTGAATTCAATGAATGTTCTTTATGGGATAACATAGGAAGTACAGAGTGTGCAGAAATTGAAGAGAAGCTTTTGTAAGCAGGTATTTAGGGAAGAAAACACTATGTAAGTTGAGTAATGGTTAACAATTACTCAACTTACATAGTACAGGTCAGTAACATGAATGGCAGCTCCCTCCATTACTTCGAATTCTTCAAGTTTGTGTGTTTCTGTAACCATTAGGAACGTTTAATTCATTTCCTGTAACGCCAATCAAGGGTATAAGTTGTTCATGTTAAAACTTACCTTCCAGACTTTGTGAAGCTGCACTTAATTTGTCAGTTTAAAACCGCAAAAGAGAACAATGAAACAAAACTGTTGCGCCACGCCCCCATCCTCAACAGCTGAAGGTCATGGTGACAAAAATGTCACTTCACTCAAATCACTCAACTTATGATTTGGACAAAAGTTTTAGAAATCATCGGTGAACGAACAGGACGAAAACGAGATTCATAATCAGTGTATCAAACAGTCATTTCATGTAAAATGTTAGCAGTAAAGTTACCGTCACACCATCTCGTGAAACCGCATCGGGCACTCATAGGATCGAAAGCATGGTCTAAAAGCGCCGCCTGGCAGTTCTATACAAAGTGCAGTTCATCGATGCCAGCAGACTGAAAGCGTCGCCTGGCAGTTTACGTCCAAAGTGCAGTGAATATGTAGCCAGACGTGGCAGTACCTGGGATGAATGAGTGTATCACGGAAGGAGATTTACTGTTTATAATAGTCCTTGCCTAAACAGCGACGCCATGGCAGGGTCAACCTCCCCGAAAGCCCAGGTTGTTTCTGGCTTGTCGAAGCGTCGCTGGCAGTGGCTCGCCTTCCTGGGGCTGTTCCTGGGGTACTGGGGAAGCGTCTTCTGCCGCACGGCAACAGAAGCTGTTATGCCCGCCATGATGCAGGACAAAACCATCCAGTTCGACAAGGTGAGGCCGATATCCAGGAAGGGAGTCATTCTGCCAAACACACCTGTGTAACAAACCTTTGAAGATGTTATAGATAATACCCATTTACCGTAACGTACGACATGTAACGCTACTAGATCACATAACGTTTAGACAGTATTCAGTTTTGAAACACTGGTCCATATGGAATGTATTAACCTAAGGAGGTTACACATGGGGCCATAGTGCACTTGACGTGGCACCCAACCTTTGAAACTAGGCATGTATGCATCCCTAACAACCAGAACAGTTGACATTCATAAACAAATCCATGTGTACTTGCCACATGGACATACCACTACTCCAGTGCATCTTTAATATAATATCCCTCCCTGTGCTACCTGTCTTATGAAAACAGTCGAGAGGTGGTGCTTTTGTACCGTAGAAGTTGAAGCAGAAGTTCACAGCAAGGATATAAAAGTATGTAAATAAATAGCAAATTGCTGTCAATTTTGTTTCAAGAGTTATTTCTGGTGACCTTTAGATTAATATCTTATATTTTATCGATACATGTAAATTGATGTAAGCAATCGTCACAACATTTACAGCGTACAGCGGGGACCATGCTGGCCTGCGGAAACGGTGCATTCATCGTGGGCAAAATCCTGTGTGGCATAGCCTCGGAATCGTTCGGAGGGACCAGAGTTCTGACCGTGTCTCTACTGCTGGTGGCGTTCTTCGCCGTGGCCTACGCCAGGGTGTACGTCGCCTCTATGCTGATCGGCTCTTACATGCTACTGAAACTTTTCACTGTGAGTTTGTAGAGTTTTATTTCACTTGCTTGATGAGTTTTCCTGGATTTCTCGGGAGACAGACACCTTCCTATTACATTTCAAATCGAACTGGTAGAGTCAACATAAGTCAAGGGATGCCGGTACATCTACTATACTGTTTTAGATATCTCTTCTTCCTATCCTTCTTACTGTAACAGTGGGGGGTTTATAGGCGCTACCAACAGATCCTGCAAACGGGTTTAGACCTTTTCGGCCGAGCGGTTAGAGTGTCTGACTGGGGCCCGGGAGGTTGTGGGTTCGAACCCCGGCCCGGGACCAGTGGGGTTTTTACTGTCTCCTCCTGTTTCTTACATTACATCAAAAAACAAACCCTTCTACCTCTACTATCCTCCCCCTACACAAAGCTTTTGTTCCTCCCCTACTATCCTCCCCCTACACAAAGCCCCTTCTTATCCTTAAATGAAGACCCTTCTTCCTCCTCTCCGATCTTCCCTTGATACCTTGATACCGTCTTCAGTCAAGGGATATAATATAATAATAATAATATATACACAAAGCCCAGTGCTACAGGTCTGAAGTCTTGCCTCCCCCCAGGCGATCTGGCCGGCCGTCACCAAGCTGCTGTCTGCCTGGTTTGACAAGCAGGATTATGGGAAGGTTCTGGGCGGGATGTCCATCGGGTTCCAGGCAGGGAGCGTCATCGCGACGGTCCTCATCGGATCCATGCTGTCCAGGGGTGAGATGTCTCTCCTTAACCTACTTCCTGCTGAGCTAGCCTTTTGGTAATCTCCAAGTAGATCATATGGTGGCAAGGCAGTAGCCACCGAAGCCCAATGGATACTGTCTGGCTAATGGATACTGCCTGGCCAATTTGATACTGTCTTTTGCAGCCACCAAAAGATCTGCATGGAGGTTAACAAGGGTAAGCAACAGGAATAGTGTCACCATGTTGTTTTGGTGGTGTTTCTAGACATGTTATAGAGTTTAAACCAGGGAAGAAGGGTGGAGATGAAGATAACTCATCACCATATTACTAAGATGAGTATGCACATGCACATACAGCAATCAAGTACATCGGTAGAAAAGCATAAATTGTCTCTTGTATTTTCATTTCTAGCCTTTAGTTTCATCCTCTAATATGTAGAATAGATCAGTCACATAGTATTCTTATAAGATAATAGTTGCCATACATTGCACCCTGAATGAGTATTGAGCAGCAAAGTTCATTGTTTCAGTATGGACGTGACAGTTTTTGTCTTTTTCCTGCCAGGTCTCCATTGGAGGACCGTAGTGACCATCCCTGCCGTTGCCATGGTGATGATCGTGTGCCTGAAACAGTTCCTCCTGTACGAGTCGCCCAGTAAACTTGGGCTGGCGCCGGCCGCACGGGAGGCAGAATCACCTGAGAAGGTGAAATGAACATAATTCTTTGAATTCAATGTTGTTGTTCTTAGAGGCACACAAGAAGAAAATTTTGTTTGGAGGTGGTGAAACTGTAATATCTGATACAATTTTTGAAATCAAAAGTTTGTTAGTATTTTAGTATTGTCATGCTCTTTTCATTCCTGTGGGTATCTGAAAATCCACCTGTTCCACAAGTGCATAGTGTGACCCAGATGTAGTACAGCCGTATAGTGCTAATACTCTCTATATACATTATCTATTGTCCATTTTCTATAAACCATGTTTTCTTTGATTGTCTGTGCATCACCATTGTAAAAGAGTCCCATCCCTTTTCCTCAATAGAAACCGGTGGACCACCCCATGGACAAGCTGAGTCTGAGACAAGCCCTGGTGTACATGATGGAGACTCCAGCCTTCTGGGTGGTGGCTGTGGCGTCCATGGCTCTGTCAGGTGGGAATCATGAAAAAAGAGACTCTTTTTGGATACAGGAGTTTTCTTTTACTGGGCTAATATGCATGTCCATCATTTGTACAGTATCAATGGAACAACAAGGCTTGATTTGACCATAAGTCAGAAAGGAGTGATAGCTTGAGCTTAAATCTTGGTCAACAGTAATAGTTATACATGTACACCAATTTGTGCAGGTACAACTATAGAGCAGACAGTTCCAATTACGGTGTACTTTTGAAGATAACTTCTACTGGTTGTAGATAAATTCTAACCATCATTATGTGTCAACAAAGCAGATCTAACTTGCCTAACGTTGGTTTGGTTCTCCAGGAGTCTTTGAACTTCAGATCTTCATAAGATATCTGTATAAGATAACTTGTAATTTTAACAGTCATTGGCTGTTGTTTTCTGTGTCAAACAAAGCAGATCTAAAAAAAAAACGTTTGTTTTGTTTCTCCAGGAGTATTTGAGCTTCAGATCTTCATGCCGCTGTACTTTAAGGAAGTTCTCCAGCTCACGCCAGGCGAGGCTGCTCAGGCCGCAGCTCTGTCTCCCGCCGGGGCCATCGTCTCGCTGGTCATCGGCGGCGTTCTGTACGACAGGCTGCGTCGGCAGGAGAAGTGCATCATGATCTCCACGTTCCTGGTCATCACCGTGGCCTGTATAGGAACGCTGTGGCGATACAAAGACTTGGACATCAAGCTCGCTGTCATTATTGCGTTCCTTCTCGGCTTTTCCGTGACGATGCCGTTCTTTCTCCCGATCACGATATTCTACATGTCGTTTGGGGGAAAGCGCCACACGCCCACAGTGACAGGGATCCTGGACTGTTTGGGGTCGCTGGCTGCCGTGATTATGGACAATCTCATGGGCTCGTTCGCATGGAAGGACTTGTTTGCCGTCCAGTTCGGCTGTGCGGTAGCGGGACTTGTGTCCTTGGCTTTGCTCTTGTCTTCACGTTATGCAACGTGATGCAGGATCAGAGAAGAGTTACAATATTTTCTATGAACAGGTGATTTTGGATTAATTTGTACATTCCTTTTTTTTTTTTGACCATAACAAAAGATGGCATATCAGGGCACTGCAGTTGAAATTATACTTTTGTATGGAAGGAAATCACTGTAGATCATTCCAACAAAGAATGAGTACATTTTGAAAGCAATCATGGTGGAAATCAGGTGAGCACGCAATATGTAAAAAGATGATTCTAGAAATAAAATATGATATTATCATTGAATACCTCACTAGCATAGAGCCACATAGAAAAGTGGTGTGAAGACTAGCTGACTGCTGTCCACCCCTGTATCAGGGACCATGCAGCAGTATAATCTAATACTGGATACCATTACTACCTGTTATCATTGTTGCATATACATATGTGTTGCTACGTTTGTGAGATACTCCACTAACATGGTTTCTTTCATAGTCAAGTATGTTTGGCACATCTATGGGCTTTTTCATGACCTGTTATACAGATGTAACGTTATATGTACATGGCCCGAGAATAGTTGATTTTGTAAATTTTGTCTCAGGAAAAGAAGCAATTAACCATGAACAATGCATAACAGGATCAATAAACAGGACCTATGGTGCTCCGGCTGTCTTACTGAGGAATGACTGTGGTGTGAAAGATGTCAGATAGCTAGAGTATTAGTCCACTCTAGATATATACATGTACCATAAACAATGCTTAAAATACTGGCCCTAGTAATATACATACCTTGTCAGGCATCTATTGCATAATTTATGTAAAATTACCTGACTTGAACCACATCATTTTTCTATCATTGGTTGCTGTCTGCGGCCTTGACCCTTGCGTCACAGTAGCGTGTGAGCGTTAGTGCGTACACACCCACTGACCCAGCTATCATTATATTCTAAACTCCTGTTTAACCAGCAGTGGTGAAACCAGCCAAGTCTAGAGTCAGGTAAGGTATTAGCCTGTTATTAGCTTCATAAAGACAGCTGTTATGTTGTAAAAAATCTGCATGAAATCATTACACTACGTCAGTGTTTGTACGTTGTGTTCAAAGAATTTACCAAGGTCATTCCACCTTGTTTGACAAGCTGTCTGTCCTTGGTTGAACTCAGGATATTGTTAGGAGATTTCACGTTGTTGAAGGTGGTTGCTTGCGTTGGTTCCTTCTCTAGTTACAAGATAAAGCGTGCACTAGCTGTGTACTTGAGAAACAAGTGCCCCTTTCTGCATGTTAAGTCTTAATTACAGCAACACTATGTCATATTTCAGAGGGGGATTTTTAGTTTGCATGTGCCATGCGTGATAGGGTCATTATTGGACTATATGCAGTTCAAGCCCAAAAGATTAGCATTTCTAGATCATGGACTGATAGTGAGAACGCAGATTTTCCCACTATGTCTGATCTCGCACCAAATATACCTGTAGTCACATGTAACCTCCCGTGAGCTGCGTTTCTCTCTAATAATAGTATTGGGACGGTTGTCATTGTTTATGATAAGTCAGGGGTTATGATAATTGAAATTCAAATGCTCGGCGTCCTGTTAAATTTGCCTGGGGGGAGATTAAGTCTGTGAGGGACGCTATTATCTGTTGAACAATGCTATTCTTTAACCATGAAACCGGCAGAAAGCTTGAATCTGTATTTGCCGAATCGTCCTCTAAAAACTGAATCGTTACATGGTTGTTAAAGATAGCGAAACAGTTAACGTGCTGCTTTAGAACGGTGGTTAGTGTAGAGGTAACCATAGCCAGCTGGATTACGGTATGACTTTCACATCATGTTCACACCGGTGCTTCGCATTTGTTGTACGTGCAGGTCTTGTGCTCAACAACTTGGAACAAAACCTTCTGGTAGAATTCAGTGTGTTTTGTTCTTCACAAGGCTTAGTTACGGAATAAAAATACGCACTTGTAAGAAACCTGGCATCAGATCAAGCTTCGAATGCTTTCTGACTGATTTCTATATAGTAGATGCCAAAACCGCAGAAATTTTAATTGACTGAGCATTTCTGTCCGCCAATTTCTTTCGCCAAATATAATCTCTGTCGTAATGCTACAAAAGGTTGCCGATTGTGTATCGCTCACGGACTGTAGCATTAAATGGTCAGGATTCAATCATGTGGATAAATTTGATCAAGAACGCTTGACATGAATGACCTGACGCGTCACTTAAATAGTTATTTTGTCGGATGATATACTAGTAGTTCACTCTCCTACGAGGGCATGTTAAAGTTCACCACATGTACAGAACACCACTGCGTGGTCTATTCAACTGCCACGACACGGTAAGCAACGTTGGTACTCGTACAATCAAATATTCGCACTATCCTTGGTATATGGTGGGTATAATGTTGCCAAATCCGAAGCTTTTTATCACGTCCGAACGGCACACCTACGTCGCATTTGTACTCTGCTAGAAGGTACTAGTAAAAGTGACAAGATTTGGTTTTAGCTTATTATGCAAAGAAATGCCATTGACTGTCCGTTCCAGTAGGGACCTTCAAGCAAAAAAGGACAACCACAAAGTCACGTCGAAAAGCAACCTAGAACGTTAACATGTCCTCTGTAGCCTAAACCTGGCCTCTACCAGGCTTCGGGAGACGGTCGGAAAAGTAGAAATCGGCCAAATAGAGAGATAACTACTTTTCCAGCCGCCTCCCGAAGCCTGCTAGAGGCTAGCCTAAACCGTATTAAACATCATCAATCCTTAATTAGTTAGGCCCGCTCATGTATATTCATTATATAAGTCAATAAGCCTTTTTTATGAGTGTCATGTTTCCAGCTATGCCGTCCGCGAAGTCGTTGCTAGGCGAGAGAGAGTACAACGCGTTCCGGGACGAGTGTCTGTCCGTGCACAACCAGTACCGATCCCGACACGGAGCCCAGCCGCTCAAGATCAGCAGTCAGCTCTGCCAGTCTGCACAGGAGTGGGCGGAGCAGCTCGCACAGGTAACCGGCCGATTCAGCTGCAATATTGAAAGGGATTTTAGGATGCAGTTTAATCTTCAAGGAGATTCTAGGGAGGCAAGGGTGGCGTATGGCTCCTCTCTGGCGAATGGATACTGTCTGGCCAATTTGATAACTGTCTTTTGCCACCCTAGGATCTGCTTGGAGATTAGATGCACTTCACACACCTACTTATACAACATGTACATAGAAATGCCTGACAAGGGAAACGGCCGGCGTCTTATGGTGATATTACAATCTGTGACAAAAGTATTATAGTTACTCTTACATGTACATCACTGAAATTGTACCTAGAATTGTTTCAATTGCCATGACCTAGTACCTGCACTCGTAAGAGCATAGCATTACAATAATTAAGGTATTTCATTCAGCCATTTTACACTACCAGGTATACAAATGTGACCTTATACCCTCGGTAGTGTCAATCGTCGATATTGCAACGAAGACATGTACAACATGACATATCAGACCTGATTTCTGTGCTTGTCTTTCTAGACCGGTAAGTTGGAGTACAACCCCGACAGCCCGCATGGCCAGAACCTCGGCATGAAGCCGGCGGGAGGGAAGACTCCCCTGTCCGGCAAGTCCCTGTGTACCGCCTGGTACGAGGAGAAGAACAAGTACGACTTTACCAAGAACGGACATCAGGAAGGAACAGGTCTGAGCCTGCGATATTTATCTAAAAGACTCGTGAAGAAGCCAAATTTTGGTGTTGGTAAACAGGATGATTAGAAAATCCAATGCCCAATTATGATGTTTCTTACATGATTAGATCTCGGTTCATCAAAGAAACGATAAAGTTTCCCTAGCGGCATTCATTGGTACTGTGAAAGAATTAAGAGCCACAGTATTGCGGCGTTAGGCCATGTTGATTTGATTATATGGATGACATCCTCCGGGAACCCCAAAATTAATGCGCGCGTGCGAATAAAAAAAAAGTTTTGAAAAAAAAAGTTGTTTTCACTATGAAATCTACGTGGTCACGAGGGTTGAACAAATGGGACGGAATATGGTTTGGCGAATAATCTAGTCTTCAAGTTCATTTCTTTACAATTTCGTCTTTTTTCGTTTGATTTTGGCATTCTACGACATTGGTATGGTTTTTTTTGTAACTTACGGTATATTTTTGCTCATTTTGCAACTGTTTTGTACGATTTACAGTATGGTTGAAAACTTTTTTTTTTTTGAAACGGCCGAAAATTCACGCGCGCGCGGATGTCATCCATATAATCAAATCAACATGGCCTTATCTATCTCATCGATCATAATGACTTCTGACCACACTGCTGTGGTATAGATCAGAGAAACTGTACACCTTAGAAATTTCTTGGAAGCAATCATGGCCTGTTAGGCTGAAATAGAAATTATACCAACCTCTACTTGGAGCTGAATGTAATCCTTCCGGCATGCTTATGTAATTTTTAACTGTTCTGTGCGATTTCAGCCCATTTCACACAGGTGGTCTGGAGGGACAGCCGTGAGCTGGGACTGGGAATGGCGAAGGACGCCGGAGGGAACATTATCGTGGTGGTCAACTACTCACCCCCGGGTAACATCATGGGCAAGTTCCAGGAGAACGTCTCGTCGGAAAGGTTTGTAGATCCCACAAGATTTGAGTAAAGGGCGAATCTGTAAAGTTACATTTATTGTTAACGCAGCGATTTGGTCGTTTTGTCTGTGTCACAAACCCTTAATTCTTTCATCCTCTTCAAATATAAGGGCGGGTCATTGCACTGCATCAAGATAAGGATTTATTCTAATTCGACAATCATAATATGCTGTACCTAGAGAATTTCTGACACGAGGGGAACGATATGATGTCGTTTCTCATTAGTTAATGTTACCCATATCATCAATATGTAACAATAGCAACCTTTATAGCTTTGAGTGACTTTGTTTTTCCCGCACGGCACTAGTAGTGGGAGGAATCCCTCAGTAGCTGGGGGTAACAAACCCGCGACTGGTCGGACGGCGGCGGACGGGAAGCCGAGTCAGGCTGCCTCGGATGACGAAGACGACACGGACTGGACCAACGAGAAAGTCAAGGAAGGTAAAATCTCGACGTTCTCCGGTCTCAAAGATAGACTGTGGGGATAGCATGGTAATTGTACTATACTATACAAGGGCACATTTAGCATCCCAGAAACTCCTGAAATTGTATTCCTTCCTTCCTTCCTTCCTTCCTTCCTTCCATCCTTCCTTCCATCCATCCACCCTTCCTTCCTTCCTTCCATCCTCCCTTCCTTCCATCCTTCCTTCCTTCCTTCCTTCCATCCTTCCTTCCATCCATCCACCCTTCCATCCTTCCTTCCTTCCTTCCATCCTCCCTTCCTTCCATCCTTCCTTCCTTCCTTCCTTCCATCCTTCCTTCCATCCATCCACCCTTCCTTCCTTTCTTCCTTCCATCCATCCTTCCTTCTCTTCTTTCTTCCCCAGGTCATTGAAATCACTCGTAATCTTTTCTATTTCTCGTAAATGTGCCTGAACTTTTTGACGACGCCTCTGGGGTGGGCTTATTTCTCAATAATCATTACATGCTGATTTCTGTCTTGTAGCTGAGGCGAACTTTGTTGAACAGCTGATCGAGCGGCAGAACTACTACCGGGCCAAACATGGCTGTGACCCCGTGACCCTGAACCCCGTCCCTCTGACCGAGCATGCGCAGATGTGGGCAGAAACGATGGCAAAAGACCGGCAGCTGAAGCACAGCGGGAACCACGAGTACGGAGAGAACATCGGCTACAAGTACAGCAAGAGGGGCCGACCGACGAAGGGTGAGCAGATACAGACACATTGATAACATACACACGTATAAGTACACGTACATGCATTAACATCTCATGTTTATGCCAGTACACAAGAACATATATCTGCATACATTATGATAATGATAAGACTCGGGAACAATAATCGTTCATATTGGGAGAGGCACTTAACACGACTTTTATCAATTGACTCAGGTGAAAATGAGTACTAGTGTATATTGTCTATTGTCCGCTCATGCGTTTGTCCTCTGTGTTGGTGGCGGCATAAAAATATGAATAAACTTGAGTGTGCCGTCACCATGTCTTGTGTGTGTGGTAAATGTTGGAATAAATAAAAACTGTGTTAAAGCTAAATGGAGAGATAAGCCCCTGACCCGGTTTTTTTTTCATCAATAGCGGCCGAGGTTGTGGACATGTGGTACGACGAGATCAACCACTACAATTTTGACCAAGGTGGACACCAGGAAGGAACAGGTAACCGAACATTTTCTTCAGAATATTTCATATTGTATCTTGCATGCATGTGGCATTTTCTGGAGATTTCAATGTTTATTCTGCACTTTGTGCCTTTAAAATAGCTTTTAAAGTCGCCATTACGAGTGGGTCCTTATAGAGATCTAGTGTATTAAGATTCGAAAGAAAAGATATATATGTAGAGTGCATGTAAAGTTACTTAACCTTTAGTTTGTACATCGTCGGTTGCAACTCTAACCAAGAAGTTGTTGCCTTCTGCAGGACACTTCACCCAGCTGGTGTGGAAGTCTGCCCGTGAGGTGGGGGTGGGCTGGGCGAAGGACGACACCCGCACCAGGACTTACGTCACCGCCAACTACCTCCCCGTGGGCAACAAGTTGGACGAGTTCGCTGAAAACGTCTTCAAGCCATTGTAGAATTTTTGTACAATGTGTTTTACTCTGTATGATTGGTCATCTCAACCACGCAGGCCTGTTAGCCTGGAGTCCAGCCGTGTCAGCTTTAGTCCACTCCCCAAGATCCGCTACCCGCCAACAAGGCTGGACTCCAGGCTAGAGGCCTGTGGCCTCATTAGCAGGTTTTAAGGCATAGCTTTCTTTGTTGTAGGGACGTAAATGTATTTGTACTCGTAGTTCTAAGTGAAGTTGTCATTAGCCGCTTTTTTTTGGTCTTGGATGCTTCCGGACTGTGCACTGTGGTTGGATTTATATACTGTGTGCTATGTTGTCATTTGATTTCTTTTATGGTTAATAAAGTATTTTTCTGGACTAGCTGTGGTTGTACAAAAATGCTGGACATCCTCCTTGTTGATCTTTTTTTATTCTACGATCTACATGGTATGTAGCGTAATACCAGTGAAGAGAGCATAGCGCTCCTTAGCCTCTATCAGGCTTGGGGAGGCGGCTGGAAAGAGTACAAATGCCGTTGAAATGTGCCAAATTATGAGAGAGAGATAACATGCCGAGGGAGTTGGTCCGCTTTAGAGTACATTTTGCCGCACACTTCGGGTATATCTAGAGACGACATTTTGCCATTTTTATGGCGGACCAACTCCCTCGGTATGTTATCTTTTTATTTGGCCAATTTCTACTCTTTCCAGTCGCCTCCCGAAGCCTGGCAGAGGCTAAGCGCCCCTGCCTTCCGTTCATCTAAGATACTTGAGCTTCCGGAATTCCCTCAAGCCGAAGCGGGAACACTGCGGATGAGAGCGCTGAACCCTCCCGAGGCGCTCGCTCCGTCCGTCGCCAAGTGCAGGGCGAACGTGGAGTCGGAGGTAAATGTCGTGCCGGGAGACAACGCTTGTCCGCAGTACCGTTGAGACGGCGGCGCTCCTAGCGGCCTGAAGATACAGAGAATGAATGAATATAGGTTTAATGTACAGCCCCGAGAGATAATCCCTGGTCAGGTGCAAGAACCACCGAATAAACCGCCGAGTGAGCGTAGTGAACTTTATTGCTCGACGATCGTACATTCAGTACGGCAATACCTTGCAGCAAATCAAGAACACAACAATGTTAATCTAATCTACAATTATAACTACAGAATATCATTGATAACAGTATAATTTACAGTATATCCATGCATGTATGAATGATTTTGTGTCGCTTTTGAAATGTAATACTAGTATGAGGGCGATGGAATATTTCTTGACTTTTTGTATGCAACAAAAGTGGACAGAACTTTGCAGTTTCAGGCGTGATTATACTATAGCAAGTAGACTACATCAAAAGACATCATAAGTCTAAAAGTAATAATTTTCACGACTTACGCATGGACTTCCAAATAATCACCGGTACATCCGCCGGAAGTGACGTTGTTGTCATTCGGGCTGTCCGCCAGGTCAAAGTTGAGGATGTTGACCTGTAGTGAGTACCCCGGATCTGTGGTGATGACGTACCAACAGTCCAGGTTGGGAGGGTAGAGTTCGGGGTAGTTAGGCGAGCTGATGATGTCTATGCCGCCACCGGTAACGTACTGGTCCACCCTGCAGTCTAGAAGAACAAGAGAAAGTAAGTGAACTAGAAAACCACCAGCTAGAAGGGAAATAATTTTCTATGTTCCTAAACCTTACAGTCGTACCATTTGGGACTACAAAAATATCAATTATGACTCTCTCCTTGCTTTTTCAAATGATCCCTCATGGAATGACATTTACAAGTGTGAGACGGTTGACGAAGCCAGTAACAAATTATGTGATCTTATCTTGGAGGCGAAAGGTCGCTGCGTCCCCCATAAAACAATTGTTATTAAGCTCAATGATAAACCCTGGATGTCTTCAAAAATAAGGCGACTTATGCGCTCCCGCGACAAGTCGCACAGAATTGCCAAATTTTCTAACAATTCTACTGACTGGGAATTATATCGTAAAATTCGTAATAGACTTTCTACAGAAATCACACGAGTCAAGGCGGAATATCAATCTCACTTGGAGGCTCCTCAATGTTACCCTCTATGTACAACTTTAAAACGATGCAACTCACTCAGGTTTACATTGGAGATACTAAGCGCTTCTAGCTCTGCTTGACTGTTTATAACAGTCAATTAGATATAGAAGTCCAAATACTACGTAAGTGTTAATGGGCCTAAATTCTCCTCCTAGCTCTGATTGGCGGATGTTTTTCCGCCAATGAGATATAGGAGGTTACCATGTAATCTTATCTTTCAAATAGCTCTGTTAGCATTTAATTTAATATTTTAATGTCTTGGGGTGGTGGGACTACGGCGCACATGTCAATTTTGTATATTTAAATGTTAATTGTACCCTTTTGTGTGTGGCGCTGTTAATATAAGTTGTTAACTTGAGTGCAGCGTCACACTGTCCTTGTTATGTCTGTATGTTTTGATGAATAAAAAAAAAAAAAAAATTTTCTGCAATACATCGACAGAACATTACTGTTAGACTTTTTGCTCTGCTTCTTTTTGATCGATGTAGTGATAAACTTATTTCACAATATTGTGGATATGGTCCAGCGTACATCTACTAGCTACTTAGTATATAATAACAAGCATGGTATGAGACTTATCTACCTTACAGAAGACTGAAGTATGGGATAAGAATATGATTTTTACAATCACACGAGTGATTGCGGTTTTGTTTACATAATATACATGCAAATTATTTAGAGACATATGCAAATTATTGGTAGGCAAATCAACCAATCGTCACCCGCCTACCACTTGCTAGCTGTGACGTCATGGCAATCGCCCGTTTTGGTGGAATTGCTAGCGTTTTGGCATTTTTTGTACATATTGTCCTATATTTACAGCGCATGGGTTGCATTTCAGTATTCACTTGGATTTGCTATTTGATATGTATCTGTGCTTTCATTGCTAATATGGAAGTTTTGTTTCGTGTCTGCGTGTGTGTGGGGTGGGGTGGGGGGTGCAACCACCTGTTAAGGGCACCAGAGTGGCCGGCAGTGTGGTCAGCGGTTGGTCAGTAGTGATCGTTGTGGGATCGACTGTGGTCATCAGAGTTGTTCCAGGCTCTACACTAACAGTGGGGTGTGCAGCGGTGGTTGTAGGCGCAGTGGTGGTTACGTTGGCCATCCCTGAATTAGTTGCAGTTTGTGTCGTGACGCTAGGGGTCGATTCTGTCGGGGGAAAGGTGGGGTTCGGCTCCGCTGTCGTCGGGTGATCTGTTGTGGGTTCTACCAAAAAGATAACGATATTAGTTTCCACCGGACTCTTTTGCAGGCTAAATAAATAGTAGAAATCGGCCAAAAAAGAATTTATGTGGCCAGGGGAATTGACATCCTTTTTGGCGATGCCTACTACTAGTATTTATTCAGCCTGCAAAACAGTCTGGTGGAGACTACAATGATATGACGTTTCCAATTTCATTACGAACTTTGTCTCGTGATAGCTATTCCTTCTTAAGGTAGTGATTTGCTTCATCATTAAGATTGAGCCTGGAGAACAAAAACACTATGTTAGTATTTGTCTTCGACAAAAGCAACGATGCAATATATATCGCTTACTACTTACTAAGCTTTCTATTATCTTGTTGCACAATGTCCCAGTTCTTCCTGCGGTTCTGTATATGTAATACTGTATGAGAAAATGCTATCATGAGTCTGTCCCTACCTGCACACGCCTGTTGTATCAGCCGCACGGCGTCTATGGCGATGTCACCCGTGTGTGAATCTCCCACAAACGCCTCGAAAATCACCTGAAAAGAGTGGTCAGAAGTTATTACCTCAGATATCCTTTGAACATCCTATCAATATCTGCAATTTGTTTATACATCATATGTCATACAGATTTTATTTGTAATTTCCATAGCTCTAACTGTGCACTATTAAGCCCTCTGTGTACTGAACTATATGTTTTACATGTTATAGAAATCACAAGAGGGTTTCGTTACGTATAGCACGTACGTACGTACCTTATGATACCCCTCTGTAGGGAACGAGACCTGTGCTTCCTGCCAGGCCGATCCCTGGTCTCCTTTCCTGGCCCACACCAGCTCTCTTACCAGCTTATTGGTCCTTCAATAACAGACAGATTCAATGAACTAGAGAACATTTGCAAAGCAAATGCATAATGTTTACCTTCGGACATGGTCTGCCCTGTTAATTTTTACTCAAACATATTCACATACATGTACTACTAGTATATGGTGACAGGAGCAGAGCAGACCATGAAGTTTGCAACATTATGTAACCCAACACCAGTCACCATGGTGACAGATGTCAACAAATTATGTCATTGGCCAGGTCAGAGGTTAGTGTTTGGAGAAGAGGAAATTGAGTAAAAACAATGTTTTCCTTCGGTAAACATAATGAGTGTAACAAGTCCTTCAATTGAATGGCAGGTAACTATGAAGACAGAAGACAAGAAAATACTCTGATTCAATGTTTTGCTTTTTACTTTGATGCTGGCTGTGTATATGTGATGTTCTCACTGATTCAAAACCATTTGTACAATTATTGAGTCAAAATTTGAGAATGTAGGAACCTTTTTTTTTCGGCCCGCCTTGTTTTTTTCACCCGCACGCATTAGATTTGGAGTCTGCCGAGGATGTCATCCATAAAATTTACTTGCTGTGGCCCAACCTACCTAGTCTCTATGTACACGTTGAGTGTGTCTACGCTGTCCCCGAACATGTGGTAGTGGAACTCCAGCAGAGGACAGCCCTCCGGTTCGAACTCCTGGCTGATGAGCCGGGCCACGTCACCAGGTCGGTGCGGGGGAGACGACTCGATGTACGCGTAGTAGTAGTCTGGAAAAAGGATCCGGTCTATCTTAGATTTGAGTAGCACGTCGGCAGAACATACTGTACCTGCACGAATCTCACAATGTATTGTGCATAGCACTTCGGCAGAACGTCTCATTCCCGTATATAAGGTTAACATCCCGTCAATAGTTTCCAATGTTATGTCGAAAAGATATCGCCTGCAACAGACAAAATTCTGATGCAACGTTGACCAAAAATCCAACGAAAACCGTGACAATTCAGGGTTTCGCACAGGCGCAGTACGTTCTGGCGACGTGCTGAGTTATTTGAATCTGTAGTTTTTGGTAGCAAATGTCCAGTACGTATACTTAGTTATCATACTTATCAAGCCTTACCCAAGTCCCCATACCCACTACTGGGGCCTGTGCCTGGTGAGGTAGTTTCTCTGTTGTTTCTTGTCCAGTCGAAGTCGTCCGACCTGTCTTGTTCGTAACTGCAGAAGTCTGCTTCAAACTCGCATTGTATTGGGTCTACATTGGAGGCATATAAACATCATAAAACTGTATCAAAAGTGTTTTTAAATGCTCATCCACCTCTCAATAAAAAGTTATGATGTAAACTATCTTCTTCAGATTTTTCAAAGTTTACAAATATGCAGATATTCCAGAAATAGAAATTTAGCGATTTTCTGGCGACTTACCCTTACAGATGACGTCATTTCCGGACCACGTGCCTGCTCCCTCGCAGGTCCGGAATTCGCTGCCCTGGCTGAAGCCGTACTTACACTCGAACCCAATAACGGAACCCCAGGCAGTCTCGTTCCCAAGGATCTTTCCGTACTCTGGGCGCTGCAGCGCGGGGCAGTGGATCACTGTAATGATATACGCAATAAAGCGGCGTTTAAAAACGCCTCGGCAACGTGATTCTATTTTGACCAAAAGTTCCGCTGCAGTCCCAAGGGAAGCCACTAGGGGGCCCAAAATCTCATCATTACTAGATATAGTCACCCTACCAACCCACCAAGTATGAAACCAATCCATTCAGCCGTTCTTGAGTTGTCTTGGTGACAAAATTTAATTCCCTAGGGAATGCATTCGTGGAATTCTTAAAATATTTTCAACTCAATCGCAGTACTATACCAATGGCTCCGCCCCTGAGGCGTCGCCAAAAACAGTTACTCGTACTCAAGCAACTAGATATATGCGGTCAGACGTTTCAGGTAGCATCGTCACTACCTTTCGTCAGTGACACTGGAGACTTGTCAGAAAGGCAGGTTTATAAGCACGAATTGTTATGATTATTTTGTCATCTTTTCTCTTTTTTTTCATCTCACACCAGACTGGGTCTATGTTTATCGAAGAACGTTATGGATACAAAGATCTACAAAGTTTAGCATGGTCCCAGCTTACCCTGACAAGCCGGCTCCTGACCGCTCCACGTCCCGTCTGCCTGGCACACCGTCTGACTGGGGCTGGCCGGCGTCAGCTCGAACCCTACCGAGCACGAGAACGAGGCCGAGCAGCCATACGTCATGCACACGTGATCTGAGACGACCAATTGGCTCGGAGATGGCAGAGCGGGGCAGGTGACAACTGGGTAGGGAAGAATCGTAAGCAAAGTTCAAGGCCCATCACCCTTCACCCAACCGCGACGGGGGCCGACATCGTCTACCAGATACATCTGACCCAGTGTTAACGTTACACTTCAAAGAAACCACGTGACAAGCCTCACTCAGTCTACTGAGGAAGACCAGAGTGATTGGTCGAAAACTCTAGGTGAGAGAACTTTATTGTGTTAGATCTGAAGTTTTAAACATGTAGCTACCAACACAGAGGAACTTTCATGATAGTAAATGAATCGTACTTTGACAGGTTGGCACCGGCGCGGACCAGCCGACGCCTTCCACACAGGTGGTGTTGGCGTCGCCGATCAGCAGGTGTCCGGGGCTGCAGGTGTACTGCAGGGTGGCACCTGCCAGCTGGCCGGAGAAGCTGCTGACTCCGTTAGAGATGGAGGGAGGGAAGGGACAGTCAGAAGCTGTGGAGAAAGAAGGGGATATCACACAGATATGGTGAGTTTCAGAGAAGTCTTGTCTTTCTATTGCTGACGACCAACGGTGTTTTTGGGTAGGTGTTTTCAGGTGTTATCAAGGTTAGATGCGGTTGCAATTCCAGGGAAGAACAGGCGATGGTACGCAATGGTATAGTGTTCATCATATACATGTAGAGCTATTCTAATTGCAGTATCATTAGAACAAAATGCATTCTGATATGACCATGGCTTATACGATCTACATAAAGAGAAGCTATTAGCAATAATGTAAAGACTAACAATGGATGCCATTTGACTTAATTAAAAACTCAGAGTTAGAAAAATGTCTGACCCCAGTATGTGAGGTTGAAGCCCCTGTCAGTGACCGTGGCGTCGGTTTCCCAGACAACGAAAACATCGTCTGTCGTCTTGGACGAGAACACGTCATCGGGCGGATACCTCCCGGACAACGTCACAATGATGTCACCGCTGGTACTGGAGCCCTGGCGTTCACAGAACAAAATAGTTTGATACTGGGAGCTACTACATCATTGAAATAGTTCATTCGGGTAGAATGCTCGCTTTAATTAATTTGTAACTTGGAGGTCGTGAGTTCAAACCCCGGCCAGGTCATACCAAAGACTTTAAAATGGTTCATACTGCACTCAGCATCTATGAGAAAGAGTAGGGGGAGGTCAAACACACGACACTACCAGCGGGCTAGCCCCTATTGTACTGCTTGCACAATCGTGTGGCCCAAGGGCTACAGAAGTGGAGATGGTACCACCCCTTTGCTCTTCACAGAGTGGAACTGCGCCATTTTTATCATTGACAAGAAAATTAACAGGAGAGGAAGTATCGTTATCATGAGATTGTCACGGTATTAAATAAAAACGCGCCTCATAGACAGTTAGCTTATCGTAAAAGTGTTCCGTCTGCAGGAAGTTGAGCCGGAAGAGAGTGAGGTGGTTGTCCCTGGGCTTCAGCACCCACGTGCACCGCTGGCGGTCCTGGTAGTTCCCGGGGAAACCTGGGCTGTACAGAACTCCGCTGTCGTCTGTCAGGAGGTCGCCGTTACCACACAGGGCTGGAGCAAACATAATCAATATTTGCTTGGTATTAAACATCAACTATAGCCTATAGCTAGCCTCTACCAGGCACCGCGGATCACTGGAAAAATAGTAGAAATTGGCCGAAATAAAGGATAGAGTACCAGCCGGCCAGAGAAGATCCTAGGGTCGCAAATTGGATCCTTTTTGGCCGGCTTACTCCCCTGGTATACACTATCCTTTATTTCGGCCAATTTATACTATTTTTGCTACTTTCCAGCTATCCGCGGTGCATGGTAGAGGCTACAGTTAACAAAAAAATAATGCGTCTTGTAACGTGATACTTTTTCGAACGCGCCTAGCAATGGGAAAGAATACCGTAGTAACAGACCGCCGGCGCGCCGTGGATAGCCTGGCCTTATGCTCAACAACGATAGATGTATTTAGCTTTAGTTGTTTTGTTCCACGTAGAACTGGCACATAATGCTGTAACGATGCTACGCCACAAGAAAGGCTTACCTGTGCAGGTTGGCAGGGTGGTGTAGTCCCACTTTCTGTCGGGACCGCAAACAAACGTAACCTTGTTGTCTGGATGACCGTAGGTGAACCCGGGATCGCAGCTATACGTCATGGTGTCCATGTACAGTAGCCCGGTGTACGTGTAGTACCCGTTGGGAAGGTCATCAGGCAACGGGCAGCTCACACCTATAGGAGAGGGAAGATGCCTACACTGAAGATATAACATGTAGGAGATGGAATATATCTATACTAAGGAATCTACTGTGGCCCGTATAGACATGGCGCCAAAGCACTACCAGCGCCCGGCGCGAAAGCATTTGCAATGTCGCTATGTGCCACCGTAGAAAAGACAGAAATTCTATCGAGCGCTTTTACCAAAGATTGTCAACGGGCAGCTGACACCTATGTGATATGTGGGAGAGGGAAGATACATGTACATAAACAAAGAAAAACCTACCGTGGCCCGTAAAGACAAGCGCGAAAGCACTAACAATGCCCGGCGCGAAAAAAACTTCAAATGTCTTTATGGGCCATCGTAGAAAAGACAGAAATTCGCCAACGTCTATCGAGCGTTTTTACCAAAGACGGTAACAACTGGAGCGAGCAGGGGCGCTAGCTATTAATCCTATTGTGGCGCAAGACATCTATGGCGGCAAACTCACGTTTACAGGACGGTTCTGGGCCGACCCAGGTGCCGTTTTCCGTGCAGGTCCGATTGGGGGTTCCTGAGATCTCGTACCCATGGTCACAGCGGTATAGGGCGTACGCCTGGTCATACGTCACGTGGCCGTTGGCGGGGTCTGGCAGGTCAGCGCATGGGCGGACTGTTCGAGGTCAAGTTTAAAGTTACGAACAATTATATGAGGATTCCAACACAAGCAATCGTATGATGTTTACTTGTTGGTCAATGCTATTAGAATTGACAGTTTGTAGCTATAAGTTTTTTTAACAGAAACGTGATCGTGTTTTAATTGCTGTAAATGTAAAAGCAAGGAGGTTATATACGTTTCTATGTTGTCCATCCATTGACTACCGTAAACATCTGCTTTACGAATGTATACTTATAACTGTGGATATTTACCAGCTGAATATATGGGACTTATAAGAGAAGACTTACTGTAAGGGTCGCAGATGACGCCTGCGTCTTCTGAGTGGGTACAGTCAGAGCTGGTGGCTGCCGGACACCGGAATATCGTCTCCTCGGTTCCTGTGCACTGCACGTCGTCTAGAACAATGTCTCCCGTACCTACAGAAAAGTGTGGAATACGGATCAGTAACAGGAGGTATTTTAAACTTAGGTTTTGGGTCAGGATTACTTGTTGTCCAAACACGGAGCCAGCAAAGCAAGGTTTGTAGCTGACTGTACGACTACGTATACGTGCTCAAGCTGCCTACCAGTAGGCACTGAAGTAGCCTGGTATTCATGATCAACTTGTGTACTCTTCCCAACAGTCGCAGGAAGGTAGCTGATAAGAAAAACGGATGAACATCAGAATAGCTGAAGCTAAAGTCATGCGTCTGCTCTGCAATCTCCGCGGAAGTATATACCCTAGTCCTTAACTTCCAGTATGATGCAAGTGTTCACCTGCTCCAAAGAAGGCATCTCCATGCGCGGACAGTGCCCTGTGGTATCCCAGCATCCTACAGACGACGTGCGCGTCATTGATGTCCCACAGATCGTCGCAGATGGTTCCCCAGTACCCGCCAGACAGGAGCTCCACTCGGCCCTTGTTCGGAGTAGACCCTCCCGCAAGCCGGATCCTTCCTATGCCAGCTAAAACCCAGAGGATACACATGTACATACTCCACAGCGATGTTTTTTTAGTAGGTAGAAACATTGCAAAAATGACGGCATGTGGTCTACGACATAACGTTTTGAGATGATTTAAAACATTTAAATGAATGTCGTTCCTTAGTTACTTATTGAAGTACCATCTACCCTTTTTTTGCCTAAATTGGACATTTTTCTTAAACTATAGGACGGTGTTTGTAACAATGCCGACATTCCCGAAATAGTTTTCCACTCACAGACTGCCCTGTAGCTGATTTGGAAGCCCCTTGCTTGTACGGAATTATCGGTGGTGAAGTAGACATCCAGGCGAGGGGTTGACGTATCGAAGGCCGGAATGCTACCGGTGCCGCAGTATTTGGTGCTGTAAACACCCTATGGGAAAGGATTGCATCGACATCTTGTTAAAGTACGTAGCTATAGCTTTAAACTGCAAGAATCTACGCACTGATCCTTGCTCTTTAAAGCTACGGTCACAACCCGCCGTACGTGCTTTTTCTCCGTACGTTTTTTGGGAGGCTACGTCTGCTACGTTTTTTCTGAAAACGTGGGGAAGGAGTGGCGTCTACGCACGTCACTCGCACGGTTGGACAAAGTGTAAGAGTGGGGCCTGCACGCCAAGTCTGGTCGTGAGCGGTTGCGTGCATCGTACGTTGCGCAAGTGGTAAGTGAGTTGTACGTGCTTACAACGTACAATCTCTGTGCGATTGGAACTTTACCGTAAGGACGCCGTACTTACACGTGCTTCTTCCGCACGGCACGTACGGGGCACGCGCGTCGCTCGTACTCGCACGCACGGGTGGTGAATCCGCAGACCGCACGTAGAAAAAGTTCTTACATGCACTTAAAGTTCTACGGCGTGTCAGCGTGCTCCCAAATCCGTAGGATTCCGTACGGAGGCGGTACTCACCACGCACGGATGCCCTGCGTTTGCCCACGTTTTTGCACGTAGACAGCACGCAGAAGCACGTACGGCGGGTTGTGACCGTAGCTTAACTTACTACTGCACGCCAGCAAGGCACATTTTCTGACCTTGAAAATAAACTTTGCACAAGTTCATGGAGAAATGAAAAAGAACACCTTTTTCACTCGTCAATATATAAGATAAAACTATGACCATCTCCGAAACATGTTTTATTTTCATTAGAATACTCTTCGGTTTATTGTCTTACCAAATGGACGTACTGTTTGCTGCGTATAGGTCTCTGTATCTGTCTCTGTATAGCCGGTATAACACACCAGCTTCGCAGGCACGCGGCGCGGCGGCATCTGACTATATTACACCGGACGACCTGTTACACCTACATGTAGCCTTTGAACATGTAAACCTTAACATTGCTTAGCTGCTTTATTTACAAACTTACGTTTTCTAAGAACCGTAGATAGTCGTACGGGCAGCCTTCGTCATACTCGATGTCCATGTCGGTGACCTGAGCTAGGATGGTGTGGTCAGTCGGAGCCTGGATGGTCCAGTGACAGTTCAGGTTGTCCGTGTAGGGGTAGTTGGGGTAGTTCGGGGACGCCAGGAACTGTGCCGTCTCCCGGGCTATGAGGTTGCCGCCGCATGATTCTGCTGCATCTGTCAGCACATAACGTTACAGACAAACTTTATTGACACAACAAATGTACGGGCGACTTTCGTAAGGTCCGTAACTACATGTAAACATACTATACAGACAGAAACGTGTGTACAACAAAATTGACCTACGTACAAAACAATAGATGAATCAACTTATACTACTAAGGTATAAACATTACTTGTACTACTAAGGTCTAAACATAGACCACTAAGGTCTATACTACTATCTAAGGTCTAAACATTATTTGATTATATCTGTACGTACACAGTAAGGGTTATTACCATCTAGAATGAAATTGAATTTATTCATAGCTTGAAATGTAACAAATTCCGTTGAGCAAGCAGACAAAAAGGTTGAGCAGTACATGTAGCGATGGATTTTTTTCTCATTCTTGATGACAATCTTGTGCGAGTTATACGTATTATTACTAGTTCTTTCCATATGTTATATGGATATCACATTCATTAAATGCATAAACGCAATGCATGTACAGCACACACAAACACCAATTTGCGGATATCTGTTAGTATATAAATGCATATATGTCGACGTAGATGATTGCATGGCGTACGTGTACATGTATGTATTCGGGAGGGACTGCAGATATTACACAATGTTACATGTATTACAAAATTCTTGCACGAGTTGCAAATATTACGCAATTTGTGGGCGCGTATATATTTCAAATATTTTGTTTGTTCGCATAACTGGTAAACCACCATAAGGCGTAACACTCCAGCTTTGTACACTAAGTCGGGACTGTAAGGTTTGATCCACTCACACAGGGAAGGACCCCTACTCCTATCGATGAACTGTGGTTAACTCCCTAATATACCATAACCTCTTTGTGCCGCAAAGTAGCTTTGTGGAAAAAACACAAGGGATACACTACTATGTATGTTAAAGTTGATGTTAATGCATTGTAAACCGTATGAAAATTTTACATTCTCTCAACTGTTTATGATCACAAATATTCTTTACCAAGCACGGCCACCACAAACCCGATCTACAAAATGTCTTACCTGGCAAAACGCCCAGACACAAAAGGACAATGAAGACTTGAAACGTCGCCATATTTTACCACAGATGTGGCGTACGTGCGTATGTGTTGGCTGTCCTCTCCTTGTCCTTTTGCACACGGTCGGCCTGATAACACAGGTCAGCAGCGCCGAATGTTGGAGAAAACACTGAACGATAAAGAAAATAACATTGTACGCGCAAAGAAAAGTAAGAAGTGATGAAATAGACGTCAAAAAGAAAATGGTGGAAAACTGCTAGATCATCAGATTGAAAGTCAAAGTCAATGGAACACCATCAAACCTACCTTTTACCGCAGTGGACTGCTCTAAGTTAACACCGTGTGAGAGTAGTTAGGGGGCGGACACCTGTACATGTGTGGTGTATGTGGGTGTTCTACTTGTTCTAACCCACATGAAAACACTACAATATCCGGAGATCTGTATCTGTATTGTTTCAACCAGCCGGTATACGTATTTAACCATCCTTCGGTAGAACACACCTTCTTTACAGATACGTGTCGTCAGCAGGATATTTTTTCCAAGTTCTTTTTATTAACTTTTCAAAGCAAAAGAACACAGACATGCATGCCACAGCTATTATAGTCAAAAGAAATTAACACAGAATTACTTAGATGCATACTCAGAACTTTATTTCTTTGTATTTGGATCCCATATACAGATATGTTGTCCTAAAAATAAATGTGCGTCTTACAAGTCTATACTCGGCATTCTAGGGTCAGAAACAGGAAGGGTTTTATTTGTCCATGTAGAAAACGTTAAACAATCCGGTATATCGACTATGAGGAATGTGTGCTTCTCTTATCAGAAAGGTTTTCCTTGCGCAAATGTGCGTCATGCTAGCGTCTTGTGATCGGAAGGCAATGCCCTGTAGTCATTCATTCATTCATTGACTCACTCATTTATAGATACATGTCCATATAAGTTCATTCATAAAATCCTACATTCTTTCCATATCAAGTGAAACTTGTTTGAACGAGGCGAATGATCCATGGACATACTCCTTAAAAGAACGCGCCGACGCTGAACATAATTTATCCCACCAACTGTATAAAAACTTTTAACTTTTCTTTCATATGTCTCATGTCAGAACGGAGAAGTTATGAAATGAAGTAAAAGGCAACAGCAATGTGACTGTCTCTTTTGACTGGCATGGTATGAAGCTAAGTTGAACCCTGTTCACCTGCCCAAGCGGCCGGACAAAGCACGCCCCCACTTCTACCGCCTACTCCCCCACCTGTCCTAAGCGGTGACATGAAAGCCTGGTCACCGGCAACGTACACCACTTCCTGACCGCGTGGTATGCATGTCTTGACTTGTACATTTTTTAAAAACTTTTTTTTATAGTCACGTAGTAGTGGCTTGTAAGCGGTTTCAGGGAAATCCATATTGGGGATAAAACTAGATTCGTTTTTGCATACATGTCTTCTTCTTGTGTGCTTAAAGGGTTCATCGTTCTGACCAGATGCACATGTGAATGTTGTTAGCACCCATGATTGAACCTAGTCCATGTAAGAACTACTTGTAGTCTTGAGTAAACCCCATGACTAGGGTCCTCCGAAGGACGACCCCCGCCCGTACGTTGACCGCGCACCACCTGTACGGTTCTCACCCGTCCCATGACATAGTCCCGCCCACATGCTCACCTCCACACAGATAAATACATGCGCCCTTCAGCAGAGGTACAACATTATTGGGCAGCTTCAGCTTGGGGTAGGGCTTCTCAACTCAAGTCAAGATGAGAGCGTTGAAAGTGTGCGTGATCGCGGCAGCGCTGGTGTCCTTTGCCAACGCACAAGGTACGAGCATGTCTACATTTCTGTGATTATCGAAACAAGTAGAGTTGCAAATACTATTGCTGCATATGTGTTGCGATGTTCTTTGTTGTATAGTTCCATATGTTGAGCATTATCAGAGGAAAAGGCGCTGGTTTTCTTCGATTATAGAATGAAATGGAGCACAGTGGAAATGGAGTTTCTGTACCAAGCAGGTACGCATTTTTAAGCGAATGAAGTTCATGCAAAACCTGCATGTATATAAGGATATCGAGGTTGCGTTGAAAAGTTGGAAATGGTCTTAAAATCTTAGTTTGCTCGACAGGCTTCTTCAATATTTCAATGGATGTACAGTAAGCTTGTCCTTGTTTTTTTTCTTGGTGGTGTACTTGATATTTTGGTAGCGCCTCTGGGGCGGAAGCATTGTTTACAGTACATCACGATCAGTCTAAAAATATTCAGTAAATTGAACGAATGCAATCCCTGGGTTTTGAGGAAGCCTTCCTTGCTACGTGATTGCACTTCCAAAAAAGTTGCTAGGGGGACCAAATCTACCCTAATTCTTCATATGGCCAAAAGCTATTTGCCAACCTAAAATCATGATCTTCAAGCTAGCTTCTTAGAGAATAGCCTCCACGGAGCGTTTTTTGGTTGGCAAGCTCCGTGGACGCTATTCTTTGGTTTATTGGTTTATTTCAAACACAAACACAAATCACAATACAGCTCCATCACTAGGCAGCCACAAGGCTGAATTGTGTGAATAAAAGCTTTAGACAGTGAAATAAAATCCTGATCATCATTCCGTGTTTTAAAAACAGTCATTAAATTATATTAAAATCATACATTTACACAGACTATTCATGATTTAAAATGTGAACAAGGTACGGTAATGTACTTCTGCTGTACCGCTCTGTGCGCGCTGGCAATTGGTCAAGTTTTGCATGTTGTCTAGTCATCCTCCCACTGACACTACCCCTGGTTTGGGGCAGCCAGTGTCGGTAGAGGGTAGAAGCTTGTATGTTGTTCGCAAACCGTCTGCACAGGGCTATTCTCTAAAAAGTCCGAACATGCGCCCCGACGTTGTACCCTTTGGAAAGGTACTTTACACGACTTTCCTCACTTCACTCAGGTGAAAAATGAGTACCTAGCTTTGGCTAGGGACGTCCCTCGGATAGGACGTTAAATGGAGGTCCCGTGTTTGGGAGAGCCACACCCCACGCACGTTAAAGAACCCACCGCACTTATCGAAAAGAGTAGGGGACCTTCCCGGTGTGAGTGGTTCAAACCTTACAGTCTGGTCTCGGGGTTGACATCTTTGAAAAGGTGATAGTCACCTGTTATATCAATCCTTCCACAAATGTGGTAAATCTTCATAAATAAATAAAAATAAAAAGCTAGCTCCGTGGAGGCGATTAGTACAGTCCCCTTCCCAAGATTCTATATTACTCCTTTGTTTCCCATGGAAGAGGTTCATCAGTCACGTAATATAAGATAGTGGAATATTCGTAGGCAAGCTACAATTGTAGAGGCCAAGGTCAAGTTAGACAACGGACCACGTGGGGGGTCCCTACGTCGCATCAATCAGTGACTATTTTTGAAAGGTAGAAACACGTACCTACAAGTTTTCCATGTCGACTGTACATCTTGATCACGGAGTGACCTAGTCTCGCGAGAACACGACACGAGGTCACTCCGTGATCAAGAATTTCAAGATGTACAGTCGACATCGAAAATTTGGAGATACGTGTTTCTACCTTTCAAAAACAATCACTGCTTGATGAATATATTACTAACTATCTTCCCTGTTTTCACAGTGTCCACCGGAATAGGTCTGTACGCCGGTTTGGTGCGGCTGGTGAGCGGACCCAGCGTGCGGGAAGGCCGGGTGGAGATACGGCGGACTGAGTCCGAAAGCTGGGGGTCCATCTGTGACGACAGCTGGGATTTGCAAGACGCTCACGTTATCTGCCGTATGCTCGGCTATCCACGTGCACTGGAGGCCAAAGGTTCTGCTTACTATGGGCAGGGTAAGTAATACGGTGTATTCCGTATCGCCCGAGGTTCCAGCCGACCGTGGGTCGGATCGCCTGACGGCAGAAGGCCGGAGGGAGATCCGATCCGCGGGAGGGCTGGGACCAACAAATTCTATGGAACATTTGGAAGCTTACGTCGATGACTGTTAGACATCCAGGTAATACGATACGCCAAAAAGCAGTTACTCAAGCAACTGGAGATGATTTTGGAAAAATTCCAAAATCATATCCAGTTGCTTGAGTAACTGCTTTTTGGCGCATTTGGACGCTTGTGTGATAAAAAATGGAGCCCCGGGCCGTACCGCCAGTTACTAGTATTACACACGACCGAAACACCCGTATCGAACGTATTCGCGGCCCGGGTATGACATAAACGATAGTACACAGCTAGTTCAAGGGTCACGTTATGTTTCAGGAAACGGTAATATCTACCTGGACGATTTGAACTGCAATGGGAACGAGGACAGCATCTTCGACTGTCCGTCCAGAGGATGGGGCTCCCATAACTGCGGCCACGGAGAAGATGCAGGCGTGGTGTGTGAGGAATATAGTAAGTCTTTTGCTGCAACTCTAATGTAAGGCCCCTGGTACAAACGAACTCACGACCTACCGAATCATAACTGCATGGCCAGGGATACTTGCTGTGGCTTATCTTAGAGGAGCAGGGGTGGGGGGGGCAGTTAATCCCTATCTTGGTGGGTATTACGACAGCATTTTAAACCTGGCAAAACAAAAATGATGAAATGTTCGAGCCAGTTTGTTCATTTATTCATTTATTTACTCATTCATTCATTCATTCATTCATTCATTCATTTATTTACTCGTTCATTCATTCATCCGTTTGCAGCTCGACATTGTGCGGACTTGGTGGTGACCCACGGCCACGCCACGTACTGGTTGGACACGGCGTTCATCCACTGTGACGTCGGCTACATGGTGGTGGGACCCGGCGTCAGGAACTGCACAGCGGACGGGACGTGGGTGGGGGGAAACAACGCCACGTGCCAAGGTATGAAAAATTTCTCTACCTCTGTATGTTAGTGATGGGGTACCACGCCCAGGGTGCAGGGCTAGTGTAGCCGGTGGGATGACGTGATAAAGTGAGTGGCCGCACTGTTTTCTTTATTCCAACATGTAATGACAAGACATGGTGACAGCACACACAAGTTTTCAACTTATGACAGTTATGTATGTCGTCACCCACCAACGCAGAGAACAGTACTCATTTTCACCTGGGTGAAGTAAGGAAAGTCGTGTAAAGCGCCTTTCCCAAGATTAATGGCATGACAGGATTCGTTCTTCATAAGAATCGGCCTATGTGTCTGGGACTGGTCGAAAAGTTTGTCTTTGCAATCGGTGTGTTAGAAAACAGGTTGATTATTTTAGGATAGCTGGTTTTAAATATGGGATTCGGCAGCAGGGAGAAGGTTGAAAACTGAACATAAATGTGCCCTACTTCGTCGCAGTGACGGAATGCCCACCGCCACCCACCGTCCTTCACGGAGAGGTGACGTACACGGGTCTGGAGTATTCAGACGTCGCCACGTACACCTGCGAACCCGGCTTCACCTTCAACAACCCGTCAGAGCAGCTCACCTGCGAGTCTCAGGGAGACTGGGACTTCATCAGGACTCCGGCGTGTGAGAGTAAGTCAACGTCTCTGTAACTTTTATCACTTTGAAGTCTGAGTTTCACTGTGAACGACATTTTGCTAATGTTTTTGATCGCTAGAAAGACGACGCCTTTCGAAATCACCAGAGAATCGAGCTTCTATAGCTAGATCTCTTTCGCGAGAAAATCTGCCATGTCACTCTTTATTCTTTATTCAAAACACTGGTCATCATAGCAGCAGTACATAAAAAAAATATGGACCGCTAAATTGTGCTGACCGTACATAGTACATAAAATACAACGTAGGGACAAACAAAACAAACAGATTCACGACAATTACAATATGTAGTGTACAATACATAAAAACTAATTCTGCATTTGACTGTTAAAGAGTCTGATAGTTTGATGACATACGGTCGTTGGCCGATCCCTGAAAATCGAGTAGTGATCGACAGAACACCGGAGTATTCCGACCTAAAATTTCGTCTTTTTCACCAGTACCATTTTCCTGCATTGTGAAGGCGTCGTAGGGAAGACTTTACATTGCTTTTATAGAATATTAGGCCATATGAATGTTGTTGATAAAGTTAAAGCGTTTGATGCAACACAACAAAGTTAGATTGACCCAGGGAGGCTTGTCACGTGGCTTCTTTGTGTGACGTCAACATTGGGTCAAAGGTATCTGGTAGACGATGTCGGACCCCGTCGCGGTTGAGTGAAGGGTGATGGGCCCATATGAATGTTATTTCTTCATTTTCCCCCAGCTATCTGCGGGAATAACCAGCACCTGACGTACGACAGAGGCGTCCTCCTGAGCCCGAACTTCCCCGGGAACTATGAGAGCTCCCAGACCTGCACCTGGCACATCAAGCCCAAGGAGAACCACCTCGTGCTCTTCCGCTTCAACTTCTTCGACACCGAGCACAACTATGACTTCCTCACTATATATGAGGCACGTATAACTGAGATTAACTATACGAGCTTTCTGTTATCTTGGGCAATCTTATGCTTTTGGTGTCCTTTCCAGACACGCGCCGACGCCGACGTTTCGGTGACCGTCTGTCACCTTCCTCAGGTCAATTCTAACTTTGCACTGTAGCAAGGATGACAGACGGTCACCGAAATGTCTGCAGAATAAAACATTTGGTTGTGTAAAAAGAGTCTCTTTACTCAGTGACTTACCAACCTGACGAAACTATTAATGGGTGATGTAACGGTCTGTCCGCAGGGTTCCTCGGACTCCGGGCGGCTGATGCTGACCCTGTCCGGACAGTACAAGCCTGTGGACGTGTTCAAGACCGAGTCAGCTGACGAGATCTTCGTCCGCTTCCAGACGGACGCGTCCTTCACGATGGGCGGGTTCAACATCTCCTACTGGGGTAAGAAACGCACAGCATCTCGCAGATTGCCTGGATGCCATCCCATTTGTATCCTTACTTACTCCCATACTTACTACCCAAAATATGGGAGTCCAGGCATACAAATGGGATGGCACCCAGGCTATAGCGGAGAAGGGAGGCAAAACTTTTCCTGTACACAAATATTGTCCATGCAATTTGTGTACAGGAACACGTTTGGGATAGCCTGGTATCCTTTCTGCTGCAGCTCCTGTTCACTCATTTGATTGCCTCATTTGATCGCCCCCTACCAATTCTCTACTAGTAGATATTAGTAGTGTTAATTCATAGATTATACTGCTGCGAGCATCCCTGACACAGGGGTGGGCAGAAATTGGCCAGTCTTCACACCATGTTTTCAAGTGACTAGAATAGGATCATTAAATCAAACAAAGTTGGAAAAAGGTTCAACATTTTACGAAAATATTTGCCGTCTTTTCGTGCCACACAGCTGCGGACTGCGCGACTCCTTCGACACTCTCGCACGGAGGTACGACGTTCTCCGGCAGCTTGACCGGCGCCACCGTGTTCTACAGCTGTGAGCTGGGGTACGACCTGATCGGCCAGGACAGCGCCACCTGCACGGCCGCCGGCTGGTCTTCCCCCGAACCCGACTGTCAGAGTAAGGACCTCGGGTTTACCTCTTTTTAATTTTTTTTTATTCACTGTTCATCTGAAAAGATACAGGACACAGTGGTAGTCAAGTCTAGGGGATGCTTATATTAGCTAGCCTGGTGTCCAGCCTTGTTAGCTTTAGTCCGCTCCCCAAGATCCGCTCCCCGCCAACAGGCTATATATTAGCCGCTCCATAGAAAGAACGAAATGTAACTTCTAAGTCCTATAACTATAATTTATCGTGTTTACTATTTGACATGTGGAGGATAATCACTAGGATTAAAATAACGGTGGAGGCAAGCCTGAGAGCAAAAATCTACATTTTTTATAGTTTTGTTGCAACAATTCTCTTTATAATTTATAGGCCTTGTCTTGATCTTGTTTCTTATTCCCTACTCTCCAAGCAGAGGTTTACGTTCAGTTTATTTTTGATGTGTTTTTAGCCTTTTTATTGGGTTTTTATTTTTGTTTTGTATCGATCGGTATCTTTTTTTCGCCAGCCAAAAGACGTACTGGCTACTGCCCTGCCAATTTGATACTGTCCGTTAACCGCCTAAAGATCTGCTTGAAGATTAGTTGAAAGTATTTCAATTATGCGGTCAGGCAACGACGAAACGTCAATGTCATTGTAGTTAAGCAAGCTTGCCTTCCCCATGTAGTCAAAGACTGCCTGCCCCTGTCGACGCCCGACCACGGCACGGCCAGTGCGACCTGCACCACGTACGGCTGTACCTACAGCTTCTCGTGCGAGGTCGGGTACGAGATCGTCGGGTCCAGCCAGAGGACGTGTAAGGAAGACGGGCTTTGGACTGGGAACGACACCTCTTGTGAAGGTACTAAGAGATCAAGAGATATTTAAAGACAAACTTCTGTAGATTTAACGTTTGATTCTTTCAAATAGTTGCAAACACAAGGCGTTTCTAATAGGATATAACCGTTATATTCAATATGACAGTATAGCAGCACATACATGTATGTGTGCATACGTTCAAATCGTCTATGTCGTATGCCAAGAGCTTATTTTCTCAGGGTCTTTTGTGGCGGTCCGCTTTACAGTTTTTAAAGTCCATCACGGGTGATTTTGCGTTTTATCGAAAGCTTTAACGTTTCATCGAAAGCTTTTTAAAGCTTTTGATAATCGTTGTTTGATGGTTTATTTGACGGCTTTGTTATGAAACGTACAGAGACCCTGCCCATTAACCGGACCAATTTGCATGACCTTCCTCGGTCGGTTGTGAGACTATGCTGACTGGAACATTTCTTACTTACGGCACACTTTCAATTTTTGTCTTAACAGTTGTGCACTGTCCTGAGCTGTCACGGCCAGAGTTTGGGAAGATCTTCGGCAGCGGGACGGTGTACGGTACCGTGACGCAGTTCGTCTGTCTCCACGGCTTCGTTCAGGGCTCCACCTCCCGGACCTGCCAGGCGGACGGGACGTGGTCCGGACAGGACGTCATCTGTCACGGTAAGGTCACGACAAGGTCACTGGAAGGTTAAGTAAGGCCACGGCAAGGTCACCGTAAGGTCGCGGTAAGGTCACCGCAAGGTTTCGGTAAGGTCACGGTAAGGTCGCGGTAAGGTCACGGTAAGGCCACCGCAAGGTTACGGTAAGGTCACTGTAAGGTTACGGTAAGGTCATGATAAGGTCACGGTAAGGTCACGGTAAGGTCACGACAAGGTCACGGTAAGGTCGTGGCAAGGTCACGGCAAGGTCACAGTAAGGTCGTGGCAAGGTTACGTTCGTCGTAAGACCGTTCTGCGATTTTCATCTCTTGGATTTGTCGATCAGATTGTATAAGAACTAACCATCGACTGTGACAGGGACGGCCTTTTCCGTAACAACACCGCTGGATTTTGTACAAGACCCAGTGTATGTTCGTGATTTCTTCATGGGGTTAACATTAGTCTAACCAAAAGAGATCGTACGGTAAACATGGATAATGACTCCGGGTATGTCTTGTTCTTGTTCCCGTGTTTCCAGACCCAGTGCAGTGTGATTTTGAGGCCAGTATCTGTGGCTTCCAACAAGACCACCAAACCGACGACTTCGACTGGACCAGGAACTGTGGAGAGACTGCGTCCGATGGCACCGGACCGAGCTCAGGATATGGTTCTAGTAGGTCAACGAGATGAGAATAGATAATAATAATATATTCGTCATATACTAGATATCTATTTTTTTGACAGGGTATGATATGATTAAACAGCAAGACTTGTGAGAGAGTGCTTGTGCGTGTGTGGCGATACGGATTTTAGAACCACATTTCAACTGGTAGTTTATACAACTATTTGGGTGTGACTATTCAACCCACTGGTCTTGCTGAGTAGCTCAACAGAACGCCCGGTAGGAGTCTAGCACGTGGTGGGGCTAATCAATCTCCCATCGTGAAAAACCTACCGGGGAACTTAGCCGAGGCGGGCGGGGAAGAGCTTCAGCAGCCCAGAAGAAAATCCGCTCCAACCGCGATAGACTGGATACCAGGTTATGTGTGTGGTGGACGGTGTGGTACTAACGCTGTAGTGATTAGAAATCCGCGCAATGTATGCACTTATTGCCCCCACTATGTTTTTACGTAGGCTGTTACGTGTACACCGAGGCGTCCAGTCCGCGTGTGCAGGGCCAAGTGGCGCGGCTCACCAGCGCAGAGTTCCAAACTGAGGGATGTCAGCAGCTGCAGTTCTACTATCACATGTACGGGGGCAACATGGGCACGCTTAACGTCTACTTGGAGACAAGGTATGCCAAACGACGTCTCTGTTGGTGTCACCGAAGCCCTTGAGTCAGTTCTTGAGACGTCGCAGAACATTGAAGTTCACAATATGATAGTGCAGACACTGTGAGTCGCTTTGACTAAAGTAGATCAGTCGGGTTCGACAGTTAAGAACTTTTTTTACACGACAGTTGTAACGGGTACAACGTATAGCACAGTTACATACATAGTTGGTGTTGCTAACAGTTCTAACTGGTGACAGTTCTAACTCTTCTAGGAAGCTGATCTACTTTCATAGTCGACCATCTAAACTAAGATCAAGAGAGGAAATCATATCATGTGTTATACTGACAAATCAAATATCCTTTGTCGTACAAGCTTAAAGTTTGATGAAAAGAATGTTTGTCATATTCATGATTGTGATGCTACATTGTGTGATGTACATGTAGGACATACGTGATCACCAGCGAGCTTGCCTTTACAATTTCTGGCGACCAGTCCAACTCCTGGCATCGTTTAGCAATAGACATTCCAGAGGATGGATATCACAAGGTAGGGCAGCGTGATTGTCTAGTCTTCTTTGCTTTCAATTTCACCACATGGGGTGACAACAACCTCTGTAACTGAAAAAAAAACGTTCAATTATATGCGTACTTCGAATTCCGTGAATAATTTCATCAACTTTTATAATTATTAATGTCAATTATTGATAACAAGCACAGACCAGTCGTAATTGCTCTGCTGATGAAAATGACAGACAATTTAGGGAGGCCAAAGTGAAATATTCCTGGGAAGCATTTTTGAAGGCATATATCTTAAGAAAGAATCATCATTGACAATCCATTTCACTGCTGTCAATAGTACTTACTACGGTCAATAACCACTGCAAATTTCAGAGAGCTGCAATGTTGGAAAGTACTGATTTATTGGCGTTGAAAGTGGAAAAATGTCACAAATATGTCAATTATGGAAACTTCTGCTCTTAACAAGCGTTTGTGAATAAAGAACTTTGCTATTCATTGTATATAACGTCATGTGCATCATTCCATCAATAGACACTGAATGCATACTTGATTTCAGGTGACGTTTGAGGCCATCCTAGGATCGGACTTCGAAAGTGACATCGCCATTGATGAGGTCCAGCTCATACCAAGTGACCACTGTCCAGGTTGGTCCTCCGAGTAGCTTTGTTTTTTATTCCAAAATATTTTGTAGTTGTTATCCTTGTTTAACGTCTAATATCTCGCTAGACGTGGTTTCTTGGTTTGCGCAGGGTTCGGTTCAGAGTCAAATTGTCTCTCCAGGTATCTAGCTCTTGTATAATAACTCTTGTGGAATAAGGACATTTTTTTCATTTTTTCACTTGACTTCTTCATGTTAAGGACAATATGTGCGTATTCGACTTCTTTCTTCAGTTCCTACCACGCTTCCACCAACAACCACCCTCCCGCCAACTACCACCCTCCCCCCGGCCAGTACCCCTCACGTGCACCCGACCACTGGCAACCCCGTCGTCGTAACCACAACCGGCCTGGCGTCCTCAACTATCATCCCTCCTTCAGGTAAACATGACACGAAATACATTTTAGCTTCTTGAATTGCAACAATCTCAACATCATATGTTTTTATAATCCGACCCCACCCAATAGTACTTGCAACGGTATTCTTTAGTGCTCTGTATACGATTTGAACGGCTTCCTACTTGCGTTGTGCCCACTGGTCAAAATCTATTCGTAAATGCGTATGTAAGTTTCAAACTGAAAACTTTCAAAGGTAGGGCTAGCTAGCAAATCTAGCATTTCTGTCATTAAAACGGAGGCAACAGTTTAGTAAAACTGCATCACTTAAACCGATGACCAGCAAAATGTCGAGACGTTTCAGCACCAAGGACAGGGCTAGTCTGCGCCTATCGTCTGCTAGAAAAGTTCTCAGAAAATTGGCTTTCCTAACACAGTGGCGTCGGTGGCGCAACGGTCAGAGCGTTGGACTCGGAACCAAGAGGTCCCGGGTTCGATACTCACCATATGAATGCCCCGACGCTGTGCCATTGGAAAAGCACTTACACGACTTCCCTCCCTGTACGGTGGAGTGACGCCCATATCGAGCCTCTTCGGCTAATCTATCTAAATGTGTGCAAAAACACACTGCGAAATTGGTGCGCCAGTGTGCCAACCAACATCTACACATTTGCCGTAAAATTATTATCATCATTATTGGCCCAGCCTGCAGGCACCATTACCACCTGTCCGCGAACAGCATTGACGTGATGGTAAAAGCTGCAACACTGAAACCGATGACCAGCAAAATGTCGCGATGTTTCAGCACCAAGAACAGCACCATCACTTTTCTGCGATAAAAGTTCTAAGAAAATTAGCTTTCCTCCTTACCAGGCACGTTTTATGTTTAATACCGTTTGATAGCATGTTGTTGTATTTTAATGATATCTTGTGTTGACCACAACGCAATTCAGGCATCCAGTATCTAAAGGTTGCCTGCGAGTCTGGTGTCTGTGTGTATTGTGTATGAGGTCTAAATAAACACACAAACCATTAACACAGCCTGCAGGCACGATTACCACCTGACCGCGAACAGCATTGACGTGATGGTAAAAGCTGCAACACTGAAACCGTGTGCCAACATCTGCACATTTGCCGTAAAATTATTATCCTTATTTACCCAGCCTGCAGGCACGATTACCACATGACCGCGAACAGCATAGACGTGATGAGCTCGCCCGGGTACCCGCTTAAGTACCAACCGAACGACGACTGCTGGTTCGTCCTGACGACGGAACCCGGCTACGGCGTGCAGATGAACATGCTCAACTTTGACCTGCAGGACCGACTTCCGCCGGCCAGCAGCGGCGTTTCCGGTGTCTGTGCCGATTACGTCGTCATACACGCGTGAGTTGTGGTGCTATCTGTAGTCTCCTTTGCAAGCGTTCTGGGATCGGTCATTTTTTGGCCGCGGCCCCCGACCCTAGTATGCCATCCCTGGGTTGGCGACCGGACCTTCTAATGCATGCAATCTACCCCGTGTTGCTATTTACGACATTTCTTCGCACTGACATCTCTACAGCTTCGGTATACTCAAGCTTTCTTAGCCGTAGCCTTGCAATCATCCTGGTTAGTTTACCCCCGATCGTTTGGTCACCACCTAAGTCACAATATTATCGAGCTTGTCCCCCATGTATTGCTTCTATTCCCAAGCTAGTACTTCCCTAGTTGTATTGTGTGTGTAATGTGTCGTATTGAGGCGTAAAACTACTAAAAACAAACAATAAGTGCACGATGTAGAAGTTGTACTCTTTCATGGTCCTACGAGACCGAGGAATGCCTACTACTACTATCTAGCCAGGGTGGTACCAATGTTAGTTTAATACCTGTAATTAACTCGTACCACAAGTACATAAGATGTCTGACGTAATCTCCAAGCAGATCATACGGTGGCAAGGCATGCGCAGTATTCATTGGCCAGAGGAGCGTCCATTAGCCACCGATGGACACTCCTCTGGACAATGGATACTGCCTTGCCACCGTATGATCTGCTTGGAGATTAGTTTGACGGTTTCTTCCACCTGTCCAGGCCGCTGGGAGGTCAGCCGTACCCGCCGCGCTGTGGCACGTCCATCCCGGCGGGGTCTAAGATCTCCGCCCCCGCCAACACCACCCTGGCGCTACGGTTCGTGACGGACGCCACGGACGAGCGGAGCGGCTTCAGCGCCGTGATCCAGAGCCTGCCAGAGGACCTGCTCGCCACCACGCTCACCTTCGCCGACTGATGAGGCCAGACTTTTCTTTTTGGGGTAAATTAAAAGCCAGACAAACCAGTACAAGGCCGTTTTCTTCATTGTAGTTTACAGTGCAGCAAACGATTCTTGGTCGGCCCGAAAGCTAACTGTTTTTCATGCAAAACCACCGTTTCTACAGTTTACAAGGCAGCCTCGTAGAGGGAGAATACAGATAATTTAGATATTATCATTACTTGTTATCGATTCTATTGATCACGTCCAGGCAGGTATGACAATAACGAGAATGGTCCAGTGCTCTGGTTATTTATTGATGTAATACAAAAGATAGCCTGGGTTCCAGACCCATAGCACACTGGACACAAAATATCTCAGTGAGCTCACTGAGATATTTTGTGTCCAGTGTGCTATGGGTCTGGAACCCAGGCTATACAAAAGACAAAGAAAGACACAAGATTGCAAATCAACTACCACCGATAGATCTCCGAAAGTCCTGCGTTCCGGCGTCTTACATCATGCAACAGTCTTGTAGGATGTCCTGTGGTCTTGAGCACTGTGCGTCCGTCGTCTGAGAAGTGTCACAGTCCAAGTCAGTCAGTCCGATGGGAAAATCCTTGACTCGTTTACTGCTTCTTTGCGAAGTTTTCAAACACAAATTATCTTATATCTATAGTCCATTGGAGTCTGGGAGCTATTTGGATGATGCTATTGTTGTTTTTTTTCGCATGGTTCTGTATACTAAATGGCTGTTGTTCGTAAAAACTGTCATTAACTTAAACCATGTTCTGGTTTTACATTTCGTGTTCAAACTGCTAATAAGGCGTGGTAAAAAGCGGAATCGAGTGTCTGACAAAACACATCAAACATGTATCAGTCATACAGTCTGGCATCCAGGTACAGCTTCTGAACATCTAATTACACGAAAGGTATTTCGGAAGAAACTTATACACTACTAATATGATATGATTCTCCTAATAATTCATACTGACCCACCGCACCAAATTAATTTCAATCACAACAAAAATAGCTGCTTCGCTCCGATGAAAATTTAGTTAAATCTACCAACACATCTAAAACACCGTGTACAGAGTAGTACTACGTATTTGGCCTATGAGAGGCACCGTACTGTCCAAGTTTGATGACTGCTTTCTCGCTGGCATGATGGTTGGGAACCGAATATTTCAAGTGCCGTTGTGTGGATGATGTGCGCATGTCGTTGTGCCCAGTATTCGGTGTACGTCACTTCCGTTTCCTGTAACACACATATTATGCATCAGAGTTGAGATACCGCATGCGATATGGCAGAATCGTCACGGATTCTTCTGGTAGAGATTCCGAACGAAGTCGACATCTCTGTCAACAGGAAGTCGAAAATAAGGCCAGGAATGTGTTAGGGTCTCCTATTTATACATCCTGAATATTATGTCAATTCATTGATGTAAACTCATATGGATCGAATTGAAGAGTTCTGAATGCTTTGAAGGGAATATCTTTACACAAACACACGCACACACACACACACACGCACGCACGCACACACACACACACACGCACGCACGCACACACACACACACACACACACACAAACGCGCGCGCGCCGAGAGAGAGAGAAAGTAAGACAAAGGGCCAGATATCGTAACAGACTAGTAAACAGTGTCCTATAGTTCTGGCTCTTCCTCTATCCGATGATTTCAAAAACTGGTTTTTGCAGGGGTATTGATAGTCCGGGACGACCTAATTAGGAACAACTAGAGCGTAACTATGTGAAACATCCTTACTCTTCATTTACCACTTTCAAATGTAACATGAAATAATCTCCACTCCTTTGGAGGCTGAATAATAGGCGGAATCTGACTTGGCCTGGCATTTGAAAAAAAAGAGACCCATGCATGTTTCTTGTAGCACGGAAACCCCTGTCTCCAACAACTCTTTGTTTGTCTTCACACATCAGAGGAGGGCACAACCCATTAGGCAATACCTCTACCTATGCATATACCTGCACTACTGATGAGAACACCGACCTCCACCCCATCCCTCAGTTCAAGGCCCGTTGGATGATATATATAGTCTATATCCTTATCAGTATAGTAGTGCAGGTACCTGCACAGCTACACCAAATCACCAGCCTTCTGTAGAATGTCCTTCTGTAGAATGTCCTTGGCTACACGCATCGCCTTCCAAGAACACACAAGCACACTGACGCACCAGATTTTTAGATATCTTGATCGCCTGTAAAGGCCATATGCACATTCTATTTCACATGATTTGTGGGCTATGATCACAGATCTAATACCATTTTCGTCACGACAGAGCTGACTTTTGAAAGAAACATCCACAGCTGTCCCACGAACGTGCACAATGAATGTAACGTTACTGTTTACACACAGTTGTAAACGTCATGCAGAAAAATGTTGCAGTGGGTTGACGTGAAAATCGAAGATCCCCCGATATTTTATTGACGACTTACCGTACGTATGATACATCGGTAAGAAGTGGCGTCGGTGGCGCAACGGTTGGACTCGGAACCAATAGGTCCCGGGTTCTATACTCAACGTGACACGACGTTGTACTCTTGGGAAAGGCACTTTACACCATGTACGGTGGAGTGACGCCCATCGAGCCTCTTGGGCTAATCTGTCTAACTGTGTGCCAAAAAACACACTATGGATTTGGTGCACCAATGTGTCAACGTCAGTACATTTGCCACCGAGAGCCGTTACGCGTTATTTTTATTTAAAATACATTGGTAACTATCCGGATAACTCACCTCGAACCCTAACGCACAGTTACGAGTGAACAATAATGGCGAAGACGATGAGGAAGACGAGAGAAGCGCCCATAAGAATGAAAGTAAACAGGGCAGCTCCAGGGGAGGGTGGCGACTCTTCGCGTCGTGACAGCCCGGGTCCGGCATAGTAGTACATGCGGTCCATTTTGTCAAATGCGTCCGATTTTAAGACTTGTTCTACCGACAAGGTGTTCGGTTGTTGTTTTGACTGACCACTTGTTTGTCTCTGCCTACCCAGCAGATCATTCCTTCAGGCAACATACCGATTGGGGGCACAACCATTCTATTCTTGTGGGTGTGATCCTTTTAGAAACCTGCTCACATTCAAGGTGTTAGACCATCTTACAAGTGTATGATGCTCATGTAGACGAAATAATATGATGAACACGCGGTGTTTAAGATGCATTATAGGAGTATTTTTATAGCATTGGGTCGTTTTTTGCTGTTTTTTTCACTGAACATTAATTGATGGTTTAGGCCCAAGACGTAGTTGTTGGACCTGTTTTTTTTTTTTTGCTCATTGTTTCTACCAAATAGGGCGTGAGTAGAATGGTCAAACAAGCAACTATCCACGTAGTCAGTTGTTTTCGCTCGCTGTTTCTTCTAATTAAGAAGTGAGATGATCATGGCGTGTCGAGATGAGCAAAACTTTAAGGAAGAAAAGAGAGCCTTGAATAGAACTGCTGGCGACGTTTGCTTGTGTGTTTTTTTTTCAGAAATAAAACAAGCAGACAGCCTTTTCTGAATATTTTGACAGGTAGGTTGCTATGTGCACCCTGTTCATGTTGTTTCTTCAGCCAATAGTGAAAGGCAGACCTGGTTTCCTCTCACGTGTATCAAAAAGAAATGGATGCAACTTACCGTCTGTAATCATGTAGCAAGAACAACAATCACGGCGAGCACAACAATCGCGAAGAATGCCACTGCTGCAGCGAACCGAATGCGAGCTTTACGGGAGAGATTGTCCATAGAACCGCCGCGTATCCCACTGTCGGTGGTGTAGGTACCATCCTCACCCACATCGTGATAGTGAGGGTAATAGTTGGCCCAGAAGGAGTTGTTAACGTGGCCGAGCATTTCGATCCTTCCCCTCAGTGCTGACATACGCCTAATGCTAACTAGTACTGTTGTTAGCGAATTCAGTGAACCGTGCGTCTGTCACAAATCAGGACGAACCCATTTTCTGGGAGATGGGTGGACACAATTTTGATTTTGGAAATGTTTAAACTGATTTTCTATATTTTGCTACTTTCTGTTACTTCCGAAGGATTCTCAAATCAGATTCCTTTCCTTGACCATTAATTGTTATGCAGCCATTGTACGGAAATGTTACTGTGACTGTATCTTGTGTTTCGGAACCTTAATACGCAATGTGTGTACATGTATCTATGCACATACCAACACTAAATTTGGGGACACAACATTTTCGTCACAACAGAACTGACGTTCATACAACATAACCACATGCAACTGTGACAAGAATGTTCTCAATTTTGTAACCATGTGTAACATTACATACACTGGGTTGGTGTGAAGATTACCCACTGGCAGTCTTTTTCTTACATTTATGGTGCTAAAACAAGGGTACCTCCGTAGATAACTCACCTTGAACCCTAGCGTACAGCTAGTGTGCAACAACAATCATGAAGACCATGAGGAAGACGATAGAAGCGCCCGAAAGAACCATGATACAAATGGCAGTAGCCGAGGAGGGTGGCGGCCCTTCGTCTCGTGGCAGCCCAAATCCGAAGTGCATGATGCTTAATTCCCAACGCCGGACGGACAACCAGGCAATCTGTTGTTGGTCCTGTCTTGGGTGACCATTTATTTGTCTCTGTCTACCCAGTATGATTTCATTCCTTCAGGCAACATGAAGGGCAAAACCATTTTATTCTTGTGGGTGTGATCCTTTTAGAAACCTGTTCGAATCTAAGGTGGTAGAGCATTTTGCAATCGTATCATGCTCATATGGGCGTATGATAAACGCGGATACGCACGCTGTTTAAGATGCATTATATTTGCGTGGCATTCGGCCATTTTTTTCACTAACCATTGAGTGATGTTGGCCTTACTTATCATGCGCTGTCATTGGTCAGTAACTTGAGTGACCTTCTCCTGATCGTTTAAGTACAGGCGCGAATGAAGGGATTCATATTCTAGTCGCTTGGTTCTCCGGCCGCCGCTCAGCCTAAAGCGATCGACCGAGCCCACCCTTTCCCTGGGGAAGTGCGCGACCGTCCGGAAGGCGCCTGTTTCTTCCAACCATTAGGTGATACGTGTAGCTATGCATATACCTGCACTACTGATGAAGACACAGACCTCCACACTATCCCACAGTTCAGGGCCGATTGGATGATATATAGTCTATGTCCTCAGTAGTGCAGGTACCTGCACAGCTACACGTATCGCCGAAAGGCTTGTGCCCTCATCAAGAACACACAAACACCGACGCACCAGATTTTTTTTATTTCTTCATCACCTGTGCCAAAATGCCATATGCATGAACGTACTATTTCGTATGATTTTGAGACTATGGTGACAGATCTAATGCCAATTTTGCCACGACAGACGTTTGAAAGAAACATCCACAGCTGTCCCAAGAACGTGCACAATGAATGTACTGTCGTAACCATGTCATGCAGAGAAATGTTACAGTATGTTGACGTGAAAATCAAAGATCACTCGATCTTTTCTTGACGTTTTACCGTATGTTACATGGGTAAGTAGTGGCGTCGGTGGCCTAACGGTTAGAGCGTTGGACTCGGAACCAGTAGGTCCCGGGTTCCATACTTACCGTGGGCCGACGTTGTGCTCTTGGGAACACCATGTACGGTGGAGTGACGCTCATTGAGCCTCTTGGGCTAATCTGATAAATTAGCAATAAATAAATGGGTAACTACCCAGATAACTCACCTCGAACCCACAGTTAGGAAACAACAATGGCGAAGACGATGAGGAAGACGAGAGAAGCGCCCATAAGAATGAAGGTAAACAGGGCAGCTCCAGGGGAGGGTGGCGACTCTTCGCGTCGTGGCGGCAGGCCGGGTCCGACATAGTACATGTGGTCCATTTTGTCAAATACGTCCGATTTTACGACTTGTTTACCGACCAGGTGTTCGGTTGTTGTTGTTTTGACTGACCACTTGTTTGTGTCTCTGTCAACCCAGGAGGATTTCATTCCTTCAGGCAAAATATACCAATTGAGGGCAAAACCATTTTATTCTTGTGGGTGTGATCCTTTTAGAAACCTGTTCACATCCAAGGTGGTAGACCATCTTACAAGTGTATCATGCTTATATGATGCTATGACAAACGCGCGGTGTTTAAGATGCATTATTCATGTACGATTTGTGTAGCATTGGGTCATTTTTTTTTTCACTGAACATTAATTGATGGTTTAAGACGTAGTTGTTGGACCTGTTTTTCTTTTTTTTGCTCATTGTTTCTACCAAATCGGGCGTGAGGAGAATGGTCAAACAAGCAACTATCCACATAGTCAGTTGCTTTCGCTTGCTGTTTTTTTCTAATTAAAGAGTGAGATGATCATGGCGTCTCGAGATGAGCAGAACTTTAAGGAGGAAAAGATAGCCTTGAATAGAACTGCTGGCGAAATTTGGTTGTGTTTTTTTTTAGAGATAAAACAAGCAGACAGCCTTTTCCGAATATTTGTTTCTTCAGTCAATAATAAAACACAGACCTGGTTTTCTTTCACGTGTATCAAAAAGACATGGATGCAACTTACCGCCTGTAATCATGTAGCAAGAACAACGACGGCGAACACAACAATCGCGAAAAATGCCACTACTGCCGCGCACCGAATGCAAGCTTTAAGGGTCGGGGAGAGCTTGCTCATAGAAACGCCGCCTATTCCACTGCCGGTGGTGTAGGTACCCTCCTTACCCACATTGTTATAGTTGTAAACGTAGTCGTAGTCCATTTCGATCCTTCCCTTCAGTGCTGAAATACGCCTGATGTAACTAGTGCTGGTTGTCTGTTGTCAGCGAAGCCAGTGAAGCGACTGTTACAAAACAGGACGAACCACGACTACCAACCCATTTTCTGGGACATGGGTGGATACAATTTTGATTTTGGAAATGTTTACCTTCCAAACTGATTTTCTATATTTTGTTCCTTTCTGTTACTTCCGAAGGATTCTCTTTCCTTTCCTTGATATTTGATTCAGTTATGCATTCATTGTGCGGAAATGTTACTGAGACTGTATCTTGTGTTTCGGAACCTTAATACGAAATGTGTGTACATGTATCTATGCACATACCTGCACTACATTTGGGGACATAACATTTTCGTCACAACAGAGCTGACGTTCATACAACATACCAACATGCAACTGTGACAAGAGTGTTCTCAGTGTTGTAAATATGTGTAACATTACATCCACTGGGTTGCCGTGATTGAGAAGGTTACCCAGTCTTTTTTTTACATTCATGGTACTGAAACAAGGGTACCTCCGCAGATAACTCACCTTGAACTCTAACGTACAGCTAGTGTGCAGCAACAATCATGAAGACCACGAGGAAGACGAGAGAAGCGCCCAAAAGAACCATGATACAAATGGCAGTAGCCGAGGAGGGTGGCGGCCCTTCGTCTCGTGGCAGCTCAAATCCAAAGTGCATGATGCTTGATTCCCAACGCCGGACGGACAACCAGGCAATCTGTTGTTGTCCTTGTTTCGACTGATCACTTATTTGTCTCTGTCTACCCAGTGTGATTTCATTCCGTCGGGCAACATGAAGGGTAAAACCATTTCATTCTTGTGGATGTGATCCTTGTGGGTAGAAACCTGTTCGAATCTAAATTGGTGTGAGTAGAAACCTGTTCGAATCTAAATTGGTAGAGCTTTTTGCGATCGTATCATGCTCATATGGACGTATGATAAACGCACGCTGTTTAAGATGCATTATATTTGCGTGGCTAGGTGGACTTTTTCACTGACAATTGAGTGATGTTGGCCATATCTATCATGCGCTGTCATTGGTCAGTAACTTGAGTGACCTTCACGGCGAGAATGAAGGGATTCATATTCTATTCGCTTGGTTCTCCGACCGCCGCTCAGCCTAAAGCGATAGACCTAGCCCACCCTTTCCTTGGGGAAGTGCGCGACCGTCCGGACGGCGTCTGTTTCTTCCCAACAATTGTCATATCAGCGTCTTTCCCTTGATCTTTGATTCTTATCTGAGTCACTGTATGCTGCATTGCAAAGGTTACTGAGCCGGTATCTTGAGTTTAGTACCTCAGTTTATTCCGTAACTACAAGACGGTTACATATAGCTGCACGATGCAGTATAAATACAGAATACAAGACCTTTCAGCTGCGTTCCTGTACAACAATCTCTAGAAACAATCCACGACATAACGTTAACGTATGGAGTTTTAAAATGGAAGCCAAGCATCACAGAACAAAAGGGAACATACTGCCTCACAAGAACTGTCTGTAGTTCTTCATCATGACTATACAATATACACTATAGCTTATTATAGGTACCTTCCAAGTTCGCTTGTACACTTAGTACCGTAGTACTCACACCAGCTAAACGTCTGGATTCTTCAATGTGAAGAATACAACTCAGACCATAACAACGTATGCCTGTCAGTTCTAACATTGACTTTAGAAGAATTACATGATTTACACGACTTATCCCAATACCATTTTGTGTCAGCACACCTTATAGAAGAACATAACAACGTACTCGTTAAACATAACACAAATATTTGAAAATTTAAACCACAACTGATTTTGTCTCTCCATCTTTGTTTTCTATGTCTTCATCTAACTTCCAGTCGTGATGCAATGCTTATTCACTTTCTTATTTTATCCAAGCTCTGTATCATCCCCAACTCTGTATCAATTTACGTACTGTGTACTTCGTGTGATTGAAAGCTGTCCGCCCATGCCCCCTATACGGTATGGTTCCGGATTGTTTGTCAACTACATGTACATACAAGTCGGCGTTTAATGTGTCTTTCTGATGGTTCCTGATGTGCTAAACGGACGAAAAAGGGTACAAGACACCGACAAAACGTCTGCAAAGCTAGAAAGGCCGACATTTGCTTGGGAGCAAATACAGCATATTTCACTCCATCTCCCTACCAGGCAAAAGTGGACTATTCTAAACTTACCCCAGTGCAAAACTGACACATTCTCAAATGAATAAATTATATAGCAATTCACAGTAATTAAGGACAAAGATGCAAGTCTGTCGCTGTACCCTGACGGCTAGGTGGACTTGAACATGTCGCACAGGAGACGCTCGATGGGGATGTTGCCGATGGTGGGGCGGAAGAACAGCTCCTCCAGACTGCGGGCTCGGACCCCCCGCAGCGCCGGCAGCAACAGCAGCAGCCGCCCGAACCGGATCTGTGGAATCACGGTGACGTTAGTTCCGGACGAATTTCAAGTCACTAATTTTATAGTTTCTCTGCATCATTCTATACAACATTGTCAAAATAACTATATGTAAATCATAAGCCTGGAAGCCTAAACTTCGTTGGCTTTGCAGGTACTACAGAAGAAGCACAATGCCATATGCTAGAAGATCATTATGTTATGCTACTGTACATCCCGCCTTCTAATGGCACAGTCGTTGGTGAGCTTAATGCTTCCTCACATGGCGGGAAAATTATCAAGAAGGTATCCAAGGAAAGGTTGGAGTATTGTCGTACCTTGTCTTCAGCATTTTTTGAGGCGATGTACTCCCCCAGCATGATCTGTGCCTGGTCCTGAACCGCCTGGACCTGGACGGCGTCTCTCAACCCACGGGCGTCTGGGGAGGAAGTCAGCGTGTTAGAATGGCAATTCGTAGTCTAATGATAGTCATTAGATAGCTTTAAATAATAGTAATAGTCAACTAGGTGAAGATTCTGCTGCCTTTTTGTGGCTAATACGAGATAGGATTTGCCAGGCCTCCATCCAGGAAAGTAGTGTAAAGTGCCTTCCCCAAGGGCACAACATCGCGGTGCACAAGATGGCAGGGTTCGAACCCGGGACCTCTTGGTTCCGAGCCGAATGCTTTGCCGTCACGCCACACGACCCAACTATCCATCGCTGCAATACCCCCTATCGGTCTGGTTATGAACAGCATAACTCAACAACAGTACCGGAACATTATATCATTATAACAACGTAATCCTACCTGATTTAAAAAGCACGATGGCCTTCAGACATGCGTACTCGGTCGGGTCGACATGCGCCTCCTGGAAGCGTGACGTCACGTCCTGCAGACCCCGGATGTCGGCCATGAGGAGAGCGGACTGTTCTGACGGCGGGATGACGCGGTCTGCGGACGGGCTGCTGGTGGCCGCCGTCAGGAGGGAACCTGGGGACGTATAGAAAAGTATTAGTTAGTACCGGGTTCTTTTAATTAGTAATTAGGCCATGTTGATTTGATTATATGGATGACATCCGCGCGCGCATGAATTTTCGGCCGTTTCCAAAAAAAAAGTTTCCAACCACACTGTAAATTGTACAAAACAGTTGCAAAATGAGCAAATATATACCGAAAGTTGCAAAAAAAATATTTGAAAACGATTCCAACGTCGTAGAATGCCAAAATCAAACAAAAAACTAAAATGCAAAGAAATGAATTTAAAGAGTAGATTATTCGCCATACCATACTCTGTGTCATTTGTTCGACCTTCATAACAACGTAGATTTCATGAAAGCAACTTTTCTTTTGCAAAACTTTTTTTTATTCGCGCGCTCGCATCAGTTTTGGGGTTCCCAGAGGATGTCATCCATATAATCAAATCAGCATGGCCTTACCTGTGCAAACGAAAGTTCAAAGGGACGACGGTGTGTTCTCAAGTTGTCGAATGTTGACTCTGTACACCTGGCCGTAGTCTTATACATGAATTACTTAAGTGAATATGAACATTTATCATATATGTATGTGTATCCTCACTTCGTTTGCAAGTGTTCTTCCAACTCCAACTTAACATCCACCAGATAAGATGATCTTTTGACAGAGTCTTCAAGTTCCTTATTTTTTCACACACCTGACCACAACGAATAAGACAGACCTAAAACCACCTGGAGAAGAGCTGTATCAGATGACCTGGCGTCTATGGGACTGTCCTGGCGATCAGTGAAGAAGGTGGCTAAGGACAGACTCAGATGGATGAAAGGGATGAAGAGGATAAGTCAGTAAAGTTAAGTACTTACCTGGGTCTATGGGCATGGCCCACTGCGCGGCGCTGAGGACGAACAGCTCGTTCCACGCCTCCTCCAGCAGGATGGCCTGGTCGCGGAACGGAAGTCGTAGGAATGACGGGATATTACGCGCCCACTTGACGACGATGAAGAGCAGTCGGGCCGCCGTCTCATACATGTTGTCCGCCGCGCCCGGGAAGTACTGCGCGTGCTCGGTCGGCATCCTCGGGCTTTTTCCTGCATCAGAAATATCACCCAAATCAGCTCACTTCATAAACGTACATAACACAACAAAATGCCAAATAGATATTTGACCATGTGTGTCTCCGGTCTTCTTCAAGACCGTGGTTTCGGACACATTACCTTAAAACACACGCGCGTGATTTCAAAAATTCAGAAATGGGTCATATGTGCTAAGCAGTAATCAAAGCTTCGTAAGTCAATTCAATATAGTCTAGTTAGTCTCACAACGTTTGGACGACCTCTCTGTCATCTTCATCAGGTCAAACTCAACTTTGTTCAATTTGCTCTGATAAAGATGACACAGAGGACGTCGAAACATCGTTACAGCAAAATATATGGTTTAGCCCTTTTTGTCATAAAAATATATGGTTGTAGTTACCGTCTTTGTCGTCGCTGTCCGGGTGAGGGCCCTGCGCGTGTACCCGCTGGTCGGCCTGTAGGATGGCGTCCAGAAACTGGTGGTTCTCCCCCGGCACGGTCAGGTGACCAGACCGCGTCATCAGGTGGTGACTGAAGGCTCTGCCGTCCAGCAGGCCTGGCTGGTCATACGTCACCAGGAACGGGCGGGTCGCTGGCACCTGGGAGGGGCGGGGGGGTGATAAAGGTGTTAGCTAGCTAGTGACATATTACCTATAAAGCGTTAGCTGACTAGAAGGGCTAGTCTCCTTTGCAGACGTGGTCTGCGATTTTCTGACGTAGATCGCACGCTTTAGAAGCTCTGGCCGCCAAGCCTAGGCCTACAACAACTCTGGTAGGTGGCAAAATCATATCCTCCGCCAGGCTTCAGGAAGGGGTTGGAAATAGCACAAATAGATGATATGCCAGGGGATCGGAGTTGGTCCGCGCTAACAGAACAGTTTGCGAACAGCGGGATACTAGTGAAATCAACAGGTGGTCGCACTTCAGAAAGCCCGTCTGCAACTACTTTCGAAAACCCTTTACCCGACCCGGGGCGCGCTAGCAGGAATGCCCCCTCCCCCCTCGATATACCAGCATGGAAAGTCCCTGCTGACGTACCTTGATGGGAGTGATGTCCCTGTTCTCCCCCGGGGTGAGCCTGTGGTCGGGTTTCGGCGGGCTGGGCGGGCTGGCGCGGTCAGAGTCGTCCCGCCGGTACTGGTAACACCGCGGCGCGCGCTCGTGTTGCACCGCTGCAAAACGCACAGAACAATCACACTCAATACCTGACAAATAAAGTCGTTTACAGACAGAGGAAACTCTACAAAATTCAGATGTAACGAGACGATGGATATAGTTTTAGAAAAGCTTCTAATTGCTAGGGTTGAGTTCAGAGTTGAGTTCATACAAAAGCGCGCTCTCTAGCTCACTCTCCCATTTCTGACTCAATTACAGGCACCTTTCTAGAAATAAAACAGCAGGAAATACCACAGTATTTGTTCAACATGATCCATGTTTCCTAACACATACTTTTTAAAGGTCATGGATACTTGATTCCTGAGAAAAAAACAAGTTTCAAAGATGCTCTCCTCTGGATGAAAATATAAACGTGGAGGCGGATGGGAAAGATAATCTTACAATCACCCAGGGCCTTCCTGCGATGAAGCCCTTTGAAGTTCTTTAGCTCAAAGAGTAGTTTTTAGTGCTCCTGGTCTTGTCTGAGGGCTTCCGCTACGGATCATTAGATAGTAATGAGTTTATCAAAGCATCGGCGGCGTGTGACGTGTATGATTACGGGCAAGGCATTGGTGGCCTTTGATTCAATGTAGGAGCGCGTACGTAGCGCGGCGAAACAGAGAACAACTTTATAGTGAAAGGCCCGAGGACAAACTCTTTAATCATCATTTCAATTTGCGCCGGTGTATCTACGGGGCATAGAATTTGCTGATGTCTTCATCTCCTAGAAAAAGCAATCTCCGGTTGATAGAGCGGTACCATTTTTCGTTGTAACTCGGATGGCAGCTTTGTAATTTAACAAGATAAGAGGGACCCCAGAGTTCCTTGAAAGTTAATCACACAATCATGTAGGTGAGCTCCACTTTCTGCAGCCCTCCCCGTTTCCTGTAGCTAGCTCCTCCCTTATTTCTTGCAGCTTTTCATTGTAAATCGTGACCATAATTTTCAAGATACAAGTTCTGTCTTAGATGCCAACATGAAAACTTGCATATTCAATGATTTCAATTGAGAAAGGAGAGAGAAAGAGAACAACATCGTGGCACTTTTGTACCAACTTTACTCAACTTTAACTCAAATTCAATATAAAAAGTTATGCGTGGACTAACTCTGGTCAGACTTCTCCCGAACGTCAGTCGAACTTGGTTGGCAGGTGTTCGGACAGGGACTAACGCGACACACATCGAAGGTATGATGATTGTACCATAAATGAAGTGAACATGTAGTACATGCGTTACTAGTTAGGTCACACACATTCGCAGTTATAATTTCACCATAATGAAGTGTGTTACATCGTTAAGTCACACGCATCGCAGTTCTGAGTGTACCATGACTGAAGTGTGTTGCCGTCCTACCGTCCTTGTTCATCTGCGCGTCCAGACACTTCTTGAAGCGGCAGGCCTGGCACTGGTTCCGTCTGGCCACGTCCACCACACACGAGCCGTTCTCCTTACAGATGTAGGCAAGGTTCCTACAAGAAAACGGTACAAGACATACGTTTATTTTTCTGTGTCTTACATTTCATGACAACACCTAGAGACGTCACACTAAAGTCCATGGCCTATGTTCATGCCGTCTCCAGAACGACAAACAGGCAAAGCCTAAGGATCAGCAATTAAAATAATATGATACACAATGTCAAAAATCATGAAATATGTATCTAGAAATTTCAGGTCTAACTGATAGGATAGAATGTTACTTTAAATCTTGAATGTGAAGCAGACTTGAAACCAACTAACATAGTCATCATGGAAGTTTATCTGTGTTGGTAGTAATCATAGTACGATGCTAAACTTTATTCCAACACAAAGGTGCATATAGTCGTCACACATGTTATGTGTTTCCAAATGTCTAAGAATGTTCTAGACAGAATTCAGGTGAAGTATTACACAAATAGGCGGATAAATTAAGCGAAAACATGGCCAGTTACCGTCGGATGCTCCGTTTGAAGAAGCCCCTGCACCCGTCACAGCTGTAGACCCCGTAGTGCTTCCCCGAGCTGCGGTCGCCACAGATGCGGCAGGGGATGTCAGGCTTCCCGCGAGTCGAGCTGGTCAGGCGCGGCGGAGACACCGTCACTACTGCCACGGTTTCTGCACGAAGAGAGAGTTTTTTTGTGGAATCTGCTGTATAAGAATTCACCCAGTACTACGTTTTTTTAATGACAATAGCAATGACAAATAATATCTCATTGTAATGTATTAATAGTTCTGTAGCTTAATGTATAATGTGTATTTTTAACTGTAAATTGCCTGAAATTCAGTGACTGTGTCACTGCGAATGTACAATAAATACATCTTGAATCTTTAATCTTCTTTCAGTTTAGATTCTTTATGGGGTATCTATTGTCATAAAGGTATCACATTATTTCACCAGTTTGTTAGAAAGAACTTCATCATTCTCTTACTAGTGAAATAATGAGATATTACCATTCCATCTCATTTTTAACGAAAAGGAAAATCTAATGATAGATTCCTCATATAATTGGTTTATTTGCTTGTATCAACATATTTACAACATATCTCGCAGCCTTGACATACAGGGCTGAATTCTGATCAAGTTGTTTACAATATAAGTTATTAATAGTAGGGAAATACAAATTGAAATCATATCGGAATCTACATATTAATATATCACTTTGGTACTGGTATTTACAATCTTACAATCTTACACTCATTATAATAAAGTCACCCCCGTAAAGCTGACCGTACAGAAATAACGGGTATTATGTAGCGCACCGTCCGCGTACATGTACGTACATGTAGCTCTGATAAGACGGCTATTCCGAAAGATGTGCTTTACACAAGATGACCAATTATATGATAAACTAATGGACAGATGAACAGAAAACAAACAAAGCAAACGGCACAACACGGATATCAAGGAACAGGGCACAAAGTCTCTCCAAATACCTCATAAAGGTAAACCTATTCCAACACCGTTTGTCGGTTTGAGAACAATGGGAGTGTTTGTTCAAGTGAGGTGAGTATTCGGTGCCGTACCGCCCGGACCGTTTACTGAAGATTAGTGAATGAAGATCTTTATTGTGCATTTTTGTCCCACTATGCTAGACAAAGGCCACAAGTTTACAAACATACACATAAACATATTGACATCTATCATATACACTAGTATATTTGGTCATGATTTTTCTCATCTCTTGGTAATGGCATAATATAGGATGATTTAAAATTGGTTAAAGTCGGTTTCTCAAAAGATGTAAGAAATTTGAATATCTCTTTACTATCCAGGTATCTAAATTGAAGAAATGTACTCTGCCTAACTAAAATAATATTTCAATTGCTATCATGCAAATAAAAATGTACAGTAAAATGTACTTCGTCGTCTACTTTACCTACATTGGCAGATTCTTTGTTCTAGATCAGCGAGAAACCAGCGGTAACCAACAGAGCAGGCTACTAGGAATAAATAAAGCCATGCGGATACAATGTAGTCGTTTTGACAATGAAACCAACTAATCCTCACGGCCAAAGCTAGCGTTTGCGCCGCCCTGCTGTTTCGATTAATCTCGCACAATGCTTGCATATTTCTTTAATGACTTCGCCGAACAAATCTAAACATTATATAGCACCAACAAAGCATGCCACACGCCCGGCACACCCATACAACACCGCCGCTGTTTACCTGTCTACTCCTGTCTAATCACGAGTCACCTGCTGTAATATACAGGCAGGTAGCAACCGGGGCTCTTGACGCGAGTTTTGTTTGCTTTTCCTCACCTGCCTGGTCCCTAACTTCTAGTAGAGGCCGTGGAACGCATTGTGTCATTTTCATCAAGGTTTTACTGTTAGTTAGTTTTTCCCCCACAAAACTACTGAGAACAATACGCAAAGACGGCTCTGTAGAGATGCTGAATGTGAATTAAAGGCCATATAAAACACAAAATGGCGTACAACACAATTCTTCAGAAAGCGTAGATATTCTGGCACAGTCATAAAATCAGTTCCGTTAGTTGAAAAATCATTTCGATATGCCAAAATTGACAATGAAATCTTGCCAATCATATGCAAGTAGCCCTTTCAAACACAGTCGAAATCGGCCATGGCTTCTTATTTCAAACACCAATGAACAAGAAAAAAACTTGGCGAAAGACATACATGAACCGCCAAGTACAAACTATGGGTGATTGCAACCCCACATCAACTGTCCTCCTGATCGCGAGCCAAGGTGTCCTGTCCCCTGTCCATAGACTTACCTGTGCCGTAAGTCATCCTTGTTAAAAATAGAAGCCGGAACGATCTTCACAACAACAATGTCCGCCTCGCGTGGCGCCTCCGATCTCCCCGGGAGTCAGACAGGGAGTGCCACGCGCCAGGCAGCTTATCACCGTGTCAGCTTTTACAAGGGGGTGGGTCTAACCAACAAGCTAATGTGAGAAACCAGCAAGTGTTCGTGCGATAAACGCGCGCGCAAATAAAGGGGGTCTTTGGCAGCAAAGTACTAAACACCTTGTTTCAATAACCGCACGCTGTGTCAACAAGCCGGGCAGAAAGGGCCAGGAAAGAGCAATGATGAAATGATGCAGTGGTCAATTTGCCAGCGATTGTTCTCGCCTATCAATCCGTGTTTGTCCGAATATTCAGCTTTTCAAGGCTAACTCGACAGTTAGACCGTTAATGCCTTAAACATACCGCTTTTGTACGTCTGTATGAAAGAGGCCACACTCGAGCGTCGAGAGAAGGTAAACTATAGCCATAAGAACATGATGGTTAAAATACACATTGCGCACTCGTCCGGGCAGCTTGCGAGCACGTATACCGGGTTTGGAAAAAACTTTAAGCAAAGAAAACAAGAATTCAAGCAAGAAAAGCATCAGAGAAAATTTGGTAAAATAGCTGACTATTATACGTAAAAGTCGTTTTGGTGTTTTCAAAGATGGATTTCTGACGGGCGGACTTCGTGTCAATGAAGCATATGTTTTCGACGATTAACTGGGCCGTGCTCTGTTGTGCTGTGAATTTGTTTTTAAGATACAAAAAACCGTACCTGATATCGCAGAAGTCGAAATCGGAGGCGTAAATCGTCCGTCCATGGAAGTTACCGGAGTGTCTACCATCCTTTCGGCGGGGGTTGTCGCGGGGGTGTCCCGGGGGTTGGTGATGGCGAGTCGGTGGAGTGGCGTTCCGATCGCGCTCGGGTAACCAGTCGTCTGTGTCGGGGTCTCGCTATCCACACACTTGGCTTCCTGACTCGGCGTTACGTCAGGACTTGGGTCACATTTCTTACTGATATCCGCGATTTTTGGAGCGAACCATCTCAGAGAATAGGTGCCGAGCGATGATGACATTTTCTTAAGGCGAACACTGTCATATCTAAGATATTGCGTGCATCAAATTACCAAACAGCCTCAAGCCTTTCAGGGACTTTTGAACTTTGTGTACGTTGTTTTGTGTGATTGGAACTTTCTAAAAAGTTCGTGGTAACAAAAAAAGTTTAGCCGTCACCCCTACAGATTGCTACCGCCCGCCTTCTCTCCCTCGCACGTCACAGGCTGGCGGTGCCGTGGGAAGATCCAGGTGCGGCGGCGACGGCCTCGATTGTTCTCCTGCCGCCAATTGGCTCCGAGTCCGCGGCGCACGTCAGTCGGCGTTCCGCGGGCCGGCCGCCGCCGTGTGCCCGCCGGGCGTACCACCATCACACGGTAATTAGCTCGCGCGTCGCTGCCAACTCTCATTAGCTCTGCACCACTACTTTTGTCAGGGCTCTATCCTCGCTTATGTCTCCCGGGGATGTCTTTCTTCACATCTTTTCTGTATCCTTTCAGAGGAAACAAAACCTCTATTCGCTGAGACCAACCTTTGAATCGTTTTTTAGCTACCCGAGTGTTAGCATAAGCCTGGGTAAACAAAAGACCAAAGCGCACACAAGCCGCAACGGGATATGGATGATCTCTTGGTGGGAGTTATGAGATAAAGCACTTAGAACACACAACACTCGTCTGCTCGTATCGCGAGATATACACACACATATAGGAGCATTATTTGGACCTATTCTAGTGGTATTATCAGTCATAGATTTGATTATCATATTTCATATACTCGTACAACGATATAAGAAAGGTACTTATGTGATATATCGATAGGAGTTCTAAAGATTGGATGTTTACTGACACCTAGCTGCTAATGAATGCTTCTTCAAAGATTCCACCAAAGATTTTTCGCTTCCTTTCTTTGCACAACCACGAGTTGTTCGACTGAGAAACGAATGAGTTTGAAATGTTTGGATATGGGCGGGGGACATCAAAACGCAACAACAACTAGCACAATGCAACCTGTAATATTGGAAAGACGTTTATTAGGATTGTGTTTGCCTCCTCAAATAATTCTACTCTGTTGATGTGTCCTTCAACAAAGGAAAGCATAACCATTTTGGCCTGCTGAGAGAGTTTTTCACTGCCGAAAATTCACCCATAAACTGCTAAAGTTGAGCGCCAAAACCGACTGTCTGGTGGTGGCGGCCGGCTCGGCCCTTCCCGCGTTGATTCTGACGAAAAAGAACGGTTCCATGTTTGATCCTGGATCGGTCTATTACCTTCCGGACTGAATGTGACCGCGTCCTTGGTGCTGAAACAACGGTCCATCCGCCATGCATGTGCGGCCATACCGACCCGCGCATTTAAGCGGTGGTTAGAGACTAGGCGACATGTACGGCCATACCTACTCTCCAAGCAGAGGTTTGGGTTTTGGCTTATTTTTGGCTTATTTTAGGCTTTTTTTATCGAGGTTTCTTTTTGCACTGGGTTGGGGAAAAATCCAGTGCAAAAAAAGAAACCCCTATAAAAAGCCTAAAAACACGCCCAAAAACATAACCTTCTTGGCGAAGGTAATAAGCCCAAACCCAAAAATCTGCTTGGAGAGTAGGCCATGCCGGGCGGTGTAGCGGTAGTTAGGGACCGGGCCGGTGGTGGGTTTGACCCAACGACGTTTGATAACGGTTTGTTCTTATCTGCTATTCAATCTAATATGTAGCAATAAAAGCTATTGGCCCGGACATGTCCTAGATCTATTGGCATGCTAAAACTATTGGTTCTTTTAAAAACAATTGAATGAGAACAAAAACAAGCATATACCTTCCCGTGACAACGTAAAAACTCTCGGTTTTGTATGAACTCTGTTTCTATAGAGGTATATTTAAAAAAAGGCCTGTTTTCTGTTTCACGCTTGTTTTATTCTTTCGTGTGTGTTTTCATGACATGATAAATAAGCTGTTAGTAGTAACAATTGTAAGCACCCTTCTTGTTGTGCGTTTTTATTGACACACAAAAAAACTGTTGACTTGTTATACAGACTTGATGAAGGAATGAGTTACAGAGTCTTTTTGTGTGGGTTGTAGGGATTATGGTAGCCGAGTTATTTCTTAAGGTCCGACCTGTATCCATAGTCTTTGGGTAACGGTTAGGGGTAAAGAGATGCTCCAAAAAGCAGTTACTCAAGCAACTTGATATGGTATTGAAAACGGTCCAGTTGCTTGAGTAACTGATGCTTTTTATCTGGGTATCTAACCGTCACCGACCTTCACCGACGTAAAGAGATGGCCTATTCATATAGCCAGCTGTAACCATAAAGTTGTCTTCTTGTTATATATACACGTTAATTGGGACTTTTGAGTAGAAACCGCCTGGAAGCGTCTTGGGTATATATACTTTAATTGGGTCTTCTTTTCATTCACGATGGATATACATGGTTGACAAATTAAAATCATATATACAAGCCCCGTGTAGTTGCCATTGCACTGGCTGACTGTAGAAAGCTTGTAGAATGATTTGTACGTCTCCAATAGAAAGAATATGAGGAAAGAACAATAAGCATTCAGAAGTTCCTGCGTCTGTGCTGAGGAAAAAAGTTCGAGTCTGTGTTTGTGTTTGACCGTTATTTTATTCTGATAGAATTACTGACGGGTTGTTAACTTTCAAAGGCGACTTCCGTGGTGTCTGCAACTTTGTGTTACCAACACTGGTGCCCAAAAAGACGCCGGCAAAACCGTCAATGTAGCAAACGGAACGGAAAGATTTAATTGCGCGGTGTGACACGCGTGTGTGTGCGGTACGGACGGGGTGTAGACATGCCCGCCGCGTGGCATCTGACACGTTCTACAAACACCCGCGCGTGCATGGCCGAGTAAAGGTCGGTCTTGTACAAACCTAGCCCGTGCCTCTCTTTGTTTGCGGCCAGACCCGTTTAATTGTCTATAAAGTATAAACTCTGTCTGACAAACACAAAGCGGGCGGTTGACCTCCCGCCAGGGGTCGCTGTGCACCTGAGCGCCCTCGCCCGTGTCGTTCATTGAATGAGTGAATGAATGAAGACCTTAAATTGTACATTTTTGCCACACTGGGCTAAGCACAGGTCACAAGAGTACAATCACACAAGAACTTAATTGACACAACAAAAGTACAGCGACTTCTTAAACTACATGTAAACATACAGACAGATACGTGAGTACAACAATATTGACCTACATACAAAACGATGAATCATATACATATACAAATACATATAACTGTTACATGTATATATAAACGTCTAATGTATTCTAGCCTTTTAACTTCCTCTCGCTTCTTAGTAACTGTATAAATGTATATGAGAAGTTAGAGTTGGTTTATCAGAGGCTAACAATGGGGCTAATTGCCGGTTTTATTGACCGTTTAGCGGGGTAATTGCGGTGTCTGACATTTCGGACACGCCGCGCCCATATTGAACACATTCGTCTTCTCAGACATGCAAAGACTACTAGTAATGTACTTTCACAGACTTAATATTTTACCAAGTTAAGGAACCATGTTGCAAAGCCTGAAAAACTGTCTCACCAGTTTTATTATTTGAACACAATTCTTTTCAAGCTCACAGAAGAGTTTGAGGTATGTTTTCTATTGAGATCATGTTTAACCTACGTGTGCCATTTAAGTGCTGTTCCTAGACAAAATACAATAAAACAGGGCACTTGTAGTACTGTACTTAAGTCCATGTTTTTTAAAAGTTTCTTGCAGTGTGAGCTGTTTCGTTTTCATTACACATGTACATACACGTATATTGAAATATATAAATTTGGTTCCTAGTCAAAAGACAACCATAACAGTGTAAAAATGTACGTCTATTTCGTTTGAGCAGCAACACATTCTGTAAAAGATTTGATCGATTTAATTCCTTATTGTGGAATTCTTTCTTTAACTTTTTCCTTTTTTTCGTGACTTTTGTGGTCCACCACCTCGCCCCGAGGCCACCCGTAAATCTGGCCGGGTCCTCGCACCTCCCCACAACGGGCAGAGTAATTTTCTCAGCGGGAAGAACTCGCAATCAGCCTCCCTCTTAAGCACGAACAAAGGTGCAGTTTCACCGCGTCTGCCCCAGACATCGTATATCTGTATCAGTTAGTGTCTCATTCAGGTGATGCGCATATGTACGAGGGAGAGTCATCTTTACGATCTAGCTATGTAGCTTAAAATCTGTGCTGTACAGATTTCAGGTGCGGTAACCATCACACAAATGACTTTCTTTTAGCGGAAGTTTTTGTGTGTCTCAGAAATAGTTCTCATGAACTTTTGAAAGTGTGTATCGATAAATGTCTCATTCAGGTGATGTGTATATGTACGGGTACGAGTCAATGGAGTCATCTTTACGATCCGTGAAAACGTACAGATATCAGGTGCAAATTTAAAGAGAGGTGTGATAACAATTACATAAATGACTTTCTCTAACGGAAGTCTTTTGTGTGTGTTTCAATAATGGTAGCTTACTCGTCGTCATGAACTTTTGAAAGTGTGTAATAAGCGGAAAACAGTCTCAAAGTCATCAAGCATCGACCCACACATTAGATATGAATTTCAAACGTAATTAAGAGATAAGATTATACAGTACTAATGATGACATCGAGCAATGTAGGACTATGTGACTTCTTCCCAAACAATATCAAGCTAAGATGTCGGCGTTGAAATCAGCACAAAAAATCATTAAAGTATTCAAATGTTAACACTCTGATTCGTGATTTTTTTTAAAAAGGTAACAGCAAGGCTGATATGTATACCTTTTAAGTTATCGATGCTCTCGAAGATTATATGGAGCATACCTGTATGTGTGTTCTTCCATTGGTAGTAACTGGCGACAAAGTTTTCTCTTTTCATCAGAAAGGAAAAACGTTAGACCACACAATTTTGAATTCCTGTCAAAAGCTCGTAAAACCTCATTTACAAAAATCCATTGTCCACTAATCTCATTATTTAGTCACAATGACCATTGTGTACAAGTTTTAAATGGGAAGAAATGACCTGTCAATGTCGCTAAGCTTTCAGAGACGCACTTTTTATGTGCCGTCTGAAGACATGAATGCTGTGAGCTGGCCTGTCCGGCGGGGTGTCTTCACAGATCCATCTTGTCCGGTACCCCACACCGTAGGCCGGTCGTTAGACCTACAACAACAATGTGCAGGGTCAAAGGTCCTCCAACACCTGCGCCCCGAAATGCCGACCTTTACTTCCAGCTGACACCCAGGCTTGGACACAAACGCGAGCGCCTGTATTGTCCACGCAAAAACGTAAGTTTTCTAACTTACACGACGCCTAGACAACAATAATGGGTACATAATACATATGTTGGTAACCCCCCTTCTCCTTGGACTACATGTAGCAAAGACAATGTCAATTTGGGCATAATATACGTCCGTCAATGAGTTTCTGTCAGCTGTATTTCGTCTAAAACGCTTGGTCTATCGGCTCTATCCATTCCCGGGCACGTGCGCACACCCTCTGTCCACAGGAGAGCACGTGCAGCCCGTGTTCCTACAGTCACTGTCCATGGTCGATCGTCCTATGTCTGGTTTTAAGTCTCAAGTCCCCTTCCCCTTCTAAAATTTCTTCGGGTAACACTGACCACCTCTCCTTGTCTCATAGTTCTGTTGTATGAGTTGCCAATCACTTCCCATGTAATAGGAAGTTGACCTACCTTAATGCGTAACTCAAACCACTTTAAAAGCCTATAGTTAGAGTTCTTACTTGTTAACACTGCTTTCATGACGTGTATGATGTGAGATAAGTATCAGCTCTAGAGGTACAAACGTACACCTGTGTGAACGAATATTATATTAAGAGTCAGACACAACTAATCATAACGTCAAAAGAGACCTATGCATTCTTTTATCGGGCGACATTAAACTGCAAAAATGTAAGACTACGAGAAGTATAACATGATATTCGTATTAAGGTTTCTACCTCCATAATTCTTTGATAGAAAATATCAAAATATCATAACAATCATCTGGACATCAATGCTGGATGCGGAATGTTGTGACGAAATAAAAATTCAAGTGTACTTTAATTAAATTTCTTGCGAAATTCTGTATTTTCGTTTCCTTTTCTCCGATCTTGGAGCAATACTTTGATGTTGGCCTCTCATCAACAAAGCCAATCAAACTCAAATTGTCAAAGACGATGGCGCATGCGCGGTTCACACGCTTGAGACCATCTGATACACGGTTGTAGTGGCAGACGAGTTGGCGACGCCAGGTACCGCGCGTGAGCGTTCTGCTTCATCCGGGAACTCTGGTGCAGCGGTGGTCAACTGGCTTCTGAAAAAACAGACCAAATATAAATTTCTTTCCTGAAATCGTCTCAGATAGTTCTCTTATATTAAACAATAATATAGATATATTATTAGACATATTAAAAGAAAGATTGTAAAGGGGAGGGACAATACGACAGCTGAAACGAAGACTCAGCCACTCAGTGGTTAAGGACAGGACTGGAGAATCCATAAAATCAACCGTTTTCAACTCGTGTTCTCATTGTTAAATGTCTGTTTTTCACACATTAATTCCCTTTAGTTTCCCTAGCAACAGCTTGATATTTAAATCACGGTTGTAAACTTTTTGTACCGTGGCCCATATGGACATGGTTCTTCCTATAAGCACTTCTTGGTTCGAAAATGTGGAAAGTTGCTAGAATACCTTACTAAACGCTCCAGATCCTCGGGTGTGTTGGGAAGAGAAATACCGAGCGTCTCGGGGATGACTGTCACGGCCACCCCCGCCAGGCAACACAGAACCCCGTACACCAGGAACGGGAGGGGCCGCCACGCGTTACCTAGGAGACCGACAAACGGGGCCACGATCCCGCCCAGTCTGGAGACCATGCTGGCCTGACCCACACCCATATTTCTGTGTACAAATGAAATAGAATAGTTCAAAAGACAATTTCCGTCTATCTGTCCAGTTTTTGATCTGTCTGTATCTGTATGACTGGTATAACTTAGCCTCAAACAGGCTTAGGGAGACGGTTGGAAAGAGTGGAAATTGGCCAACTAGAGAGATAACATGCCGAGGGAGTTGGTCCGCTAGAGAGTACATTTTGCCGCACGTACTCTCTGGCGGACCAAATCCCCCTCTCTCTGTTATCTCTCTATTTGGCCAATTTTTACTATTTCCATCCGTCTCCCGAAGCCTGGTAGAGGCTAGGTATAACCGCCCTTCGGCGTAACACACCAGCTTCGCAGGCACGTGGCGCGGCGGCAGCTGGCTAAATTACACCGAACGATCTCTCTTTCATGAAGGCTTATGTATTTGCACCCACCTAATGACTGTTGGGAAGACCTCGGCCGAAAACACCATGAGAGTACCGAACCCGATACTGATGCCGAAGCGCCCGACCATGGCCAGTGTGGTGGTGACAATCCCTGAGTCTGGCAAAGCCGGGAAAAGGAAAATTCAAAAAGCTGAGGACGTTCGAATGATTCGGCCCAAAAATTTCGATGATTCTTTGAGTTGGAGAACAATTTAAAGCTTCTCATAATGTCTTTTACCAACTGAGATGAACATTATCATGAAAGTTCATCTGTGTTGGTAGTTACATGTTTAAAGTTAAAACTTTGGTCCAACAAAAAATTTCTCTCACCTACAACTTTTGGTCCAACAAAAAATTTCTCTCACCTACAGCTTTCGACCAGTCACTCTGGTCTTCCTCAGTAGACTGACCCAGTGAAGCTTGTCACGTGGCTTCTTTGAAGTGTGACGTCAACACTGGGTCAAAGGTATCTGGTAGACGATGTCGGGTCAGTCTACCGAGGAAGACCAGAGTGACTGGTCGAAAGCTAGTCGGTAAGAGAACTTTTTGTGTTGGACCAAAAGTTTTAACTTTAAACATGAGATGCACATTCATGTTAAAAGTTCCTACACACCATGCGGCACGCCGGCCAGGGCCAGACAGGACGCTCCAGCCACTAACATGAAGCCGATAAACGGACGTTTCCCGCCAAATCTGGCCATCAGCAGCCAGGCGACGCATATGGCCACCATTTCCACGCATGCGCCGAGGACGAAGTTGACGTAGTGGTCCCCGATCAGTTGTGACGTCCCCAACACGAGGCTGTAGTAAACACACACGGCTATCAACCTGGAACGGGGATGAAAATAAAAATTAAAGTTAAAACTGACAATATGTGTGTTTATCCATCTAACTGTCGGTTGCAATGTCAGTGTTGATAGTCAAGCATCATAGAGCAAGCATCATCGTTATTTAAGTTAAATTTAATTTTGCAGACGAATGTTCGTTTCGATCGTACTTGTACCGTACGAACAAGTGGCTATTGCTACAGCCGGTTCCACATCAGAATCCTGTTCTATTAGAGTTCTCTTCTTTTACTAACTCACCATGCTAGGTTCATTGCCAGCGTTATCTTCCTCATCTGCGGAGTGCGGACCAAATCGACAATGCTGTACTTCCTACTCTTGCTGCTAGGTGGCGTTCTTCCGTCGTCATTTTGGCCCTCCGCACAACCGTTCAACTTTTGAAAGGTTTCCTGTGAAAAGTTGACGCCGTTTTCTTTGGCGATGCGCTCGATGACTAGCCTGGCCCTGTCCGTTTTCTTGGCAACTATCAACCATCGTGGCGACTCTGACACGAACCTGATGTAAAGACAAATTCAGATTAGCCGAGGCTACTTTTGATTTGTTTGAGTTTACTTTTCAAAGCCCTCAAAGGAATGTTTGGACATAGAAGAAACTTACATTTGCTAATACCGCTGGGTTGAATGACAACGTACCTACTCACAGACCTTATATTAGGAACTTTGACATGTACTTGATACTCAATACGTCGAACTATTTTGTTTGATGTCTTTGTTTAGTTTAGGAATCCTTCTCTTTCCTAGTCCTCGCCTAAATGAAAAAAAAAATAAAACAAATCTTTAACAAAGATATCGTACTTTGTAGCCTACGAGAACCCTTATGTATAATAAGAACATGAACTTACCACCAGTACATGAGTAAGGGTAGAGTGGGGAGGGACAGCGCCAGTTGCAGGAGCCACCAGTCCCGGATGAAGTAGGCCATCAGCCCCAGGACCAGGTACCCGACGGCGGGCATCTGGCACATCAACATGCCGAACGCAGTGCGTTTGGACGGCCCTAAACTCTCCATACCTGCAGCGGTACGGGAATAACGTGTCATATTCAGACAGAGAAAGAGGTGGGAGGACAACATAAAATAGTGGACTGGATTGAGCTTAGCTGAAGCCATAAGAGCGGCAGAGGACAGGGTTAGAGGGAGGAGGATACTGGATCAAGTCACGGTGCCCCAACGACGTATACGTATACGGTTTAATGAATGAACGTAGATCTATCTATCTTTCTGACTTTTGTTTTGTTTTGTACGCCTCAGAGGTTCTTGTGTCTTTCTAATCTTTTCTTCTTTTTGGCAGGGTGGTTTTGGTTGAGAAGGTTTTTGAATAAGCATATCATTCTCTGCACCTCTGGCTGAATAAATGGCCAGGGAAGTTGGACGGCCATATATAGAGAGTCCAGTCCGTGCATGCAAAGTGGACCGATTTTAGGCCGATTTCTACTATTTGTTCATCCTAAAAAGGAGTATGGTGGAGACTAGTGTACTGTACCCATGACCAACCCGGCGCAGTAGGCGCCGTTGCAGAAGGCTCCCACCAGGAATCGGAGGACGGCAAACGTGGTCAGGCTGGGGGAGAACGCCGCACACACGCCAAACGTCAGCTGCAGCAGGAGGCATGTCATCAGCGTCACATGGCGTCCGACTCTGGGAGAAAGGAATCAACAAGAAACGAAATAAAAATCATTCCCCACTCCCCACTCGTAGCCCTACTCAAATCTTCCCCCTCCCCCACTCGTAGCCCTACCTTGATCTTCCCCTCCCCCACTCGTAGCCCTACCCTGATCTTCCCCCTCCCCCACTTTATTTGACCTTTACCTAAGTTTGAGTTTAATTTTATGCATTCTTTGGGTGTTGTCTTTATGTCTGGAAATCCATAGACGTTAAAAACAACGTGCTACTGTCAACATTATGGTGCTAACTTTAAATTTCGTCCAGGAAAGTCTTTCGTTGTTTTGACCTGTATCTGTATCTGTATCTGTATAGTCGGTATGACCGGCTTTCGGCGTAACACACCAGCTTCGCAGGCACGCGGCGCGGCGGCAGCTGGCTATATTACACCAAACGACTTGTTACACCTAACCCTTGAACTTCTAACTCTAGAAAATTTTTAAAGCTATCTAATGACAATACCCCTACTGTACTTGGTGACAGCTGAGTTCCACTCTGCGATAGTTCTAGGAAAGAATGAATTGTCTGTCTGATGTCCCTACCTGTCAGAGATGACGCCAAAGATGATACCACCCAGGCCCACCCCCGCCATGAAGATGGACTGTGCCAGCTCTCTGAGCCAGGCCCTGCCGCACACCAAGTCGTACTGTTCGGCACAGAGAACCACAGTTCTTTTATCATGGAACCACATATAAACTGTTACTGCATGCTTCTCTTCAAGCACAGGTTGATGAGAGAGGATCGTTACCTTTTTATACATGGCTTTTTTTTCGGCACCCATTTTTTTTGTCGCTACCCGTCTGCTTGGAGAGTATTAAACTGCATGCCACAGATTGCGCTATGAGACCTGTTGGTGGTGACACATTTCTGACAAGTCTAGTAATGCATGTTTTTGACATTTGATGTTTCGGACAACCATTATCAGATTTACCATTGGTTGGCATTAATCACTATTTATCGCTGTTCAACATTTGGGGAAGGTACCTTCAATGTGTAAACCTTATTATCAAGGTGCGTCTAAGGGTTTTAATAGGTAATAAGTTATCTAACACAACGCAACTGCCCGCAATATGAAGTTTATTGCTCGACAGTTGTACATGGTACAATGTGATCAATACAATCAAGTCTATTCTAAGTAAGAGACTACTTTACTACAGGAATATGAACGTAAACGGCGCAGGACATTATGTATATAGGACAATATTATGTATATAGGACAAATGGCCTCTGATCCCGCGCGGGAGGAAAACAGGGCAAATAGCAGGGATTCCATGATTTTAAGGGGAACAATATGAAAAGGGGGGAGATCATTAACATCGGCGATCCGACAGGTACATGCTTCTTTTCGAATTCCTGTTCCGTTCTATAAATCACTGATCACGATATACAGTAATTCTGATATTCTCTGTGTCTTAACGCAGTAGAGGCTACAACAGCGGCTACATTTGTACACTGTACACTGTTCTTCAGTAGCCCGCTCTCTTCTGAAGTTTTGTGTGATTCCCCAATACTATGCAATACAGAGAGAGTGGAGCCTTCCTGGTGACCTACATGCATGGCAATGGGTTCATAGATCAACAGCACGACTGCGCTTCTAAAGTTCCGGAGGCCTACGTGAGGGAAATACTAAGTTTTCAGTGAAGGTAAAAATCAAAACAGCTCCCTGGGTTTGACCCCGGAACATGCCAGCATTGATCCGAAGAATGATACTAGTAATCTCAGTGGCAATGTTGGCAATGCGGATCTTCTCAGTAACAAGAATATTTTCAGTGAACCAACAACTAAGATTATCACGAAAGGCTGCATCACATAGAACGGTATATTTCGTGTCAATATACAAATGGATTGGTGCAATGTCAAAATACTAACCCCGATATAAATGTATGCAGTTGACAACAATCTTATAAGTAGACAACGTGCATGATATATTAGTAGACAGGATCATGAAAGTCCAAAGGGGAAAATACCCACCAGACCGTAACTGTGTTGTCATATTAAGATTGTTGATGTACCTGTGTGACAATACTGCTGCGGTACTGACTCTGGTCATACTCCCAGCCCCCAGTACAGGTGCTTGTGGTTCTGTTCAGCCAACCCGCCTGGTCTGGCCTGTCGTACCTCCTACACCGGCTCAGTCTCCGTGTCCCCTCCACCACCTCCATCGGGACGCTCAGGTTTAAAGCCTCGGGCCTGGTGAGGTTGACGCCCGCCGACGTTGTCTGGGGCACCCGGCAGTGGTGCTCGGGAATGGCGGCGATGAAAGTCATGGCTCCTGTGTGTAAGCCTGCTGGAATGGCAATGAGGCTCAACAGTACAGTTATACGGCGCTGGTACGCGCCAAACTCGCCTATGTGCTGCAGGACAGCGTCGTAGTTCATCCTGTCCTAGCGGCCGCTGCAACACACTTCGGCCTCTAGATACTATATACTTCGGCCCCGACAATTTGGCCCCAAGTGCAGGACAATTCGGCCCGAGGCAGTGGACGGTTCGGCCCCGTATGTATAGCAAACAGACTGACCTACGTATACCACGGTTGCATCTGAAACAACAAACAAACATGCTCGATTCGGATAATTGATAAAGCGCATGGTGGGATAAATACCTGTCCTTTATTACGCTTGAGAATCCAGTGCAGCGCCAGGCGCATCGGCAATCAAGATGATTCTCAATAGCGACCGCTTTACTTCGTCAGAGATTACTTTAACACAAGTTTGTACTTTGTTGTCTGGCCCAAACGCGTACTCTATCGGAAATCAACATGTTGACTATCTTTCATGTCCATGTTTAGATTTATCTAAAGACGGACCGTAATGAAACATAACATATTAGATCACTAACGGATACGGCGTCAAAACAATGTTCTTCTAGAGTGAAGTTTCATCATCTCAACGTTTTGATCTAAAGCTTTGTATCTTGTCTTTATCGTAGGTCACCGCCCCTTTTTTGTCACTCAAGCCGTATTGTCCGAACACTGAATGCCAAACGGACGGTGGGGTCATTGGGTCTTCAATTGGGCACTACTTTTTTGTCTTTTTTTGCTCATGTCTGCAACAACGCCCCCTTTTCTGTCAATCAAGACGTGTTGTCCGACCAAAGAAGCCAAGGACTGGGGGGCATTGGCCCTAATATTGCGCTGTCTGTATTTTCCGTTTGTAACAACGCCCCCTTTTCTGTCGCCATGGTGTCCGACTAGATACTAGTATTACTAGTATGTAGGTCAATTTGCAAGAAAACAAAGGAAAAGAGATCGAATGAATTTTGCTAGAAGGCAAGCGTTGATTTATTTCTATTGTATCTTGTGTCCTATTGTCCTGGTGTCCGAAACAACGCCCCCTTTTCTGTCAATTGGATGATGATGGACGACTGAAGATAGCCTCCTGTGCACGGGTGAGCGGAATGGAACATTCTCCCGGTAGCTGGTTGTTGGATGGGCGGCTATCAAATAGCTCAGTGACTAGAACACTTTGTATTAGCCTAGTAGTACTCATATGTTCCTCATGTATGTATGTCTAAGTCAAGTAGTGTATCTTTTGTCTCCAATTTTCTATATACGTTTGTTATGTGTCTGTTATATCTTGACCTGTACCTAGCCCGTCGTGGCATGAATGTACAATCAAGGTATTTCATTTCATTTCAATTTCATTAAAATAGCGCGTTAAAAACTCTTTCCCACCCGCCGCCGGGCCTGCACAGGAGTCTAGACTGAAGACGTGAAAGAGAGAAGAAAAGAGAAGACGCGACTTTTGTCCGATAGCAATTTTTCACCTTTCACTTTCTTTTTTATTTAACCTCCTTGCTTTTGCTGTGGCCTATTGTTCAGGTGTGATGGCTGATCTCCAAGCAGATGTTCGGTGAAGGGTGCAGTATTGTGGGCCACCACCGTGTTTCCGTGGCCCAGATGGACTGAAATACGGGGGTACTCACAATAGCACAGGCCTTTCTTGACATACTTCATATCTCCTTTCTAATAATTATTGCAGTAATGCAGTAATGAAGAGGCGATCCAATTAAAACCGACCCCGCAAAATACCCCAGCGAGTTTATGTCATGAAATTGAGTTTAATAATATTTGTAGCGCTTCTACGGTGCGTTTTTAGTGTCTACGGTGTGGGTCCGAAACGTCCCAGGCCTGGGTGCGAAACGTCCTGATCGGCTGGGGGCCGAACTGTCCAGGGGCCGAACTGTCCGACATTCCGAATGGTCTTTCCAAGGGGACCACTGTGATACATAAAAAGAAATCAAGGCTAGGGTATGCCCAAGTCGCGCTTTAGATCGACAATGCAGAAGCCGCTAAAATTAACGGAGGCACGAGTATGTTTACACACAGTAGCTGTTTACATGTAGAGCTGAAATCATTAACCATGCTGACCTGAGCCAAGGCCTTGAACTGATAACGAAAGGTCGAAGTCCATGGTTGAATGAACTTTTTGTTCCTGTCGAAATATTTAGCATTGTTGTTGTACATTTAAGTCCAGTCACGTTATTGAGCTTGACTCGATAAGGGTGAAAAACAACATAGTATCACTTTTTCCAATATATTGGCTTGATTTTTGTATGATAAAGAAATTCATGAAGCTAAGGCAGGTTGGAGAAATATCGTTCCGACACAGCTGAACTTGCATTGTAAGGCTAGATGTGGGCTCTACTCCCATCTTTTTATAGGGAAATATGTACCTATTTAGCCTATAGGCATGGATTATCAGAGTCATCATAACTTAGACAAACACAAACCAAGCTTAATGAAAGTCCAGGACAGTTTGTCAGGGCAGCTGAGCTCACGTTCACGTCTTTGTGGACTTCGTCTTACAGAATGTTTTCCCATAGTTGAATAACATGGATGCCGGAAGCATGGTTTTCTATAGTTGTGGCTTGAAGCATTGTTTGGGGCTGGTCTGTCTGTGTGTCATTTTCTGTGTGTTAATATTCTCTGCAATGCTTTCTTTGTCTGAGGGACTGAAAGGACTATGGGTTAGGGTGGGGGTATCTCCTTCTAGTATATTGCCATGGTGATCATGTTAAATTAGAGAAATTTGTTAGGGAAAGTCAACCACATCCATACTTCACGTACTTCATTGAGTGATGTGGCAGTTCGATTCTTCACACATGCAGACAGAATATGGCCAGACAACATATATATAACATGACAAAGTGGTATTTTTATACTGTATTCATACATATAATCAAGATACATGTAGGATACCAGTGCCCTGTACACAGGAATCTAGTCCTGTTGTAAGTGTATAACTTTCTCCTGATCACAGTAACATCAACCAAATACATTTTCACTGCAAACAGATTGGATGAGATGTAAAAATGGACTTAAAATGTTTCAGAAGGCACCCTTTTACCCTCTACATTGTTTATACACAATATGCAAAGCATATACATTTGTACTTTATAATATGAGGTAATGTAGTTAAGCTATGTGCAGCAAGATATCATAGACATCAAGGAAAATCTCAGTTAAGCTGGATATAATGTACATGTAAGCAGCTGAGTGTTGATTACTAGTAATATTAGTAATGCCCATACATGTATCTATTTTCACAGCATTATACATGTACACGTATCTACTACAGTAGAGTTGAGCCTGTCTTCAGTGCATTGTGTTGTTGGAGTAAGTCCCAGTTCCAGGACTGTTTCACCACTGTGTCTGTTTGGCCTTAGCCAGCAGCTCTCTGGAGATGATTAGACGCTGAATCTGAGCCGTGCCCTCGTAGATCTGAAAAATGGAGACATTAGAATGCATTGTGTTGTGAAGGGAAACAATGATAAGTTTTCGTGGTTTTGTTGTGAATTCTTGTAGGTAACAAGAAAAAGACAAACAATGAATATAACACATGGCTACTCTTGTGTAAATGCTGTAAAGGTTTTATTGATAAACTTTTCTAATTTTTTTTCTTTTTCTTTCTTTCTGCTGTTTTGACATAAATAAGACGTCAGTTACACTTCCCAATAATAATCTGGCCATACCTACTGATAAAAAAAATGTATAAATTACTACAGTGTAGTAGGTAAGAGATCCCTTGTAGCAATCAACCAAGCTATGATCTGTTCAGAAGTTTTGTGGGGGTTCCTGTGTACTAACCTGGTAAATCTTGGCATCTCTCATCAGCTTCTCCACAGGGTAGTCGGAGTTGAAGCCGTTCCCACCGTGGATCTGTACGGCGTCTGTCGCACACTTGTTGGCGGCGTCGCCGGCATAGGCCTTGGCGATGGAGGCGTAGTACGTGTTCCTCCGGCCCTGGTCGATCTCCCAGGCCGACCGCTGAGTCAGCAGACGCGAGGTTTCCACCATGATGGCCATCTCTGCCAACATGAAGCCTATGGCTTGGTGCTGGGAAAGACAGACAATATTACATGAAAACCTATACCATAAAGAAGATGCAATTGGGTATTGGGATTTTCTTTTACACAACCAGTAATGTCTCGTTGCTTTTGTTTTGGTGTCTATCAGCTTCTGACTTGAGTTCTGCTTCTTGCTGCTATATATAGACATTGCAAGTGGCACTTTATTCTATGTTCTGTGTTCTACCAACCAGGTGAAACTATTTCTAGATGCAATTTTGCTTTTTTCCTGTCATTTACAGTTTATATGGCAAAAAATCCCTTGAAATCATGGTGACCCTTACAATCTCAATTAGTAATGAATTAAATGCAAAAAATCTTTCTTCTCTCCTTAAGAAACCTGTCGAACCTCCAAGTTTCCAAAAAATGAAACTTAGAAAGTGTCCAAAATGTGGACTACACTACAGTATTTGTTTCTCCCCACCTCAGCGATGTACCTCCCCATAGTTTTCCTCTCCAAGGAGTACTTGGTGGCTTCGTCCAGCGCTCTCTGGGCCAGACCAGTGGCTCCTGCTGCAACCTGGGCATACAGAAACACAGCTTACACAAGTCAACATTTATAAACATTCCTCTACATTTACAACACTTCAAAAGCATGCACTGTTTCTTGTTCAGACAATTACTCGATTCAGTGGTTGTAGTTGAATTGATATGAAAAGTAATAACAGTTAAGACAAGACTTCAATTCACTTCGCTGATTTCTTCAGTGGAACCATAAAGACGTCTGGTGGTGATTAACTTTTCCAACAGCAGGTAGCCAGCAAATAAAATGACAAATAATATCCCTGGACTCATAGCCTTAGAAGCTGAAGTCTTACCGGAGGTCTTGTCTTGTCGAAGGCTCCCATGGCGATCTTGAAGCCCACCCCTTCAGCCCCCAGCACGTTCTCAGCCGGCACCCTCACATCCTCAAACGTGATCCCTCGCGTGTCTGACGCCCGCTGGCCCATGTTCCACTCCTAAATAACAATCACAGAGGAAAAATTATGAAAGAAAAGCTCTTGTGTTCAGTCTCTACTAAATGGCAATACCTTTGGTTGTATTGATGATGAAAGATTCACAGGTTTGATTCCTGGCATTCCCGGCTAGATGTTGTGTCCTTGGCAAAGGCATTTTATCTTTAGTCACTTTACCCAGGTACAGTTGGGGAGTTAAAGGCAATGGAAGGATGCCATGCCCTAGACAGAGTGGATTAACAACAACCCACTGCCCCTACTGGCTCCAGCTATGAGATCTTTCCTTTTTATATATATAATTACCCATTCGAGAGAATAATATGACTGAAACAATCCTTTTCCTTCCCTGTACAGGGGAACAGTTAAACAAAAATCTGACCTTCCTGCCTGGCACGACGCCCTCCCAGTCCCTGTCCACGATAAAGCCAGTAAACGCCTTCCCAGCAGGCATCTTGGGGTCGTCCGAGGTCCTGGCCAGCACGAAGTACCAGTTGGCGTGTCCACCGTTGGTGATCCACATCTTCTGTCCGTTCAGGATGTACTCGTCGCCCTTCTTCACTGCTTTAGTCTTGATACCGGCGACGTCAGACCCTGCACCGGGCTCCGTAACACCGTAGGCCTGGAAAACAGTATTTATATTATCCACTGCCTTCAAAGAAGAAGTCAAACCACATGATAGCAAGCGTAGAAGTATAAGTTTTCCCAGACAGTAGTTGTCTGTTTCCTATCATTGTACTGTACCACATACTGACTCTGTAAAGCAATTAGCCTTGCTTGGGGCATGAGTTTGCAAATAAAGACATGAATCTGTACCTGTATTACTGTACACACTTTCCCCAATTATGCAATTCTACGGAATATACAAGGACAGCCAGACATTTTTTTTAATGCATCAGGCATGTAAAGCTACATGCAAAAACATAATCAATGTGAATTACATACAAAATGACACAGAGTCTCTCCATTCTAGTAGATAGAGCCCTACATGTATAGGTAGAAGATACGTGGTTCATATAATATATAAACATTACTTACACACATCAGAGGCTCTTCAGTCATCCTCCCCAGGTATTTCTTCTTCTGTTCTGCATTTCCTGCAATGATCACTGGCATTTGCTGGAAGGGAAAAATCAATCCAATGTTAAACTTATATCATATATAAACAGTCATACATCAAAATCAAAAGAAATGTCATATTGTCAGTATGTCTTTCCAGCAATATAGGTCTACATGCAGACCAATTTAGACAACATTGAGACATGTATTATTTTCTAATACATCTACATGTATATGGGTCCTCACCCCAAGAGAGTTGGCCTCGATGGCAGTTTGGATGCCTGTACAGCCGTACGCCAGTTCTTCTGTGATCATGCAGGCATCGAAGATCCCCAGATCCATGCCACCTAAGTACAAACAAACAACAAACAAGTGTTATGTACGTAACTTCTCTTTCCTTGGGTACATACATATATTATATACTTACATGTACATGGGCAAACACAAGGATTACAGATTGAGAAGTCAGCATTAGAAAGCTGGAATTTCAGTAAAGCACTTGATGAAGCCATAAGCCAATGGTGAAATTTAGGCAGAAACATCCTACTATAGACTGGAGTCCAGTTAATTTCAGTCCACTTCCCACGGTTGGTGAGGTAGCAGATCTTATTCTTCAGAAGCAAACTCCAGATTGCCTCAAGGCTGATCCTATTACTACTAGACCAGTACGTGATACATAACTGGATGAACCACTCACCACATTCTGCAGGAATATGGGTGTTCATCAGGCCCAGCTCCCATGCCTTCTTCAGCACTGGGACAGGATACTACAGAGGAAGAAACAAAGTTGTTTCAACTCAGTACACCTTGCATTAGCCTGACTAAACTGCACTCCTGGCAGCCGCCTGCCCCAAAGGTTGCCATGGGGGTCATTGACCTCCGGCTGAGAGCTTGTGTAAACACAGGCAAACATTGCACACTTTTTTAAGGTCGTATTCACATATTTAAGACAACATACCATCAATAATTTTCAAATGTTGCTTCCGAAAAGATATACTCAAGCAACATTCACCAAACATACAATGAAAACTGTGAAAAATTTGAGTGCCACACAAACACAGTACATTCTGAAAACATGCTTATCTGTGCTGTAGTACCTCTCCGGTTTTGTCGTATTCTGCAGCCACAGGAATGATCTCTTCACGTGCAAACTTGCGGGCCAGCTCCTGGAACTCTCTCTGTTCATCTGTCAGCTCTGGAAAATACACAGAAAATTTAACCAACTGTAACTCTTCAGAAAAGAGATCAAATACACATAACACAGAAGACCAATTGATGGTCTGTGTAATATTTCAGTCTGTCAGATTTTAGGTACTTACATAACTGAAATAGCCTTTTGTATTTTATAATAGACACCTATTCTATAAACTGCAGAAGATTAGCCCCTTTGGGACCTAGAGGTTTAATATACAACTTTTAAGTTGTCTCAAAAGATCAAGCAGGTTTAAACCTCCTTGATACGATGAATGCCTTTCTAAATCTTGCCAAGATTACAACTATAACAAAATATCGATTATATCACAAATTTTATACTGTTGAAAGGTTATTGAACAAAAGATACCATTATTTTAGGTAACTCATCTTCTACAATGGAAAAAATAAGATCGTTGTTACCGAATGAGTAGCCCCGCCCACCACTAGGCGACCCCTCAGCAGTAGTAGCAGCCGGGCTGGGTGCTGTGGCCTTTGTGCGCACATGTTGCCGCAGTCTGCTCGCAAGACGCAGATACTGGAGGGAAGGTACACAAGTTATGTCTAAGTCAGACAATTCTAGAAAAAAAGAAGGTGGACAGCTAACAAACTTTGCGAAGATCTCTGACGTTCCAAAAATTACTGATCCTAAAGACCTTGACCCCTAGGCCCCTACGTCAGAAATTTTAATAATCTTTGCTTCTGGCTCCATATAATATTCTGTTTCGTCTTTTGGGGATAAATCTAGAGCATTTGCTTCTGTTTTAATGCAATCTAGCAAGGACCATGCCACTACGTGCCCGGTGCTGTTGTGTCCTTGTCATAACAAAGGAGTCCTGATCAGGTCAGCTAGGCCGACCATAATTTTCAGCAAGACTGACCATAAATCAGCTCGAATTTATCATCAATCTGCAACCACAGTTCTCTTGGATGTTAGAGTAATCTAAGATCACTCTTAGAGTACACTTTGTTCGCTAAAGAAAGGAGAAAACAGATTTTTTTTCACCTGTCCAGCACTCGGGATCAGTCGTGACGCCATCTTGTTGGGGTTACGCAAACAATGTTATGCAAGTGCCTTCTAGCGATAATGTCAAGAACTGCACAGATGCATTCCCGCTGGCGGTGAGTTGATGGTTTGAGACGAATGTAATCCAACGAGAGTTTGAAGATCTCGTGATTTTCTAAAACTTTGATCCCTTGTTTATTGTAACGTTATTTCATTATCATACAAATAAAGTTTTCATAGAAATAAGCAGCTGTGACAAGACACAACGCGGTGGATCGTGCATAGCAATAGTTTATTCAACCCACAGAAGACCTCCAATCAAGAAAGTCATGAATCAAGATATTCGATTCAAGAACATGTGCATTAGCCCCAGAATTCATAATAATCTTAGTTTTAAAAACACCTCTAACAAAAGTCTGAATAAGCATTTAATTATAGGCGTAAATAAAGACTAAGACTACTGTCAAAAGTTAGCAGGATTTTTTTCGTATTCGGTGACATATTCCTCGTGTTGGATATGATCATTCCCTTAAGCTTTACTAATACACTGTACTCAGAACATCAAATAATGAACTTTATACAAAATGCATCTGTAACAGCCCTTTGTTTATCGACAACCAAAGGTATGGCTTATGCAAATACTCCAAAGCTTTTTATGCGTTTAACAGACCGATGATAAAATCAACACATGTTATATGACACGTGCACTACGTGTTTAATTACGGTGTAGCAAGCTTATAAACTTCAACTTATTTTCAATTATAGCGGGCATCGTATACACGATACTGTCGGTCCGAAACGTGCCGAAGAATACCGATGTCTCCGGACTCCCTCACGGCATTCTGGTGCAGCCCGAGTCCAGGTACTTCATGAGGCGGTTGACGAAGTAGTGACAGTTGTTGGTGAAGAGGCGGTAGGACCCATAGCAAGACTTATACTGTCGGCTGAACAACTCGGCCTGAGTAGAGATAATGTTGCAATAACATTAATGATCTTTTAATATCAACCTCCTAGCATGCCCAGAACCGTTCGGAACATAGGATCATGATATAATTTATTGACCCGGCCCATTAAAATCGAAAGTTTTGCTCCAGTACTAGCACCAAGTGGTCCATACACCTACCGTTAAGTCCTTCATTTTGCCAATACCTACCCACATACCGAATCTCATCCATCCACTCCTCGCCGTTTGATAGATATATCGTATATTAAAGTTTGTACAATACATGTATGTATGCTGTACACAAACAAATCCACAAGTATATCATCCTATGGCGCCGAAAAAAATACCCTTCTTGGCGAAGGTAACTACTGATTATTTGGGACACCATGATCAGTGGCAATAGTGTATATATGCTGTACCTGCGCTCGGGTACAGGTGCTGTATCCTGCAGGAGACCTCTTCCATTTGACAGCACAGTCAGATGGGCAGCGGAGACCTTCCCACCATCTCTGTCGGTTGCACCAGAAATATCAGTGTTAAAGCTGGATTCTTTCAAGCAGTGCCTCGATCATGATTTGTATGAAAATCAAGTACACCCAGCTAGTGGTAGATGGCATCAATATGATTTCAGGGCGGTGTGAAGTCCTACTTAATTAGAAAGTACGTACAAAGACGACTATGGTCCCATTCCCACTAGGATAAAATTGTCCGGATCGAGCCGAATTGATTCGCTTTGATCCGGCTCCGAGCCGACTCGAAGTAGGACCGAAGCCGGATCAAAGCGAATCAATTCGGCTCTGTACACGTTAAAGATGTAGCTATGAACAAACCGTGCACATAGCCGTCACAACCAGGCAGATAAGGCAGTACCATTTTTGCCCCGACGCCCCACTCGAAGACCTCTCCGCGGAACAGGAGGACGCGGTGTGACGGGCTCCACTGGAACACCGTGTCCACGCCACGGCGGCGGCGGCGGAACAGGCGGGTTCTCCCGTGGAAGAACGGGGCAGAGCCAGCTGGATAGGCACGTGGGACAAATCACACATTAATGATCTACTGAAGCAACTACTATATATAACTTGTATATGATCTGTATCAAGTATAGCCGGTATAACCACCCTTCGGCGTAACACATCAACTTCGCAAGCACGCGGCGCGGCGGCAGCTAGCTATATCACACCGAACGACTTGTTACACTCAATCTTTGCACATTTAATTGCAGAAGTTTCTAAAGCTTTCTGATGATCATGATTTACACAAAGAATACAAAAAATCAACGTAAAACAAACTGTAGTAAAAAAAACAACAACTGGAAATACCAAGTTCTCAATTAGCAACACTTCGAAGTTGAGTACTTCTACTATATGTAGACAAAAAGGTGAACATAAAAACCACGTGCATATACTATATATGAATACGAAAGTATCTAAACTCAAAATCACCTGAGTTACTTGAGCGTGGATGGCCGTAGCATGAAGTGTCCCTGTTGACCACTGGCCCAGAGGACATGAGGCTGGAGCGAGTCTACATGGTGTACAGAACAATAATCAATATCGATTTGTTCAAATCACGATCGACACAAGCGGCGAAAACTTAAAGCATAGCTAGTCAACCATGGCTGCCATAGTCAACTTTGTTATGTAATTCCGCATCAGTAGGATTAATGTATAGAAATATGGATACTATAGAGACAAGAATGGAATGATTCGCGCTCCAACAGCTTGTTTCGGCGACAAAAACTCCCTCGGCAGCAAATCGTCGCTCGCGGCTGCATATTACTCGCGTCGCCACAGAAAAGAATTACGCCCACGCCCAACAAGTCTGCGAAGGAGGCTAGGTACCACGACAATAGACATTCCCCTACATGCCAACAGACAACATGATGCAGTTTTCATGACTTAGGATGGTCAGACGGTGCACACATATAACATCGTACAAACCCTTCCACCCACAATCCCCCCCCCCCCATACCTGGCCGATACATTTCCAGTAGGTCGGTGCCGCCAGATTCGGGCTAGGACCTGTGTGCAAACAGAAGATGGAAATTGGAATCACCATGATGCAATATATAGCTGCACATGATATTCAAGCAGATTATGTGGGCCAAGGGGAGTCTATACTGGTCACTTGTAACCATTGGCCTCCTGTAACCATTGGCCGCAGAAGGCAAATGGATACAGACAGCTAAAAGTAGACTCCCCTTTCCCCACGGAATCTGCTTGGAGATTAATATAGCTGCACTTCCTATTCAACTGTACCTCTATGCAAATCATGTAAAATTCTCTGTGCAGTTCGAAGTGAAATACCTAGGAAATTTCATGTAGTACAACTTACTTGGACACCTCCTCCTCCTCCTCCGCCTCCACCACCCTTCAGACTGCCACACCAGGCAGAACACAACAAGCAGGAGCAGACTTGCTCGCCAGATCCTATATGGGATAAGTGGTAAAACGCGTCGATTGGTGCCATTTTACAGCAATAATTTTAAAATACTAGTACATATTAAACAGAACACACGCATCGCAATATCTCCTCTAGACGACCGGCATCAGAAGTTGAAAGAGAACTAACTATCGGTGATATCCATTGTTATACATGTAGTTCAGTCAGTGTCATTTCAACCAGTTGAAAAATTTATTACCACCTACTCCACTAGACTAACTACGCGGGTTGGGGCAGATTGATTTGCCATGGAGTTTGGTCAACTGTAGCTTGTACAGTTGATCTGAGCTATTTTTTACTAGACCTATTTCCTGCTCAGATCGTATTTTTTATGAAGCCCATTTCCTTCTCAGATGTTGTTCATTATCCAGTGCAACACAAGTCCCGTAAAACTACATTTTGAAAACACTTAGTATAGTATTAGTATTAGTATTAATATTAGTATTAGTATTAGTATACATATGTCACTGTTTTGGTTTAAGAATCAAAATGAGCCACAAATATAAAGCAATTGCAAGATGCAAGGAACGATCAAAAGGTGGGCATGATTTGATACGATGCTACTACTTTACGTGGTTAGACCATGTCTTGCCTACCTACGCGTTCAAAACACACAAAAAATGATAAACTTACTTCATGACGAGTTAGAGTAAACTTTTCTCAGGTTTGTAAAAGACCTCTGCCGATAAGCAGGACAGGTAAGCAAATCGTCACTCGAGGAAGTGACTTAAAAATAAGAGTCAGATTTCACGTGGTGCCGTGAGCGGAGGCAATTTTCAAGTTCACAGAAGTGCAGTGAACCTTGAAGACTTTGTGAATATTCATGAGGTCATGATCTTACGTGTCGCACACTGCATGCACGACTTTGTCAAAAGTCGTAAACATACATATACCGAGGTGATAGTCTGACTACCATACTGAGTTTACGCTCCGCTCGCAAACTCAGCGGATCATGGGGAGCGGACGAAAGCTTACAAGGCTGAAACTCGACCACTTAGCGCCATGCAGCGAGCGCCAAGCAGATGTATCAATCGGGCATGTTTTAAATTTGTTGCCTTTTCTGTGTTTGAAGATGATATACTAGTATACATTTTTGTTTGTTCCACGTGCACCGGGATCTCAGTTTAACATAACTGTAGAAAAGTATGAAATTGAAGTATGCCTTAATAACAGTTTGAGAACCCACCAGGTGATACGCGTCTTATTATGATAATGGAAATATTCAGATAAACTATATGGTAATATAACTGTAGTTGAGGTGCTTAAAACGTCTGCTACTTATATTAAAATCTAAAATTTATTGCCATACACACCTCTATATAACATGGGCGATAGCATGCCTAGTTCGGGCACTCCTGTACATGTGTTCTTGGTCCATACCAGGGAAGAGTATAGCTTAAACATCAGCTAGAACGTAAAAGGGCAAAGGAAACATGGGGTTTCTAACGTTGGCCCTTTTAATCGCCATCGCTTCTTCTGTGGCGACAGGACGTCAGCAATACACCAAGTGTATCCGTGAGGTAAGTAAAGGTTGTCGTAGTACGGATTAATTGTTGCCATACATTGTACCATGTACAACTGTCGAGCTACAAAGTTCTTTCATTCAGTCGTTTTGAATTTTCCCAGGGGCGGCTCCTTCCGTACCCGCTGGACACGTCTGGTCGCAGCCAGGACAAGGACTCCACCGTGAACCAGGACACTTCTTGCACCGACCACCCCAGCTCCAGCAACTCCGGTGAGAGAGCCATTTTAGAATCACCTTTTCACTTCCTCTGTTACTGAACATTTTCCATTTTGTTTCAAGTTCTAAAATATGCTTTGGTGCCGTTTTGGAGTGTTGGACAGGGCTTTAAATGTGAAGAGGATACACATGTTTAAGAGAACGCCTTTCTCCAAGCCTTTCCCAATATCACACAGGGATTTGCCATAAGGTTTGGGATGCGTTTGGGATCATCTAACGTTATAACGGAAATGATCGAAAAACATTCCCTGCTATTTTTATTTCCATCAGCGATTAACTATAAACCTCTGATACCCCCATATGTTCCCGTCGGATGCATTTGTTCGTGTTAGAAGAGGGGTACACATATGGTGGTGCAGCAATGGTTTAGTGTAGAAACTTTGTATAGTCTTGGTCAGACTGTCCGTTGAGTGTGTCTGAAATGTTGATATAATTCTCGAGGTTTTGGTCTATAACACAGTCGCCTCTGCCCCGTTCTACCACGGCACGACCCCCCTGTTCCGGCGGCGTGAGGTGACGGAGGTGTGCACGCTGTGTACCGTACACCGCGTCCTGCTCTTCCGCGGGGAGGTCTTCGAGTGGGGCGTCGGCGCCGACGACTGGGAGGATAAGGTACGTTGTAATTGGATTGTTACCTTCGCCAAGAAGGTTATGTTTTCAGAGGCGTTCGTGTATGTGTGTGTGTGTGTGTGTGTGTGTGTGTAAACACGATAACTTGAGAAGGCTTAAATGGACTGACTTGATATTTGGTAGTTGGGTAGGTCTTGATGAGACCTCAAAATGATTAGATTTTGGGCCCCCTGGCGGCTTGTCATGGTACTGCAGCAGAACTTCCGGTTTTGATATCTCATGATACAGACAAGCTAGGGTAATCAAATTTGGATGGTAGATAGCTCTTGTGCTGCGAATAAAGTGACATGAGTTTGAGCCCCCTAGTTGCTTGCTCTAGAACTGCAGGGGGGTTTAAAGGACAAATGTTTAAAAGAGGATAACTCAAGAACCGATTGATGGATCATCGTGAATTTTGGTATGTAGGTAGCTTAAGTGATGCTTGACATAATGAGATTACAATTATGCAAATATGAATGTAATTTGCATAATTAATGAGGAAATTCTCTAAATCAGCTGCATTCCATTATTGGAAGTCCAAGCTTGTAACATATGTTATTAAGAACGAGAGAAACACAGGCAGATATCGATTATGCAAATGAAGACTTAATTTGCATAATTAATGAGAAAATGTTATAATTGCATGGTGGTAACTGCCTTGAATTTCATACTTGGGGTGTTTGAAAGTTAAGTGAAGGTGAGCATAATTAAACATAACTTACTCAAATAAGGACCACATTTGCATAATTTATGAGGAAATGCTATGATGGCATTCTTTGTTAAGATAAGACTGTCTTTTGGTGTAGAATATGATCAACAGATATAATTCATGCAATTGAGGATCCTATTTGCATAATGAGGGGGATTAATATATAATTTCTTATTCATAAAGGCTAACTTCATTTGGCGAAGGTATGAGATCGTGGAACTCTAGTTGAGAATTTTTTTGCGGGAATCACTTGAACAGAAATGGGATTCAAATATACAAATATGAACAGCTCAAATACGTGTTACAGTATTCTTAACAAAATCTGGTGATTCTAGCTCTTCCTAGATCTCTCTCTAGATCCTCTCACTCCATCTCTTGTATCGATAAACCCCGGGCCCATGCTTGAAACGGTTGGCTATTCGTTCACGTTCGGATCGGAAGAGTACCAATTCACAAAAATGTTGCCGTCCTATGTTGTCAAATTGCCCTGTCACCGGCACATGACCGATCACACGCAACTAGTCAACTAACGAGAGCTTTTGACGTCAACAAAGTCGTAACTCTTTCTTATGATGGGTACTTCAGCTGGTTGGTAATATCCTGTTGTACCTTTCGTATCGTGTATAATCTACTGCTGTAGTTTATAATGTGTCCGACAGGTGGCGTGGGAAGGCTACCGCTGTCCGTCCGACTGCCAGATCCTTTGGGCGAATTATGCGGCCGGTTACAGCACTTGTACCCGAGAACAGGTATGAAAGGTTTAAAGATGCGTCGAAACTTTTCCATGCTTCTCAGCTTTTTTTGCGGTTATGAAAAATGGACATGATTGTTAAATCTACGATACCATTGTATCAAATTGCATTGTATGATCTCTAAATGCATTTTAAGCGCTAACTTTTCCAGTTTATCTTCTGTTCTTTGTTTCATTGTACTTTCTTGTTTATTTTATTTTCTAGGCTGAGCAGTTCACGCGGGATTTCAAGGCTCGCTACGGCACCTACAACCTGTTTACCAACAACTGTCATCATTTCGTCAACCGCCTGATGAACTACCTGGACTCGGGCTGCACCAGAATCCCGTGGTGATTGCCATGGCAACGTCGGACGTCTTCGGCATTCTCCGGCAAGTCGTCGGAATGACGTCATCGCTACAGGTGTCATCGTCAGAGAGACGAAATCATAATTCCAAGCATCATTTTGAGCAGGCGATGTGAATAAATAAATGATGTATCAATATTACAAAGTGCACTTATTTCTTGTTGTATAATTTTCTTGTAGTAAAGCAACGTGAAAGGTCCTTGATATGATATAACGGATTAAAACGAGCAGTGAGGTGGTAGTTTGGCAACTTTGGCTTCAATTTCAAGTTCAGTTTGATCTCCATATCGTCATTTGATAGCTTTAATTAAGTGAGATGCATAGCACATATAATACACAGTATACAGTACATAATTACTATAAGAACTATATTTAAAGCTCCTTGATTGTGGGTGACCATCACTGTACTATGGTAAACATCACATAGCGCTGCCTCTACAAATATTTGCAAAATGAATACCATTTTACGATACAAATCATCTCACTTCCTAAAAGTTTTGTGATAGGAAATGTTTTTTTTAGTCCACAAAGTTACTTACTACTTAGTTGAAAAAAACACCCCTGCGATTGTAACAATAGACCAGTCCTCTTGAGAGGAAGTGCGTCAGCACTTATTAGCGTCACGTGACCGTAATTTCCGGTTTGCGCTACTTGGAAGCGGTGCTTCGAAACTAGCGTCTGGGACAAGGTGTTTTCGTCCCTAAATTTCTCCGATTTGCCTGCCAGTTTGCACCACAAACATGGCAAAGGACAACGAGGGAGAGGAGAAGAAGTACGGTAAGTCGAGCTGCATGTTTTCCGACGGAAAAGGAGGGTAAAGATGGCGGAAACGTAGGGAGAGCGCGCGATCATACGGGTGTCAAGACTCAAGTGTTTGTCGGGCGTCCTTTTCCAAGTAAGGCGCCGACTAATTTATGTACAGCGCAATGGAGCATGTAGATCTTTGTAACGGGACTTGCGATCGTAGAATTCCCTGCTGTCTACAACCCGTCATCTTGTGCAGAATTTCTTCACCGTGTCGGAAAAGTCCGTTAATGAGAATATGATGAAGTGTGACTTGTTTGCAGTGCCTTTCTCGGCCCACCCATAATTTGTCCGTCACTCACCTGTTGTTGTTTCCGCGTCAAGGTGTGCCAGGCGCTCTACGTGCGTCGTGACAGGTGTGCAGAACAGGTTGACGCTGGTTTCACATCCTGTTTTACACCTTCTTACACGGCGTTAATGCCGTGTGAGGTATCATAAATTACATTTGGAGAATATACGGCACATTTTGACGCCAATATCTTGAGAAAATTTCATTTTCTTGGAGGTATTATGTTTATAAGTATGACGTATGCGTGGACACATGTCTACTTCCTTGTTGACAGGAATAGGGTGACGCCCTGTTCCAATGGAAAAAGTCTATTTACACTCCTTGAAACAATTAGAAATGTAAACTGATATGTGGATGTACAGTGTACACTGATATACATCCTGGCAGCTATCTGATCTGAAAACAGAATTTTTTTATGAATATAGATTACCATATCGAGAACTAGTGATAATGTTCCAATTTGCAGCTAAGAGATAAAATTTAAAGCAGACGCCTAAGAATAACATGTAAGGGTTAGAACTCATACTGAGTCATAGCATGCCCTGCTGGTTTCGAAGTTTATGGTTCGGAAGAGAATTGCGTTTAATGAACTGTAACTGTAACACATGTTAGAGTAACGTGTGGGCAAAAATTTGAAGGTACGAAAACTGTATACATACACAAGCAAACTGTGTACATCACATTTTTCCTGCATGTAAATAATAATTAGAACTAAATATAAGGTGATGTCACTATAGTACATGTATTCTAAATGTGTCTTGAATGAGTCATGATTCTGTGGTTGACTTGTCGATGAATCAACCATAATTATGAGACCTAGAGTAAAACTACATGTACATTTTATAGGTTCTAACAGTACCATTGGACTTTTCCAAAGAAATGAAGTTGAATCCTTTCAAATGTGAGATAAAAAATTTAACTAGTGTTTAAAAAAATAAAATTACTAGCATCATGTTCATCTGTATTCAGAGTCAGACTGTAAACTTCTGATTGTATGCTGGAGATAGTGGCATTTATATAACCTACCTGGTAGTCTGGATACAGTCACAGGAGATTTAAGTCTGCTTTTCTGTCCAACATACAGACATTATATAGTACAAATGGTAAGGTTGCAATCAGACTAATCAGAAACTAATTCTGATTATAATCTAGCATTGGTGCAAGCTGTTCCTAACAATAAAATATATCTTGTACACAGGTCAACACAATACTGTACAGAGTATTAGGCCTACATCTTTCCTGATGACTGGCATTTGATCTTGTAGCAAGAAAATGAAATTACAGTCCCCGGTGATATCATTAGCCACTTGTTGTTGCACTCCTAGGGAACCACAATGAGAAAGCAGGACTAAAAGGTCCTGTAATTATCTAAACAATCATTGACAGGTCCCAAAACAGTGTGGATTTTATCTTGTTTTGTTAGTAATAGTCTGGAACCTAGACTGGTGGACAAATAGTACTAATTTGCCTTGAAGCTATGTAACCATGGTAGAGCGAGCAGTCAAACAAACCGTGTTGAAAGATAATTCTATATGATCTATCGATTGGTCATTGGTACATTTTGGAATGTCAAGTGCACGTTAGGTGCACAAAAAATACCTGCACAACTCCATTTGTACTTCTATATAATGCAGGTGGTATTGTAGATAATGGGTAAGATACAGGTGACATCAAAAATTCAAATGTAGCCAGATCACATTCAGTAGTTTTATTGCTATTTTAGTTGTTGAAACTATTATAGACTTGCAGTTGTGTAAACATACACCCACTGTACCAGTATGTGCCTTGCAATCATCAACAAGATTTGTTTGTTTAAAAACATTTTTATCTGCTAAAAGGTCTCCGAACAGAGGAATTTTCTCTTTTGTCTTTAGTACATGTACTATGATTTTGTCTTTAGTATTATTAGCATTTATTAAGTAGCTTTGGCAGCTTAAGTTATAGTAGTGTAATTTTATGACATGATAGCATGAACACTACTGTCACTTTGTGTAAATATACCTGTCCACAATGATACCCAGGAGACTTGTTTGATACTCTAGCCGCGACTTCCTTTATTTTTTGGTCATGATTCGTAGCAAAGGAAAGAAGGGAGTCAACGTGTGTGCGGTGCCCCTATGTGCTTGGCGTGCATTGAACGGGGCTGAATAAACCATGAAACCCGATCTTGTGGGACAAAAGATGCTGCCGTCACTGGACATGGAGATGGCGATCTATTTACGAAAACAAAGGCGGGGTTGCCCTAGTCGGCTCCTTTGTCCCAGGGCATTATTGTGACGACTATTTTGGTTACCGTATTTAGGGAGTGCCACAGGGGTCGTCACACCATTCCTCATGCACAGGCAGGGCCTGATGCACAGGTGTGAGAGATAGGGAAATACACAAAAATGCTAACCTTGCTGTTAAGGATGCATATTTTCTACAGAACTATGGATAAATGTTAATGGCAAGAAGATGTACACTTGAGTGAGTCATTGATCGTATGCATAACTAACATGTTTAATCAAATCAGATATTCCTATGGCTACTACAAACACCTGACTGAACACCTTTTCATATTACAAACACCATAAGGGTTTGAGAATTGACTTCTCTTTATGATAATGGTGTTTGGTAAATGTGTTGTGTTAACAGAAACAACAGTCTGACTATAGAAAAATTAAAGGGCAAGGTCACAAGTCCTGTTGACATCTGGTGACCAGACAGTTTCAATTTTCTCTGCCCTTCCTTAATGGTGTTTTGACATGGTTGCCTGACAACATATTAATAATTCAGCAGAAGAAAGACCTCTCTGACGCAGCTACAGAATCATTTGTTACTGTCTTGGAAAATGGTCCAGACTTTCAAACTTCCAAAAAGAGAAAGATGTCTTACTTTACAGACAGAATATTTTTCTGTAACATTGCCACAGTTTATATCACATACCAGAAATGCATGTTGTTGAGTGCAAAATAAAAACTCATAAAATACACAAGATCTCGTCTTTAGCAGTCTGAGAACCTTGAATACGACTAAGAGAGAAAAATGTATTCATTATTGAAGACTGAGTATTGATTGGTATATTGTCATTTACATCTTGTCCAGCTTTCTAATAAGTGTGACAGTAATTTGTATAAAATATCTGGAAAACTGGTTATGATGAACCTATAGCTGGCAGGCTTTCCAGTTCAGACAATTTTACTCCACATAAAAAAGAATATCTCATGAGACATTACATCCCAAGGAGGTGTACACATTGATTTAAATAGTGTTGGCATTTTAACATGGTAAAAGGATGTAGAATACAATAGGCAGCAAACACTGCAATGTCACCTTTAATACACGACTCAACTTAGTTAAAGGAACCATTTCAAACAGGTGTGTTTGTTTTGAAGTTCATCCTTGTGCGCTCTTGTGTGGAGAGGAGTGTACTTATGTCAGATCTTCTTTTGTTGCAGGTGAACCAGCAAAGTTTGATCCTGAGTTCAAAGGTCCCATTGACAACAGGTGAGTCAACAGTATAGGTTAAGAAGAGCTACAGCAACAAGCTAGGAAAACATCAACATTTACTTAGAGGTTTATACACATTTACATGTTACAAGCAGATGTAGCTTGAGTTAAATATATACGTGTACATTTCACTTGAAAATTTTACAGGGGAATCTAATGATGAAACTATAGAACTTAAAATCATGAAATGCTGGCATGGTTGCAAGTCCTTGCAAACGTAAAATCAACGCATTTACATGTATAACTATAAGTGTGAAGGGAAATTACTAGGGAGAGATGAAAATTACCATATGGGACCTCCCCTTTACTTTCCTTTGCTACACTGTAGCCAGTTAATATTTCTGAAATGTTCTTTCCATGTAGCAATGACAACTCTTTTTTTTTAATGTCCTTGCTCTTTCTTAGCATCGACCTGAAGATTTAATGTCATCAGGTAAAACATTAAGATTAACTCAAAAGTTTCCATCTGTACTGTGTAAACTTCTATAACCTGGATTGTGAGACCCTTGCTCTCTACATGTGATCGCCAACATCTGTCCATTACTACTGGAATCGACCCGCTCTCACTTAATATTGGAAGTCAGAGCGCTAACATGTGGTTAGACTATTAGATTAAGTAGTCATTTGGGACCACATCTAGTGCATTTTTGTTATCTTTTTTAGGTCAATTGTTGCCAGTTGCCAAACAGATAGTGCAACTACTGTAAATTGTATAATAACTAAGTTATACATGTAGGTAATATTATCATGGATTATTAATAATATTATAGGAAATCTTTGTACTGTACTCTACATGTACTAATACTAGTTCCAAGGATTACACGCTCAGTCAGTGTTTTTTTTAGTTTGTTGGTGTAAATGTCTTTCATAGCAGGGCCCTGTTTCATAGAATCAAGTCAGTATGGCCTTTAGTCAGATGAGGTCAGGTGTGATACATGTTTTAAAGATAGTGACTGACAGCTTTGAAGTTTGATTAGTTGCCAACAGCAATATGTATTGTGTAGTCTCATCTGGAATGTCTTGATATAAATAACCTGACTAGCCTTGGGCTGTTACACAGTATAACGATTAATGAGAAAGTATTTTCTCATAGGACCATTCAGTTTATTTTGGTGAAAAACGTTCAGAATTGGTTTTGAAAATGAAAACGTAACTTTGAGCTTTGAACAATTGTTCTTTTTTTTTTGTACCAAATGTATTTTTAAAAAGCATGGCACGATAATGGTTGGAATATAATAAACTTTGAGGATAATAACTGTACTAATTTTTAGTATTTTAAAAAGCTTGGCACTATATGGTGGGGATACAAATGTTTTCATTTTGTTCTCCCATATGTTCAGATGTTCTGAAATATTAACATTAGAATACATGTGTACATCACCAATCTCAATGTGCAAGTCTGACATTTGGTACAGTCGTGACACGCTAGACAGTTTAACATGCTTTCGAGCTGAGTCAGTTGCTATATGGAGAAAACAGTCAGGCCCTCAGACTAATCAAGAAATACCACAATGCTAAGCATGTGCAGACATGATTTGATCCATATATACAAGAGCCTTTCTTGTTTATGTTACAGCACAAGTCACAGAGAAAAAGATTAAACGAACGAAAACATTATATACAAAAACTCGTGCATCAGAATCCACAGTGAATTTAGTAATAATTGCCATAACAATCAATGGCTTAAGATAAGTTTACATTTGGTTTAGTCAATAAAGATACCGGTATGAGAGCATAAATTATGTATGGTACCAAAATAGAACACAAAGCGTGCCTTTGACATGTACAACACGAAAGCTCATATCTCCTACAGGAGAAAAATGAGTAGTGATTCCATGACAATGTCACAACTTTATAAAAGACTAAAACAGATGGAAAGAATTTTTGATATTGACATAACTGTATATTATGTGTAACACACTCAATTAAAAGTTAAAAGCATAAAGTAATACTTTGTTGCATACTGACAGGGTTTGTTTGTTTGTTTGTTTCAGGAGCTGTACAGATATCCTCTGCTGTCTCCTGTTCATTGTTTTCATTGCTGGGTTCCTGGCTGTCGGCATCCTAGGTAAGATGAAAAGGACATGTTTCTGTTCATTTGGCATGTTATTTTTGATCTTTATGTACAGAAAAATATTCTGATAACTGGCCACATATAAAATTTAGATGTCTCTATTGTGATATTATGATTGATAGCTCAAAGGTATGTGAAATTTTAGTATGTGGCTAATTATAGTTATACTGCAGAGTGTTTGTATACAAATTTTAGTCCAAATCAAGTAAGTTGCTTTAAGCTCTGTGAAAATTATTGTCTCTAATGTGAGGTACTAGTATTCTAACTGGTTGTGTTTTATGTTATTCAGCATGGGTGCATGGAGATCCCAAACTGCTGCTGTACCCTACCGACTCCCAGGGTAACCTCTGTGGCAATGGAGCCTATGCGTAAGCACTGATTGTGTTGACTTATCCCCAATAGCAACAGATAATCACGTCTTGCACAGATGAAAGTACAAAATTCTTTCCCTCTAATGATGTTCTTTGTATATGTGAAGCTTTAATGCAATTGCAGAAACGGGTGCAATCAATAAATGCTTCACAGACTGGAGTGCCTATTCAATTTGTATCTATAGAATGTCATGAAAAAGCTTTATTACCATTAACTTCAGGACAGTGATTCCTGTTTTAATTCATGCGTATAGCATAGACGTACTGTACTAATTTGCATATAGACTCTAGATGGTTCAAAACAATCATGTAACAGTAAACTCTTTTTAAAAGGAAGACTGGTCATGGACATAGTTAAAAAGCAAGAAGACTATATCAATGAAATTATATGAAAACCTGAAGCATAATGCAGCTTGTACAAAAATCCATAGGATGAACAGAAGATACATTTGGTGTTGAATGTATGTGCATAAGTAACATAATTCTTTTATGTCTTTCCACCATAGGAACAAACCATTCCTGCACTTCTTCAACCTGCTGGACTGTGCAAGTTTTGCCAGTGTGCTGAATGGCTGCCCTACACCACAGGTAAAGCTGGGCATCCAAAAAAAACCTTGTGGTCAAATTTAAAACCATTTCCACTTCAAAATCACCGGTATCATGAGCTAATCTTGCCCAAGTGTCAAGTATGTGTCAAGGATCTTGGCCAAGAAACATTTCCTGATTGCAAACTTTGTCTCACAAAGAACAGTGGTGTGTCATGACCCACAAATAATGAACACTGTGGCGTTCTCTCTATATGTACAATGTACAACTCTTGTGCTGTAGGTTTGTGTGGAGTCATGTCCTACAGAGTACTGGGCGTTTGCCGTCGAGCTGTTAAAGATGACAGCGGGCCAGGAACCTGACTGGTCCAAATTCATCTGCACCCCTGACGTCAATATCACTGGCTCGGTAAGTGTGAATAAGCCTTGTGATCTCTAACCCTGTCTCTTGTCACACATCCTATAGGTATGTGTGGAGACTTGTCCCACAGAGTACTGGGCATACGCCATAGAGACAACCAAGATGAACCTGGGACAGGAACCAGACTGGTCCAAATTTATCTGCGTAGAAGGCGTGAATGTTGGCAGTGGGGCCGGGTTGGTAAGTCCAGAAGAACTAACTAACATCATTGTTTTTTTTGTTTTTGCTTAGTAGTAGTGGTGTCTGGTGGATGCTGCCTACATGTTATATCACCCCCACCTCCACGGCTCTCAGCATTTAGTTTACAGCACGTCTGCTATTAACTGTTCTTTTCGTTTTGACATTTTGTTTTCACCATGCTTCTATCACAGCTTCATGTTAGATATTTATTTGTCTTGTTGTTCATGTGCACAAGCTAGATAGAATTGCAATGTCCTTGTTTTGTTTGCTAATTTTACTTTTGTTACAGTGTTTTTTGTGTCTTACTAAACACTGTAATGTGTTTGGAAATACATGTATGTGTCTAGTATAGAGTGCATGTCATATCATATGTTGTTTTATGTACATGTGCATTTATCATGCTAACATACACACACATCCCCAAAGTTTATACATAAATCAGCTTATATTTAAGAAGCATTTTTTGTGAAATTAGTGTGGATACTGTACAGCAAGGAGAAAAGAAAATCAATGTAAATTGCCAGGATATTTCAAGTTCTATCATGCCCCTTTGTTGTTTAAATAATCTGCATATTTTTCTTCCCCTTTCAACTTACAGACTGCTGCCCAAATTGAGCAGTATGTGAAGGATGAAAAGTGTGCAGCCTACACTGTATCAAGCAAGGCCTGTAAGTATTATAACTTATAGTGAAATCTTGTCAATTGAGTTTCATATAAAAGTATGCTGAGAGCCTGTCGTTGACTAAAACAGCAAAAAATGTTTGCTACAGAATCTATTCAAAACATGAGAGGTAGTTTGATTTCTACTGGGTTTCTTCTTATTTGCACAGAGAAGTTTCCAGTGTTGCAGGATATTTGCTGGAATTAACATGAACATATGAAGGATTGTGCAATAAAGTTCCTATATTAAAGAATTGAGACAGGAAATCATCTGTAAGTGGTTCATATGAACAATGACATCTAAATGTAATTAAATGTAATGAAAGAAAAATAATATCTTTTGTTTCCAATTGAAAGTAAACATTGTCAAGTGTGTATCTTTTTTCCTATATATTATACATGTACATGTAGGTGATATATAGTAGAGGGGATTCATTCCTCAAGCTACCGACATCTTGCACACGCAGTCGTCCCTCAGTAAGTAATTCATGTACATGTAGGTGATAAATATAAAAAGATTATTGATACTTGGCTGAAAGTTGACCCCTGCTGTTTGCGTAGACGGTGGACGCTGCATCCCGTCCCTGGTGGAGACTATTGGTGAGACTCTGCTGGATACTGGTGCTAGTGCTGGTAACGTCGCTCTGACGGACAGCTCTGGGAACAACATCACCGCTGGGCAGATTTCAGCTGGAACAGCGTAAGTACAGTTGTTATTCACTTTAAAATTTTTAATGTTTGTTTCCCTTTTCTTTTGACTCCTCTTGCTGTGGAAAGTTATACAGTCATGTGTGTGTATGTAGTGATTGAAAGAATGTTTGTGTAGATGTTACATTCTGACATCATGAATTTGGTACATATATTACAGTGTAAATGTTGAAAGTATCAGATGTATACATGTCGACATTGTACAGTATTGTAAAGAAACTTTCTTAACAATTTATTTTCTTTTATTCACAGGGCGTTGGCTCTGGTCCTCAGTGCACAGGAAGTTGTCCAAGAGGTTTGTTACAACTTTTTGTACTCTGCTATGCAAGTAATATTATTTGAGTTGCATGTGAAATGTTATCTTTGTTCTAACTTGGTGTACACTTTCTAGAGTTTGAAAGTAGCCAACTTAACAAGAGAAATGGCATTCAGTCTTTGTTGTATATGCGTCATGCATACATGTAGTTTTATTGTCCTCAAGTTAAAGATGACTTGTGTACATTTCAGATATTCACAGATATGGTGGCCTCATGGTACCTCATCCTTGGGTAAGTTACATCTTTAGAACATTTAGTTTCTTAACTACCTACGTATATAATAGTGTAAGAGAACCACAATAGCAAAATACTTAAATTCAGGACAGTATATTGCACTATTGGGAGAACCTTGTATTAGGAATCTCTGAGCTGTAAAAGAATTGTTGACAGTGTTTACATTTCTGCCACTCTAATTATTGCTATTTCAAATTCCAGTGGACTGGGTGCCTCAATGGTTGTCTCCTTCATCTACATCGTCATCATGCGGTAAGAACAGTCACATTATTTTGTACTTAGTATGGTCTAGTAACAGTTATCGTATGTTCAGGGGAAGAGTGGTACTTGATACAATGTAATTGATATTCAACCTGGTCCATGCAAATCCATAGGTAAATAAGTGAAGCTTCAAACATACTTTCTTGATTTCAGTCAGTACATGTATGTAACTGTGACGCTATGAATATAGGGTCACATTTGCTACAGACTTAAGAAACAAATATGTGTAGTAAGAAGAACAGCCTTCTTCCTGTGTGTTACATAGGCCTGTAGAAATACTTAATTACAATTATGATGTCTTATTCCTTTGTTTCACAGTTGGATTGCTGGAGTCATGGTGTGGTTCACCATCTTTGCTGTGATTGTTCTGAACATCTTTGGTAAGCACTCTTTTTTGTCAGTCAGAACTTTGTGTCTTATTTGCTGAATTCTTTGTATTTCTTTAGGGATCTATTCAGTATGAAAAACACATCAAGGTACTAGTGTGAACTCATTTTTGATGACTTGATTATTTCTTTATATAAATAGGGATCTACTACTGCTACACCCAGTACGTGGAACTGGAGAATGTGCAAGGCTCAGACTTGTCCATCTCTGAAGTGGGCTTCACCACCAACATCAGCACCTACACAAAACTGCGCGACACATGGCTGGGCATTGGTAAGAACAATTCCACATTTAAGTGGAGAATTTCCAGTAACTGGACCATAAATACCAGGGTTAGAAGTTTGACAAAGATGTACATTTTGTAGTCTGTGAAAAGCTCAGTTACATATCAAAGGCGAAAGATGGATGTACAATGTAACTGCTGAAGACCATTGAATTTGGTAGTGAATGTCTATGTATAACTCTGGACTCACAGTATAATTTTATAAGCTAGTGGCTGCTGCTCTTCATGCAAATTGCAAAAAAAGCCAACATGCTACTGAAAGTTTGCACACATTCACAATGATTGTCTGATGGTATTACATTTGTAGGATAGCATGAAAGCTCATTAAATTGTGTAGATATATTCCATGGTGAAGTTTGATTCTTGTTCAACACGAGTAAAAGTACCTTACTCTTACATCAACTTTTTATTGAAGTCTACACACATTCACAATGACGAAGGTATTGTTTTGTTTTGTTCATGTTCCTCTACATCTAACAACATGCTGCCATTTTGTCCCGTCTCCAGGCATCGCCCTGTCAGTCATCCTGCTCATTATCCTGCTCATCCTCATCTTCCTCAGGAACCGCATCCGCATCGCCATCGCACTCATCAAGGAGTCCAGCAGGTGGGACTGGCTATTAGGCTGGCTTTGAACAACAGTTCTTGTTGTTGTTCAATGTTGACAATATGAACCATAACATGCTTTTTGATGATATTGTTTTTAATGTGGCCATTTAATCACAGTTTTGTTTGGTTTGCATAACATCAAGACTAGATTGGGTTTTAAACCCAATCTAGTCTTTAGTCTAAAGACAGTATCACAAGTGATGTGTTAGAGTTAGTGTCATAATTACAGTACAGTTGATGCCATTATAGGCCTGCACCCATGCTGCATTCTTAGTAAGCATTTCCTTAAAACCAGTAAAAACTCTGTCCTTTTTTCAAGGAAGATTCCGATTTTGGTAGAGGTTCCTGTCCAAAATAAAATGAAAACATTTCAGATGCATCCACCAGTGCCAACGAATAATATGATTACAGCCTTTCAGTAGCATTTTATCCAACAGTTTTCAGGTCTGTTAATTTGATACCTGATGTATCTAGACAGTGTAATAAATGTATTTGATTTAATCTTGTGTTCCAGGGCTGTTTCCAACATCATGTCCACCCTGCTGTTCCCCCTGATTCCCTGGATCCTGCAGCTCATCCTGTTTGCCTACTGGGGAGCCGTGGCTCTGTATCCTTGCCAGACTTGTCTGTAATGACTGATGCATGTTTATTCATAGGAAAAAGTGGTATTTTGGAAGCAACAAAACGACTACTGACAATGTAGATTTGCCATACTCTGGCGAGTGGCTGTCAAAATTGAACTGTTGGAGTTGTAAATTTCCTTTCTATTTTGCTGGTACATGTACTTGATAGGAGAGGAATGGACATTTTTGTTTTAAGTTTGCAATTGAAACAATTCTGTAATACAGTTGCGGTTACAATAGTAATACAATGTCATTACATATATACACGTACATGTATTCACCGTATCATGATTTGCAACTGAGAGGTCACTGCAAAAGCCACAAAAATAAAACCGCTACAAACATTTCGAGATCTACAGTAGTGCAAGGGACAGCAAATCGTGTTTGCTAAGGGGTCTGATCAGTTTAAAAAGAACTGTTAAGAATAGTTCACTGTGCCGTGTTTGTCCCTTGACCACTGGATAGCTTCCTGGCATCCTCAGGTCAGGCCCAGTTTGAAGTCCAGGACTACAACACCACCAACTCCTCTACTCCCAGCAACTTGACTGGGCAGTCCTGCACTCCTTCTGTAAGTACAGACGGAAAAACCTCCTGCTAAAGCTTGCTTCTCACATATGTACAGATAAGTAGTGGACAATTCTTTTCTGGGTTCAATATCTAAAGTATCAGTGTATTTTTGATAACTTAAAGTTAACACTGGTGTGGTTATGAGAAATTTGAAGATTGTGTTTTTGACTTTGATGTCATCATTTTTATTGCTTGATTCACTTTCTTTATCTTTCTTGATTGAAGTTATTCTTTACCTTGGATGATGCTGATGTGCATACATTTTCATACTTGATATTCCACAGACTTTTGACACCAGTGCTGTCTCCAGCAGTGTCCAGTGTGCATTTGTCAAGTATGGAGCCACCAGCCTGTAAGTGAATCTTATAGTTTCCTTGTCAATGATATTATGTTGATCAGAAAAATTATACTGTAGTAAAAATGAATGGTTTATACATTAAAAAACTGGTGAAAAGGGTTTTCATGTTCCAAGTAATCTATTAGATTTGTTTCCACAACGTAACATACATTGTAAGAAAACATTGCCTCAGAGAAACATAACTTTAAACAGGAACTACACACTGTACACGTACATTTTAGGTATAGGGTACATGTATGTTAGGCATTTATATATAAAAGAATGCCCAGTTGGTTTGACTGTTTAACTGTACTCTAAAGACCAATTTCACTTCTACATGTAGGTTTTTGAAAAGTACATTGTACTACAGTAACAGTGACTGTACTTGTATGTTTTCCCTTAAGGTATTGAATACAATGCTGTTTTCTTTTCCTGCCCCAGGTACTACCAGAACCTGTTCTACCTGCAGATCTTCAACCTGTTTGGTCTGTTCTGGGTGATGAACTTCATCGTGGCGCTGGGACAGTGCACGCTGGCCGGGGCCTTCGCCTCCTACTACTGGGCCTTCACCAAGCCCAAGGACATCCCCACCTTCCCTCTCACCGCATCCTTTGGACGATCCCTCAGGTGGGTTCTCATGTTCCTTCTTCTATTGGCTACATGGAACAGGTACATGGAACAGGTACATGGAACAGGTACATGGAACAGGTACATGGAACAGGTACACCATGTACATGGAACAGATACATGGAACAGGTACATGGAACAGGTACACCATGTACATGGAACAGATACATGGAACAGGTACATGGAACAGGTACACCATGTACATGGAACAGGTACATGGAACAGGTACATGGAACAGGTACACCATGTACATGGAACAGATACATGGAACAGGTACATGGAACAGGTACACCATGTACATGGAACAGGTACATGGAACAGGCATATGGAACAGGCATGTTGTCAGTCTGATTTACTACTTGTGGCAACATATCTTTGCAGGTAATTTCCAAGAGGATCCTTTGGTGGCAACACAATATCCATTGGCCAGAGAAGTGTCCTTCAGTGGCTAATGAACACTCCTCTGGCCAATGGATAAAGTCTTGCCACCGTAGGATCTGACCCCTGTAACAGGGGCAACAGCAGCAAAATAATTAAATCCTGGATAGTGAGTGAGTGAGTGAGTAACGTACAATGTCCCTTGCAGGTACCATCTGGGTTCTCTGGCGTTTGGTTCCTTCATCATCGCGGTTGTGCAGATCATCCGTGTCATGCTGGAGTACATCGATCACAAGCTCAAGGACAGCGAGAACAGAGCAGCCAAGTTCCTCCTCAAGTATGCTGTGCATTTCACTCATATTCATGTCTTTGAGACAGTTCTTAAGTGTAGAAAAGTTGGCTCCCATTTAACAGAAACTGACTCAAAAATACTCTCAAAGATATACCAGATACATGTACAATAAGTCATTCAAACTGTTTGATATGGGCCGTGTCTGTGAGCATTTTCCACTTTTGTTTTTTTTAATATCATTGGATCTGATTTTTCTTTAGGTGTCTGAAGTGCTGTTTCTGGTGCCTGGAAAAACTGCTGAAGTTCCTGAACAAGAATGCCTACATCATGGTACGTCAGAGTCATTCTGTTGTCATGGTGGGCTTAGAATAAAAATATTTCACTCTTCATTGACAACAATTAGTTGTAGAATTTTGATGCAAACCTTTGTTGAATCCTCATCATGTTTTTTCCACAGATTGCAATCTATGGCAAGAACTTCTGCGTGTCGGCTAAGAAAGCCTTCTTCCTCATCATGAGGAACATCCTGAGGTAGGTGGGGCTTAGTTTGGGGAAGGGTGATCTGGGGGGCTGTGATGAAAGCTTGTTATAGATCATTCATTGATGTAAAAAAATTATTGTTTTGAGTAAGTCTGGAGTTAAATGGTAATAGAAGTACCATGGACAATGAGAATTTGGTAGATGACCTCAGAAGCTTATGGTAGACTGATATCCCAATAGCTACATTATTTGAATTATACATTGTAATGTAAATTATACGATGTAATTATTATTATTATTTTGTTCCAGTTTACTGCACAGTGTTATCTAATTTGAAACAAAAACATTAACATCTTTAATCACCATCTGAAAAATTATTACGAATGCATTATTGTAAGTGCATATTTAGTATAGTCAGATGTCATTGCTTGATGTCAGGATTCATTCATGTCATGATTGATTGATGTTATGATTGATTGATTGATGTCATGCACTGTTATTGGTAAAGACATTCCAATGTTGAAAATGTTTATGTTCATTGCTATACTGTTGTACTGTGTGATGATCCTTGATTGTGCTGACATCATGCCACCTCCATGTCCTGATGATGTCCTGCCTGTCTCACCTCTCCACCAGGGTTGCTGCCGTGACCAGCGTCACAAACTTCCTCTTCTTGCTCTCCAAACTGGTGGTGACTGGAGCCATCGGTCAGTAGGCCCGCCTGGGCGAGGCATAGCTACAACCCCCACTGTAGCCTCCACTCGAACTCACCTTATACCTCATCTATAAACCCAATCACACCCTCCATATCATCCAACTACAACATTGTGCCACACTCAAACATGTAACATGCCCTCTCACCTACAAGCTGATTCATGTATTTTACACCTTGTCCTGCACCCCACAAACTACACGCTTTGCTTCCTCACTCAGTGGTTGGCATGTCCGTAACCCAACGTTCTTACCCACAGAAGGTGTCTAACCCTGCCGCAGTGGTGGGTGGCTGAACAGGAATGGCACTCATGCACCTGGTGTCTTTCTCTCTACTGCTGGAACAGTTACTGTGCACTTGATAGATGTTGTTAGCCACTCCACAAGTCTTTCCTGTATGCATATTTTTATGTGGTAAACGTACCACAGAATGCAATTCTTGGTCAAAAATTCATGAGCAACTTGAAGAAGCAGATTTTGTTCTTCGAGGATGTTTTAGAAGAGGTGTGGCTAGCAAAAACTGTCAGCAAGTGGCATACTGTCCCAGTGAAGCAGGAAAGAAGCATGTAGCACGCTAACCCTCCCTGTTCTAACCCCAGGGTGGCTGCTGTTAACAGTGTCACAGTTTTCCTTATGTTCCTGGGCAAGCTGGTGGTCACTGGGATTGTTGGTTCGTAGTAACACAGGGCTGTGCCTGTTACTAATGGCCAGTCACTGCTCTGTCACGTGTGCTTGCACTGTTTGCTGTGGCGAAGGTTTCTTCTCACTCACTCACTCACTCACTAAATAACATATGCTCCTAACCTTTCCTCAGAAATAGGACACTCAATTTTACATCCTAGACAAGATTGTTGCTTTCTTTCATAAAAGTTTTTAAAAAATATTTTTTTTATTATTATGATCCCACCTAGGTTTTGAATCATTGGCAGCAATCAACTTTAGCTCAAAGATTTAGAAATTCAAATTTTATCAAATTCAACTGCAGAAGTGTTTTAAGATTGATAGCAGAAATTTTGTACATGCACCTAAAGTGAATGTATGAGAGCTAAAATGTCCTTGTCTTGTGATAAAGTGTGTCCCTTTTCCTGAGTCTCACGTGTGGGTTTGCAGTGAAGTTCACCCTGTCTGTAGTTCTGTGCATGCTATGGTGTGCTGTGGTATGGTGTGGTGTATGTAATGTAATATGCTTGCAGCAAAGGTGGCTATAGTATGTAAAATGACTGCCTTCATGCTGTTACTGGGCTGGTAGTTGTTGGTCTGCTTGGTAAGACTTCCACTAACATGCTAGAGCTCAAAACTGTTACTTATTTTAACTGTCTTTCTAGTATCATTCTCTTCTGTCCCTGTAGTTGCATTTTGTAGTTGCAAGTAACAAGGAAGCAAAGTAAAGATTGAGATCCTATCAAAAGTCTCAAAGACAGGGAGAAAGTACCAGTTTGCTTTGGAGGAAATTTTTGATGAATGGAATTTAGTAATGGCCTTGCTAATTGTTACTTTTATTGTAACACTAACAGCAAACATTCACAAACATAATACCCAATGTACATCATTCATATCGACAACAACCATCACATGTAACAATTTCACATTATGTACACTGTAAAAGTCATAAGTAAGCTGTATCTGGTAGATCAGATACAAATTGTTACGCATAATGGTAATACCAAAATCTTGATACTATTCTGTAAAGGCTATCTGGTCAGAGTTGAACTGTTAACTGACCAAAGTACTGCTCAGATTTTCAGCATAGTAAGAAATTTGACACAGCACCATACTCTATGTAATGGATACTAGTAGCCTCTTTTGAATTGTTCCAAAGAATCCAACTTTCAAACAAAAAAAACTGCTCTGCTGTTGTTAATGTAAATGTTCTTTGTAGAATTTTAGGCTCTTCACACAAAGAATCAAATTTTATTCCAACTTATACAGACTAAAGCAAACTGTTCTCTGTTCTAGTCATCTGCTGTTATTATGAGTATGTGAAAACTGTTCCCCCTTCTCCATCCTATCAGGTACGTTGTCCTTCTACTTCTTCACTGGGAGGATCACCTTCGCAGCTGAGTACGTTCCCAACCTGAAGTACTACATGGTGCCCATCATTGTGAGTACAGTCTAACCATTCTTATGTCCAACATTAAGAAATAACCATCTGCTAAACATCATTTCCTCTGTTTTATTTACCTCTTTGTGATCCAGACATGTGCAATATTGCTTCATAGTTTATTATCGTATTGTCCCTATGCCTGTTGATGAATAGATGTAAGCCAGGAATTGTTTTCTTCAATTTTCTTTGTGGAGCTACCCATATGTCACATGTGTGACCATTTCTTTGACTGTGCAATATGTTGTACAATGTTTGTAGGTTGTTGAAGATCATGATACCTGTAGGTTGAAGAAATGATCATCAGTGTATTACAGTTCCATGTTGTTGATGTTCCCCTTTGTGCTCCCCTCCCCCCCAGGTTGTTGTGATTGGTGCCTACATGGTGGCTGCCTGTTTCTTCAGCGTGTACAACATGGCAGTGGACACTCTCTTCCTCTGCTTCTGTAAGGAAATAATCACTACATGTACTATAGACTGTAATGTGATGTCTTATTTATACATGTACATATTGAATTAACCTAAGTAAACAAACTATAAAGTTTGGCAAGTAGGAAATATAAGTGTGATATTTTAAGATCACTCCATCCAAATCTGCTCAATAGACATTTTTCAGTTCTTGAATTTGAAATCTGCACAGCTGAGGAAAACTATTGGTTGTTTTAGAATCCATGAAGACTAGTTGCTTTTTCTGTCGCTTTAGCAACTAATGGAAATCCCAATAAAGTTAGTTTAAGTATCAAGTATCAAGTTTTGCTTATGATTCATTGGACAAAAATGCTACCTAGCAGTTTGTGGATGTATTACATGCTAGATCCTTCATCTCACCTTTGTTCTGAAAGTTCAGCCAAATTGTAATGTAATCTCTGTATTAAAGGCTTGTGTTTTGATTTCCCCCTAGTGGAAGACCTGGAGCGTAACGACGGCTCTCCTGAGAAGCCGTACTACATGTCCAAGGAGCTGATGGGCATCCTGGGTAAGAAGAACAGGAAGGAGGGAGAGAAGGAGAAGAAGGGATGCTGCGGGTGCTGCTAGGTACCATGGAGGAGACACGGGGTGGTACCCAAGTAGTACTGCAGACTGTCTTCAACTCATATTTGGAACACAAATCTGCTATTGACATTGTGATTACAAAGATAGGGAACTTTTCTTATAGGAACATGTACCACACATTCAAAATCTTGAACCATGGAGGAGACAACTAGTACTGTCACCAGGAAACTTTTATAAGAATCAAATCACACATATTTGGAACACAAATCCACTATTGACATTGTGATTACAAAGATGGGAACTTTTCCTACATTGTATATTAACAAATCTCATGAATTCAAAACTTAAATCTGGTACCATGGAAGAGACACTGTGTGGTACACAAGTAGTACTGTAGACCATCTGCATAGATTCAAACAAGTTCAACTTCTTCTATAGGAATCTCACATTTGGAACACAAATCTGCTATCAACATTGTGGATTACAAGATAGGGACTTTTTCTATAGGAAAATGTATCACACATTCAAAACTTAAATCTACATGAATTTTTAAATGCAAAGGATTGAAAAATTTCTGTGATGCAATGTTGGAAATTCGACATTAAACTGTGTATCACACAAAGGAACGAGGAGTGTAAAAATGGAAATTAAAATACATGTATGTTTTATACAAATATTTCAAGAAAGTATTACTGTCACATAGACTGTTTTTATACTGCAGACAAAGCAGGGACTGAATGTCAGAAATGTTTGCCATACTTACTGGCAGGTATTTTTATTGAGAAGTTATAGAACTTTCCTTCTTATGAGGAGATGTAGTGAAGTGAGGAACTTTTTTTAGAAGTCACGTATGATTTGTAGATGCTAGAAACACCTCTTAGTACATGAAGCTGTCCTCGAGTGTTTTTAAACTTAATGCTACAATGTAGGATGAGGATATTCCCTCCTTATGAAGTATATACACAAAGTTGTTTTATTGTACATATTGCAAAAATGTCCTGTGTGTAAGTTGTGAAATGCCTTACATGAACCGTCCTAGCTTCTGTTTTGTGACTATAGCTTTTAAACATTTCTACCTAGCATTGCTTATATTAGCTTATTACCATGTTTAGGAACATTCTTAGGCTTGATGAATGTTTTGGTTTTTCAGAAATGCTACAATAATGTGTTAGACATTTGTATTCAGTAGACATTCAGTAGAAATTTTCAGGTTGACAAAACTGGTCCCTCGGCTTATTACCTAAGCTCCCCTATTTGACAATGGTTGAACCCTATTGAGTATTGACAGTGGAGTGTTCCAAATGAAGACTAGGGGTGCCATTTGATAATTCAACAGAACACAGGGACTGCCACACTGTGCGGATAGGCCAAATAGAAAAAAATTGACTAGAAGATATTCATGTCGTGATGTCATGTAATTTAGAGTTGTTGAAACAATCACACACCAAAACTGACAGCAAAACATTCCTAATCATTTCTAGAGATGAAAAAACACCTTAATGTTGCCTGAACAAATAGAATATACAAATGTACCTCTTGTCTATGAGTGGGACCTTTGGTATTAGGATGATGTTAGAAGCCAATTTTGATCTACAGGGACTAAAAGAAAACACAAGTTTTACCTTAATGCAATGATCTGAATATCTAGTCTTTGTGCACAAGAATGAACTTTGCTAGCTGTTGTCTGTGAAAGGGAGTGCCTTCGAGTTTTTATGGCCAAAATGTCTGTGAATTTTCTACTGTTTCTTGCAAGCTGCTGCAATACATGCAAAAGGAGCTGTGTTGGGATTGGAAAGAGAGAACCCTTTTTTTTCATCTTCAGTCAAATCAAGATTTTTATTCAGTCCCTTTTTAACAATCTATATTTTCTGTATGATTCACATGAGGAAGGAAAATGTAGACCAAAAAGTAACTCTTAGAACCTCAGTGTTGTATGGTCTGACTTATAGCCCAGAACTTGCACATTCCACCCAGTGTTTTTTGTGTTTGCATTTGAACTGCTTTTAATCTGGATTGATGTAAATATTGCACCAAGACTAATCTGTCTGTTGTACATAATTGTGATCTCATTGCATTGAGAATTTGCCAAAACTCATACTTACCTAGCATTTATTTCTCTGTTGTTTTTGTTACTTAAACTGTAATAGAAGTTTGTATAAGACTTGTAGGAAGGAAACATCCTTTTTTCTGTAGTTGTAGGGTGTTGTGTGCCAATTACAACCACCAAGATTTACTGTTTTGTTTGATTCATATTCTATGATTTCAATATACAGCTGTAATCAGGCATACGCAATGAATTATGCCAACCCAATTACATCGTCAACATCATAACACATATTACATAGACTTTCTGGACTAATTAAAAACAGATTTACAGGATGACACTTTCCAAAACACAACACCCTAGTAGAGTTTTTGTTTAGGTTCTGTAGTATTGATGGATTGCAATGGACTCTGATGATGATTTGAAAGATTACCACCATTGTAAAATTTTTAAATGCACAATAAAGTTGACAGTGTATATTTGTCTTTTCTTTTGTACAGCAATGAATGTAACGTTACAGGTATTTTAATTATTAAAACACCGCCATTTACATTTCGGTACTACATACATGTAGTATTACCCTATTAGAGCCTAACCTGCAGTACCGCTCCCGGCCGCACCCAGAATAAATAGTACAAATTTCCCGACCTTTTCGGAATGGCCAAATCTCTAAAGGCTCTCAAAGGGGTTGAAGTTTTGTGGCTTTTTTCGAAAATGTGACCATATAAAAGCAACAATAGCTATAGTCAAGACAGTTTCTAAACAAAACAACAGGATATAATCTCATAAATGACACGTTTCCTTCGCATTTTATGAAGAGAAATGGTTTAGTGTACATTGCCTATAAATTGTCACGTTCTAAAGGACTGTGACGTCCAAATCTTTAAACTATTTTGTGAAACAAGCTTAAGAAGACTTTACAAATGTAATAGTGTGTTTTAGCGTACAAACTTCACTGAATTCGAAGTTTTACCTCCGCGAGGAAAAATGCGACTGCCGTACCCGCGGTTCCGCTGTTGGTTGAGCCAAATACTTGAGCTGAAACATACGTGAGAGGTCAGGTGTTTTGGGCTAGGGTTAGGGTTAGGGTTGGTATTAGAGTTAGGGTTCAGATAGTTAGGGTTAGAGTTGGGATCATTGTTCAGGGCTAGGGATAGTTTAGATTAAGTTTAGTCTCCCACATCACAACTAAAATCCCTCCCACCCCTTGTCTCAGGTATATAGGACACCCCCAAGTAGTGTCGGAGTCATGTATTTGGCAGGATCATGTATATGGCTTGACACCGGTTCCGCCCCCCACCCTGACCTGCTGACGACGTCACCTTTACATGACTGGCAGTGTTCCCTGTTTCCTCCTTCCGACTCTAGCCTTCCCCGAAATCACACGTGGGACGACCTCCTACCTCCATCTTGGAAAGTCGCCTGGAAAGGTGGAGAATGCTCCCAGGACGTGACTTGGCACATTTAAAGAATTTAAGATTTTTCTCGAAACTTAAGTTAAGCTTGCTTAAGATTATTGTTGTATCACGTACTGTTTCCCAACTGCCAGCAACTAGAGGTCATTTACCTAAATAAGTAGACTACTTTATAACAGTGGGATCTCTCCCTCGGGCTTACTTAATACAGTGGGTGCTCATAACGATTGGGTGCGCCCACTAGTATCAACTCGTGTATACACTTGTGCATACTTGATAATCCCTATTTCCTAATCAACCCTACTCAGAAACAGCTACCTTGCCCGCTGGGACATTGTGTAGTTTGGGGAAAGGTGGGCTACCCTTATTTTCTGCTTAGGCAATACTTTCACGTACAAAACTTACTGTACTACACACAATAAGTATATTTTCATTTTAGAAATATTTTTATCTTAGAATTGGAACTCATGCATGGATAGAGCAAAAAGCTTCGCCAATAATTTGAAAGGACGTAACAATACAGAATTGAGCATCACTATCTACATACAAACAAACATACGAGCTAGAAAGATGAAAAAGAATCTTAAAAATCAATGAATAGCTTTTCACATGCCCCATAAATCTTCCGACTGACTATTCAACGCGTCTGAAAATATGAACTTCGTAATTCAAACGTGGGCGGCTCAAATTTGAAGTTCTCTGTTTGTGAAAGTACGGCCTGCGAGTCGAGGGTGAAACGGTTACAGTGGTATATACGAAAATTTACGTCCCCATCACTGACAAGTAATGATAACAACATTTTGTTAACATTTTTGGCACTAGCTTTCGAACCACTTCCACTACAAATCTGCCCACACAAGTTCCAAGAATCTGCACGTTCTGCCTTCCGCCAGGGCCTTCATCACGACCACCAGCGATATATTGTTTCTCCTTTCTATTCTGGGATGTTGAAGTCTTGCCAAAAGTTCAATGCCCGCTGTCCTTCTTTTCAACAGTAACACACGCAACCCTTCACGTTCGCACACTGTTTTTCTTGTTGACTAGCTAAGGCCTCAGCAAGTAAATGTTATGGACCACATCCTCCAGCAGGGGCACCAAATCAAATGCGATGGGGCGAAAAAAACAAGGCGGGCCAAAAAATGTTTCCTACATTTTCAAATTTTGACATCAAACCTTACATCACTGCATCAAAGTAAATGACAAAACCAAAGCCTTTCTTCATATTTATCTGCCATCCATGTCCCAGCATGGCAACAGTCATCTTTGCCCATTTTCGGCATGTTGACCACTGTCGCGAGGGCAGCAAAGTTTCAAAAAAGTTTCTTCCAAAATCAGGCGAAAATTAATGCGCGTGATGTCATCCATAGAAATTACTTGCTGTGGCCTAATGACCTTTTTCTTGAGGTATGTCGTTTATCTGGTCTCTCATTCCTTCTTTCATCGCGCACCACGGGATGACTGTATAACGAGGCCTCCGGTTGTTATCTATGCTGTGTTTTCTTCTCTGTTGGTCTTAGCGTCTTGGCAACTAGAAAACCACAGTCTCGCGAAGGGTGAACGGCCTTTCACCGATTGTATATAAGCCGAATGCCACAGAGATTTAGTGTAACTCAAGAAAACATTACTAATGTTATTGTGTGATGCTTCGACTGAAAGGCAACAGCTCTGAACGGTGACTGTACAAATGGTGAACTAAATTTGTGTACGTTACACCTGATTTGTGCAATCTTGGGAGCGGTTCAGCTCAAAATCTACCGTTTTTTATTTCACCGGATGGAACTTCTCTGAGACAAGGGTTACGTGGATCTATCCCAAGGACACTTAAGGGCCCCTTAAGGACACCTGCTTTACGGAATGTTCTAACTGATAAATGTTGAAGTTGGTGCCAAGCGAACACTCGTACAAATCAGGCATTGTGCCACAAGCGTGACAGTACGGGATTTATCCTTGCTAGCCAAAAGCTCGAGTCAAGGCTTGTTCTTTCTTAGAACTGGTGATATTTCTTTATTTGCTGCTTGTCTATCTTACGATAAGTACCTTCCAGACGTTATCGTTGATTAAAGATAGACAACTGTGGCTACTAAAACATTGATAAGACGGGTATGAGCTCGTGTGTTGTCTCGATACAATCTATGTGAATAACCTAAATCAGGCGACTTAATAAAACTGTTTCTTATAAACATCTTTGTCCTTGACACCATTCCCTAAACAGAGGTGAGGCTTTGCGAGATTTAAGGCTGTTGGTTTAGGAGACGAAAAACAAACTCAAGACGTCCCTGCGGCCTCCTTCAAACATGGCCTACAAATCTCCCACCGGAGACAGCGGCCCGCTAGGCACACGTCTGGGCAATCAAGAACAGGTGGAAAGGGACCGTCCGTTTCTGCTCCGGACCGGGTTAGACACTCCCTGACATACAAACGTTTTCAGTTGATCCAAATGGTCACTCCCTTGTGATCGTTTTGCTGGGACGTCCAATCACCTTTTTTTTTCAAAATCAACTATTTCTGCAATTTCCTGTTTCAGGAAAATTGGAAGATCCGCGATGTCTTTTTTCCTGACTTGAACAGATTTTGACCCCAAAACTGCACCCCGTCAATCCACAACATTGATGGAATGTCGCTGACTGGAAACTCGGGTAAAACTATGTACACACGCGCCAACCTGACGAGTGATGGCTTGATTCAGACTAACGAAAAGTTGATGAAAGATTCTAGAAGTTGAAGAAAGAGAGAGAGAGTGAGAGAGAGAGGGGGAGAGGGGGGAAGAGAGAGAGGTGGTAGAGAGATTGTCGGACAAGGAGGTCCAAGGGGCCATATTTATGTACGAAAAATGATGTGGGTCATCTGTGCATGGTTGTAATTGTGAAAACAATTCTGACCGCGAAGGTCTCTCCAAAACAGACGGCCCTTGTAGCCTCCTGTGCAGGCCTCCGGGCGGGTGGGGGTTTTGATACTGCGTTTTGTACAATTTTTAACGCGTTCTTTCATGCAACCAGCCGCCCAGAGAAGGTTTGTACCCGCCGTGGCGGCTGGTCGGCAAAAGAACGCGTTTTAAAGATTCTACAAAACGCAGTATCAAAACTCCCAACCACCCGGAGACCTGCACAGGAGAGAGCTTTGGTGTCTTTAAAAAACGTTAACGTGCTAATTACTTTTACATGGGATAGCTATAGATAGAAAATTTTAGCCCATTATAGGCCCCATTATACAACCAAAACCTTTCTATATGGTTCTCTATACGGTAAATTAATGGGATAGCACCCCTGTTAACCCATTATTTTACCAGAAAGATAGCCTGGGTGCCATCCTTTTTGTATGCCGGGGCTCCCATACTCCCCCTAAGAAATATTTCTTAGGGGGTGGGGAGTATGGGCATACAAATAGGATGGTATCCAGGCTACCAGAAGGAGACTAGGGCCCTTGAAAGTTTCCGTGTCAGTGGCGGACAGTTCAGCGGCCAGGGTGACGAAACGGAGATCCGCCCCTGGGGGATGTAATCCGGATGATCCCCCGGATTAGTTTGTTAATCCTCGGGCTGTTGAGACGTCAGGTAGGATAGACACTTCTCGTCAGGTCTCCACCTGTTTTGGCTAGCTCCTGTCTGACGTACATCTCACAGCTATGTCTGGGGCAGGGTCACGTGGGACAAAGCCAAACTCGTCTGCTCAAACAAAAGCAGATGCAGCGGTTTCCGAGAAACCACCAGACAAGATAGATAGCGTGGTGCTGCGGTCGTAAAATACCGAACACATGGCCATGTTCAAGGTCTGTCACCTTGTACAAGGTTGTTTGAAATACTTGGGAGGTCAAGTTTAAAACAACCAACGCGGCGGGACTATGTGAACTATCAACTCGTAAAACTGTGGAATGGTACTAAAAAGGGCATGCTCGGTGTGGGGAACGATAAGGGAACGACTTGATTCAACTTATATAGGTCTATTCTCTTATAAACAAGTTCTATAAATATAAACAGCCTTGAATACGACTTCATCTTTGTTATTGATATCAAAAGGGAAACCAAACATTTCAAAACTACAGTAGGAGAGAAAAACGAAAGAAAAAGAAGAAAAAGAAAGAAAACAAGAACGTCAAGAAAAGAAAGAAGGCGCAAAACAGCTAGATTGTTCACAAAAACGCTTGTACATGGTGCAATGTGAAATTATGCTTACTAAGGAGATTAGGGAGGGAACCTTTATTTTCTCTCTAACCGTCTTGGTCGTAATGTATGAAGCTGAATTAAGGGAGACAAACCAAGTTTTATTGACGCATTTTCAAAGTACGCACTGGGCGTTTAAGTGATGAACAGTCGGTCATCCCCCTGGTTACTCATTGGTCAAAAATACTAATGAAACTCATCAGTATGGCGCCACCGCTACATTACTGTCTTCTTACGTTAATGGAGGTAAAACCTGTAGAGATCTAGCGAGAAATGAGGAAAACTGAAAACAAAGGAAGTCACCGCAATGACCGCACATTCGCACATCCTCGGGTTCAGTGGAGATGATATTTCAAACCTGTCACAGTCTTCTTTGTAGTTGTAGTTAGGAAGGGGGAGAGGAATTTCATCAGTATGACGACATTGTATGTGGTTATTTTATTACCTTTCTGAAGGAAAACGGCCGAAGGCGAATATCGACACCCCCCCCTTTCCCAAGGAATCGTGACTGTACATGTATATGAACTATCATTTTACCATCTAGAAGATCATAAAAAAACTACGTATATTACAATCAAACGTAGTATTACATGAGAACGTTGATCAGATAGCAGTTGTATGTTCCCTATTGTTTATTTTACTTCTTTGACCCTGTACATGCAATTAACCTTCTGGCATGATTTTTCAAAATAAAGTATTATTTATGTAATCTTCCCTACAATTCCTACAATTCTACAATTCCTGCATTCCTACAGTTCGCCCACCTAGCTCCCCACACACGATGCAAACGTATTTTTAAGGCCTTCAGTCAGTCGCCAATTTAAACACATTTGATCATCCCTGTTAACTGTTGAGTGCTGTTTTTAAAAACACAGTAAATTTCTGTACAAATAGCGATCTTCTAACCTCTTGGCGCAGAAGGTACATTCTTCGGAAACCGCATCCTCATTGACGGCTGCAGAATAATAGCAGGTCATGAATCATCTCAGTAAACATGACTCTACTCGTGGCCCAAACCCCGACCTAATGTCTTGTCCCCAGCACGAAAACAGGTTTAAGTATCTGTAAGTATGTTTTTTGCACGGTCGAGTCAACGCTGAGAGATTCTCCACCACACGAAAACACTTTTGTAGCAAACACAGCGCAGCGAGCTTCTTCATCACAGGAAAACACGTGGGGTCACTGACCTTTCTACAACATGAGCAACAGAAGAGAAAAAAAACAACAACCTTAAACTCCAAGCAGATCATAGGGTGGCAAAAGACTGTATCAAACTGACCAGGCAGTATCCATTCGTGGCAAAAGGTAGTAAAAATTGGCCAGGGAGTATGGACCCTTTCTGGCCAATGGATATTGTCGGGCCAATCTTTTGTCACCCTAGGATCTGCTTGGAGGTTAAAGAAATCTGCCGACATCCTAATGGATGGTTTTCATGCATGATCCCTACACAGGGACCTTACGTGGGCGGTGTAGGTGTCTCTGTAAATCGTCCGTGATATTATAATCTTTTTTTGATCCCGGTTTTCCGCGTCATTTACTCTTCAGCGGCTTTTAGGTTCCGTCGGTGGGAGGTGGCTGTCTTCGCCGTGTGATTATGTTATCAACAGGAGACATATTTTCATATCTTTGATATCATAAATAGGAAACGTTGTGCCAATAATTGGATATTTTCAGTGAGAAATTGAAACTTTTGAATTGATTATAGTATCATCATCTCCTCCGTTCTAGCCGGACCATCAGTTATATGATTTCATACTCTTCAAGCAGAGGTTTCGGTTTTGGGTTTTTATCGTTTTTTTTTTTTTGCACTGAAATTTATTTGTCTTTTTTTTTCTGGGGGAGGGTGATAAAATTCCAGTGCAAAAAAGAAACCCCGATTAAAAAAAGCCTAAAAATACGCCAAAAAAATAACCCAAAATCCAGACCTCTGCTTGGAGAGTCAAATGTCAAACCATATCATCTGTAATATGTGGCGCCTCCAGGTGATGTCTTGATAGGTTTGGGCGCCGCACACGGTGACGCGCGTTATCGTAATGGGACTGTGATGTTTCTATAAGACCGGCTTAAAGTGAACACAGCTAGCCTCAAAGCGAATGGGGTACAGGGGGCAAGCTACGCTTCTAATTCTTGGAATTGGCTGAAGTCCGTTGGGCTAATGGACACTCTTGTGGCCAATGGATACTGCCTTGCCACCGTATGATCTGCTTGGAGATTAGCCAAGTCTTTACAACTATGCTCTAACGGCAGACTTCCGGGAGGCGTTTACTCGATCTCGAAGCCTACCAGTATGTAGGCCTGTAGAAGGACAGCTGCTTTAAAATAGCCTCACTATGCATGTGGCGACGAGAATCAAGATAGATCGGAGAAAATTGAGGCATTATTTATTCCATACAAAGCTCATTGGTCGAATTCTGAGCCTCAAACCATGGAGGTAAAGTGTAATTTTTTACCTCCAGGCTCAAACATCATAAAAACATGAAGATAGCAAAAAACTGCACGCCCCAACAGAACAGGAACAGAGGCTACAACCTCAATTTTAGGGAACAACAGATACCAAAACCATATCTGCAGTGTATATAAATGCCACAGTCTTATATATACAAATCCGGCCTTAAGATATATCTTTCGCTTTCGCGTCATATATTTCGACTCCATGTCTTATTGATTATTTTCACATTTTGAGGATGCATGTTACACATAACTTCAAGACATCATATTATGTCATTGTATACACTTCATTCGCATATATCATATTTAGCACATAACACGTTTCAACACGGTTTGACACATATTCCCTCTCCAGGTTGTATCAGTAGGTATATACTACCGGTATCAGCATGATACAGCAAAACTTCGGGAGGTTCATCTCAGATTCACACGTCAAATCTGTTGCGCGGGCCATCCCCCGGGATTTTTTTCCGTGTTTATATTTGTCCCGATGACGTTATATCTGTGCGCTGTATCTAGTACGACTCCGGAAGTGTCCATTATTACGATGAAAACTGCGTCCTCCTGTCCTCAGAAACCTTGTGTGAGCACTTCCTGTTACCGACTGGGCAACTCGCGCGCCCCCGCCCCGCTCTCTCTCCCTAAAGCTGCGGCTTTTTTCTGCATTCTTGGAAACTTCCGGTCACCGGGGAGGACCCTTTAAAAGGCGGGCAGAGCCCAGAGAGTCGTCAGTCCAGACTTGTGATCCAAGGAAGTTGGCTGAAGCTAGCTACAGACGCCAGCTTTCCCTTGTCCACGGTATATTGTTCATCCACTGGTGAGTGACTTTTTGTTCTGCTTTTCTCATGCGACCGTTGTGACTCATACTGATTCATGCGGCTCAAGTTGTGAAAAGCATCCATGGTAAGCCTGCGGAAGCTGATATTTGCTCTCCGATTTTCTAAATGCTTAAGAAATAATCTCTTTCATATATAAATCTGCATGAAAAATTATCTATACCAAAGATACATGCTGGCTTCTATGATTTTTTGTCGATACACCTGCGATGCAGTTCTTGTATTTGATATTATGCATGCTGCTTTCTAATGTTCAGTGAATAACGGAGGATCCTTTTCTTTGCCGTTGATAGTTTTGTAAGGCTTAACTGCAGTGTTTTTAAAGCCAGTGTTTCTGCGGAAATTCCTGCCGTAGCCTCCCCGTTGTTGTGTCGGACAGGTCCACACGGTAACACGGGGATCAGTAAGACAGATGAGCCAGATTTAGACGTTATTCTCCGCGGGTTCGCCACGCGCGCACAGATATGACGTTTCTAGCTCTGTCGTGCGATATGCGATTATAATCTCGGTTTCTTTTAAAAGCATTACCACCACTTAGCCAATGAGGTGTAACAAGATACCAGGCGACTGTTTTACGATGTTCTGTCCATTAAAGTTGGTTGCTATAATGGGCAAACACAGTGTTTAATTTGGGAGGGTAGGGTGGTGATTTATAGCGACTATTTCCACACAAATGCTTCAGCAAAGAAATGCATTGTTGTTGTTTTTTCTCGAACTTGATGAAGATTTAAGAAGGTTTTCTCGAACTCAAACATTGTTTAGAAGCTAGGGAATACGTCTTGCATGTTTTAGCTTTTGAATTTACCGATGAACTTGACAGAGTGTGTCAGGTTTGCGTGATTGGGGCAGCCATGTGGCCTACCATTCCCACCGGAAGTTGTAAGTCTAGGTGGCCTGGTGAAACCGTCTGCCAGGGCCACAGTCAGACACGCCACTCTGCGCTCTGCTCTCTCTCTCCCTGGACCCAATAACTGTAGCCGGCTTGACTTAGGCATACATTTGTACAGTTGGCAAAGTATATTGTATACGTATATACCTTTTGTTGTAGAAGGTCAAGCTGTATTATGTCTACATGTACGTTTTGTGTTCAAAATGTTATCAACGTTAATTGATTCGTCAAAAGAGTTGATATTCTAGCACTACATGTATCATCATAATCCATGCGATGCGTAACGTTAATTAACTTGTAATAGTCCAAACTCAGTCTCCATATTATCTGTTCACACTGATTTTTCTGACAATTGATTTCATGTCCTCCTGCAGTAACAGACGATAACAGCATGAGGGCGCTGCTTGCCGCGGTGTGTGTACTGGCTATCGTAGCCGTACAACTGTCATCAGCCAATCCCACCTGCACGCCACTGTACAGAAAACTATGCAGAGTGAGTACCTTTTCTTTCTTTTTCTTGGCGCGTGATCTAACTAATTTCTAAATGTCTCACTAACTCTCTGTCGCTTTCCTTAACTCGTTAGCTTAATACATTTCTAGCCTCTACCAGGCTTCGGGAGGCGACTGGAAAGAGTAAAAATCGCCCAAGTAGAGAGATAACCAGGGGACGGCTAAAGAGTTCGGGTGCGGCCGGCAAACTGTACTCTCTACCGGACCAACTCCATTGGCATGTTATCTCTCTATTTGGGCGATTTCTACTCTTTCCAACCGCATCCCGAAGCCTGTTAGAGGCTACTACATTCTTACTATCGCGTTTTCTAGCATGCATGCATCTCTTTGCTCTTTTCTCAAGAATAACAACTATGTCTTAGTGTACAAAGTTCTCCGAAAAAAAAAATGCTTGATGGCAGCGTACAGATAAGCTGTAACATGTACTGCTGTGCTCACTTCCTTACATGCTTTTTCTCAAGAATTGCTAATAAGCCTTACCCTGCAAAGTTCTCCAGAAAAAAAGGCGGCTTGCATGACAGCGTAGCCTGGTATCCAGTCTTACGTGATTGGGGCTGTTGTTCAGGCAGGCTGTGTCTTCGGGGCCCAACTAGCTTCCCCCCGCCCAGTACAACAGGCCGACCAGGTTACGCTAATACAGATGGCATGCCTGGGGATTTAATTTGTCCCAACACGTTCGTGGTAGGGCTAAACAATCTCTCGTGAAAACCTAGCTGAGGCGGGCGGGGAAGAGCTCCTGCAGCCCCGAGAAAAACCCGCCCCTACCACGTATTAAAGACTGGATACCAGGCTAATAACAGCGTACCTGTAATTAATATGTACTGCTGTGCTCACTTCCTTACTGGCTCCCGGAAGCTACTACCTGTACTCCGGTACCGTCAGGAACACCTCGGACGTACAGGTGAATGTGTTACGTCATCACAACGTGCGTGCCTGAGAAGGGATGGGGGGGGGGGGTCTTAATAATGGTCTCAAATGGACAATAGCTAAGGGGCGGAGACTTAAAATTTACACTTGATAGGATGTTTACACTATCTATATTTAGAGCCATGCTTTGGACTAACTAAAGATAGGGTTTCAAATGAATGCCCACTTCCCACCAAAACTTCCTTCTGATAACTCAGAATACAGCCCCTCCTTTCCGCTATGAAAGTATTGTCATTACACCTATGGCGATATCTTGCATTGTGTTAACCGGAATCAACTCAAATTTATAATACAGGCGAGATTAGAAGATCAAGAAAACATTACATTGAAGCCCCGTTTTTCAATCATCTGAGTTTAATTTACTAGCGACTTTCCTTATTCAAACTCTGTGGCTTAATCGCTTTCTCTATAATTTTTTTCTTTCTTTTGGGGTATTTGAACTCGACAACATCCCATTACCTACTCCCTGATGTAATTTGATGTCCTTTCTAGTAAGTTACTACTACCATCTATACTTTTGACACTCACACATCGAACTTTTTTTTCCGACTGACCCCGAAGGTTTCCGACTGGAGCGTCTGGAGCCCGAAGGACAACATCTTCGGCTGCAGTCGGGTCTTCCGAACACGCGAGGTGATCGACAACCCGCTGGGGAGCACTGCCTGCTGCCCTCCACTGAGGGAGGAGAAGGAACAATGTAAGTACTCAAAAGAAAAAAAAGATAGCCTGTTAAAAACGCCTAAAACACGTCAAAGACAATAAGCCGAAGCCTGTTTTGAGAATGGTTATTAGCGAGATATGATCCCAAATGTAACTGTCTTCTTCATACTCACCTGTAACCAAAGCGTTGTACATAGAACTCCAATTCGTACTGTTTGTGACTTTGACACACATTTTCACTTGATTCATTTGGTTTGCTATCAATGCTTTTTAATTAAGCAAACATTGCTTTCGCCATAACACTTGACACAAGGCGTTTAGTGGATTCGTGAATCGATGATATTAGTCAATGGTGACCATGAAAAATAGAGTACAGTATTAATGAATTACAAATACTAGTAATGCGTTGAATAGAAAAGTTCTTTATTCAAAATCACAACCTCTTGTTTAACAAAAGTCGGCGCCAAGATGATCGTCTGTCATCTTTATCATGGCAATGATAACCTGTTCATTGGTGCCTGCTGTGCACTCCTGTGCAGGCCCCGTGGGCAGAATGGAACCTTCTCTCGGCGGCTATGTAGGATGGCCGGCTATATTAAAATAATGCGTTAAAATCTCTTCCCCACCGCCGCGGGGCCTGCACAGGAGGCTAGCACTGAAGTGGTTGTGATTAAGAACTTTTGCTTCTCAATCATACTACGACATACACCAACATGATGAAATCACAGTCACGCAAATAATATATTGTTTCCTTCTTCTAAAGGCGGGATTCCCACAAAAGAGCAGACAGTCGGGGCCATGTCCTCGGGCTTCCTGGGCCCTCTCAGCGGAGACGGCTTCCGCAAGGCCGACGGGTCCACCGACGTCATCGACATGGTGTTCCTCTTCGACAAGAGCGGCAGCGTCAGGGAGGTGAACTTCAACGACGCCAAGCAGAACATTCAGGTACTGCAGACGGACGTCTTGGTGTTGGCATAAAGTTTGAAAGTTAACGTTGTCGACGCTTTCATTGCTTGTATTGCTTGATCTAGCGCCACCTGTTAAAATCGATGATGTGTCAATGATGTGATATATGCTCTGTCCAGATGTTTCTTCTCTCTACCCGATAAGTGTGTAAAGGGTAATTTTGTCATATGGAAACATGCCAATTATATAAAATACTTCATGACCTAACTGCTATAGCTAAAGCTACGTCGCTACGTCATGTACGTGTTTTTATTATATTTCTGCGATGTTAAAATAGACGAACATGACATATTTGAATGTTACTTACCGATGTTTCTTCACTCCCTAGGATCTGATTGATAACTTCCCCACGCCCGTGGACCAGGCGAACACCCGTGTGGCCGCTATCTCCTTCTCAGACGAAGAGAGGACCCGTGTGGAGTTCGACTTCACGCAGACCGTCAGCCGGGACCAAGTCAAGGCCGCACTGGGCAACATCGATTACGAAAGTAAGACTTGGCGTGAAGTTTTCGTCCAGAAGTATTCCTCAAACTCTCATTAGATACATCATTCGATAAACATACAGCAACGTGGTCCACTAGTAACATTCATGGTTGTAAAGTATTTTTTAAGATTCATGTGGCATCATGTAAATGTAGATACTTTGGTACTTGGGGCACTTTCTGAATGACCAAAAGAAAAAAAAAATGTTCTTCTTTTAAATATCCAAAACCCACAAATTTTGGAAAAGGTGGGACATTACGTCTTCCATGGTTTGCAAAAGAGAAGTCAAACCCTTTATTTAGACATATATCTTAGACATAGCTATAGTTTCAGAGAATTACCTTTTATTATGCAGATTTTAAAGTTATTTTGTACTCTGTTTCAATGTTCTTTTATCCTTGTCATTTGCAAGTAGCCTTCGGGCATGAATTTGCAATAAACGTATCTCTTTAATTTATTCACCGTGTGTTTCCTTGCCGTGTTTTCCGCAGGAGGTTGGACGGCCACCGGCACGGCTCTGGAGTTGGCCCGTGATAACGTGTTCCAGTCCGTGGCCGGGTCTCGTGCCAACGCCGCCAAGATTCTCTTCCTCATCACGGACGGCAAGTCCAACCGCGGAGCGGCGCCTATCCCCATCGCAGACCAGCTCAAGGGCAACGGTAAAGCCGCACTCGTGCTACATATTAGTTTTACTCATTTTTAACAAACCAAAGCAGCAACTATCACTTTTTCCATCATTTCTTTAAGCTTTAAGGGTGGTTCTTTGTAATATTGAACTAAAAAAATTAACAGAAATTGCGTTTGCTTCATACTCGTACAAAATGGGTTGCGTTTAGCAACTCTCACTTCTTCCATCCCTTTTTAAGGGTGGTGGTTGTTCTTTGTAATATCGAACTAGAAAGTCTCAGGCAACAACATTCGTTTAGCTCATACAAAACAGGTTGCGCTTAGCTGGTCAAGTCATGACAATAATATGTTTTTACTCTAAACTTCTGAGAATGTTCTGTTTCCTTAAAAGTGGGATATTGTACACCCAATGTACGTCTTTAGAATGGGAGACATGGGATGAAACATCATATGTAACTCCGTAAATAATTTCATCAGGTTGGTAATCGAATGCATAGCAAAGTTCTTTCTTCACAACCATTTATTTTTCACGAGCCTACGTTTCGATGACCGTCTGTCATCTTCATCAGGGCCTAGTATGTATGTCACAATTGCACTACGTTCGGAAATCCATTGTTAACAGTAAAAACTAACCTAAGTGCACTGTGAACCAAGTAACAGTGCACTGTGAACGATGTAATATTTTTAGTGCACTATGCACTAAGTAATATTTAACGTCAGTACTAGTGCACACTAAACCAGTCAGAATTGCCCTGATGAAGATGACAGACGGTCATCGAAACGTCGGCTCGTGAAATATAAATGGTTGTGAAGAAAGAACTTTGCTATCCATCATATGCAACTTTGGACATCTTGTCTCTCTTTCCAGACGTTGAGATGTTCGCGTTCGCCGTGGGGCCTGAGAACCAGATTAACGAGGACGAGCTGCGCAGCATAGTCTCGGAACCCGTCCCCGAACACCTGTTCTACGCCGGCAGCTTCTCCGCCATGTCCGACGTCTTCGACGACTTCATCACTATCCTCAGGGAGAGATTCGGAGGTGAGTCAGGGACGACGCTTAGCGGTTGGGTGATAAACTGCAGTGCAGCATTTTTGCAATGACCGGCACCATACATAACAGTTTTAGCTTTGAACAATGCATAATGAATATTAGACACAAGCTTCGAGCTATCTACAAAAAAAGGTGAATAATAAATAGTGAATGAATTTAGCCTTATTTACGTCTTGCACTTTGCTTATGATATACTAAAATACACTCATATCCAAATGTAATCTTCTAACTATTTTCTTTCATTTCCTTCCAAGGAGGCTCCTCCTTTTCGACCACCGATGATGAGTACGATTACGACTACGGCTTCTTCCGTCGGTGAGAAGGAACAGAAACAAGAGGATGACAAACTCGTCCATGCATTCTCAACGGTCGCATAGTGTTATATAATATATCCGTAGCCTTTCGGAAAACGACCATGTGTAAAACTTAAAAAGAAAAGCCATATTTTGTACATATAGGAAGAAAGAGCAAGGATAAGTTCACTGTGGTCCAGTGAAAAATAAGGGTATTTGGTGGAACGAAACAGTGTTAGTACCTACCGAAATGTAACAGATTGTACAGTGATAGAATGCTTAGTTATTTCGGTAACAGAATTAACTAGCAATTTCGGTAAAAGCAGATGCTTCGATAGCTACAAACAAAGTACATGTATTTGTAAGTGATATACATAGAATAGGAAAGTATGGTGCATCTTTAATGCTTCACGTATGTACCTGCACACTGTACTCAAAGGAAGAGGATTCTGTATAGATTTCGATGCCATTCCTTTTCTTTACCTAACTGCAAAACTACATACAGTATTTATTCCTCAGTATTGCTTGCACAAGTGCCACCTGTTAAAATTGATACTGATAGAAAGCACACCTTAGATGATGTGATACGCTTTGTCCACATGTTTCTTCTCTCTACCCAATAAATGTGTAAAAATGTAACTTTGTTGAGCTGTTTTGAATCAACCTGTCCTGACAGGCACTTAATTACATGAAGAGTATAAACTGGTCAGACTTTTAATTGTTTATACTAGTCAAACTAAAAACTCAAACACAGCAAAAGAGTATATTTTGATAAGAGATGGCTACACATATAAATCACAAAATACAATTTTTCATGGAAGCAATTAGATTTAGTCTAATTTAGTATCTACATATATCAAAACTTCACAAAGATACATGTAATTGCAAATGACCTGAAATTAAATGTTTCCATAGGAGAATGATTTTAAAAAAATTTAACATAATATTTGGCAAGAAGTTGACTTATCTATTCTTTCTAATGCACTTTGAACTTTATACATTTGTTGTTCTCGCAAGTGTCAATCAGCCTTGCTCTCAACTCCTCATTGGTCACTGGACACCATGAATATTCATGAGTTGTCTCTGGAGGCGTGTCTTCCCCGACTGCAAGTGTATAGAGTAAGGTGAGACAGATGCCATCAGCGAGGCCATGTGGTTTTCCCAGGTGTTCAACACCTAACACACCTACAAGCTGGATTGGCAGTTTACCTGAAAGTGCATCACCCGTAAGCACCTGCAAAGGGAAGACCACATCATAGAATTGACAGCAAGTTTGTATGAAAGCAACTTTGTTAACACATGTAGCCAAATCCAAACACCGTATGTATGATACTTGCACATAGATATACATGTACATGTACATGTACATGCTCAAAAGTCCTCTTTTTATCTAAAAGGTCCGAGGTTTTTCTTTAAAAGGTGGACTGATTTGTGACCAGTGGGACTGGAATCCTCTTTGTCTCAGAAATCCTGCCAAAAATGCAGAAAGTACCATTTCAGAAGGTTCCATTTTCAGGAAGATTGCGCCTATAGCGTTCACTGGTCCCTTGGACAGTAGCAAGAATCCCCCCAAACAAAATCCTGGCTTTGGGCATGAACACTACACTACCAACTACCAAACACACACAACAACAACATGCAACAACAGCAGACATCATGAAGAGTACAGTCTGTTCCCTTACCAGAGCTGTCCTAAGAAGCCTGAGTAGAGGTAAGATAATGGACCAGTCCTTGAGTAACATCCGTGTGGTGGGAAGGTGGGGGGTGGGGGTGGTTCTCACCAGTAACTCTGGAACAGTCCTGAAGGAAAATAATAAACAGTTAGATATACAAACAAGCATTCATAACACAGCAACTTCTTACATACATGTACATGCACATGGGTAGTGTGATTCTGGAGAAAAGGAATATCTACTTCAGGCAAGTGTGTTTTGTCTATTTCAAGCATCACTTTCCAAAATGTTAGAATGAAAGAGAACTGCAAGAGGACAATAAATGTATTCTGATACATATATAGATAAGACGTGCATTATCATTAAAACATTTTATGAGATCATACTAGTAAATAATGAAAGTACACATATATTTACTGTTTCAAATATCAGATTAAAATATGCATCTTCTTGGTGGTACTTTGCAGATGAGTTTGAATTTTCTTGTTACATGAATACAGTTTACCCTGCTTACCCTTCTGAGCACCCCTTGAGTAGAACAAGCCTGAGACTGACAAACTTGTGAGCCTGTAAGACTGGGAGTACACATGGGGGTTTCTGGGACTCTGGTGTGGACTGGTGCTGCACAGCCAGGTCTATGATGGGGAAGATGTCCTTGGCTCTGTTGGGGGTTAAGGATGGAAGTTTTTACTGCAAGTTATGAATAAACATGTCATCTGTAATTTCGTTGTTCTGTAATATTTTTTAACTCATTGTATCCTTTCATCTCATTTATCACTTTGTCTAATTATTTGACTGTTTGGGCACCACGGATGATCACACAACCAATTTTCTCCACCCTTCTGTTCTTCTTGATGTTCCCCTTTGTATCATGCTATCCATTCTTTAATATTACCCTCTCATCTTTTCTGTTGCCTACCCTTCTTTTTTCCTCCCTGTGCTGTTCCATGCATGCATCCACAACCACTAATTCTAAATGGTTTTCAGAAATTCAACCTACAGGAAAGAAAAGAACTGTAAATCTGGCAGCTGTAGTAACTGCAACATGTAACAGCGACCATGGCAATGACCTCTGACCTGATGGGCATGTCGTTTTCTGTCCTGACGTCCTGCACACTGCACCAGCGTGCCTGCAGGGATTCCCCGTCTGCCTCAGCAGGAGTCTTCAGCTTCCCTCCCGTGACCGTCCCCGTGAAGGTCAGCCTGACCCAGTGACCCCCGTTGACCTCTGCCATGAGGAGGGTGGAGGGTTCAAAGGTCAGGCCTGTCTCCTCCTCAACCTCTCGACATACAGCTTCCTGAGAACAGGTGGAAAATCACAGTTTGTTTCAAAACATTAGCAAAACTCTTTACGCCTTTGCAGAACAATTTTGTGATGAGATGAACTGGTTTACTAGATACATAACGCACTAAAAGGCACGTCATTGTAGCATATGGGGCTAAATTGCAGTGTACTGTACATGCTAAAATTGCATCAGAAGACTGCTAAATACTTGACATGCTATCTATTACATTTAGTAGTCATTGACAGTGTGACATTTTCATACAGGGTTCAGGAGCTTAACACAGTATAGCAAAGTGTCAAATCATTTACTAGTAATCTGTTCATGTTATATGTTCCAATGCAGGCCTACTCTCAGAGATTTAGTTGGGAAACCAAGATGCATACATGTATATTGAGTGCATAAAACTGGTGTATTACATTTTAAGGTGATGCAGACACAGAAACAAACAAAAAACGGCACCTGGAAGGTCTCATTGGGTTCTATCCTGCCTGCGGGGAGGTACCAGGTGCCCCGACATGACCTCTTGGCCTCCTGCATCATCAGCACCTGTCCCTGGTCGTTCAGCAGAACACCGCACACGATCCAGCCGGCGGTCTTCTTTGCTATCACATGTTCTTTGTCTGAATGGTAGAACAATTTATTGGTTGGCCACGCTGTCATGATCATGATGATCAAGACCAAATGAAAATGACTACAATCGGCTATAAATGATGACAGTTAAGAAAGCAGAATTTGGTGTCAGTTAGGGATGGTGAAGAACTCTGTACAATGCTTTTCTTTTCTCTCTATAATATTTGTTTTTATTTGGTAGGGAATTAAGAGTTTTAATAATAGGTTGTACGTAATACATTTGAAATAGCTTATTAATTTTAATACAACACTAGACCAGAACGTAACATCAGTTTTTCTGACCTGAGTCAGCCCCTATGGGGTCCACATCACACACAAACGGTCCTGGAGTCTCTCCACTCAGGATCCTCAGCAGGTCCGTCTCCGCTTCAGACATCACTCAGCAACTGGTGAAGGGAAAAGGCTTTAACTTTGAATTAGTAGTAGTAAATTTTCATTAAAATGTGTTGCTTAAGCATCTTCTGTAGGTATCATTACTAGGGAATGAACAACAACCAAGGAATCAGCAATACATTCATTAGTCATCAACTGAACGATCAGGCTGTGCTTTATAGCTATTATGTTACCCCAATATTTTCGAACGAATGGCAAACGAAAAGCCTGACGCCCCCCTCCCATACTGCACCAAAATAGACGAGTCGATCGAAAAATATGTAACGTTACCTTGTTGACAAGTGGCTATCTATACATGTATCTGCCGCTTTGTTTCGTCTATAGTGTAGCATGGGCTGCAAGCGAGGTAAAGCTGGTTTAGGGCATCTGTTCCAAACCGTTTTCCAGAGAGAATTTCGTCCTTCCAGCGTACCTCTGTGTTGTTTCCCTGTCACTTCCGCATACGTCATCATCTGGAGGTCAAGGGTTATCCTTTTTTCGCGGGAAATTAAAGTCGAACAGCGGTAACCTCCAAGGAGATGTGGGAGTGGAAGATTAGTAACGTTTCTGACAGCTAGGATCTCTGAAAGTTTAATATAATGAATGAATATCAGAAAAGCGCGGCCCTGAGAAAATTAATGTTTCGATCGTCCACCCAAAAATATGGAAAACTGATCTGAGCTAGTGTCATGAAAATTAAGTCGAGTCAAAATTGCGCAACAAGCTACGATGTACGGCAAATGACACTTAATATATAACTATAAACAATTTCTACTAGCTTTCTTATCCAACCTTATCATTCAACACATGTACATGTTATGATGGAATACTAACCTTCATATTGTTGTAACTGTGGTGCGCCCAGCGACGTGGCTCGTAACGGTTACCTCCAAGATGGTGAAGTGAATTGAAGTATGTTATTTCATCCAACCCCCGGTTCAAGAAAGGTTTCTATGCTGACTATAACTGCGCTAGGATCAAACTTTTACAGGGTATACATACATTCGCATTTTCTCGCTAGCCAACAAAGTACTGATTGCTTTGTTTTCTGATTCTCATTCATTATTAAATAGATCTAGAGGTTCCTTACTTGGTTTCTGCCCATAGTGTGTGCGAGATGACTTCACACAGTGACTCAAGATCGAGTCAGTTTAGCTATGGGTAATTAAGTTTTGTGCTTGAACCGTTAGCCTGAATCCTCTCACGAGAACGACAAAGGTGCTGTTGGTTTGACATTTGTAAACGATAAAATCAAATATTTGCACTAGCCGTACGCGTACCGTGACGTCATTGTTTGCGAGCCTGTTGCAAACTTGGCGTTGTGGGTGTCACAGCAGGTGAGTCTTAAAACTTTAAGTAACGACATTTCTGCCTCATATTTCCATGAATTCTATCCTATGATAAGTCATTGCATACCTCACAGCACTACGACTCAGTAAATGGTGACTTATTTTCCATGCTTTATTAACTTAAGCCAAGAATATGTTAGGACGACAAAGGCATGGCTGCCGGCAGTACTATAAAAATGGCGGTTACCCTACATATTTGATTTGTCTCTGAAGACTTGTATGCGTCCATCTGAAAAGAACGTAGCCATTTCAGAGCTTTGCGATCCTTTCAACAACCAACCAGTCATAACAGAAGAAGCTGTTTTATCTTTATCATTAATATAAGTTTGTAACAGTGAACTGGGTCGCAAGTCATGGCTGTGTGCAAAAGGCAAACATTCCGCCGTCGGCATGGCGTAGCCTCGTAAATATCAGTACCCGTGGAACTTTTCATCACATAGCGTCTGGTTAGACTACGCTGCAGGCTCTGGGCCAGTGGCAGGGCTATGTCTAGAAAAAGAGCGTAAAAAGTAACGTTATAGAATATGAACCCTGGAAAATATCAAAAGAAGCAGAATAGATCAACAGGACCTGTTCGGCGACTGGGCTGTGGCAGCAAGTAGTGTCCTGAATACTTCATTCGATAAGCTGGCTAAATTAAAATACATATGCGTTCGACTTCGAGCCAAAAACTGGAAACTTAGTATCATCTTTGGCCTAGCCTGTTATCACTCCAAAATCTCTTCATGGGCTTTAAGATTGACACTAAAAGATACGTGTAACATCAATTCAATTGTATGGGAACTACATCAGTGCCTCATAGTATATGTCATACCTTGTAACAATGCCAAATGGCTGGGAGCGAGCCGGTAATTCTCATTCAAACGTCGTCACGCACACAGAATACAGTTAGGGTAATGATTAATCCGCACATTCCAAACTTAGTACGTAACGTCCATACGCCACGATACGCCTATCGGAATACCATTACATGTCACTTAGGAGAAAATATGGGACAGCCATTACCGTGAATATGCAAGTACATGTGACCCCTCCTCTGCAAAAAGTACAACTTCACACATCCTATAAATACTCCCTTAAAAATGCTCCACATTGCCGCATTACTACGGAACTGAATAGTATTCCGTGTACGTGTATACACTCCTTAATTGTATTGTTTTGTTCCTATGTGACATTTTTCACACAACTTGTACCGCTGATAATTTTTCTTCCTGCGTCTCCAGGTTAACTATGGCGTACCGTCCATTGCCATACACACGGAGAACACAGACCGTGTCTGAAGTACTGCGCCTCAATAGTCATGACTTGGATCGTATCAGGGTAAGACGAAATTAAGTCCGTCACTGTTCTTAAGTGTAAACATAGTCTGACATTCGTAGATGCTAGTGATAGATTTAAAGTGGGAAGCTGCATGAACGTGAAAACTTGCAGAGCTAGTGTCTAGCAATATTTGATGCTTCCGTTTCCCTGTGATTGTGTAATGTAGGGTCACATAGCAGCAAGGCCCAGAGTTAGTTCAGGGTCTAACTGAGGAGGGGGGGGGGTAGTTTCCTTGGGAACATATTGGCTCGTGTATCTAATATCTAAAGCCTTGGCAACCGTCTGGCACTCAGGCTAGCTACGTTTCACTGTCCTTTGTAATGGTAGGCCAAATAACTGACCTTTTTTTTCATTTTTGACAGACGAACTACACGTACAGCAGCAAGACGAGGGAGGAAACCGCTCACGCCATCTCCAGGTTCCCGACTCTTGAAGCAGCTGTGGGAGAAGGTAATACACGGCATTGTGATCAGTAAAAATCATGGTTAACTTGTATAGATATTCAGCCTTTCAATCTATACATGCAGAGGGTAACAGCGACATACACAAGTGGCAGCAAGTTATCCTCTGTCATATATCCACATCATGTGTGCTGTGTGTTCTCTTGTAGTCATGCCGTCGTGCCCATAGGCATGTTTGGTAAACATGTCATATGATAATTATGATACTGTGAGGGTAACTTGAAACATAAAGGAAAGAGTTACAAAGGTAGGAAACTACAACCAGAAATACTTTCTTGTGCAGGTCTGGCGGAAGCCGGCCACATCGGGTCTACTGTCCGCCTTTGCTTGGAGGGTGCTGTACCTATCAGGCATAACGGTACGTGTATGACAATCTCAACAAAAGAAAAACTAACGTTTGTACACATGGGTCCACTATACCATGAAATTAAGGGCACTGCGTGTACCAATATCTCATGATGTTAGTAACAATTTTTCCAATGATAAAAAGACATGTTTCAGATCATTTCTGTGCAATTTCCAGGCATGATGAACACCGGGCATGCAGGTTTAGTTCTCAGGCACTACATGACCGTGTTTTCCTTTCCCCACAACGCAGGCAAGCATTACGGGATCCCGATGGTGTTTGTCCTCCCACGGAAGTTTCCGCACGACCCTCCCACCTGTCTGGTCCGGCCGGCGTGTACCGACACGGGCACGGCACCCATCCGGGAGAGCCAGGTGTGTCTGTGTGTGGAGACCAGCGGGAAGATTACCTTCCCATACCTGGAGGACTGGAACTACGTGAGTTTTGTTTTAGCGACAATTCCTATAACATGCTTGACCATGTTTCAAGGGATAGTCTCGCTTCTCAGTTACTAAGATGAAAAGAGCCGTACTAGATGATACTGTACTATTCATTTTATTGATTTGGAAATGCTCCTTTTCAATTATAAAAGAAGCAGAAGTAGAAGTAGCCAGCTCGTGACCTAGCAGTACATGCAGTTAAAAATCTAAATCAGATATAGATCATTTTGCCCTGAATTGTTGCTACATGTATTGAAAGTAAATGTATGTTATTTTTCTAATCAAATTGGCAAATCAGTGATCTTACCTTAGATACTTTACGTTATATCATAACTTGGGTTATCATCAACATTTTTGCCTGCATTCCAGCGCACGTCCAACCTGACTACCCTGATAGAGATTATTACAGCACATTTCGGAGAACGTCCGCCAGTTACTGACGAAGTGCTCGCCAGTCTGGAGGTCAAGAAAGGAAGTTCCCCAGGTACTCAGATACTTAATAAAACGCCTGATTCTATCAGCAACATTTCGTCATCTACCATATACATGTACATGTACGAACACATTGACAAGTATGTGGCATGTTATAAGTTCCTCCACCCACCTTATACATGTAAGAGTTGATCCGTCATTGAATGTGGAGATGATATGAGAGTCACAGTGAACATCTTTCATAACACCCTTTGTAACGTTTGCTCTGTCGTATTTTGACAGCAGGTCTGCCGTCCCCACAGCCACTCAGAAGGACCAGATATACCTCTCTTCCTTCGGGCCTCTACGGGTGGGTTTGTAGTCAATATGTGTGTGTTCCTAGATGTCCAAGTTCTTCTAATGTGTAGTTTTCTAAGGTTAAGAATAGGATATCTGCAATAGGAACAGGATCCGTTATGGAAAATTATTCTCTTCCATTCCAACACAAAATATGGACTCACCAAACTATATGTCAGGTCTTAACGATGTGCCAACACAGATTAGCTTTCACGCTAACAACAGGATGCTTTCTAGTGATTATCTATTGGCATGTACACAGGATTGGCGACATATTCGAAGAGCCTGCAGAGGAGGCGAGCAAAAAGACAAAGGAGGACGAAGAGAACAAAACAACGGTTGAAGAAAAGGCAACAAAAGTGGAAACGACTGAAGTCTTTGTGCACGTGGTTTGTGAAACCGGGCAAGGCCTGGGAGCAACACAGAAACCAGACGAGAACAGACAGTCAAAGACAGAGGAAAACGTAGACGCGTCAACCAGAGATGACAAGATGACGAACGATGAGAGAACAGATGACAACAAGGATCAGAATGTTCCCAAAACAGCCGATGAAAAGGAAGAGAAAACAAGTGAAGATGTCACAGCACCTCTCCTCACCAAAGTAGAAGTCCAGACAACAAGGCAAAATAGGAAAGATTTCGAAACACCGAAAGGCAAAAACGGCTCGAAGGAAGTGAAGTCAGAAAAACGGAGAAAGCGAGAAGCAAACATGCATGCTAGTTTCCGTGGTGAGTGTCTTACTCTCCTCGTATCAATATGATGTTCAAAACTATCACTATACAGTAAGGTGTATAAAATGCACATAAATACCATAATCTGCAGAGATTTATGATATCTACATTCGTCATCATATTCATATTTCTACATTCGTACATAATGGAAAACTGAAAGAAACTGCTTAATAATATATTTTCTCACATTACTTCATCTTTTGTTTCTTTTCCGTCAGATGAAGACGACATGGAGGAGGAATCCACAGGCTGTTTCCCACGAAAAAGTTCCGCACGGCGGCTGAAGAGCACATCGCCACCTAAGCACGGTAAGAATTCGATTTGTTTTTTTAAATCACGAACGTCCATCTAGGAAAATAAACGGTCGTAGACTACTATAATACTGTACAGAAACTAAAGAGTGCAGTTTCTTTCATGGGAATGTATATGTATCTATACAGCCGGTATAACTGCCCCTCGGCATAATCATGGAGCTTCCTCTTTGAACCTCCTTGGCATAACACACCAGCTTCAATGAACAACTTTGCGAGATATTATTAGTTTTCTTACCAGCATTTGGAGTGTTCCATAACAAACAAGACGCATAGCAGAAGCTCGATGTATTGCAAAAAAAAAAAGATGCACAAAGGATTATAAATGTTATAAATGCTTTGTTTAACTTTTCAGGTCCAACAGAAAGTGGTACGAGGGTCAGTCATAAGGATCTGAAAAAGCTTTCCCGGAACTTGGGAGATGAGTGGCAACAACTAGCCATCAGCCTGGGTTCCACCCCAGCCGACGTGCACAGGTACAGGGACAAGCACAACAGACAGCGGAAACAGGTCTTCTGTATGCTGGACGACTGGAGAGACAGGGCCGGGGACAGAGCAACTAGAGAAAATCTTTGCAATGTTTTGAAAAAGCTAAATGTTGAAGTTGATAAGTATGCCTTTCTTATGTAAGAGACGCATCATGTTTGTCTTGTGTTGTGTATCAGATATTGTAGATTATACTCTCTTAAAAAAAGTTTTTTTTAATTTTTTCTGCACCATTGTCGCATGAAAGTACCAATAGTATTGTAATGAAATCCACAATTCAGCAAAATGGCTGCGAGTGATTTTAACCTGAATAAACCATTCCTCCATTCATTCATGAAAATAAAATACACCATAATTGCAGTTCTGTGTATTTTGAAGGCATTTGAAGTACTAGTAACTTTCTGTCGATAAGGACAAAATAATATGGGAAGGAAAGGGAAAGGATGTTTGAGACAGTGCCCTTCCCTTGTGAAACGTGTTCCAGATACCGTTCTATTCCTTTGTATAAGTTGTTAATTAGAGTTCAGTTCTAATGCCTTTTGTACGTGTGTTTGATGTGTTGGGTGGCATGATTACTTGCAATGCGCGCGCCGGTGATCCACTGTATTGTTCAGTTGTAAATAGAGTCAATAAATAATTAAATGTTTGAGGTGGCGTGTATTTCTGATTGTCTATTGTGTATGGGTATGTCAATCTTATCTAAATCTGATTAAAAAGAGTATAACTGAAACGTTCAAATACATGTGTTCTTTGTGACGCAAGAGTTGTCAAGTAGAACTACTTGTTGTCAAGGTGAGTCAGCTGCGTAATGCTACTTTGCACCTCAAATTAAAGACTTCAGGGTGTGATTTGGTCCGTCCCTAATGTGACGTCATACTTTTATTTTCTTGTAACTCACCATATCACCGAAACTTTTTGACATAAAGGGAGAAATGGGTTGTACAGATAGGTTGTAGCTATCATAGTGATTCAGAAATGCACCACAAGAGAGTAGCTTTCATCGAGTTGGCCCAACGTAACATGTTAAAACTCCGGCGCCTTGATATCTTCAGTTGACGCACGGGAATCCCCGCGGAGTGATATGTACACCGCGCGGCGAAAGCGGAACCATAAAGCACCTGTTCCCAAAGGTGTGTGGTGGCTCTGAGCGTCCGTCCTAATGGTGCCGACACCCACCCTCCGTTTCCATGAATATGTAAGGTAATTGTTCCGTAATAACTTTGTGTTATGTTACATTCTCTATTAAGGGCTACAGTTTTAGTATGAGCAATCGTTTTAAACTCAAACTATCCACCCTAAAATGTTTAGAAACTTGACCATGCACTGCACTTTTGCACCTTTGTTCAACATGGCGGACATATTTTCTCGATCTTTTCGCAGTTGTGTCGATGCCAGTTCACGACGAGCTACCAATCGTTACCCACAGTAACAGCCATATACAGCACTATTAAGTGAAAATACGTCATGTAATGTGTTTAAGTCACCAGTTGTACTTACTCAGTTTACCTCCAAGCACACAGTTTGAGAAAGTTTGGGACAACGCCATGGTTATTTTTAGATCAAACCATATGACGTCACCTGGCCAGGGTCGCATTACACAGTCTTTCTTCTTGCCTCCCAGGGCGATAGTAGTTTGGGTAAAAAGTAGTGCGAAAAGAAATATTTAAGACTTATGCTGTGTATCCTGTGTTATGGAAATACCGGGGGTGGGGGGCTACATCAATTTCACATCCACATAGCCTAGCGGCGACCAATGGGTGACCAGCATTCCGCGCCACGCCCACTTTGCGGTCGATTCCATTCGACAATGGGGTTGAACAGCATCCTTCCGTATGGCGCGGCAGGTAATCGTAGTTGGAAATGTCAGATAAACAATGTAAGAATTGGTGTATTTGGGGTGAAAATAATGCAAGTACCGAAGTTACGGGTTCCTTTCTCAGCACTCGGTATACAGAGTTGAGGTGGCTTCCGTCCTAGATCTCCAGTGCCGAAGGTACGTCAACACTTGGTGTGTCGGCGGCTTCAGCACTGGAAACTCGGAATCGGCAAATCAAACCTTGTCTTTAAAAAGGGTATCGAGATGCTGCCACTCATATTTTCGAGATCATACCGCCTGGGTAACAAAGTTTAATCGGGACAAGGTTATCGGCAGGACACGACTGCAAGGCCTCTTTTCTTACATTTTCACAGACAAAGACTTGGCCTAAGATACTGTTTTGTACGCCGCGCGGCCGACGTAAGCACCAGAAGCCCAGTGCCGAAATGGTTTAACTCGGCTCGGTAGTTATTTTGCTCCAACTATTCAAAGACACAGAATTCAGAAAACAATTTACAAATGTATCTTTTGAACAAGTTTGATAAACATCTTTTTCAACCATATCTTGCTAAAGCGCGGGTTGTGGGTGTGGCCGAAACGCTGTGGCTATATACACACCAGGTGTGTATATAAAAGACAAATAGATTTTATATAACAGTTACCATGGAGGTAGAAAAATTCTCTCTTTTACCTCCATGCAGTTACACACCGAAATACTAGCCTCCTTGATAGGCCCAATACCTGGGTTTTTGTGAGTGTTTGACGATTCAGGGGCACCAAGTTTAAACCTCGGTCTTCAAGTTTATCTTAGTGGATGATGAAAATCAGAAAACAACACGGAAATCCCCACCGAAGTTCGAAAACACAGGGACTCGGCGGTCAGAGATCCGGCGTCGGTCGTGAGAGTGCGGGACCGTTCCCGATGGGGACGGCTCGGGCGTTGAAGGGAAGCAACGGTCAGGTGTGGCCGGGAGTTCTGCGCTCAGGCTCCCGAGGGTTCGCGGCCAGCTCTACGGCGCGTTCCCGCCTTACGGCAGCGACGGACTCGGGCGGTGCGGCCGCTCGTCTCTGTGCGGACGGTCGAGCGGAGAGCGGACCGCCCCGCTTGCGCGGGGCCCGGGACCCTCCGCTCCCGGCGGCGGCGGCGAGACCGGTCGCCCGCCCCTGGCGTCCTCGCTATCTGGTTGATCCTGCCAGTAGTCATATGCTTGTCTCAAAGATTAAGCCATGCACGTGCAAGTTTAAACTGTCTCAGTGAAACTGCGAATGGCTCATTAAATCAGTTATGGTTCCTTTGATCGTCACATCCTACATGGATAACTGTGGTAATTCTAGAGCTAATACTAGTACATGCGGAAGAAGCGCCGACCTCACGGTCTGGCGTGCATTTATCAGACCAAGACCAACCCGGGGTTCGCCCTGGTCCCTAGTTTGGTGACTGTGGATAACCCACCGGCGACAGATCATTCGAATGTCTGCCCTATCAACTTTCCGGTTATGTATATAAAAGACAAATAGATTTTATATACACACCGGGTATGTATATAAAAGACAAATAGATTTTATATACACACCGGGTGTGCATATAAAAGACAAATAGATTTTATATACACACCGGGTGTGCATATAAAAGACAAATAGATTTTATATACAAACCGGGTGTGTATATAAAAGAGATTTTATATACACACCGGGTGTGTATATAGCCACGTTCTGGCCGAAATGCTCAGGTAGCATACTGGTCATTGTTACCTTCATTACAAATGGAGATATTGTTTTCTCTCTGTAACCAGCTGCCAGGATAGCCCAAGGTTATTTGGAAGCCTTTTAGGTGCATGCCCTATACTCCAGACATGTGTTTCTTGTGTTTTTGCATATTGCAAGGAGGTTGATTTTAAACCTCCTTGGCATAACTTATAATAATAATAATAATAATATTAAAAAAATGTAAAAGGATTGACAGTAATGATATTATGAAATGTGGGTAGGTCTATGAATGTCATTTGTTTAATTGTTACATGTATATGATGAAATGTTAAAAGGAATCCTGTGAATGAATAGGACTTTCATGCATACATTGGTATGTTGGTAGGTCTTGGGAAGACAAACGTCAAGGTCAATCATGGGCCTCCAAGCAGCTTTCTTTAGTACTGCAGCAGAACTTCCAGTTTTTGTCTTTTGTCCTGGGCATGTTGTGCTTTAATTTTGGGTGGTAAATAGCTTAATGTCATGTGAGGAAAATGTGGTGTAGGTTTGGCCTGCCTGGCATCTTGTTCTGAAACTGCAGGGGTGGTTAAGCTAAAATCTTTCATTGTTCTGATAACATCCAATGACTATTTCATTGAAATCCACAGTTAAAAGCAAAATGGGGGTGGACTTGTCCACCTACCGAGCTCGGATCGGCTGTTTCCAGAACCCGACTGCCAGGTGTGCACGATGTCGGTCCCAGGCATCAGCACTGCTGCTGGGGGTCATCCTGGCAAAGCTTTGGAACAAAGTGATGGGACGTGGGCCAGGGAAACTTGTCAGGTAAGAACTGCCCATTAGCTTTACTTTTATTTATTATGATATTATTAATGTCATGTGCACATATATATATATATATGTGATATAGAATATCATGTGTAGGTGATGTTGTGTTACGTGTGTTACGCCAAAGGGCGGTTATACCGGGCCCGGCTATACTGATACAGGTACAGATACAGATGTGCATTGGTGGACACTGCAATTTGTATTTTCAGATGCTGCTATGTAATGATGTCATGTCTGCTGGCCTGGTTCCTGGCATGTAAACTTCTGCTGCAGGCAGGAGACATTGAGCAAAACCCTGGCCCTACATTAAGGTTTGTAAAATATAGTTTTTATAGATATACCTATTAAGAGGGTCTTAAACTCTTAATGCAGTAACGATTCGGGTCATGAAATTGTTGAGGACAAAAAAATGGACACTTCATTCAAATGCTGAATCAGATGTTCCTTGATGCATTCAATTTGTTTGGTATACAAATCATTAATGTACAATGGATACTCTATACAGGTCTTTAGTATATTGTTGGATCCTGATGTCTCCATACCTTGTACCTACAGAGAAACAGACCCTGACACACATGAGGTAGAGGAGCAAAGTTTGACACCCAGACAAAATGATGATGATCTCCTTGAGCTAGACCTATCTGGGAGGAATATGTCACATGTGCCAAACAAGGCATTCCAGCAAAATGACCTACAGGTCCTCAATCTCCAACGTAACAGTATCAAAGTCATACCTACAGACATAGGTATGTTGTTTCAGCTTAGACATTTGGACATCAGTTGCAACAAACTTTCCCACCTACCTGACTCTATCTCATCTTTATCAAATCTCGAAGAACTGAACATATCGGAGAACAAAATACACGAGTTTCCAAAAGGAATGGAAAACATGCAGGCACTGAAAGTGTTAATCTATCGAAACAATGCCCTTGTCACCATACCTGAGCAGGTCTTTTCCTTCCCAGGTATTGAGGAGCTTGATGTTTCAGATAACGAGCTGTCAGAAGTGTCACCATTGATAGGGAATCTGTTGTCACTAAAGGTGCTCAATCTTAGGTGGAACCAGTCTCTCCAAATCCTACCTCAGGAACTTTGCCAGTTGTCTAATCTAGAGGAGATAAACTTGTCAGTTTGTGACCTTGGTTGTTTGCCAGATGATATTGGTAAACTCAGGAAGCTGAAAACTATCAAATTAAGTTGTAATAGAATTTCATCACTGCCAGCATCAGTTTTTCAGAGTCTTGTCAACCTAGAGGAATTGGATCTTTGTGAAAATTCAATTACAGAAATTCCAGAAAGCATTTCAACCCTGAAGAAGTTAACATCTCTTAAAGTAGCTGGCAACCAACTTACAAAGCTCCCCACATCTATTGTAGAGCTTACAGAACTACAATCATTAGATATATCGTATAATTCCATTCTTGGCTTGCCTGGCAATTTTGAAGACTTAGTTCACATTACTATCTTTAACTTGAAGCACAACAAAATCTCACTTGTGCCATTTTTGAAATGTGATGCTTTCCATGCACTCCAAGAAATACATCTCACAGGTAACCCAATCCAGCTGTCTGAATCACAACTGGTGTCAGACTTTTGTAAAAGAAGAAGAGTTACTGTTTGTGTAGATCACAGACAGTATGTACAACTGATAAAGCAAAACCATAGCTATGGAATGATGGGGAAAGTTATCATTCTCTGGGAACAAGGCAATGAAGTTAATGCTTCCAGATACAACTCTTTTAATTATATTAATCTGTCAAATCAGAGATTAAAGACAGTACCTTACAGTTTAGATATTCATGACCCATTGAAAATACTGCTGAGTCATAACAGGATTGAAACATTTCCAGTCAGCCCTCCTGTTATGGGATGTTCCAAATTAACACACCTTGACCTCAGTCACAACCTGTTATCAGCCCTTCGAGAAGAAATACGTCTTCTTTCAAATCTGAGGAATCTCAATGTGTCCCATAACAAACTTCAATCCATTCCTCCAGGTGTATATGAATTACTTTCATTAACAGTTTTTGACATGTCACACAATTTTGTCCAACAGCTACCTCCAACGAAATTCCCAAGTTTGGAGTGGTTGGACTTGTCTTCCAATAAGTTCCAAACTGTGCCAGACAGTATTTTACAAACACAAAGTATCACATACCTAAATCTGTTAGGAAATGATATTTCATCCCTCCCTGCTGATATAGTCAGACTAACAAATCTTGATACTCTCTGTTATGATATAAGAAGGCTACAGAATCTGAGCCATGTGCCATTTGAGTTGAAGACCATGCCCTGGGGCATTGAATGGACTGTTAACTGTAACGATATGCCTAATAGTACTTCTGCTGGGAATAAAATTCATTTCATTGTAAGACCAAAGGTAGGATATTTGCAAGTCAAAACAAATACAAAAGAAGTGAGTGAATGTGGGGTCTATGAGCATTTACAGTATGAACTCAACAGCACTATCAATTGCTTTGAGGATACCCTTAGGGAGGTGAACCTGTCAAACTGCAATATTCAGTCTTTACCAGAGCAGATGTCTTTCCTTTCAAAGTTAACAAAACTTGATGTCAGTAATAACAGGTTGTCAAGTTTTCCTATTACATTACCAGGTTTGCAAAGTCTACAAGTTCTGAATGTTTCAAATTGTAGTCTTACTGTACTACCAGAGTCAATAGGAGACAACCTTCCCTCTCTTACAAGCTTGGACATATCCAGAAACAACCTCAAGACTCTGCCAAACTCCTTATCTAACCTGCCTAGATTAGAAATATTGTCCCTACAGTACTGTGGTTGTCATCAGGTAGAATTTCTGGCAAATCTGACATCATTAAGATATGTTAATGTGGACCTTGCTCAGCTTATCAGTATTCGTGTATGTTGTTTGGATCAATTATCTGCAGCAGGAACCACCGTCAGTCTGGTACAGAGGAATATGTGGACTGACACTGTGATATCCATTAATGAACTTAGAGGATCTGACCTTCACATTACTCCATCCTGTGTGAAATCGTATCCTTTTCATGAAAAACAAACCCAGCCCTTGACTTCCATCAGCATCAGTGGCATTGATGATCCAGATATTCTTTATAGTTTGTTATCCACTATCTGCACACAAAACCTACAAGCTCTCAACATAGTGAACTGCAGTCTTACTGCACTGCCAGCTTCATTGGGAGACCTTCAATCACTGACCAGCTTGGACATATCTGAGAACCCCCTTAAGACCCTTCCCAGTATCATATTACACATGTCCACATTAGAAGTACTTAATGTGTCAAACTGCAGTCTTACTGCATTGCCAGATTCACTGGGAGATGTTCAGTCACTTACAGACGTAGACATATCTGGAAATTCTCTTAATACCATTCCCAGTACCATATTACATATTATGTCCATATTAAAAGTTCTGAGTGTTTCAAATTGTAGTCTTACTGTACTACCAGATTCAATAGGAGACAACCTTCCCTATCTTACAAGCTTGGACATATCCAGAAACAACCTCAAGACTCTGCCAAACTCCTTATCTAACCTGTCTAGATTAGAAACATTGTCCCTACAGTACTGTGGCTGTCATCAGGTAGGATTTCTGTCAAATCTGGCATCATTGAGACATGTGAAGGTGGACCTTGCTCAGCTTATCAGTATTTGTGTGTGTTGTTTGGATCAATTATCTGCAGCAGGAACCACCATCAGTCTGATACAGAGGGATAGGGGGACTGAAACTGTGATATCCATTGATGAACTTAGAGGGTCTGACCTTCACATTACTCCATACAGTGTTATATCATATCCCTCTCATGAAAAACATTCCCAGCCTTTGACTTCCATCAGCATCAGTGACATTGATGATCCAGATATTCTTAATGGTTCATTATCCATTCTGTGCACGCAAAATCTACAGGCTCTCAAAGTAGCAAACTGTAGTATTACTGCATTGCCAGATTCACTGGGAGACCTTCAGTCACTGACCAGCTTGGACATATCTGGCAACCCCCTTAAGACCCCTTCCATCACCATGTTACATTTACCTATGCCGAAATCACATAATTATATCACAGATATGATGTTACCAGAATCACTGGCCAAATTGTTATCACTGCAGAGACTGACAATTTCCCACTGTGGTTGGTATCAAATGGTATTTCTTTCTGAACTTAAGCAGTTGGAATACCTCAAAGTAGACTTTTGGCAGCTGGTGTCTATTCAACAACAGACAGCTGAACAGTTACCAGACCATTTACAAATTGAGTGTGAAGATAATGTATGCAGGATTGCATTAGAGGATTTGCAACACAGTGTTGTAAAACTGCAATGCTATAATAAACTACATTGCCTAACTAACCCTGCAGGTGACTTTCAATACAATGGAGACATCACCAAAATGTATGTGAGTGGAAGCAAATTTGTTTCACTCAACACTTTATGTGTCATTAATACCCTACAGGAGCTTATCATAACCAACTGTGAAATTAGTGACTTCATTGACTGTAACAAATTAAAGTTACCAGCAAATCTGACTAGACTACATGTAGATATGAGTTCAACTTTCATCAATGTACATGTATTTGGTAATAAGTATGAATTCCCCCTATCCATCTGTCAGCAAAGTGCACTTCAGGAACTTAAAATGTCTCACTGCAGCATACATCGTGTGTCAGAAGACATTGCACTGCTGGTAAATTTGACCCATCTTGATCTCAGCAGAAACTGGATTGAAGACCTTCCTGATGAAATATGCAACATGACCTCACTTAAATGGCTTTGCCTGCGAAACAATGAGTTATTCAGATTACCAGAGAGGATTGGCAACCTACTCTCTTTGGAATACCTTGATGTATCAGTCAACAAACTTCATGCCATACCTAATTCCTTCAAATTGTTGACTTGTATGAATAAGTTGAAACTCTTCCACTGTGGTTGCTATCAGTTGGACTTGCTTTCTGAGCTCAAACAGTTGACAGAACTAACAGTAGACTTTTGGCAGCTGGTCTCTGTTCAAGAGCAGACAGCTCACCAGTTACCAGATTTGGCACAGATGAAGGTTATTTACTTTGATCATGACAAGTGTCTTGATATATCTTGTTACTTTGAAGAAGATGATGCTATAGAATCTGTCGGAATTCCATTGGATAAGTTGCAATGCGGTATCATAGAACTGCAAGGCCAACAAAACTTTTTTATTCCAAGTCCTCCAAGTGACTTCAACTACAGTGGAAACATCATAAAGATGGACCTGAGTGGAAGCAGCTTTGTTGAGCCCACTCTCAAAATAGGATTTATTCACACACTTCAGGAACTGACTGTTGTAAACTGTGACCTTGACCTCACATCCGATAAAATAAACCTACCTGCTAATCTGACCACACTAGATGTGAGTGGTAATCATGGTCACCTTGGATGCATTGGTCAGCAAAATGCACTTCAGAAGCTCAAAATGTCTAACTGCAGCATACATCGTGTGTCAGAAGACATTGGACTGCTGGTAAATTTGACCCATCTTGATCTCAGAAGAAACTGGATTGAAGACCTTCCTGATGGAATATGCAACATAACCTCACTTAAATGGCTTAGCCTGCGAGACAATGAGCTATCCAGATTACCAGACAGGATTGGCAACCTACTCCCATTGGAATACCTTGATATATCACTTAACAAAGTTACTTCTATGCCTGACTCATTCAGACAGTTGGAGTCTATTAATGAGCTGAAATTGGTTCACTGTGGCTGTTATCAGTTGGACTTTCTTTCTGAACTGAAACATCTGAAATACCTAACCGTAGACTTTTGGCAGCTGGTCTCTATTCAATGGCAGACAGCTAGCCAGTTACATGATTGTCTACAAATAAAATCTGTCTACTTAAATTATGAGACATGTCATAAACACTGCACAGATGGAAAGGATATACCAACAGTGGTAGTTGACCTAGAGGAGTTACAGCATGGTGATATAAACCTACAATACTGTCATGACCTGTTTTTCCCAAGTCCCCCTGATACCTTTAAGCACAAATATTGTGGTGATGTCATTAAGATGGATCTTAGTGGAAGCAACTTTAGAAACAAAACACTCAAAATAGGTTTCAGTGACTGTCATACCTTACTTGAGCTGAAGGTTGTCTTCTGCAATGTTAATGACAGAGGTCTTGAAACAGAGCTACTACATAATTTGATTCAGCTAGATATCAGTCGTAATGAAAGTAGGTATTATAATCAGGATTTTCCAGAATTCATCTTTACCCAAGATTCACTTCGGGAGCTAAACATGTCTAACTGCAAACTAAAATATGTGACAGAAAAGATAGGACAGCTGGTAAGTTTGACCCACCTTGATCTTAGCAAAAACAACATCAGATACCTTCCTGATGAATTGTGTAGCATTAGCTCACTTAGATGGCTTTCACTACAAAATAATGAGTTATCCGGCTTACCAGTGGGGATTGGCAGCCTACTCTCTTTGGAGTATCTTAATGTAACATTCAACAGAATTACCAATTTACCCCTGTCATTTAGACAGTTGAGTTCTATGAATGAGCTGAAATTGTCCCACTGTGGTTGCTACCAGGTGGATTTTCTTTCCGAATTTAAACAGTTAAAGGACCTGACTGTAGACTTTTGGCAACTGGTCTCAATTCCAAGACAGACAGCTGTTCAGTTACCAGAATTTCTGCAAATCAGAACAATATTTTTGGATCATAAGACATGTCCCAATTTATACTATATGAATGAAAACTCAATAACATCAGCAATGGTTGCCCTGGAAGATTTGCAATGTGGTCTTGTAAAGCCTAAATACTGCCATGCCCTGTCCATTCCAAGCCCTCCTGCTGACTTCAACTACAGTGGAAACATCATTAAGATGGACCTGAGTGGAAGCAGCTTTGTTGAGCCCACTCTCAAAATAGGATATATTCACACACTTCAGGAACTGACTGTTGTAAACTGTGACCTTGACCTCACATCCAATGAAATAGAACTACCTGCTAATCTGACCAAACTAGATGTGAGTGGTAATCATGGTCACCTCCGATGCATTGGTCAGCAAAATGCACTTCAGAAGCTCAGTGCGTCTTCCTGCGCGCTATGTTGGCTCACAGTAGAAATCGATCTGCTACAAAAATTAACCCACCTTGATCTTTGCAAAAACAATATTGAGTACCTTCCTGATGAACTGTGTAACATTACCTCTCTTATATGGCTGTCACTACAAGACAATAAGTTATCTTGCTTACCATTGAGGATTGGCAATTTAGTCTCTTTGGAATACCTTGATGTGTCATTTAACAAACTTGCTTCTATACCTGACTCATTCAGGCGGTTGAGTTCTATGACTGAACTAAAATTGTCACAATGTGGTTGCTGTCATTTGGCATTTTTGAATGAATTGAATTTCACAGAGACCAAAATTATATTACAATTAGACTTTTGGCAGTTGCTGTCAATTGATCAACACACCCTCATGCAGTGGCCTGGGTTGCTCAAGATTTCCATGAATTCAGTGAATTCTACTGTAATAGTTGATCTAGAAGGATTAAAGCAAGGTCAACTTAGCTTCCAAGACCTTAACATCAACAGCTTCTCAACTCCACCTCAGTCCTTCATCCATGGGCTTGGCAGGTCTTTCGTAGATCATGGCTATAACATACAAGTGCCACCATCAGTACATTTGGGTGCTAGCTCTAGCCAAGCACAAGTGTCAAGTTACTTCCTAGATGTAGTCAGCTACCTTGATCTTTCACACAACAAACTGAGAGAGATCCCTGATGCTTTGTCTTTACTTGGTAATCTCACCCATTTAGATATCAGCAACAATATCATTACAGCTTTGCCAAGGAGCCTGCTTGCACTGGAAAAAATTGAGTCCTTTTATGTCAACAGAAACAATATTATCAGGGAAGGCTTTGTTGACTTAGCATCTTTTAGGAATCTCAAGTATGTGAAGTTTGATCTTACAAATTACCCTCCTTTGGGCAGCCTACCAGCAAGTTTGATCTTTGTTACCATCACTTTGTGTGACAGTCAATCACACCACGTTGCTGATATAGATTGGGATATTCAAATATCACAGCAACCACACAAGTATTTTGACTTTGTTGTGAGGTCTTTGCAAGGCAGAACACCTGGTGAAGTTGCATTATCTGACAGTGACATGCATGCAATTTCTCCTATCATTCTTGACCTACCATGGACACAGAGGCCCTGGAAAGGAAATGTAATTTCTCTTCTCCTGTCAGGCAACAATTTGTCTGTAATTCCCCATGATACTTCAAAGTTGTTACATCTCCAACATCTGGATTTAAGTAGAAATAAAATCAGCTTCATACCAGCTAATATTTGGAAGTTATCAAACCTTAAATGTCTTGACATCAGTTTTAATAGGGTGCAAGAAATATCAGATGAAATCTTATTTGCCAAAAGATTGACAACTTTGTTTGTACAAGGTAATAAGTTAGTTGAATTACCACAAAGTATTTCTAACTTAAAGATGCTAGAGGAACTCTGTGTTTTTGCAAATGACGTAGATGTCAGCAGAACCCCAAATTTGTTCTCTATGATGGATTGTAAACACCTCAAAGTTGACATTGTGAATGCTGTAAGGTGTCAAAAACCTCCAAGGTACAATGAAAGTTTGCTTGTCCACTGCTACTATCAAGACGTGGATGTTATTGTAGTCTCAGCTAAGATACTGTTTGAGCACATGGTTGAAATTTCAAACATAAGTGTGTCACTGCAAACAAATGACAAGCAACAACAGCTTTCCTTGAACCTAGCAGGCTTTGGCCTAACAGCATATCCAAGCTCAGTTGTTTCTCAACTCAATGTTAAAGCTATAGATTTATCACAAAATAAAATAAGGGCTGTTCCAGAGCAGGTTTGTAAGCTCCAGAAAGAGCTTAACTATTTGAACCTTTCAGATAACAGCCTTAAAGGTTTACCACTATCCATTGGCCATCTTCAACAACTTGAGCAGTTGATTTTAGAATATAACCAAATCAACCAGCTTCCAGAGAGTATTGGTGTTTTACAAAACCTTTCTGTACTAAAACTCACTGCAAACTGCTTAAGAGAAGTTCCAAGATCTCTAAGTGACATGCTTGGTTTGAAAGAAATTGACTTGTCAAACAACAGCCTTGAGAGTATTCCTGAAATGATAGGAACATTGAAAAACCTTACATCTCTTGACATAAGTGGAAACAGCTTGTCCATTTTGCCATCATCTATTTGCAGTTGTCACTCACTAGAAACCATGAAATTGTCTAGTAACATGTTGTCTCAGTTACCAGACACCATTGACCAGTTGGAAAGTCTGTCTTTACTGCAAGCTAGTATGAACATACTTACTGTAATACCGCCATCTATCTGTAGTCTTAAGCATTTGAAAACCCTTGATGTCTCTTGGAACAGTATTACAGAGCTTCCAAGGAATCTTGGACACCTTTCAAGCTTGACTGTCCTGAAGGTGGAAAACAACCATCTTAGGGAACTGCCTGAATCCTTCACAGGACTGGTCAACCTGACGTCACTCAATGTTTCATCAAACAGCTTAAAAGCACTTCCAGATGAAATATTTGAGTTTGTGAAACTCACTGAGTTGCACATTGCTGATAACCAAATTGACACTCTACCAAACACCATCTGCGAGCTGCAAAAGTTAGAGTATTTAAGCCTTGAGAATAACAAACTTACAGTGTTACCTAACCAGTTTGGTCAACTAGAAAAATTGCATCACTTTGGCAAGGCCCAGATACAGGGTAATCCTATAGAACAGCCCCCAATTGAAGTGTTTGAACAAGGACTAGAAGGAGTTGTAGCATACTTTGAAGAGCTCAAACTATCCAAAGCTATTGAAGTGCCACGTGTCAAGGCCCTTTTGCTTGGTGAGGTAGAAGCTGGAAAAACAAGTTTGTGTAATGCCATCAGACTGGGGAAATCAAACCTGACAGACATCACAGATAGAACAGCAGGAATAGAAGTTCATCCAGCACGGCTGCAAGATAGCATACAAGTACTGATGCATGACTTTGGTGGTCATAGGATCTACCATTTAACCCATCAGTTCTTCTTCAGTACTGCAGCACTCTACCTCATAGTTGTGGATCTAAAGGCATTTAAAGAATCGTCCTTCAATGCTGCTGTTAAATATTGGCTAAATGTGATAAAAGCTCGCATTGACTCCAAACCAGTACTCAGGATTGTTGCTACACACATAGACTTGTGTGAGTCAGAAGAGATAAAAGAAAAATCAGAAGAAATAATGAAGAAAATGAAGCAAATTGAGAAAATTGAAGTAGAGTCCCTCACAAAACACCTATCAGATATAGATGATGCCTTGAACAGAGCTGGTACACCTTGTTCAGACTGGAGTCACTCCTTGGAGGGTTTTGACACCCAATCACTGAGGAAAAGAAGGAAATTCATTGAGCACCTTATTGACAACAGACCCATCTTTCCTGAGTTTCTTGATCTGGTGAGTTGTGACTTGAGTTTGGCTGGTATCAAGCAGTTGATAGAAAACATTGTTATATCATGTCAAGATCACAGACTCTTTCCACGTCGAATACTTCCAAAATCATGGTTTGAGCTGGAGCTTGCTATAAAAACTTTGAAACAAGAGGGAAATTTGCATTATCTCAGCATGGATGACGTTCAGAAAGTTGCCAAAGAAAAAGCAAATATGACCCCTACAAGGCTCACTCGAGCTCTGAAATACCTTCATGACATTGGGGAAATTGTTCATTTTTCAGACAGCCCAAAATTGTCTGACTTTGTGTTCCACAAACCTCAATGGTTGATGGATGTATTCAAACTAATCTACAAACCCGTAGAAAGATTTGATGAACGGTTTGCCTCAGTTTCTGATGCTGATTTTGATGACATGGTTGAAGATTTCTCCAGCAGAGGAATTGTATCAGAACAAATGATACAGTGTTTATGGAAACAAATGAACCTATCCAAACCAGAAGAATCTATGTTGATCTCCGTACTTCAGAAATTTGACCTTTGTTTTCAGATGCCAACAACTGAAAATACTGTGTCAAATGTGTATCGCTGTCCATGGTTGCTGAGTGATAGTGCCCCTCAACAGTTTGAGCAATGTTGGAAACAGAAGATTTCCTCTGATGAAGAAGTGTTGATGATTGTATTTCAACTACAAAACTATTGCCCTGTAGGTTTGTTTGAAACTCTTTCAGTGAAACTAGACAAATACTTCATTTGCCGTAAAGACTGGCAATATGGCATCATGGCAGTCAGTGAGGTGGGAAAGAACAAAATTTTGGTGCAACTTGAACCAAAACAAAGAAGTGAGGAAATCCTCATTTCTGTAAGAACACAAAGCAAGAAACTCAAACAAGCATGGGAGGTTATGGTGCAGATCATCAATACAACAAAGGAGCTCCTCCAACAGTGGCCAGGTGTACTGTACTGTGTCCGAGTGGTCTGTCCACACTGTCTGAAGCAAGGAGAGAAAAATCCTCACCGGTTCTCTGGAGCTGTTCTTGACAAGGCACCAAGAGGCACTGTTGTGTGCCCCAAAACAATGGAAGAGATTGATCCCAGACTGATTCACCCAGAAATAAGTATGTCTGTCTTGTTCTTTGTACTAGTTTTTCTGATCATTAGCTTGACATCTAATGTCATGATTACAGTAACTGTATATTTCTGGTGATAACTGGAGTTTACACTTCAGACAGGTGCTCACACATATGAGAGAACCATATTCCATTTCTCTTTGAGTCTGATGTGTCTTGTTTTCATTCATTCGGTCATATCTACCTTGTCAGGAAGACGGTTTAAATTGAATTCGTTTGATACGAATTGTCTGTTGAGCTTACAGTATACATTTGTATGTATATGTACTAATATCCCAATTTTCACAATTCATTGTTCCTGGCAATGTGTAATGATTGAAGCATTCCTGTGACAGTATATGGCCTGTTTGTCTCTGCCATGTAAACTAGGCCCAGCTCAGTGGCAGCAGAGGAGAAAGAGAGCCCTTGAGGAGAGTGGGAAGAGCCCAGCTCCTGAGGAGATCATGATGATGGAGAAACAACCACGATATTCAGGTACATGTGACTGTACTGCAAATGTCACTGAATATTTCATTATCAATGATAGAATTTCTGCAGATCTTGTGAATTAACCCAAACGCTGTTGTAATGTAATTGGCATGCACATATAAACCAACCAAGTTTTTTTTCTTTTTAAAGAACCAGAACTAGAACCTGAAAATACAGTGAGGAACAACACATCAGTTCATACAACACATGTTTCCAAGGACTGTCTTGCACAAAACAATGCTGACACAGGTATGAGAGTTTTGCCTGTTTTCTTTACTCCAGTACATTCAATTTCTTATTTTGTGATGTGTAGGAACACATGTAGAGACTGCTAGTAGGACCACAAATCTCCCTGTTGCTTCCACATCAACATAAATCAAATAAAATCATTGAGTAAATGTGGGGTCCAATTACATTATTGAATGTGTACAATGTATAACGTTAATTTGTTGTGAGATTGGCTGAGTCAGACACTCTCTGAACTATTTTCCTATCATATCTTACGTCAGAAAATGTATGGGAAAGGTTCAGAAGTATGTCGATAGAGATGCAGCCAGGAGATGAAGGTAACAGACTTGTAGCCCACCTGATGGAGTCAGGCCTCACACTTCGCCCAGACGTGCCCAGAGATGGGAACTGCCTCTTCCATGCTGTATCTGACCAACTTGTGCGCACTGGAAGTCAGTCAACCAGTCACTCACAGCTCAGACAAGACGTGGTCAGCTATCTGAGGCAACATCCTTACAATGTAAGCCAGTTACACAAAATGTATCTGGATATTGAACATTAAGTACATGTACCTGTGAACAGAAAGTGATATAATACTAAACACTTTTAAAATTTATACAAAGTTGGTACATACATGTATATTGTTACATGACTTTACTTACTATAGATAATTTTTAAAATTTCTGTCATTAGGTAATATTCTTCAAAGAGGAAAGTCAACATATTGTGCATGTTTTGTACAAGTTTTGTGATGTTAAATATGCATAGTACATTACATGTCTTTATCAAGTGTCTTCACCGCACGTTCAACTTAATATAAGAGTTTGAAATTAATTTTGGAATATCATTTTTGCACAATAATGTAGCTCGGAATTTGAATATTATCTTTATCCACTGAAGCTGGTCTGGGTGACTTTTGACACTAAACAAAGCTTAAAGTTTGTAGGCTTTAACTTAAAATTGCAAACAAACATGTACACTGGTAACAGTTGTTTCATTTCTTCTCACCTGGTATGAAAATTGATTTTATGACCTATATATTATACAATTGAAAACTTTACTCTCCCAGGCACAGGGAGATCACCTTCAGGCCTTTGTACCCAATGAAGACTGGGAAGGCTATCTACAGGGGATGTCACAAAATGGAGTGTGGGGAGACCACATTGTTCTACAGGCCTTGGCTTCAATGTTAGGCAGAGACATTAGGATCGTGTCCAGCATTGATGCAGACAACTACACAACCATACTGACACCTATGGGGAACCAACAAGATACAACAGGACCACCACCGCTACTGCTTGGTCACTATGCTGAAAACCACTATGCCAGTTTGGATGGTAGGTCAACAAAGTTAACATTCACATACATGCAGGTTAATTGTGAATTAACTGAAATATTATACATGTAATTGTGAATTCAAGATACATTATGTATAATATCATGTTGTGACTTAAGAAATTCCATATAGAAATTACTTACATGATGGCTGGTAATAGAGTGAATAGTATTATATATAATAATATTATATTATATTCAGTACTACATGTATATAGATTGCTTAATATGAATTACGATTACTGATGTCTTGATAGCTGACAGTTTATTTCAATTTTCATCATTTGTACAGTCTGCCAAAGATGTGTGGTCCTCCTGATCAATGATGAGTATGGCACTTCTAAGGGTGGGATTTCCACAATCAACCACCAGCTGTCACAGCTATTGAGACGTTTTGGAGCAGTTGTATACTGCACAGTACTATGGGTAACAACAGAAGACCAGGAAGAAGCAAAACAAGATGGTGTCAATCTCATCGAACCATCTGTGCAAGCTGGTGACACAAGGGAACCATCCTTAGACTGGCTCACGTATGACCACCATATCAGATTCCCAAACCTTCCTGAAGATGTGGGCTACATTATTGGTCATTCTGGTATCACAGACAAGGCAGCTGAGAAGATAAAAAACAGACGCTATCCACAAGCAAAGCTCTTCACATTCAACCATACAATACCTGAAGATACGGAACACTACAAGGGAGGTGGGAAACCATTAAAAGCATGGGTAAAAGAAAAGGACTTACTCAAGGTAGCTGCTGCTGCAGATGCTGCTTTCTCTGTGGGTAAACGAATCTATGACCACTTTGAAACCATGTACAAAGGAGACAAGAAACCAAAGGCACACCACCTATTCCTCCCAAAGCCTTCCGAGACATTTGAGAACACTCATGTCAAGCCAGGAGGGGAACAGAAAGTTGTCTTGTCTATCGGGAGAGTAAAAAATGTTGAACAACTCAAAGGACACGATTTGGCAGCACGGGCGATAGGCAAAGCTGCAGAGGTGATAGCAAATATCCGAATGCGTGTGCGTGGCATCAGTGAAGATGATTTTGAGACAAGCAAGAGAATCCTAGAAGACAACTTGCAAAGTGGCAGACTCAAGCCAACTCTGATTCCCTATGGCACACAGAAGGAGATCAGTGATGACATGAAGACGGCTCATCTAGTCCTGATGCCATCTCGGGCTGAGCCGTTCGGACTTGTTGGACTGGAGGCCCTGGCAGCAGGCATTCCTGTCCTCATCTCAAGCCAATCAGGACTTGCAGACCTAATCAACGACTTGATCCAGACAGGAAAATGTGACGCAGACCTCAGACACAGGATTGTGGAAACAAGTGTGAACGTTGGTGACTTGGACAAAGATGCATGTAAGTGGGCAGAGAAAATTGTGGACACTCTCAGGTGGAATGATCAAGAGTTTCAGAACGCAGCACGTTTCAAACAGCAACTTCAGGAGTCCAAGTATTGGGAGGAATCTCACCAAATTTTCCTCCAGGCCTGTGGTATCACAAATACCTCTTAGTCTATTCTTATTAAGTTGGAGTCAGGGAACATGGGAGCTAAACAACAGGAGCTATGATTATTGTTATGTATCAATCTTCTCCCAGTTTAGAGGTAACTTTTGAAATGATCACATTTAATTATATAATTTTGTATTTGACAGTTGACAGGTTGGAAACATACTTTCCCCTCATGTGAACATGCTTATGTTGTAATACTTTTAGTACCAGAAAATAGAAATAATATCTTAACTGTTGAAAGTGGCAATATCAAAGTATATCTGTTGATGACAGTATCAGATTCTTAAGAGTTTGACAGTAAAATGTTTTCCAACTGAACAAACCTTCTTGTGTAACCAAACCAAATGTGCTGCAATAGAATGAAAGCAAAATTGATATGTTACAGACAATATTAATGATCATACAGAAATGTGTTGCATTACAAATTGTAGATATTATAAGTCATACAGTAACCACCTTGTTCATCTAGACCTCTAGTGGAGCTCTAGATCTAACCCTCTTCCTGCTTCAGGTCCATACTGTTTTCTATAGTTGTATGTTTGATGTAAATAATTTAAAATATTATATTTTTGTACATTTGATGTAAATAAAGATTATATTTTTGTATGTTTGGTGTAAATAAAGATTCTATGTTTATATACAATTTTGCATGGATTATTTTGTGTGCTGAAACACATTACTTGGCAGAGAGGTCTTGATGACAAATAGTAATAAATAAATACACAAACCTAATTACAAGGTCACCATAACCCCATGACAGTAAGCTGGATCATAAAGGGCTAAGAAACATAAAATTCAATGTACTTCCAAAATGGACTAAAAAAACATCACAGAAAAGCCCATAGGGTACTAACGTTACATGTAGACAACTGCATGCTCACACTGGAGAACACATCTATTATATGATCCCGAGTTTTAACGTCAAACACTTTTATTTAGCACACCGTTCTTATCACCCACAGATATTTTTATACATAGTAACTGTAACTCAATTATTAAGTCATGATATGAGGCATGGGCATAAAGGTATGAAACTGATAGCTAGTGACAGATAAAGACAAAAGCATCCGGGGAGAAACGGAAAGGATGTTTGGAACAGTGCCCTTCCCTCCTGTTACTTCGTGCGTCCTCCACGGAGCTAGGACGCACTTTTGGTCAAAGATCTGTCATCAACTAATTTTGATCGCTTTGTATTGTACCTAGATTATCCTCTTAAATGTAAATGCTGTCAGGAGGGTAGAACTTTAATGAGTCAGGTCATGAAAGAGTGAGTGAGTGGTTTTCAGGAACCTTTCTATTCATGACATGTATTGCTCTTTGGAATTCTGATACCTTTCCGTAGCGGTGTGTTTAATAAGTGTTGAGTGCCAATATTAGTTGCAATTCCCGTGGTTGTAGAGTCAATAAATAGCTGTAAATGGCCTGTGCTTTTGCATGGAGTTAAAAGACGGATTTTTTTCTACATCCATGGTTTCTGGTTGTTTATCGTGTACCATACATGTATATGTCAATCTTTCACAGGGCGTAGGTTTAAGGACACAGTAGTTTATGAGACCAATATATTCGACTTAAAAATTAGTATAAGGATGCTTAAGTTAACGTTCCTATACAAATACATTGTGCTATTTGCTACGCGACAGTTGCGAAGTAGAACTACATGTACTTCTTGTCAAGGTGAGTCAGCGGTGTAATGCCACTTCGCACCGCCAACACTTCCGGGTGTGATTTGGTCCGTCATATGTGTGGAACTTTTACCGACCATATCGCGCCATATCATTTAGGTGTACCGAGAATTTTTGACACAAGGGGAGAAATGGGCCGTACAGACAAGCTGTATGTATATCAAAGTGATTCAGAAATGTGCCACAAGAAAGTCGCTTCCATCGATTTGGCCCAACGCAAACTCCGGCGCCATGATATCTTCAGCTGACGCACGGGATTCCCCGCGGAATGATACAGTACCACCGCGCGGCGAAAGCGGAACCATAAAGCACCTGCTCCCCAAGGTGTGCGGCAGGCGTCCATCTTAAGGGTGCCGACACCCACCCTCCGTTTCCATGAATATGTAAGGTAAGTGTTCCGTTATAACTTTCTTATGTTACATTCTCTATTAAGGGCTATAGTGTTGATATGAGCAATAGTTTTAAACTCAAACTATCCACCCGAAATTGTTGAGAAAGTTGACCAGGCCCTTTTGCACCTTTGTTCAACATGGCGGACATGTTTTCCCGTTGTTTTTCGCAGTTGTGTCGATGTCAAGTTCACGACGAGCTACCCACAGTAACGGCCATGTACAGCACAATTAAGGCAAAAGTACCGAAGTAACGGGTTCCTTTCTCAGCACTCGGTATACAGAGGTGAGGCGGCCTCCGTCCTAGATCTCCAGTGCCGAAGTTACGTCAACACTTGGTGCCCAGTGTCGGCGGCTTCAGCACTGGAAACTCTAAATCGGCAAATCAAACCTTGTCTAAAAGG